TATTATGCCCAGATTTGTTCCCTTTCCTCTACTTTTTTGTTTAATACATGAAGTATAGAAATTCTTCCAACATGAAGAAAAGTTATTGGGAACTCAAAAGTTTGCTAACTGCTTTATAAATATTTTATACAGCAGCCCTCAATCAGGACGTTTTCAATGGTTGATGTTTCATTATATTTTTTTATTCTGTTGAAAGCCACCCAGAGTGGCTGGGGCAACCCAGTCAGATAGGCAGGGTATAATTTATTATTATTATTATTATTATTATTATTATTATTGCTATAGCTATCATCCTTATTTCCTTATCTGAATTCTTATTAATTAATGACACGCCACAGATACTTTGTACTTTCTATAACTCCATTTTATAGCTAGGTTTTGATATATTTTGCCTCAGTTTAAACTAGAAAGTATAGCTGTGATTTTCTCTTCCCACTCCTTATGACCATTGGTGGAAAAGCTAACAGTTAATATCCAGGGAGGTTTGTTGTACTCCCTGCCTCCCCAGTTTCTAATAAGAAAGTAATAAGCATATCAGACTATCATGTGAAGATTCCAAATCTACTATATATCAGTCAGCAAAGTTATATATCCTTAAGATTAAAAAAAACCAAAGAATATAAAAGGCAAGGCATAGTCTGTGTTGGTTTTGGAATGTTATATAAAGTTTAAGCTCATTCATTGGGTTGTGATTGCATTACCACATTTGAAATGGCACTGATAGGAAATTACAAACAGAGCCTCATTTACACAGCTGGCCACAGCAGTAATAAAGTCATTGTTTTCCTTTCTACACATGACAATACACTGAGCTATTGGTAATTCCAATTTTGCAGGACATAGTCCCCCAAGAATGAGTGACAGGGATCCATGAAGCAGTACTGTAAAGTGAACTACTCAGATTTAAGACAACAGTCACATTGAAGTTCAGAATATCTGGATTTAAATTAAAGGTAAAGGTAAAGGGACCCCTGACCATTAGGTCCAGTCGCAGACGACTCTGGGGTTGTGGTGCTCATCTAGCTTTATTGGCCGAGGGAGCCGGTGTACAGCTTCCGGGTCATGTGGCCAGCATGACTAAGCCGCTTCTGGCAAACCAAAGCAGCGCATGGAAACGCCATTTACCTTCCCGCCGGAGTGGTACCTATTTATCTACTTGCACTTTGATGTGCTTTCAAACTGCTAGGTTGGCAGGAGCAGGGACCAAGCAAACGGGAGCTCACCCTGTCGCAGGGATTTGAACCGCCGACCTTCTGATCGCCAAGCACCAGTTTAGTTCAACTAAATCCAAGTAGTCCAACTTGCTTGTGAACCAGGCTGCTTGTGTCTTTGTGGGATGAAACATATTTAGGCTGATGATTTATCTGCTCAGTCTTGTTTTGCACAGTTATGTCATTTGGTTTTAATTAAAAAGATTCCTTAGTGAGACTTAAAAAGATTCCTTAGTGAGACTTAAATTAAATTTAATGATTATTTGTTCCCAAGTCTATACATTAAGTTTCCAGACTGAATGCGCTCTTGAACTCTAAGATACAATTCTATGCTGGGTGAAACAAAGAATGCAATGCTGAACTTCAAAGTGGTCAGCAGTTTGGACTGGTGGTGGCAGAGGCTTTCACTCACGTTGTGTTCCACTGCTTCCTATTTCTGTAGGAATTTTTCTCTAGACTGTGGAACCTGTTTGTTATCTATTATAAATGGCTAAGTACTGAGGAGATAGATTCAGGTAGGTAGCTATGTTAATCTGATGCAGTCTAAAGAAATGAAATAATAATAAAAATAGTCCAGTAGCACCTTAGAGACCAACTAAGTTTGTTCTGGTTATAAGCTTTCATGTGCATGCACACTTCTTCAGATACACTGAAAAAGAAGTCACCAGACCCTTACATATAGTGGGAGGGTGGGGTGGGGTTTTTCTCAGAAGGGTAGTAAGAGATGGGTGATTGACTCAATGGGTATGATAACCTGTTGACGACTGTTAACGACTGCAATTACTCCTACAGGAAAAAGCAAGGAATAGTATGCAGATAACCAAAAATAGCTTTAGCATATGTAATCTCCCAGTACCCTTAGCTTTTTCCTGCTGCTGCATCACACTGTTGACTCATGTTAAGCTTTTAGTATACCCTCAATCCTTTTCACATGTACTATTGAGAAACCAGGTGTCCGCCATCTTATAATTGGTTCTTCTTGCTTAACTTTAGAACCTTACGTTTGTTCCTATTGAAATTCAATTTTGTTTAGTTTGGCCCCAATTCTCCCATCTGTTAAGGGCATCTTGAATCCCAATTTTGTCTTCTGCAGATTAGCTACCTCTCCCAGTTTGGTGTCATCTGAAAATTTGATGGACACCCCATCAATTCCTTCATCCAAATCATTTATAAAGACACTGAACAACAATGCGCCCAGCACCCCACTTATCACTTTTTTCCAGCATGACAAGGAAGCACCCTTTGAGTTCAGTCAGTCAACCAGCTACAAATCCACCTAAGAGTTTCCTTGTCCAGCCCAATTTTACCAGCTTCTCTGTAAGAATATCATGGTGGAGTTTGTCAAAAGCCTCACTAAAATCAAGATACATTATGTCTGCAGCATTTACATGTATAAATATTACTTGGGATTTAAAATTGTCAGATGATAATATTATCCTACACCACATACCAACTATATGTGGTTTGATAGCGGGTCAACATAAATGGACAGTTTGCGGGCTTACTCCTGCAAAAAGACTGATATTGATACATCAATACCCTGGCCCCCTTTGAACAATGGATAGTAGATATGACTACTCTTACAACATACCAATGGATTGCTTTAAGTTGTAGGTTGTATATGGACAAATATAAAGATATTTAGAGTGCATTTATAAAAAGCATAATGACCTGTTGATAATTTTATACTCCTTAGAATAATCATGCTACCTATATACCCACATATTGTACTGTACCAGTTTCACGCACTTTTATTTTGTTTTGAATTCTCTCCACCTTTTCCAGTTTATTTTTCTACTGAAAACTTCCATATATATATATATAAAATATACAGTGGTACCTCGGGTTACATACGCTTCAGGTTACAGACTCCACTAACCCAGAAATAATACCTTGAGTTAAGAACTTTGCTTCAGGATGAGAACAGAAATTGTGCGGCAGCGGCGCAGCAGCAGCGGGAGGCCCCATTAGCTAAAGTGGTGCTTCAGGTTAAGAACGGACCTCCAGAACGAATTAAGTACGTAACTAGAGGCACCACTGTATATGAATTCTCTAAGATTATAGTCAGCAGCTCTGAGATTACACCCGCAAGCTCCTTTACTACCCTTGGGTGCAGGCCTTGGAGATTAGAATTAATTTAAAGTAGCTAGGTCTTCCCTTACTATCTCTTTTCCTACCTTGGGTTGTAGCTCCCACCTTGCATCACTTATTCTGCTATCACCAGGTTGGGCACTGCTTCCTTTTGGGTGAAGACAGAGGCAAAGTAGGTGTTGAGCAGCTCCTCCTTCTGTCACCCAATAGCATTTCTGTTTTCTTCACACAGAGGATTTACTACTTGCTTGTCCTCTTCTTGCTTCAAACATTGCTGAAGAAACCTTTTCATATTGTTACCTCCGCACACCGCTGCATCTGTTCTGCTCAGTAGAGAGTCACCTACCACAAACACGTCTTTTCCTCCTCTGGGAAGTGGCAGAAATTGTTCTGTACACTGTACCATCCACTGCCAAATCAGAGTGTTCTGAGGTTTAGTTTATAACTACTGTCCTCTTGCTCCACCACCCTTCCCCATCACTGTTCCAGCACAGCCCACTGCTCTAGCAAGAAATTCCTCACCTTGCGGCGATGCGCTGAGGGGAGCGGGTGGCGCTGTGGTCTAAATCACTGACCCTCTTGGGCTTGCTGATCAGAAGGTTGGTGGTTCAAATCCCCTCGACGGGGTGAGCTCCCGTTGCTCTGTCCCAGCTTCTACCAACCTAGCAGTTTGAAAGCAACGCCAGTGCAAGCAGATAAATAGTTACCACTGCGGCTGGAAGGTAAACAGTGTTTCCATGCGCTTTGGCTTCTGTCATGGTGTTCAGTTGTGCCAGAAGCAGTTTAGTCATGCTGGCCACATGACCCAGAAAGCTGCCTGTGGACAAACGCTGGCTCCCTTGGCCTGAAGTAAGATGAGCGCAGCAACCCCATAGTCACCTTTGACTGAACTTAACCATCCAGGGGTCCGTCACTTTCTTTTTAACCTCTACTCACCCATGGGCTGCCCTGTCCTTGCCTAATGAGCAGGCCGGACTTTGCTGCCAGAAACAGATTTTCAGAAATAACCAACAGTTTGTATTCTGAAGTGTATCCAACGTAGCAGGTGAGGATAGCTGGTGTCTTATAGAGTCAACACAGGAACAAACACTGCTTGTATTATACAAATAAAAGCAAATAAATCCTTAATTGGTTGTGGTTACCTGTGGTAGGTACTGCATGCATCATTATGAGGGGAGCGCGCACACACGCACGAGTTTTCTTTGGGTGAAGGATGCACCGCCCTTTTAATGAATAGCCCCTTAAACCACAAATCATCTGTGCAACCCGACTGAGTGGGAAATCTCTAGAACCCAGGGACTGATGTGCGTGGAGCACGGCAGGCTTCTCCACACTTCGGAGCAGCTCCTTCCCTGCCAAAAGAAGCCGACAACAGCGACTGACACAACCGCCGCTCTTTGGGATTTCCCGCTCTTTGATCTGCCCGGGCCGCCTCTGCTGAGGCGCCTGATAAACGAAGCTCTTTGATGAGTCCCGACATTTCCCCCCTCAGCCCGGGCCATCTGACTCGCTTGGTACCCATGACTGAGGGGAAGGGCAGAGGCGGGGACCGCGCCCTGGGCGGGAACGGCGCAATCCTCCCCCTCCGCATATCTCCCAGCCCTTTGTAGTCTCCTTTCAAGTCGAGGGTGTCCGATTTCGGGATCCGGAGGCGAGCAGCGCCCCTCCCCGACCCCTCCTCCTCCTCCTCCTCTGCCCGCTGGAAGGGGAAATATGAAGGGGAGTTTCTGCAGCAGCAGCAGCAGCTCAGTGAGGAGGAGAATAAGCCGCGGAGGAGAAGCCGGCAGTGAAACAGGGACGACCAGAGAGGTTGCAGAGGACAGGGAAGGCGCCTGAGGAGCCCCAGACGCCTCTCTGCGCGCGCCCAGAGTCCTTCGGGGCGCCCGGCATGGGGCGCGCCGCCTTGTATTGAAAGCCCTCTGCGCAGGAGGGGGAGCGCGTGGAGTTCAGCCTCGGGCAGAAGCCGCCGCCGCCGCCGCCGCGCGAGGAGCTGGGACTTGGCTGCCTCCTCCTCCTGCTCGTGCCGCTGGCCCCGAAGAGAGAGCGGGGATTCTGATTCCGCCAGGTGGGTGCCCAGAAGAGGCTCTCCAGCCCGCCCCTTCATCTTCTTCCCGCGCAAGGATTTTGTGTGCGTGTGTGGCGGGGGTCGGGGGATTATTGGCATTGCAAGGGAGGCACAAAGCTTCCCGGAGAAGAAAGTGTGGAGGGAGAGGAAGAAAGCGCCGGAGGATAAAAGGAAGAAAGAGGCGGAAGGAAAAGTGAGAGGCTTGGACGGGGGAAGCCGCTGGAGAGCTGGAAATGTCCTGTCTCTGCTGCAGCCTGCTGAGATACCTGTTCCTAGCCCTGCTCTTGCATGGTGAGTACTGCAGATAAACGCAATTGCAATGTTTCTGTTATACTGTAGTTATATCTGCGAGAAATTTTTATTGCTTTTAGGCAACTCTTAGGCAACTTTAAAAACTTGGGAAGTTTTTGACGTTTTATTTTGTTTTTATATTTTGCTGGAAGCTGCCCAGAGTGGCTGGGGGAAACCCAGTCAGATGGGTGGGATATAAATAATAAATTTATTAGTTGTTATTGTTATTTAGGCGGATCTTTCTTCGAAGTGGCAACTTGAATATTTTATCGTAGTAATGAGCAGCCTCACACGTTGGTAGTGCTGCACTTGTGGATAATAATAATTATTCTTTATGTATGGTTTCCCCTTTCTCGTGTCACTTTAGGCTAAGGGCTATCCGCAGTGAAAAGCTGGATTTTACCTGTTTTAGTTTTAGATATAAATGTTGCCACAAACATCAGTGCTTGGAAGCAAGAGCTCTCGGTTCTCCAGAAAAGCTAACTAGTTGGAATAGGCAAAAATTGTGTGGTGTGTTTTCTAGAGTCAGAAAGTGCCCCTTCCACATGCAGAAATGTCTTGTATATTACTTGTGGTCGGCTGAGTGATTTTTTATGGTTCTGAAAGACACAATATAGAAGCCGTCTGTAGGTTTTTGCCTATAAAGCTTTGAACAGGATACATTTGATCTTTATTAGCTTGTCCCATTTGGGGGCTATATGGCGTGATTTTTCCTCTGTCTCTGTTTTCTTAATTGTATCCATGGGCAAAATGTTTAGAGCATAACTTGGATTCTGCATGCTTGATCACGTGGAAAGAGTTTCAGGCCACAGGCCCAAACTCTTTATTTCATTGACTTCAGTTACACTACTCGGACACTAGCGGATTCAGACCAAGGGACCATCTCATCTAGCATCTTGTTTCCAACAGTAGTCAGCTGGAAAGTCCACAAGAAGGGTAGAGAGCAATAACCTCTGCTCAGCAACCGCTTTTCAAGAGTTATTTCTTAACATGTAAGGTCCCCTTAGTCATTTATAGACATACCCTCCCTTAATCTGTTTCATTCTCTTTTAAAGCAGGCTAAGCCAACTGGTCACCATCACATCTTATGGCAATGAGTTCCATAAGTTTATTATGAGGAAGTATTTTCCTTGGTGTGTCCTGAATTTGCTGTGAATTAATTTCATCAGCTGACCCTGCGTTCTAGTATTGTGAGAGGAAGAAGAAAAAACCTTTTTCTGCTTTCCTCACGGTGTCCATAATCTTAAAACTCTTTTAAGCTCATTTTTAGTTGCCTTGTTATCTAAACTAAAAAGCCCCAACGCCTCATACAGAAGGTCTCTCAACACCCTTGATCATTTGCTTACCCTTTTATGCACCTGGCCCACTTCTGCGTAAATCTGTATATTTTTTATCATATACAAGACTAGAATTGTATAATAGATTCTAAATGCAACAACATCATACAATTATATAAAGTTATTATGACACTGGCAGTCTTGCTTTCTGTCCTTTCCTAATAATTCTGCCTTTTTTCCTCTAATGCGGAATTTGTTAATGCTTTCATTGAACTATCTACCACAACCACATCATATCTTGCATAATCACAATGTTTCAAATCATATAAGGGTATATATAGTTGGGTTGAGGTTAAGTGTGCACCACTCTTTACTTACTCTGTTGAAACCTGTTTGCCATTTTGCTGTCCTAATCCAATATGTGGAGAGCTCTCTGAATAATCCTTGGTAATCTCCTTTTGCATTTCCACAATCTGAATAATTTGACATCATTTGCAAACTTAGAAAACTTGAAGCATATTCCTCCCTGATCATAATGAAATAGCCCCAATATAGATATTTGGCATAGGGGGACTTCTTAGTTCCCTCCATTTTGAAAATTGCTCATTTATTGCTACCCTCTGCTTTCTGTTCTTCAGCCAGCTACTGATCTGTAAGAGGATAGCCCCCCCTTATCCCAGGACTTTAAGTTTACTCAAGAGATTCTGGTAAAGATTTTGTTGAAAGCTCAACTATATAATATCTTCCAGATTACCCTGATCCATGTTTGTTGACAGCCCCCACATCCAATGAATTATAAAACACTGATGAGGCAAGACTTCCTTTTGTAGGAACCATGCTCTTTCCTAGAAAAATGTGTTCTTCCATAGACACAATATTCAAGTTTTAATAATACCTAGTCCAGAGCTACTATAAAGTATGTAGCATTTCCTTCTAAGTGGTCTTTGAACACTTCAAAAATGTTTATTGGGATACTTACTCTTCACTGCTGGATAACCATCCAGTAGGAGATGAAGTGACACTTAGGCAGATATGACCCCAGCACTGAACTCCATTGCTGAATTTTCAAACATGCTAAGCAATCATCAGTGGCAGCTGTGGAGAGTAAGCATTATTTAGATACCTTACTAAGTTACATGCCTAATTTTATGCACTATTGATATCTAAAATCCCAAATGGTCATTGCTATAGTTTTTGGAACACAGGAATCACATCTTCCCATTTATTCGGACAACGCAAAGTACATAAATGCCACATAGTAAATAATAAAGATCATGAGCATTCTGTGTATCTTTTGCTTTTATAGACAGAAGACTTGCTCATCAAAGGGTTTTTTATTCCTCCCCTTCAACTCAAACTACAAAATATATAGACTGTATAAATATGTCTGGTTGAGACAGACCTGCATGGACGCCAAGGTGCACTTTAAAATTCTGTGATCTGGGCGTCTAGAAGTCAAAACGGAAGGTTTGAAGTTAGAGGCTAAGTAAGGAGAGAAGGTATAATTATAGGGTTAGACTCTCAGGCTCATCTGCTTGGAATTACCCAGCTGTTTTAAACTTTGGCTGAAATGTGAAACAAATCAAGGCCAATAGTCAGATCAAACAAGCCGCTGCCAAGAGAAGTTGAAATGGGGAGCCTTGTCTGCATGCATGCACACACACACACACACAGTATAGTGTCATCAGATGGGAACATTAAAAAGAAAAAGGAGAGGAGAGAAAATTAACTTGTTCAGGCCATAGTCACTGATTAACAACACAGGGATGGAGAGCTGATGTGGAAAACCATATGGATAGACAGTTGGATGCAATACTTGGACTTGTAGCTTTTTTCAGTGCATCTTAACTCCTAAACATGCTTAATGAAAATGTTCTGTTCCTTTCAGGAACTTGTTCATGAATAAGAATCTGTAGGATTCAGCAACGATTATGATTGTGGTGCAGATTTGTGTAATACTTTATACTGGGGTTGTTGTTGTTTTGACATTATGACTACTACAGACTTTGTTGGATAGATGGGCTATAAATTAAACAAGCACAAGCACAACTTATTTAATTTTCCCGTGTAATTCTAGAACTCGTGGCTACCCAGTAAAATTTATTCAGGATAGTGAAGAGAAAGTACTTCAAATGATGTATAAATTAACTTTTGGACTTCACTGCCATGGGATGTAGTGATGGCCACTGGCTTAAATGGCTTTCAAGACGATTAGATGAATTCAAGGAAGGTAGGTCTATCAATGGGCGTTAGCCACCTTGCTACATGGAACGTTTGTGCCCAAAGGCAATTCATCTTTGAATAACAGCTGCTTGCCAGCAAAAACACCAGGAAGAGTTATTGCTCTTCTACTCTGCATGTGAGATTTTTGATAGCATTAAGCTGGCTGCTATTAAAAATAAGTTAGTGGCCTAGATAGACCTATCTAGATAGTCTTATCTCAGTTCTAAGCATGTACCCCATTGCCCTTTCCTTTTATGACTTATTTTGTATATTTCTTCCTCTGTTCTCTTCTGAATCATTGATGGCAGGGTAGGGAACCTGAAGCCCTCCAGGTGTTGCTGGAGCACATATCCCACCATACCTGTTTGTTGACCATGCTGGCTGGAGCTTGTGGGATTTGATGTCCAGTAACATCTGAAAGGCCACAGGTTTCCCACCCCTTTACATTTCATCAGCATCCATGAAAACCAGTGCTCAAAAACTGAATAGAATGTCCCAGACAGATTTAATATATCACTGATGCATAATGCTAATATTATTTTCCACTATTTGATATATTGCTTCTGCTAAAACAAGCTGAAATGGAATTGGCCTTTTGGGCCACATTGTTGTGTATTGACTCTTACTCAGTTTAACCACACTAACCCCTTAACCACCCCTTAACATTCATCAGCAGCTAGCCAAACAATAACTGAAAAGAAATGCTGCCAAAATATCACATAGCTGTATCTCAGCCACCTGGACAGCATCTGGCACTCCAGAGGTATATTAAATGTGTTTACATAAATAGGCAATAAAATTCTAACACACCTTTTTGAAGTCAAGTTTGGTTGCTTATCAAATGGAAATATAAAAGTAAAATGCAATTCAAGATTCAGATCCATGCTAATATTGCTTCATAAATGTATCTAAACAACACAGGAATAGCCTTTTTAAAAAATCCTCCTTGTGTTCATTAATCAAAATAAAACCTGTTGAATGTCAAAAGAGGTTTGCAGCTGGAACTTGTCCATTATCGTGGTTTGCTCTGCTTATACAAAAAGCCACAAATGTTTCAGATGTCAAATGCTAAAATCATTCTGCTCCAGCAACTCTGATTAACAAGATGGGCAGTAAAGGTGGATTCAAAACAATTTAGCTAATTCAGTTTTAAAATGTTATTTTTCCACCTCAGATATCACAAATTATTTGAAGAGACATACCAGCCTTGCAGTATTTATATTTTTGTTGTTGTTGTTCAGTAAATTCACATTTGCTTACCTTCGGTTTAATTCTTCAAGGTAGTACTTGTTGCAGCCATATTGAGCTTTTCAAATACATAATGTAGAAAATTTGTACATAAAAAATATATTACCCCTTATAATTTCTTGGAATGTGTTTGTGTGATAGTGTTCCTGTTTTACAATATGATTTTTTTAATATTTAGTTTACAGCATTTATAGGTTGCTCTATCACAAAAAGTTCTCTATGTGATTTAATTAGCAACAGGGCTCCGCTCCTTTCCCCAGTAGGTGAAAAATGTAGCCAATATTAAGAATTAGTACTTGGACCAATACTGTTCTGCATTTATCACATGCATTTATTAAACTAGGGATCCCACTTGAACCATGGTTTGATATTTTTTCTTTCCATCTGTTAATTTTGAAAATGGAAATCTGTGGTAGATTTGATTAAAAGGCATAATTACAGGCTCAAAAACTATTCTCTTTGATGAGTTAAAATTCATTTTCTTTTTTACATTTATCTGTTATGAAATATTCTAATTTCTCCTTGGCAATATGATACTTGAGTTATTATAAACCTGCCTCCTTATTAACTAAACAAATTTAACCCCCTCTTTCAGAATGTATGTTCTCATTAATTAAGTGCTGGGAGTGTGGGTCTTGAAAAAGTTTTGATACATACATTTATTTAAAACATTTCCATACACACTGTTTAAATCTTGGGAGGATATTTTTACTCCATTAAATATTTACGCCTAAGAATTTTTAGGATCTACTTCTGATTGCAAATTGTTTTAACTGATTTTAATATTATATTTTTATATTATAACTTGCCCTGGGGCCTTTTGGTTAAGGACAGGTAAGAAATCCAATAAATAAAGTTGATTAAATTCCCCCCATAAATTCTGTCAATTACTTTTGTAGCCTAGGTAGATCTAAATATAATTCTCACATTAATATTGCATGTGTGTATGCAGTACTGAGTGCTGTTGACCAGCTTGGGTCAAATCCAAAGTTGAGCACATCGCGATGCTGCATATCATTGGCAATGGATTCGTGGGTAATAAAAATTGCTTGCAGTGCTTCAAATAATGGGTATGTTCTCACCAGTATAAAAAGAATCAGTGATTTACAGCACCTTTGGGGAATCACATGCAAAAAGCACACATCTGGATGTGCATTTGTACCTGATCTTTGCCAACAATGAAGTACATGCTGTGTGCCTGGCTGCCAGTCCACCATCAAGAACCTGAAGTGCAGACTTGAATGGGAGCCATCTTTCTTTCATAAAAGTGAATGGCTCCTGCTGAAAGACACAGAAAAGTCAGACACACAGTTAAAAGGACAAATCCTGCCATCTGATTCCTGGAGACCCCATTGTTAGGGGAAATGGCAAACTGTGCCCCAAGCTTAATTATCTTCTCTGTCACACTGAGTTTGCAGCAGCGTGCTACAGCACCCCAATGTGATCTATAGACACTGGTTGTACAAACATATATAATCATTACCTTTTACAGTGCTGCCAGTATTCTGCTGAGGCCTAGACTTTCCTGCTTAATGAATTTGGCGATTTTTCAAGACTTTAATCCTTTTGATGTCCAGAGTGACTAAAGCAGAGCTACTAACAGAAACATCTGCTTGGCCGTGAGAAATAATAATCTCCAATGTACCGGTAATCTTTTTTTCCCCTTTTTTTCTTTTTTGCAGTGTATTAGGATCGGTAGTGGTGAGCTTATCTAGCTGTTTCCCACATCAATATATATCTATATATTTGTTTAGGGGAATTGATTAGATAAACAAAGGTTTCTCCTTTAAATAAATTGTGTTTTATTTGCTGGAAACTTTCAAAAGCTGATAAGTTTCACTTGAAACATTTGCTACACAAAATGAATTGTATTTATACTGTAATAACAGAGTTAATGTTTACAGGTTTCACAAGAACTCAGCTTATTGAGCCATTGTACCAAATGGAGCAAGTCTTAATTCACCCTGGTGGAAATATTAACTAACAGCCTTACAGAGGCATCCTATGCATGGTTACTCAGAAGTAAAGTCTAGAGCCCAGTGCAGATGTTATAGTTTAGTGTGATGTAAACAAGCCACAGGAATCATTGTGCTCATGTGCTCTCTGCAATCCTTCTCTGACACAGCTGGAAGGAGAAGTAAGGAAGTATTTGCTCCTGGCTTTGAACTGATAAGCTGGTTAACATTAACATTGTTTTGAACAAATCGTAGTTAATGTTTATTAATGCTAATTTGGACAAAACAGCATATGGTTCCCTGGTGGTGCAGGAGAGGAAAGAATCACATGAACCCATGGCTCACTGATGTTATGCTAAGCTACGGTTTAGTGCAGTGGCTGAACATGACCAGTGTGTTCAGTGAGACTTATTCACTAGTGGGTGCATTCAGGATTCCAGCCTCAGTATATTTAATGCAGAAATTCACCTATATGCAAATACCATGTCTTTGTCTGATTCTTTCATGTTTTAAAAATCATATGTATACATTAAATCTGGCATATTAAATTAGATTTCCAACAATTGTAAGATGGCAGATCTGCAGCTTTAAAATGACAGTTCAGATCTGGAAGTTGTTTTACTCATTACAGTACATTGGTGACTGAGCTGGCATTGGAATCCAAGTCTCAATCCTAATCTTTATTCACTGAAGCACAGTGGCAAACTAGTTGTCCAACGCAACATCAGAATAAAGGAACTGGTGCATGCCAAGAATTATGTTTCTGCATGACTGCTACATGCATACAGCATCTAAGGAAAGTTTCAAGAACTGATGGGATTCAATATTTTCACTTTTTAACATATCTTTCCATTCCACATAGCAGTCAACATATTGTACAATTTGTCCAAATATACTAGTTATGATTATGGTAAATAGCTTTTCTACTGCACAATTAAGAGTAGAATCCTAAATAAATTTTGTTGTAAGCATCGTTAAGCTTAGTGGGACATACTTCTGAGTAAACTTACTTAGAAATGCACTACATGTGTCCAAGTATGTGTATATTTTCCAAATTTATTTATTTTCTAAAGTGAGCATTGTGTACATGCGCACATACACATGTGCACGGCTGGTTGATGTTACCTCAATCCTCATTTAATAGACTTAGCAGGACTATGGGGCACCAGAATAGCAGCTCATGACATGCAAACCTATGGGGCCATGTTAACTATTGGAACATGAAACAAATTCTGAAACTAAAGAAACGGTATAGAAAGATGTAGGACCTGGCTGTTTCAGTAAATTAATGGCCAATTGAGGTCAGCTGGGGACTTTGTTTAGTAAAGAAGTTTGAAGAGGAAGGGTGGAGGGAGTTTGACGCCTTCTGAAATGATAAACAGAATGCTGTTATTGATAATCCTAGAGTGTGTTTGTTGTTGTTTTTTAAGAATACAACTGTTAAAAAAATAAAGTAAGTATCTGTGGCAACAAATAAAGCATTTTCCCTTGCATGAAGTTGTCTCTTAGATATATGGTTGTATATATTCCACTGTGAGGAGGAAGCTATTCTACATGCTTTCAATTTCCATGCCCATTTTTATATAATAAAATACACTGATCCTCCTACCTGAGTGCTTATGCACAGGAACATAATGTGGGACTCTACCCTAAATACATCAAATGTACAAAGCCCATTCATGAAAGGAGTCTTTCACATCTGAAGATTACTAGCGAGCAAAGCTATTTATTATAGTCATTATATGCAAACAGTTTTAGTTCTCCCAATTCACCAGAATTTATTTCATATGCCACCTCTGATTTCTCACAGGGCTGGGAGAAGGTTCTGCACTTCTTCATCCAGACAGCAGGTCACACCCTCGATCATTAGAGAAGAGCGCGTGGAGAACTTTCAAGGAGTCACAGTGTCCTCACATGCTGAAACATCTTCATAATGGAGCCCGAATTACTGTGCAAATGCCTCCTACTATCGAGGGACACTGGGTCTCCACCGGGTAAGACTGCCGACAAACATGATGATGATACTATATAGAAAACATGCTAAAATGCTTTGGTAGACATTAATGTCAGGAGGCAAGTACTTTAGATACATAGAAAAGTAGGACACCATACTGTACAGCTTTGTTACTGTGTATTTTGGTAGGCTATAATCCACTTAAACTCACAGCTAGTTTAATGTACACAGTGAGCTTTTGTCTTTTCTTTCTCTTACAATATAGCAGCCTCCCTAAACTAAAAAATGCTTCTAAAGCAGTTTACATTGTAGCGGGGGGCGGGGGTGTGTGTCTGCTATTGAGAGGAAAGCTGAAAACTTCTCCTATGGACACAGAAGCTTTTCTGGCCACAAAAGTGAGCCTTCAGAATTTTGTGGCTATTGTCCGTATTTTAAACAGTAAGGCGTTTCAGTCTTCCTTACTTTGGAAACCACAGTGTTGTTGAAAATTGCCAGCCTATTCATAGGATGTTCATATGTCATCTGCTTATTCAGACCGCTTGCAAGGGCGAGTGAATAAATCCTTGCCTTTATTGCTGTATCATGTGACATGTGTATAAAACAAAGTTCATTAACAAAATGAAATTATGAAGCTTTAGCTGTCGAGCCCAAGCATGCACAAGTGCTTATCTGAGATCACAAACATTCAGTTAGGCAGAGGTATTTATTTTGTAGTCTCAGCTTGCAAATATACAGCTGTGTACTCACAATTATTTTCTTAGGAAGGCTCCTTGGGATATAAGATTCCCTTCAAGCCCAGTCCTGCAGTCCTTATTCAGGCAAAGCCATCACTGAAGTTAATAAAAATAGTGTCTGAGTAAGCAGTAATCCTCACTCAAATCCACCACAGATATCACTGGAAAGTCAGGGAGAAGATGTTGGGCTCCCATCACTTAGGAGGGATCTGTTGTACTTGCAGAAAGCAAGCAGACTAGGAAGAGCTCAGCTTAAAAACCTTTTTTTCCCCCAACTATAAGCCTTACACAAATATTTCAGATGTTCTAGTTTGGGTTTATTTTATAAACACATTAAAGCATGTTTATTACTTTGATTGCCTGAAGCCAGGCAGGTGTGGTCATTCCTTTTCCTTGTTGATTTTATCACCATGGAAGTAGAAATATATTAAAAGTGTTGCCTATCTCTTAAGAAACATAACCACATTGTCACACAGAAATAAAACAGGAAGGGACTCATTGAAAAGCTATTGAGCTTATGAGAATATTTATCTTCAGGTCTAGAGGCTTTGACAGAAGCTTATTCATGTTAGATATACATATTTAAGAAAAACTGAAGAAGGAAAAAAACACGTTAAGTTGGATCCAGACATGTTCATGCTTAGGGTAGAGTCACTGAAGTCACTTAAGTTCCATTGATTTCAATGGGTCTACTCTAAGCATGATAGGCAAAGCAATTCTAAACCCTGGCCAGGAGTATCAAAACAGCTGTCATATCTGAAGCACTGCCAGCTCATGCCAGGCGGGGGGAGACTGGTTCCATTATTTTCTGTTGTGCCAGCTCCAGGCTGGTGCATGTGGGGGGCCTGGAACAGCCTGGGGCTCAGCAGCTCAATGGCTAACCCTTCACTGCCTCACACCCATAATGCTCTATTTCAGGGCCTTACTCTGGCCACTGCCAGCAGTAGCATTTGATCCACCACTGCCTGCCTGGTAACAAAAGTGAACAGATAATGATATTGTAGGGGAAAATCTTTGTCTTCCTTGACAGCACTTGGAATAGAGTTGCCTACAATTCTAAGTAGGGATACAGGGGGCGCTGTGGGTTAAACCACAGAGCCTAGGACTTGCCGATCAGAAGGTCGGCAGTACAAATCCCCGCGACAGGGTGAGCTCCCGTTGCTCGGTCCCTGTTCCTGCCAACCTAGCAGTTCGAAAGCACGTCAAAGTGCAAGTAGATAAATAGGTACTGCTCCAGTGGGAAGGTAAACAGCATTTCCGTGCGCTGCTCTGGTTCGCCAGAAGCGGCTTAGTCATGGTAGCCACATGACCCGGAAGCTGTATGCTGGCTCCCTCGGCCAGTAAAGCGAGATGAGCGCCGCAACCCCAGAGTCGGTCACGGCTGGACCTAATGGTCAGGGGTCACTTTACCTTTACAATTCTGAGTACTTGGTACACTAAATGTGGAGAAAAGAGGAAGTCAGCAATGAAATGAAAATAAAAACATCAAATGCAGCATAGAACTAATATACCTTTTAAAACGTCTTTTAAAAAATGAAACCAGAAACTTAATGTTAAATACTGTAAAGGAAGATGAGAAAAATTACTATTTTGGTTCACTATTGCGAATATTGTGGTGTTAATTAAATGCCTTATTAGTGCTGTCATCTTCTCAGTGACTACTTTATATACTTCATTTCACACTTCACTAAGCTTATGCTTTTATTTGCAATTTGGTTACAGTTGTGAAGTAAGGTCGGGCCCAGAATTCATCACTAGATCCTACAGATTCTACCACAATAATACATTCAAGGCCTATCAATTTTACTACAGAGGTAACCGATGCACAAACCCAATCTATACCTTAGTTATCCGTGGCAAAATTCGCCTTCGCCAAGCATCCTGGATCATTCGAGGAGGGACTGAAGCAGATTACCAGCTGCACAACATACAGATAATCTGCCATAGTGAGGCAGTGGCTGAGAGGCTAAGTCAGTTGGTGAACCGCACATGCCCTGGATTTGTACCAGAAGATAAAGCCTGGGAGCAGAATGTGAGCTACGATTTGTGGAGAGAAGAGAATGGCTACGAATGCACCAGAGCACTGAATTTTGCTATGCATGAGCTTCAACTAATCCGTGTCGAGAAACAGTACCTTCACCATAATTTAGATCACTTGGTTGAGGAGCTATTTCTTGGAGACATACACACTGATCCTGCTCAGAGGATGTATTATCGTCCATCTAGTTACCAACCCCCTCTTCAAAATGCTAAGGTATGTGAACATTTCGGTTTTCAGTTCCAAGGCACTTGCAAAGAGTATCCCTTTATTGCAGGAAATGCCCCAAATACCTAAGCCAAAAACTCTCATGCAAAGATCTTCATATGCCACAAGCATGAGTCTTATTTCCTCCACAGCTTTTGCCCAGTGCCCTCTCACATCCTTATTACTGCTGCTTCTTTATGACTTGCATCCCAATTTTTTTTGAGAGCCGCAGCGTTACATGACCCACACCTGACATCATACAATGTCATGTGAGTGACAGGTGGGCATGGCAAAACTGCCCAACAGGCTACATTAGCTTGCCTAGGGCTCAAGGGCCAGAGCTTCCCAACCCCTGTATTACATCTTTTGTCTTTCTAAGCTGTACTTCCTCCTTTAACCAAACTATAGTTTCTTGTTGTTAACACTTCAATATGTTTCTAAGTATTGTTGTGGCAAACAGATTCTTAAGTAATAAAGTTCCCATCTTTTCCCTTAGCCTGTGCCCTTCCAAGCTTCCATGCACTTTGAAATGTTCCTGATAATAATAGAATATATTCAATTTTTCTTGAATGTCTGGAAACTATTCCAGCCGACCAGCCAACCATCTCAGAGGCTATTTTGCTTTGCTTTTATGTTTTACTAGAAATCTTGTATATCTGCAGGTCAGGTAAAAGTAGCTTAAGGTCACAACACAGTTGTGTGGTCTACAGACGCTCATTAAAATCCTGATAAAAAGAAGCAAATAAAACTTTACCTAATTCATTGCTTTTGAGCACTTGCAGATTCAGTGTACATCCACTAAGATTTTTACTAATTTATATTCTTCATATTTTATGCTACCAAATTCATAGTGTATTATTTACCTGTTCATTTAAAATCCAGTAAACTGCTTCATTCAGAACTCTGGCAGCTTGTGGACCATCTTTAAGGATAGCCCCACCTGGAATGCATTACAATAATCTAATCAAGAGGTTACCAGGGCATGGCTTATTGTAGCCAGTTTATTGCAATCTGGGAATGGTTCTAGCTTGCAAACAAGGGGGAACTGGAAAAAGGCACTCCATGCTACCTGAGCCTCAAATGACAAAACGGTATCCCTATGCTACATACCTTTCCTTCAGAGAGAGTGCAACCCTATCTAGAACACAATTCCTGGACGCAATCACCCACCAACAGAATGTCCATCTTGTTGGGATTCATTCACCCCATTACAACCTTCAGGCATCTGTTAAACACCTGCGCAGTTTTACCTGATTCAGATGGTAAGGAGAAATAGACCTGGGAATCATCTGCATAGTGATGACACCATGCCCCAAATTCCCCCAATGACCTCACCCATCAGCCTCATATATTAAAAATCATGAACCCTGTGAGACCCCGCAGCACTGATACATTGATAAGGGCCTGAGTAGGAATCCCCCAAATGCATATCTCTCAGAATAACCCTGCAGGTAAGCGTGGAACCACCATACCGTTCAACTCCCAACCCATAGAGCTGTTCCACGATCAGTGGTATTCGAAGCTTCCAAGCGATCAAGGAGAAGCAATGGGTTCACATTCCCCTGTTTTCCAATAAAGGTCAGCAACCAGGGCAACTAAAGGTGTTTTGGTGCCAAGGTGGGCCTGAAGCCGGAATGCGTTGGGTCCAGATAATAAAATGAACTAGTGAGCAGTAGCTCTTTTTTTCATGGTTTTTGAGGTTGCAGCCATTGAGTGCATAATGGTTCACACTGAGATAAGCCTAACACTAGCACCTGGAACTTCCTTTTGTCATAAAGATGAAACTGGGTATAACAGGAGGACATAAGAATTGTCTTTGGAATTGCTGATATGATAGTTGTCCTGGAGTGAGAACCATGCCACTAAGGTCTAGCCTCCAATGTCCTGATCAAGATTGGAGGGAATAAAAATCAAGGAACACAGACTCTGGATAATATTTCTATCTGTCCAAGTTTGCAAATGACCGTTTCATACTTCATGGTTTAGATACATCACCTCTCTGCTAGTTGAATTCAAATAAGTCATTCCCTTTTGTCTTCCTGTTGTTGTTTGCTGCCTGAGGTACCTCTGTACCTCTAGAAGTAACAGTTTTGATATGTGCCATTATATTTCTTGAAAATTGAAGCCAGAACAAAAGATTAATAACAATAACATTTATTTATTTATTTATTTATTTATACCCCGCCCATCTGTCTGGGTTTCGCCAGCCACTCTGGGTAGCTTCCAACAGAATATAAAAAACACAATAAAACTTCAAACATTAAAAACTTCCCTAAACAGAGTTGCCTTCAGGTGTCTTCTAAAAGTCAGATACAGTAGTTGTTTATTTCCTTGACATCTGATGGGAGGGCATTCCACAGGGTGGGTACCACTACCGAGAAGGCCCTCTGCTTTGTTCCCTGTAATGTTGCAGTGAGGGAACTGCCAGAAGGCCCTTGGTGCTGGACCTCAGTGTCCGGGCTGAATGATGGGAGTGGAGAATTCTACTGAAGAAAGCAAATGTTGCTGAGAAGGTAGGCAAAGAAAGCATTGCTGGGAAATAGAATGGGGGTGATATAGCCACAACAAAAGAGCAGGGGTTATAGTTTAGAGCATTAGGAGAGAAACAAGTCATTAGCAAATCATGTGTAAATCTGAGGAATGGAGAGAGAGAACGAGGGATTGAAGCAGAGTGCTGCAGTTTTGCAGTGGGGCTGCCTGCACATCTTTTCTGATGGCATCTCAAAGGAATGCCTATAGCAATTGGAACCACATTTGAGACTTTAGCTATCATCAATTAGTTCCAGAAGAAAAGTTTTGGGTCAATTCTAGCTTAAGAATTCTTTATTTTTCAATTATTTTTTGCAGCAGTGGCCGTGCTTGTAACCAGTTTCGCATAATTACTTAATAAAGCACCATTGAATGGACATGCAAAATATTTACATATCTGTGGTGAAATAGATTTCTTCTGTCAGTTAGGAAAGAATGTCGGCAAGAGAAATGCAATCTATTTTTCAACAGAATACTTTTAAATACTGTTTTACATTTTGTATTCTTCTATTCAAAGTCACAATGGCTATGTTTTCATGAGAAACAAGTTAGAAGCCGAAGAACCTCCTGGCTGGTCAGACCAGGTCCATCTTGACAAGCATTCTGTTTCCATTAGGGGCCCGATGCAGATACTGATTTTAATGCAGACATGAATATACATGACTATAATATTTTTGGTCAAAACTACATGTTTCCCCTGTGGGTTTTTTGTGGGGGGAGCTTTATTTAACCCAAAACCAAGTGGGGAGCATATCACTTCCACAGCAGTCTAATTTTCTCAAGCTTCAGCTGGTCCATTATGTAGCACCCAGATTACTGGCTGGAGTTCTGTTTAGGACCGATATCATGTTTAAACTCATGTTTAAAACAGCTGCATTAGTCACCAGTTAGTTTTGGGGCCTAAATACATTAGTATTTAGAGTGTTTAATGATGTATGTTCTAAATATTTGAAAGACTACTTCATTCCCTACAAAACATTTTGGATGTGTAGATCAGTGGGCATGGGCCACCCTCAGAAATTTGGGGGTGGGTGTGATCCAGCAGAGGGCATTCTCTGTGGCAGATCCTAAATTACAGAATTTCCTCCCTACAGAACTGTGTCTGACACCTTCATTATATAGTTTCTCTTTTATGCTGAAGACATTGGTCTTTGCTGCCTGTGACATCTTTTTATTACCCGCCCTAGTCATGTTACTGTAATTTATTTTTAAATTGTTGTAATAATAATAATTTGCCCCCAAGTGTGTTTTTTTGGGGGGGGGCCATGGATGAGAAGATATTTGCATTTGTATATTCCACTCTTGGGTGTCAAAGAGCTTGCACAGAACAATTTGGAAAGGAAAAATATCTACTATGGAAAGAGATGTCCTCCAATGCAAACTTCCACATCAGTTTACAGCTTCTCACAACTGCGTTGGGTAAAGCAACAACAACTCTCAAAGAAACATTTACACATCTGAACATCATGTGCAGTTTGACCCCTTGTGTAACTTAGCTATAGGTCGTAATGGCTTTCCTAAATATATGAAGGATGAAAGCATAGGATGCATTTTGAGACCACACAAAATATAGAGCTATGAGGTTATAACCTTTCTCCTTTGAACTTCTTTCCTTTTCTAATTGTCAGTCCACGGGGACTCAGCTGAAAATGAGCTTAAATGCTTAATTGAGTTCAAAACCACTAGTCTCAGACTCTTCTGGAAACTGGACACCGTGCATAAACAGAAACATTAAATCAACTTGTTTTTTTTAAGGCTTTTATGGTCACATAGTGTGCTGGGTGAGGAAATCACCTCTGAAGTGAATCAGGTGTATTGTACAGAATCTGTCTGGCAAGGCTTGTTTCATTTCCTCTTTATTATTATTTTAAAATATAAAAACACAGCTAAAATAATTAAGGCATCTATGAAAAATAAGAGAACCTTGAAGATTTTTAAGTTGATAAAGCTGCAGAATTGGATGTGGAAGCCACATTTATACTACTAATATGGTTGAACTGAGTGGTAATTAAAAGCAAATGATTCCTGGATATGTTAGGAATGCTAAAGCTGAACAGAATTGATCTTATTCCAAATTCTTTACAGCAGTTTAGCGGCAGGATGATAAATCAAAGACCCAAAGTGAAAACCAGACAGATCTAAGCCAAGCTGCTAATTTGAGCACGTTTCCAAAGACTCAAAAGTTTGTTCAAGCACACAGAATGTAGCAGACTTTGCCTGCTAAAATGTCTTCTTTGTGGTCCTTAAGTAAATAGCATTTATTCACAATTAAATATAAAGACTGTCTTTATTCATAAATTCATATAAACTTCATACCCTTCAACAATATGATCCCAAATGCATGTGTGGCAGGGGAAACCCAGCCAGATGGGTGGGGTATAAATTATTATTATTACTGTTATTAAATAGTGTAGCTGCATTAGTTAAAGCAGCACTTCCTAGTGGGGTAATAGCAGCTGTTCAGTGCAGCATTTTGATTGCTCTCATGCAAAACATTTATTTCCAATTATCAGGTGGTTTTGTGAAGAAAAGAATTGAGTAAAGGTAAAGGGACCCTTCCCTGACCATTAGGTCCAGTTGTGGCCGACTCTGGGGTTGCAGTGCTCATCTCGCTTTATTGGCCGAGGGAGCTGGTGTACAGCTTCCGGGTCATGTGGTCAGCATGACTAAGCTGCTTCGGGTGAACCAGAGTAGTGCACTGAAATGCCGTTTACCTTCCTGCCTGAGTGGTACCTATTTATCTACTTGCACTTTGAAGTGCTTTCGAACTGCTATGTTGGCAGGAGCAGGGACCGAGCAACGGGAGCTCAACCAGTCACAGGGATTCAAACCGCTGACCTTATGATTGGCAAGTCCTAGGCTCTGTGGTTTAACCCACAGCGCCACATGCTCTCATGCAAAACATTTACAGTGGTAATTAAGTTCTTAACCTGAGGTACCACTGTATTTCCAAATATCAGGTTGTTTTGTGAAGAAAAGATATGAGTACGGTAGGGTAAATGAGTATGCAGTATAGGCCACGTGCAGTTGCAGCCTAGATAATTTATTTACTTTGGGCATGCCAGGGGTGGGTGGAAACACCCCACAAACAGATCAGTTGGCAGTGCCTTCTGGTTGTTGCAGTCAGGCCCCTTCAGAAGTCTCTAGGGAGATCCAGGCCAATTCTAGCTGTTAAAGAAACACAAAAACAAAATGAGCCAAAAAATAGTGGTATGTTTATATAATCAATTGATTTGAGGACACATTCATCATGTTCTGCTCTTCTGCCACCAGAACCAATATATTTTATTAATATTTATGAATATGTTAAGCTATTTAATATGACAATCTACAGCAATTAACAAACAAATTATGCCTTTACCAAATCATATATCTTATTTGCTTCAATTTGCATTCTTTGTTGGAATTCACACAAATAACGGTAAATTAGATAGATCCTGGAGTGATTCAATAACAGGACCCTTTGTTATTTGTGATTCATTAACAGGACAGTTATTAAGAATATGCACTCTTAACACAATTTAATTGTGAAGAGGTTCTGCGTGTGGTCTTTTTCTAGATTTCCAATAGCCAAGGCTACAATTACAAAGCATTATTTTACACACACTGGGGAATGCTGCACAATATTCAGTGACTCACAGCTGGCACATACTTTTAGGGATCAAGGAGACTGATTTAGACAAATGTAATTCAGAGTAGATATTACAAACTTGACCGTGTTGACCAGGAAACTCCTAGATGTATGAGAAACAGCTATGTCTTACCATTTTTGGATCACTCTGTGTGTGTGTGTGTGTGTGTGTGTGTGTGTGTGTGTGTGAGAGAGAGAGAGAGAGAGAGAGAGAGAACTTTGCTTTTGCATACTGAAATAGTGTTTTCAAAATCAATTTATCCAGATATAAATGACAAAAGAAAGTAGAATTACACATTATGACAGATGGAGCTGCTGTGTTGAATTCTCCCCTTCTGTAACACACACGTTGCAGCTTGTGGCCAGCTACCTCCTGCAGTGACATCAGCCCTCTAATTCCACCCATCAAATGATAGGGAAAGAAATGGATCCTTACTGTTGTCAGTCAGTGAAAAGCCCTGGAATATGATGGCTTCAGGCCCAATCATTCCAGATCCAGGCTGTTGCTGCAGCAGCAGCCTGTCTGCGCCTCACTTTGCACCCTGCATGTGTGGCAGGAGCTGCAGAAGCAGCAATGACCCAGCCAAGTTCTGCAGGGCTGGAGTCTTGATTGCTTCTTCTGTTTCTGATCATTTAGAATAATTCAAAGCAAGTTAAATGGTTGACTTGGAAAAGTGATCAGTTAAATAAGGCCTTTCAGAAGCATAGGAGTAGGTAGGATGCAGTTGTTATCCTTCTCAGTAGTTGCTCCCAGACTTTGGAATTGCCTCCCTAGAGAAGTTAGGCTGGCTTCCTCATTGTGGTCCTCCTGCCAGCAGGTGGAGACATTATGGCTCCAGCAGGCTTTTGGGAACTGGCTGCTTTAAATGAAAGGGCTGGTGCCATGCTGTTTTTATTGTAATTATTTGTATGGTTTTAATATACTTTATGTATATAGTTTTAATTCTATCAATTTTTAATTGTTTTTAATCCCCTCCCTGTTTTTAGCTGTTTTTTATGTGTTTTTTAATATCTCTAAGCAGCCTTGAGTCCCTGTCAGGGGAAAAGTTTGGGGTGGATGGGTAATAAATAAATAAATAAATATAAACCTTTCTCAGAAATGTTTGCTGCAACTATGAGAATGTATTCTTTTTACAGGCGAATTAGAATATGTTTTTTAAATACTGGCCTGAACTTTAAAAAAACAACTCCCTTAAACTTGTAAAATGTACTCATGAATAAAAATGGCAAGTACTATATTGATGCATATATGCAGACACTAAATAGAAATATTTCCCTTTCTTTTTTGGTACCTGGCACTTGTGCTTAACAGAAATTCAGTGCCAGGATCTTGGAAATGTCTGCAGTCTGGGCCAGGAATTTCAAGCAGAGCTGATATGGAAGCTAGTGAAGACCAGGAAGTGTGAAATAGTCTGAGATTGAAACATAAATTCTAGATCATTTCTGGGTTATAACATCAGCTCATTATTTATGTTCAAATACCTTGTGTCCTACACAATTTGACAAATCAGAATGATAATTTGATCCAAGGAAGGAAGGCAAATATGGAAATAGAAGATTAAAAATAAAAGATTAAAGAAGAGAGAACCTGCTTGAACTATTCAAGACAAGATAAATGGCTTAAGAGAGAGGTGAGGGAGAACAGCCTCTTAAGAACTGATTTCAGAGAATAAAACGGGAAGCATTCAGTCTAGATAAATAAGATGCCACAGATAGCACCAGAAACAATTGATGAATCCTCTATCCACAGGAATGTGTGTTATATCCCACACACACATTCAAAGCCACTGCCAGTGGATGTTCTCAGATTATTTTAGTGTGATTTTATTTTTATTTTTGAAATAATGCTCCAATTTTGCAACTTGCCACATCCAGGCTCAATCCACATGTATTTTCTATGGGGTGTCAAGTTGCTTTCTTAAAATATGTCAGAACATCCAGAAAATGAATGTCTCGTTCCTGTAACTTAACAGCTGACTTCAGCCATTGGAAAATAAATTAAAATCAAATGATAGCAAATGCGCCACATTAAAAAATATATTTCATAGAGTGCAAAAAATTGTAGACTTGAGGTACAGATGAGCAGGAAACAAAGCATTTAAGAAAGTCCAGTTGACACAAGTATTTCAGAGAAGACCTAGAAGGCAATGGCAGGCAATCCAGGGACCATTAGCACTTTTATAGCATTTAGATCTGCGCCTTAAACAAAATATCTAAAGACCAAGTACAAGGTTTGGATCATTTATGAAAGTCTTTCAACTGCACAAAGCAGTCATTCAGAACATGAGAAGGAGACAGGCTTTATCAGAGTCGGAGAGGATTGCAGCTATCTTTGATGTTAATGCTATTTCCTGAAACTGGCATTTTCAGTTTCTATACAGTGACCAGAGAGAAATAGAGGAACAGTACACAATTTCACATAACACCTCCCCAGTTTCTCTCACTCTGTGTCTGTCTTATTATGCCTCCCCCCCCCCCCACAAAATACTCAGGGATGCAAATATGTGTTCAGGGGCCTGGGGCTCTTAGAAATAAGAATCTGGACTCAGACAATGCTAATTAGATAGGGCATGTTTATTTTATAGTTCCTTGCTTACAGTTATGCAGACCAGTGTTCTTCCTTCCAGAATTCCCTTTGCCCCATTTCCTAAGGTGGACTATCTCATGCTTAGCTCAGAGCATTCTGAAATCCTGGTCTTGATCAAGGAATGGATTGGTCATAAACATTACATCCCTCCTTTCCCCCTATCAAACCACAAATATAATTGAAAACACAGAACACTTGAAAACATTTCTACAACTGTGTTGTAAAAACTACAACTATAACAATATTATACAACTAAAGACATAGAACAAAACCAAATAATTGCTGTATGGTTCACAATGGAACACAGTGGTTGGCCCTCGCTGGGTACCTTTGACCACACGGAAAGGAGTTGCTGGACTTGGTACAGCAGTACACTTTTTATGAAGTTGCCATCATGCCTATGAGTTCTGAGCGGTGCTGTGAAGTAGGTTAATTATAGAAACATTTCTTGTTAATTTTGGGGAACCCCTTGTGCCATGACCATTGTGCCACTTGCTGTGATTTGGATATGGCACAGAATAGAAGAGCACTGAGAGTATGTCGCGTGGCTTGAGATTGTATTGAGAGTATATTGTGTGGACACAAAGTGCATCCCACTTTGAATGGCGTTTCTGTAGCTCTCTGCTTCGTTGCAATATATGTCGTATCTCGTTGGTTCAAATTCTTGTTTTATATTGCTTCCATCTGCAGTAGCAATATATAGAACTTCTGAATGTCCCTATAAACCTCTCAACCTGCCCATTTGCTTGTGGCCAATAAGGTACAACGTTTCAGTGTTTGAATCCAGTATAGTCTGAAAATTAAGCAAAATGATGGTCCATTTTTTACTTTGAGGATATGTTAGCTGCTTCTTGTTGGAATGTTTCTGGAGCACATGCACAGTTTCAGTTTCTTTAGTGGGGCTCCCTTTCTCAATTTTCTGGACATGTATTTCTGGCATTTCATTTGCCTGAGCAGTGTCTATAGTGTTTTAGCAAGAGTCACCTGGGATTCTCATAAAATTTGCCTGAACATTATGTTGGCAGTGCATATTCTAAAACAGCTGAATAGCAGAATAAATATCAGTTGTTATATTGAATTAATAAATGAATTAATTAAATGAGGTAGCTTTCAAAAATTGGCTCTTACAGTTTTTGAATTTTGTGTTTTGGGGGCAAAATAGACTAGTGCTGTTCAACAGTATGTATGTATGTATGTATGTATGTATGTATGTATGACTTCACATTCGTTAGCTTGGCAAAGATACACTTACTTTGGTATTGTGTTCCACATACCCCTCAACTAATTACAGCCTCTTCAGCAGCTTGGATAAGCATTGTCTGAAGAGAACTTATCAGTCAATCACTTTGATATTAAAATGTGGTGGGGGGTTGTTGTGATGGCCTTTCCTTCACATTCTATCCCCTGCATCTTCTAAGAATTTGCAAAACTCTTTTCCAAAATATATACATTTGTCATTGCAAATTAGTATTGCTTCGGTAGAATAGGTGACAGATGTAGGCATGCATCTGAGAAAGACACTGTTTGCCTCATTTCTCATATTTCACAAAAATGCTAATGTTTAAATTCAAAGGGAAATGAGCTATGTTTTGCCTTCAAAGAGTTCTAAAATTGTATGGAAGCAGACAAGCCAGACGGCTTCAGCATTTTACATTTATTGGTACAGAATTGTTTCAAAGGGTCACAAAGTGAGATGTAGTTGATTTCTTCCTTGTCTAAATACCTGAACTCTTGAGTGCTTAAAAAAATGATTTTCCTTTATCATTCCCTTGTCATTATTTTGCCGTCTTAATAAACTCTGTGGACCATTTGTAAGCTTGAGTTATAATTGCATTTTTCAGGTCCCCCCCCCCGAGTTGCCTTATCCGTGTTAGCCTCATCTATGAGGTCATGGAAAGCCTGCTACTTATCACTTTGTGGGGGAGAGATGCTAGCCATTCAGTAATGTGTTCTCTCGGGACTGAGATAGCAGAGTTGTGGAACACTAGTGGGAAATTGTGCTAAATATCTATGAAAGTATTTTTACATGGCATAAGCTCCACAGCAACAGAGGGCGAAAAATCCCAGACTTTTCCATTTGTTTTAAGTTATTCTCAGATCCATTTTGGAATCAAACACCTCAAGAGTTTTCCCTTGGGCTCATGATGGGAAATCTTACCCAGAAGACCTAGACACCGATTCAAGAGCCTTTAAAATACTGAGTATAATAATCCTGACCTAACATGCCCTTCTCTGCCATTAGTTGGCTGTGCCTGTAACTCAACAATTTTATGGGCTTAATGGCTTGCTGCTAAGTACATCTTTTAAGGCTAACCAAAGTCAGCTGAATGAAACAATTCTCTTAGTCGACATGTCTAATAGGCTAAAACTGGTTGTTCTTAACTCTTTGCAATACTCTCAACTTTTCAAACAGTTCTTGGTCTGCAAACATCATCTGGTATAAATCAACACAGTTCCTTTAAAGTTTTTGGATCGAAGGTTATTTACACCTGATGAGAATCTGGACATTTTAGTTTGAATGGTGCCAGGCTGAAAAGAAAAAGAGGCAACAGGAAGAGAAATCCTGAAATAATTTTTACTTTAAACTTACTAAGATCATATTAAAAAATTATGGTGCATTAACCAGGGAAAAAAGATTGGTCTCAGATAAGTTAAGGAAGAGAACAGAAATGTGTGTGGTGTTTATATAATACATCCAAAGCATGCTAAAATGAAAGCTAGAAGTATTGGTTCCCAGGCGCCAAGTGAGATATCACCCAAAAATGCAATCGTTCTGCATACCATTTGTGGGTTGATTTCTTTTTCTCTGTGGCATCACTAAAAGAGGAAGGAGTAGGATAAGGAACGCTTCAAGGCCAGGATAAGAACAATCATTTCCTTTCCTTTTGCTCCCATTATGAAAAGCTCAATTGTTTCATCTTACTGCTTTTATCATTTGGGAAAGGATACATTTAGCACATTGCAGCTCCAGATAAAGGAGGCATCAAAGGTACATGCAACATATAAGGAAGAGAGAGGAACGTTTTTCCAAACTGCTCTCTATTTCCACTCATTAAGATTCAGATTTTTAATGCTTGTTTTCACCTAAGGATTAATATGTCACTTTAAAATCTGTACACCTCATACATTTTTTGTATTTTTTATATTAAGTTATATTGAATTTGGGCAGGAGATTCTGGGAGTTAACATGGTATTTCATTAAAACGCATAGAAGGAAAAAGAATGTTTGAGCTTTGGGGTTGATTAAACACAAAGAAAAGAAGATCAGTCACCTGAAGTGAGAGTAGCATGAAGAATTTTATTATTTTCATCTGTGGGATGAGAACATGAAAGTGATTAATAAATATGAGGTTCAGTGACTGGAAAGTAATGTAGAGTATTCCAAGACATTCAAGATAGTTTGTTGGCTTTCATCCAAGGAAATATATTGCATGTCTATTTTGCTTAATAGGACTTTATAGCAAGGCAAATTGTCTCATGCATTCCTGGATTCCATCTCTCCTTGCCTGAAGCAAGCCAGTTATATTCACCTTAAAACTCAGGGTCTGGAACACACTGGCACTGGCTCTTACTGCCACAAGCTATATTGACTGGGCCACAAACTTCTGCCACTGTTTTAGAGATGGTTTTCCCTTGGGCATGCAATGATTTTGCAAGTCTTCTCCTGTCTTACAGCTGTACTGAGGCAGATTGGAGCGTGGTAACCAATCAAAAAACAGTTCAATTTTACATGCTCTATCTCAATCAGATTTTATTGCAGCATTGCATAGTAAGGACAATTAACATTATCTTGCAAAAAAAGGTACCGGGGGCCAATTCATCTGTTGTTCTTTAATAGGGCACTATATCTAGGACAAATATCTCTTGAGGAGTGGTGTCATTTTTCCTTGGTGGAAGTATGCATGTCTCATACAGTTGTCTATTTCCTGTGTTTATTCTGGAGGTAGGGCTGTTTCACGTTTTTTTCTACACAGAAATTACCATAGAAAATCCATATGCAATACAACATGAAACAAATGTGCACAGTGTCCATTCTGGGCATAGGAACCATTATTAATATATGGCCACCATGTATGGCTTGCCTAAGATTTTTTGCTACTCTTAACAACTCCACTTTAAAATCTGAAATTCCACTACAGAGAATGCTGAGGTACAACTCTTGGGTCATGTGGTGCTTCAGCCAAACTCCACAAAACTTGCTACCTCAAGCAACTGCTAGGTTTGGTTATGCTGTATTTCCAACCCTCTATAAGCCTTCTTAAACCACATATTCTGGAAGCAAGCCCATTCCCATAGAGTGATTGGAACTAGAATGGTCTTAACTCCCTCCAATAAAAGGAAGCTTTCCCATCTACCATCACTCTCCAGGATTAAGCTGCAGTCTGGATTACAGCACTTGATAGAAGATGCAGCCTGCATTAACTCAGGAAAGAACAAGAAAAGCCGGACTTGCAAGGGAAGTTTCAGCAAAACTAAAACTGACCGGAGTTACACAGGGGCTTCTCGTAATCGTTTTTTTGTTTAGTCTTCAATGTTTTCATTGCTGCAGAGCCACAGTGGAGATCCCCACGAGGGGCTGAAGATTTTAATCAATAGTGTCGCTTAAATGCTTTGTGCTAAGATACAGTTTTAGGCACACTTCAGTACTTCAAATTCTTCTATTCCCTTTTAAGAAAGTTACTTATTCTTCTAAAAATATAAATATTATGCAGATACGGTGCATAATGATCCACATTCTCAACTACTCAGTCTTGCATTTCCCTCTTTTGTTCATTTCGCAATTAACATTTGGTATCTGGGAGGTGGAGACAACACATGGCAACTGCTTCCTGTTAAAATACCCAGAGCTCTTCTAAAGACTAAAAAAAAAAATATCAAAGGTATACTGAAATAGGCAGCTGCTTGCCTGGGACTGAACAGCAAGGCTTGGGTCACAAAAGAACAAGTGTGTGTTCAAATAGAAATGGCACGACATATTATACGGTTTGTTTTTCCAAGAACGCTGTAGGATAGTAAATCATTCACTGGAATAAATGAATATGGTTATACTGAAAAGCATTATTAGTGCAAAAGGTGAAAAGAGGTATGGAAATACATTACAAATCTGGCCATGTATCAAATGTGGTTGCAACTGTGTAGAACCTGCAACGAGAAGGAAAAGACTTCCATTTTGCACAGCACAGAAGCCCCAGAGTCTGCCTTGGTTGCCTTAGCAAACCTTGGAAGTAAATATTACAGCACAAGTCAGGGATGCGAACCTGTTGTGGGGGCTGATGAAATTTGGAATCCAACAGCCTCTGGAGGATCACAGACTCCTCATCAGTGGCATAAGGTCACACTTGCATCCCAAGGGCTATTACAATGGCTAAGGTTGCTTGCCAAATTTTGGTTCTGTAAAAGAATCTGCCTGTTAAACTTTTATGCAGTGTAAGTGGAACACACAGAAATTCTGCCATTATTGTTTTCCTGCATGCTATAGAACCAGTAAGAGAACATGCCTCTAGGAGCTTCTAGACTGGGGACTTTTTAGCACTACAGTGGTACCTCTGGATGCGAACGGGATCTGAATTTTAGAATTCTACAAATGTTAGCATGCATAAAAGCAGAAGCTAATTTTTTTTGTTAATTTATGAAATGGCATGAAAGAGCCCAAGATAACAAAAAGGGGGAACTTTAAATTCCGTGGCCATGATCAGTCAAGGGAAGGTGGTAACTCTTGCTGTTGACACATAAGGAAAAGCGTGTTTCACTTTCACCTACTCTTAAGTACTATCTGTACAAATTGCTTCCCATAAAACATCCCAAAGTGATGTAAATATGCTCAAGTGTTTGAATATGCCCAGTGCAATTAAGTGGGGGGGGGGAGCTTCCCCTTCCATTTCATATTACAAAATGATTATTTTTATGTACTTGTACCCTGCCCTTTCCCCTGCTTTTGAAAGTTTCCAGTTTCAAAAATATGCGTCTGATGGCCCACCCATCTCTTAGGCACTCTAAGTACTGAACCTAAAAGGAAATTTGATTTGCTAGCAACTGACTATGTGTCTTACAAAGTTTCTATCAGTTTTACAAGGTTTCTGTTGGTTTTGTTTCAGAACCATGACCATTCATGTATAGCATGCAGGATCATCTATCGGTCAGATGAACACCACCCACCAATTTTACCTCCAAAGGCTGATTTGACTATTGGATTACATGGGGAATGGGCGAGCCAGCGCTGCGAAGTGCGTCCTGAAGTGCTCTTTCTCACCAGGCACTTCATCTTCCATGACAACAACAATACCTGGGAAGGTCATTACTATCATTATTCTGACCCAATCTGCAAGCACCCCACTTTCACCATCTATGCCAAGGGTCGTTACAGCCGGGGAGTACATTCATCCAGAGTGATGGGCGGAACAGAATTCGTGTTTAAAGGTAAGATCATTAGTTTTCAACCAAAGCTCTTTCCAAAGTACAGCATAATTTTTATAGCACGTAGCAAAACACATATGTGGAGGGATTAATATCATACCAAATTGCCCCACATGTTCTTGGATATCCATCTCACAGTAGACCAGCTCAGTTTCTTGCAGCCATGCAATGCTTTATTTAAGCTTCCTTCTGCCTTCAAGTAGGACTATATTCCCGTAGTTCTCATGATTCCTGCCTTGTGCTGCTGCACTAAGTTGAATGGCCCAGACTGGCCAGGGAAGGGGAATCAGTAAGCATTATCGGGTAGTTTGACAGATAGGAGCCAGACTCTCAGATTTCTGTAATAGACCACCTCTTTCTGTGACGCTTGTATGATGCTTTTGGGTGGTCTTTGGAAGAGGGGTTGGGCAGTTTCTAAAGCCTTTAAAAGCTGTTACACATCTTTGTTCTGGGTCCTCACCTCCTTGCAGGGGTGGAAGCTCTGTTGCAAACGAAAATAAAGATCTTCCTTCCTTCTAAAGAAAGAAAGAAACTTGCTGCAAAGCAGCAAGGTCAAATAGTGTCAAATAAAGGGCAAGTACTTAAAGCTTGGAAGTAGTGTAAGACAGACTTGAACTAATTACCAAAAAATCAAGTTAAGATACCTGTTATGAAACAATGGAATTAAATTCTAAAGTGTTGTAATCACAGCCAACTGTGTTAAATAAATATAAAACGTGTATCAGTCACCTTAAAGAGAGCAAGCAGTTCTCCTTGGCTTTTAAATAGAACCCCAGGGATAGCCGAGCTACAAACAGTTCTTAAAATGAAAAAGACACATGGCAACTATAAAATGAAATGTGTTGTGCCTAAAGAGTAAAGCTGCAAGTTCTTTTTCCAAAATGGTGAAAGAACACACCAAACTCCTGCAGAGCTGAGGAACAAAAAGCCTTCACTCCTAACATCCATGACAAACTTGGAGACCTTGCCCATCACTTTTATAAAGGCATTCCTGGGTTTGTGATCAATTGGTGGGCATTCCAGTCTTAAGCATAGACCATAAAAGCTAACCTATGAAGTCAAAGGATGAAGTCAAACATAACAAATCTAAATAGGGCTGCTTCTGTGTTGAAATGACATGCAAGGGGGCCTGGATTTTTGTTAGGATTTGTTGAATTGTTCATATAAATTTATTAAAATATGCCACCCAAACTTGAAACTGGACCAACTTAAGTTTGCTTGGAATTCCCTTTCTTGAGGTGCTTTCAGTTCAGCTGGAACTCAAAACAAAATTGTTTAAATTACTTTTAAATTAAATCATAAAATCATAGAATCATAAGAGTTGGAAGAGACCACAAGGGCCATCGAGTCCAACCCCCTGCCAAGCAGGAAACACCATCAGAGCACTCCTGAGATATGGTTGTCAAGCCTCTGCTTAAAGACCTCCAAAGAAGGAGACTCCACCACACTCCTTGGCAGCAAATTCCACTGTCGAACAGCTCTTACTGTCAGGAAGTTCTTCCTAATGTTTAGGTGGAATCTAGTCAGTCTTTTCATGATTAGGAGAACTTGGCTGATATAAATCAAGGTTGTTTTTTTAAAGCTCTGAAGTTTATAGATTATCCATTCCTCAAGATGTTGCACACATGAAGCTTTAAAAGTGTGGATAATATATGATGGTAGTGGAGCTGACATTTTCTGAGGTTTTTGGTTTCCATTTGGAACTGGTTACTTCATTAGCTTTCTGAGCAAGTATATGTTAAAAGACATAGCTTTATATCCTGGCTACAGAACAATTTTTAAATGAAATTTGAGTGCAGTTTTATAGCGTCCTCTCTCATGAAAAGCAACTTGGTTTTATTTGTAGGCTTGCCTGGGGCAGCAGGGTTGTGAAATAGAAACTGTTTAATCTCTTGCCTTTCCTATCTAGACATCAGTCTTTTTTTCTTTTTTGGTGGAACTTGCTTTCCCCCCTCCTAGAAGACTTAATTATGTGAACCAAAGTTAGTTCATTTGCTTAGCATGCCCACTACACAGAAGCTAAAAATGTTTGTGAAGATAGAACAAGTATCTGACCCAATTTATTGTCCCCAGCTCATTATAGAAATACATTTGAGTTTTACACTTTGAAAAATAGGCGTATTAAAATGTTTGATGACATTTAGAGGCTTAAAAAGAAATCAAGAGCATCAAACTGGAAAAATTATTTATAATTAATTTCAAATAAATTTGCACCTTATTTTAAAAAGTGTATTGATTTTTGTGCTTACTTTAATGAAGCTTTATTGAACAACTGGATAGCTGGGGGTATATGTGTATGGAAACAAATTTCCATGAATGTATGTTTAAAGCTTGGATTGAGAGCAAAGTACTGGATCAGCACCCTGTGGCTGTTTTCCCTGTAAAATAACTATCAGAATTAAGTGTGCTCTTTAAAAAATAAAAATAAAAAATGTTAAATGTAGTTTTATGTTATATTTAGATCAGAGATCAGAACCACTCTAGTAATCACATGATCTAATCTAATGAGTAAAGGTATAAAGTAATTGTTATTGTTCCTAAATCAAAGATTGCAGCATGTTCTCACCTTTGATGCTATTTTATCTAGCATGTGCATAAGGAAGTTAGGGCAATAATAGACAACCCTCCAATCCAGAGGCTGCTTATGGGTACAGGAACTCCATTTTAGCTCAGAACTCTCTTGCTTATAAACATGTGAATGCATAAGCTGTGATTCAAGTCCTCCATTGAAATTAATATCAAAGAGATGTAAACACTGCTAACATAATTAAATGCTTGCATTGGTCATGCTCATTAAAACAAGAAAAAATGAGGATATGTTCATGCCTTGCTGAAATATTTGTTCATGGCCAAGGTTCAGTGAATCAATCAAGATTGGCAGTTTGCCGTCTTCCTTGTTGTAGCTTTTCCACGCACATACGTGTTACACAGCAGTTGCATAATTTCATATTTTAAGGAAATTTAAACCTTTTCTTAACGTTGTACAATAGCTGTAAAGCAGTCATGTTATAGTCCAGTGACAATGAGAAGTGAAGCGTGCCAAGGAGATACATATTCAATACAGACCAGCAATGGTTACTGTAGAAGAGGAGGTGATGCAACCTGTTATGTATATCATAAGGTAGAGTAGCATAGTAAATCTAGGTCATGCCCAAGGACTAATTCCTTTGAACACTGTCAAGGCTGAACTCCCAACAGCAACAGAAAGCAAACCACCACCACACTAGACAATTTTGTTACTCAGGGAGTGAGCAAAAAAGCATTTGCTCATTGTGGGGCAGGGAGCATGGTTCTCTTGGCTGAGGTCACCTATCTCAGCAGTTCAGGAAGCCCTGTCCTCACTCAGATCAGCTTTGTTTTCCATGATGTCACCACATTCACTACATTATCCCTGGTTCAATAGGAAGAGAGGAGAAATGAACGGCAACATACAGGCATATAAAGTGACCATAAAGATAAAATGCAAAAACAAAATGGCTACCTTGAGAGCTTGTTTTCTGGCACCGCTCAAATTATTGAGCATTGTTACCACACTGTGAATTCAGCAGTGTCATTAAATCTATGCACAGTCGTACCTCAAAAGTCAAAACGCCTTGCGAGTCTAACGTTTGGCTCCCGAATGTCACAAACCTGGAAGTGAGTGTTCAGGTTTGCAGACGTTCTTTGGAACCCAAACATCCAACGTGGGTTCCGCGGGTTCCGATTGGCTGCAGGAGCTTCTGCAGCCAATCAGAAGCCGCACCTTAGTTTCTGAACATTTTGGAAGTCAGACAGACTTCTGGAACGGATTCCGTTCAACATCTGAGGTACAACCTTATCTGGTTTATATTTTGCTCACTCTTAAAATGACTTATGATTATTTTCATCTAGTTAAAACAGAGAGCACTGCTACAAGAAATTCCCACAATAAGCCAACCATGCACCTTACTAGTGTTCCACTACTAAATACTAGATCTGAGAGCATATTTATTCAACTCACTAACTTGTGGACATTGTTCTAAGAGCCACTAGCTTAGATAAATTTAAAAGGGGATTGAGACACAGTCAGAAGAGGATAGATCTGTTAATAGTAATTAGTTATGATAGCTAAATGGTTTACAGGAAGCTTACCTGTGAAAAAGCCGTTGCTGTGGGCAAACAACGGGAATGGCTGTCGCTTGTACTTTTCTTAAAGCATCTGGCTGGGCACTGCTGGAACAGGATGCTGAAACAGGATGCTGAAGTAGAAGGGCCCAGGAACTAATGAGCAGGGCTCTTCTTATGACTTCACTTGCAACTCTTACTGGTTTTGGTTTTAAACCCCTTTTTTCTTTCTTTCCATACACTTGAGTTACTCTTCACATTTATAAAGGCTCAGTTCAGAAGCAAATGCTGTGTCTTTCAAGGTCAACGGGTTTAGAAACTTCTACAGAAAATAATCAAGCTCTTCCTGAAATAGAAATCTGGCTGTTGACAAAATCATATTACCTCAAGGCACAATTAACAGTCCCTTCTTTGTTTTTTTGCAGTGAATCATATGAAGGTTACACCCATGGACATAGCTACTGCCTCTCTACTGAATGTCTTCAATGGAAATGAGTGTGGGGCAGAAGGATCCTGGCAAGTTGGGGTGCAGCAAGATGTTACTCACACCAACGGCTGCATTGCTTTGGGAATTCGCCTGCCGCATACAGAGTACGAGATCTTCAAAATGGAGCAGGATGCCAGAGGGAGATACTTGTTGTATAATGGCCAGAGACCCAGTGATGGATCCAGTCCCGACAGACCAGAAAAGAGAGCCACCTCATACCAAATGCCCTTAATTCAATGTACTTCATCCGCACCAAGAGTAGATGAAACTTTAGAAGAAAACAAACTAGGATGGTACAGCACTGGAGCACCAGCAAAAAATCCCTGTGCTTTTGTTTTGGTTATGATGCTGGCTGTTAGTACTGTGCCAACGTTGGGCATTTACAGCTAGAATTGCATTTTCAAATGACTCCTATCAGGGCAAGTGTAGGACTTAGGCTACATGGGGAGAAGATGTCATAAAGCATCTTAACAGACAAAAAAAGGACATTTTCTTGATGCCTGAAGAACTGTTGTTCCTTTTATCCTCCTTGAATCATGAATAGCACCAGTTTGTTTCTGCTTTGAACGTCATCCAGTCTGATCCATGGCCTGACATGACTGCACAACAGTAATTGCACTTTAAAACTGCAGTTCTTCACCCTTAACCCTGTCTTCAGTTTGTTCTTTGGAAGAAAAACTTATTGGGCTGAACTATCTTACACAACTTTTCATCTACCAACTGTGCTGTTGCAGTTGCTCCTACTCCCCAAATCAGTTTCATCTTTGAATTTGATTATCTAGAATTATGCTTTTATCGTATTGTGTCAATACTGATAAACTGCATTGTTCTTATGTTACAGTGTATATATGTATATATGAAAAATCCAACTAAGGATGTATCTTAAATACACTTTTATAGAGTTTACATAAAATATTAAATGATCTTTAGGATCAAGAATGCTGAATGAAAAATCTCAAATTAAACCTGCACAGATAATTTAAATGATTGTATATATAGGTGGTGAATTTAAGAATAATCAAGAGATTTAGAGTGACATATGGCGCCAATGTTCTTACTAAGTTGCCCAACTTATCACAGTTCAAAGCAATTTCAGGGGTCCACCAACCACTTTCCACCAACTTTGAAAAAGCAAAAACAAAGGGAAGAAAGCAACAAGATCTCTCAATTATAAAAACCAAGGTGAGTTATACCATATCTTCATAAGAAATTCAGGATAGTGGACTGCTTGCCAAATGCAATTCACTTGACATTCATTTTATTAGACTGGGCAGTTCAATAAAGCAAGCAAGGCTTAATCTTTATCTTTATATATTTATTTTTGCAAGACTTTTTTTAAAGAATTCATAATAAGTTGTGGCAAAGAGTGGAGTTTAACTAGGAGCGGGATGCTAGCCAAGTCTGTTTCCTTTGGTTAGTGGACAAATTGAATATTAAATTATTCCTTTTTTCACTGGGAATGGGACAGGGGGTCATGTAAACTCCATTGCTTTAAATCAGGGACAGGGAAACCTATCGCTTTCATATTATTGGACAGAACCCCAGCCAGCATGGTCATTGATGATGGGAGTTTAGTACAGCTACATCTGGAAGGACAAATTCCCCACCCGTTTTAAATTCACAGTAGCCTCTTTACATAATGCCACAATGACAAGGCCAGGAAACACCGAATCAAAAGATACTCTCCCTAAATATCATCTTATTTAAAACCAGCAGTTTGAAGAACAAATTATCTCTTCTCTTTCATGCATGTGTATTCACATATAATTTATTGACATGTACAAGTGGGACAAGTTTCAAATCCAGTGGTGAAAAATAGCAATGAGTAAACCAAGCCACGGTGTTGGGTCCCTTAGTATAATAGGAAGTGTTCTGTGATAAAATACAAACTTACAAATTGGGACGCATGATAAGAAGGAAAGGAGCTCCAGAGGGAAGGTGGCATAAAGAAAAATTACTTTTCTCCCTTCTGTACATAGAAGCCTCCATAAGCTCAGAGTCTTCTATCGACAAAGGGACACAACTATATACAACCTGTGGTAAGACAACAAACAGAAAGTGAGGGATGCAACTGAGTCTACAAAATCTCGGAAAAGGGACCATTCTTACCAGCAGAATTACACTTATAACATATAAACATCATTCACTGGAAGCTGCTGCCATGGGCTTGCTTTCTCCACTTGTTATTTTTTACCATCTGCAGAAGTTAAAGGGGAACTCATTTATGCTGAAGTAAGCAAAGATACAATTCAGATAGAGATCTTGGACTTTTGACAATGACAGTGAAAAGCACCATGTGAAACACCTTTCCCCCCCACATCTGCCATAACTAGATGTGAGAAACCTCTGCACATATTTGGCTCTGGGCTGCAGATTCTTTGACTGTTCTGCCACAGGGTAGATTAGGATTCCTGAATTGGGAATCTGCTACAAAGCTTCACCTGTCCATCAGCCCTCCCTGCCACTTAGAATAATAGAATCTCAGAATTGTAGAATTTGAAGGGACCCCAAGGGTCATCTAGTTCAGGAATATCAAATAAATCATACATGGCGTATGGCTGCCCAACTTCTACTTTAAAACCTCCAATTTCCTCCTTAAATTGTGGCCCTCAGAACTGGGCACAATACTCCAGGTGTGGCCTGACCAAGGCAGAATAGAGCAGGACTTACTTCCCTTGATTTGCTCCTGCATAGCACTGTTGAGTCATGTTAAGCTTGGGGGGTCCTTTCCACATGTACTACTGACAAACAAGATGTCCCCCATCTTATAATTGTTCATGCCTAAGTGTAGAACCTTACAATTGTCCTTGCTGAAATCCATTTTGCCAGTTTGGGCCGTTTTCCAATCTGTTAAGGTCATCTTGAATCCTGATTCTAATGCCCCTGAATACTTTCATCCAAGTCATTTATAAAGATGTTGAGCAACAACAGGCCCAGGACAGAACCCTGTGGCATCCCATTTGTCACTTCTTTTCCAGGATGACAAGAAACCATTCGTGAGTACTCTTTTGGTTTGGGCAGTCAACCAGCTGCAAATACACCTAACAGTTACCTCTTCCAGTCCACATTTTGCCAGCTTCTCTGCAAGAATATCATGAGGGACTTTGTCAAAAGCCTTACTGAAATCAAGATACACTATGTCCACAGCATTCCCCTGATCTACCATGCTTGCAACTATTTTTTTAAAAAATGACTCTTCTGGCATGACTTGCTTTTGAGATACACATGCTGGGTCTTTGTAATCAAAGCATCTTTTAATTATCTGTTCTAGGGCATTTCCTGGTAAAATGTTAAGCTGACTGGTCAATAGTAACCTGGGTCTTCTCCCCACCCTTTTGAAGATGGGGACATTTGCCTGCCTGGAGAACAGGTTAAATACTTCCGCCTTCTGCAAAGACTTCATCTGTTCTCCAAGAATTCTCAAAGATTATAGACACAGGCTCAGATATCAAATGTGCAAGCTCCTTTACTACTCTTGGGTGCAGCTCATCAGGCCCTGGAGATTTGAATTCCTTACCACCTGGTTTACTGTCTTGAGCTGCAGCTCCTCCCTCCTTGCATTGTTCATGCTTTCATCAGGTTAGGCACTGCTTTCCTTTAGGGTGAAGGCAGAGGAAAATAGGTGTTGATCAGTTCCGCCTTCTGTCACCCAATAGCATTTCTCCATCTTCTCCATGAAAGAGATCTACTACTTGCTTGTTCTTCCTCTTGCTTCAAACACAACCAAAGAAACTTATTATTATTTTAAACCTCTCTTGCAAGCCTGAATTCATTCTGAGCTTTGGCCTGCCTGACCTTCTCCCTGCAACTGTATACTCTTCCTTCCTGGTTTCTCCCTCCTTCCATTTCTTATACATTCCCTTACACCTCAGCTCATCTGTAAGCTCCTTATACAGCCACACTCGTTTAGGTGCCTCCCACTTGTTGCGAATTGTCTGCATTTGTGCCTTCAATATTTCACCTTTAAGAATCACGTACTGGGCTCCCTTCTCTTCTGAGTATTTCTGACCACAGTAGTTCCTCAAGATTTTTGAAAATAGCCATCTTAAAGTCCAGAATGCATGTCGGACTACACTCTGTTTTCTCTTGCCTCTGAGGACATGATCAGTTCCTCCCAAGGTTCCCTGTACTTTCACTTCGTTGATCAGTTCCTTCCTGTTGATGAGTACCAGGTCCCCTTGCTGCTGCTTCCACTTTCTGGGAAGTGAGGGAATTGAGGAATTTGTTGGATGTTACATTATTGGCAGAGTTTCAGTTCCAACAGATACTGAAATAGCTGGAAGTCTCCCATGACTATACCACTCCTTTTCAATAGTTTGGTAAAGTGCTCTAGGAAGGCACCGTCCAGGTTTGAAGGCATGTTTGATTGGGAAGTTGGAACAGAGTAGAGCTGGGGGCAAGTTTGAGATTTTAAGGTGGTTGTATATTTGCATAAAGCCAAGGGTGTGTTTTTTAAAAAAGATATTTTATTTTTGTAACATTAAAAAACTATTTTTTCTTCCCAGTTTTCTTCTCTAAAGTGCCAGGGAAGTTTCAGTACTTGTTGAAAATGTTGGTTAAATAAAGAGTAAATGAAACCAAAATTCTTGGAAGTCTTCTCAGTAGTTTTTTCTGTATTCAATAGTTGTATCCACCAAGCTGAAGAATTAACTATAAGCTCTTGCTGTGTGCATGTGCACAAAGTTTATATTTCATATTGAGTAACTATTATCTACAGCTGTATATCAGGCCATATAAAGTTAAATATAAATCTTGTTTGATAGCAAGTAGCAATTTAATCTGAGTTAAATGGTTCATACATCATTAAGCTTATTTATCATAAACAGGGCACACTCATATAGCTGGGGGGTAAGCATTCAAGCACTTTTCTTTTTCTGAGAGTTTTTTTTTTCAAAAGCTCCAAACTGATCTTTAATTTCCCTTGGCATTAAAAACAGCAACACAATCCTGCCATGTAAGCTTTCATCCCTAACTAAATGGAGCCCAATACTTTTAAAAAGCTTCTTTTCAACACTAGTAATCACAAGTATTCCACTTGGCTTCTGAAAATCTCAAGCCACATTAGTTATGGGTCACACAGTGCAGCAAGTTGTAGGCACACAGAGAAAAAGTTTCCCTGCATTTACACCATTCAGCAACTACTGCACAAATCCCTAAACTGTCCATAGTGGTTTAATCAAGTAGTCATACCTTGGGTTACAGATGCTTCAGGTTGCGTTTTTTTGGGTTACGGACCCGCTGAAACCCAGAAGTACCGGAATGGGTTACTTCTGGGTTTCGGCGGTCGCGCACTTTGCGCAAAGCGCCGAATCGCAACCCACACTTGCGCAGACACACCACTGTGGGTTTCGAACGCTGTGGGTTGCGAACGTGCATCCTGCACGTTACTTAATGCTTACACATTTATTTGCATTTACAAGTTAACCCTTCCCAAGTCATCAGGGCAGATAATAGAAGCAGATTTTAGAAATGCAAATATAGTATGCATTTGCCTAAAATAGTTGGGATGTGGGAGACAAGCACAAGTCCCTGTTAAGAATCCAAAACCGCTCACAAAAATTAATTCAGATTGGAGGTTGCTTAAAGGCCTGCAATAAACATGATGTATAATAAAACACTGCCACCTAGTGGTAACTTCTTGTCTCAACTCTGAAGAAGACTTCAAAAGTTAAGAGCTCTTCGCCTGCAAACACAAATGGAGAATTATTATTTTGGGGGGATGGGGTCTTTGTATGAAACTCCATGGAAAAAGTCAAGCAGGTTTTATGAGACTAGGGAATTACTACTTCAATATTAAGTCTCTCAAACATTGTTATAAGCTAGCTAGTTCTAAGATGTTCTGTTTAAAACTGATTGCAAATAGAAAACTCTGCTGCTGTGGAAGGATCACATTTTGAAGAATCAAAAGAATTAGGTATTCTCATTTTCTTTTCAAAACCTCATAATAAAAGTACAACTATTGTTTACCTTTGTACATGTTCTCTTTCTCATAAAAACCTTTAATTCAGGAATGCAATGCAACACAAAGTGGGTTAAGATAGGAATGCTATGAACAATTAAATTACATCTGAAAATGTGGAATATACTTTAATGTTTCATGTAATCTACATCCTAGTCAAGCAGTATTAACTTTTTAAACTAGCCATTCTGGTACAGTGTAAAAGAGAATTAAAGTAACTTCTATCAACTCTTTCAAGCTGGCATACATATATACAAACTTCACCAATTAGGAAAATTTCCAGGTCTCGGAAAGAATAGCTAATCAACAGCACTTTCTGCTTTCCAACTTTCAATTAAGGGAACCCAAAACAGTTCTTGGCAGCGTAGATGACTAACACAGACATTCTGACGTCTTCTCATCTGCACTGAAACTACTTTCAAAGCCAACACTTTCAGTGATTTAAACCAAAACAGAACATACAATAAAAAGTTAAAGTAATTCAATTGCCTAGCATTAAAATGTAATTCAGCTCTTCAGTGTATCAACAAGTCTTGAAAGCCAGAATACAGTTTCGTAATTGCTCCGTTGACTCCCATAAATGCTTTTCATAAGCCACTTTGCTACCAACACTTGAAAGGTTTGGAGCTTAATGTCAAGGACAGCATGTTGATGGTGCCCTGAACTTTCAGACAAATGGTCTGCAAACCAATAGAATGCTTAAATAAAGTACTTTTTTCCATTACAGAGTAGAAACAGTTTGTTATATTCAGAACTTAATTACGGTGATGGAAAGCTAAGTCAAGAAGCAGTTGATAATTTTATTGATAATTTCACTGCTTCGGGTCGGGTGATTCACACAGCCAAATTTATCATATAATCCAACTAATGAAGCTTTTTATGTATCACAAATAAAACTTATACTATGAAAAGAACTATTGTTGATAAGGATCCCTCCAACAGGGCCTCAGTACCATGCAGAACTGCCTATATTAGTTCATTTCATTTAATCCAGTGATCCTAAGAGAGTACAGTAGAAAGAAGAGCCAATTTCAGCAGCTGTCAGATCAAATATCAAATATAAAAAGCACTTTTCAGTGGAATGTAGTGTTGGCATATTCGTGGCTCTACCACTAAGCTTCTGCATTATCTTGTACAATTTTCTAAGTTGAAGCCTTGAATTTCAATACCTTTCCTGTCGTTTTCCCTATGTTCAAGGTGCGTTACAACACTTAGAAGAGATAAAGCTCAAAATAATACGAACCCATATTTTAAGAAAATGCTTAGTCTCAAGAGTGAGACTAGCAGATAGATTGTGTGGTCAAGAGAATACGTGCACACAATTTGCAGTGCTGAAGTACCCAGCAGATAGCATTCCTGGGCAACTAGCAAACAGCAGGCAAAAGGAGCTGAATCTGGGATAACCACATTAAGCTGGCTATTGAAGACCACTTTTATTTGAAGTATAACAATTTCCTCCCTCAGCAATTTCATGGGTCAACTTCAAACAACCTACTTAGATACGCTGCAATAAAAATAAAAACTATTATGAACAAGGGGCCTAAGAATATATAGGGCCATGATGGGATCCAAAGTATATTTTAGATTACAAATTGAAAGTTTAAAAATATGCAAAAGAATATAAACAGAAAGTAAGCATTCTTCAGTTTACATTATTTGTCCTTATGTCAAGATTTCAATTTCCAAACCCAACAAACAGCAGGTGGCAGCAAAGCAGACTAATAAGGTGGTAGAAGTGCAAGAGAGAAAATCCCAACTCCGGTCTCATCCCAAACAGAAAATCCAAAATATCTATCAAGGCATTTGTGCCTATTAACCTGGTTATCCTAACCTCTCCCTTTCCCCCTCCTTTGTTCCCCCAACTGTAGCAGCTGTGACAAAATATTAATATTCTCATTAATAACTACCTGGATTCGGTAGTTCCAAATCCATCATGAATATAGATTTTTCATATTACCGGTACCCAAGACACCTGATATATGTAATACTTGATGCATCTGAATTCCACCAAATACAAAGAAATTACTTCCATTGTTTATGAACAAGTAGACATCCATATCTCAGGTAAGCAAACTGTTCAGTGTCCCAGTTTGATGCTTAAGACAAAAATCAACCACTAACGTCAATTTTCTCTCCATGGCTAAGATTTCTGAAGTTCAGAGTTTATGCTAACATAACCTTAAAGGCAAAATATTTTATGAGAATGTTTACTAGTAAAAATACTTTTATGTGAGCATGTTGAATTTGTAATCATTATGTCCCTTCTAGAAAAAGTTTCACTGATTTGGGGATATTAACTCAATTGTCTGAAAACATTTTGTGATAACCATAAACTAAAATATAGTGATCAGGTTTTTCTCCCGGGGGGGGGGGGAATCTATACACTATGATGGACGGCAACTTCCATCAAAGCCTTTCTTGTGTAAGAAATAAAACTATTAGAAAACAAACATTCTTGAAACACCTATTCATCTTACACACTTACAATATTAGGTACCAGCCCAGAATTTTTGCAGCAAGGTATCATTTGATAACCACCTGAGAAATTGCAAATACAACCAGGGTCTCTTCTTCTTATTCTTCTTCTTATTATTATTTATAGCCCGCTCATCTGGCTGGGTTTCCTCAGCCACTCTGGGCAGCTTCCAACAGAATATTAAACAGAATAAAACTTCAAACATTAAAAACTTCCCTAAACAGAGCTGCCTTCAGATGTCTTCGAAAAGTCACGATTGTTGTTTATTTCCTTGACATCTGATGGGAGGGCGTTCCACAGGGTGGGTGCTACTACCAAGAAGGCCCTCTGCTTAGTTCCCTGTAACTTGGCTTCTCGCAGCAAGGGAACCGCCAGAAGGCCCTCGGCACTGGACCTCAGTGTCCAGGCTGAGCAATGGAGGTGGAGACACTCCTTCAGGTATATTGGGCTGAGGCCGTTTAGGGCTTTAAAGGTCAGTAATTCACCCTACAGGCAACGTTGTAGGAACAGTATGCGTGCACATCCTCAACCACCCATTCCAAAATTACTTGAAACTTCCAGCCTTCTCCCAGCATGCTTAGAAACAAAAAAAATAACACCAAAAGAAAATGTGCAATGATTTCTCCATGCACAAATATAAAAACATTTCTCCAAACTAGATGTATTTGCTGAACATGCTAACAGATTTTAAAGAGTTGGCCTGATTCTTCAGACCATGTATTAATAGTCCAAAGCAGCAACTATGAAGTTTTATCATAATCCTATTGGGCACAATACCACCAATCTTAAGGCTTAGTTGGAAAGACTTCAACACCTTTACAAATTTTCAAAATAATTCATTTTTTACAATTAAACTAATAGCACCCACTTAAAGTATTGGGCTGTGGTAGTGTATCAGTCTACATGTAGACAACAAAGATATGTGCATTGGGATGTACACCTCAGAACTTCATTTAATATTATGTTATCAGAGGCTTCCTTTTTAAACTGATTAAACAGAGCTTCAACAATGCTTCTCTGCCACTTTATACTTACTGAGCAAAAGAAGGAATACATAGTTTATTATCTGTTCATTCATCTGCTTCTTTTAGGCTGTCTATATAATTTGAAATACACAATGTTTTCTATCATAATTTGTATTCGGCTGTAATGTACACTAAGACATGTTACAAAGGCTTATGACTATCCAGGCTGCAGGATCAAGTAATTCACAACAAACATGAAATCTAATGTTAAGGGGACAGAAGGTTCTCACACACACAGTTTTCTGACGCTTATTAGTAACAGGGACAGATTTTCCTCACATTTATGTACACAAGCAAGCAGGCAAAGTTCTAACCATTTCAGGAACAGACAATTTAATCCGTGTTACATAATTTCACTGAATACAGTTGATATCATCCAAAATCACTCCTGAGAGCAAAAAAATAGTTTAGCATTACATTTTATATACAATTATGAAAGGATTATTAGAAACCAGAAGCGCATCCATTTAAGGAGCACCACACTTTACGTATACTGGACATGACGCCCAAATGCACCTTGACTTGTTCAATAATAGTTCTCTTTAAAACATATAATCCAACTACATGGCCCAACAGGCTCTCACTACTTAATTTATCACTTATTCAATATTTATGATAATCAGATGGTAGTCTCTGGATCGTCATTATTTTCTGACATCAGGATACTTCTCAATATTAAGCTTCTAAGTTCAGTTTGCTTTTGATGAATTATTCTCTATCTCTAACCCTAAAATGTGTAGCTATTACTACAAACCTTTGTATACACTCCTTTAACAGTAAATGTAACTTTTAAATTTTCTCCTTCCATATACAGTGGTGCCCCGCAAGACGAATGCCTCGCAAGACGGAAAAACCGCTAGACGAAAGGGTTTTCCGTTTTGAAGTTGCTTCGCAGGACGAATTCCCCTATGGGCTTGCTTCGCAAGACGAAAATACCTTGCGAGTCTTGAGATTTTTTTTCGCTTTTCCCCCCCTTTATCTAATCTGCTAAGCCTTTAATAGCCTTTAATAGCCTTTTAGCAGCTAATCCCCTAAGCCTTTAAGCCTTTAATAGCCGCTAAACCGCTAATAGCGCTAATAGCGCTAATCAGTCAATGGGCTTGCTTCGCAAGACGAAAAAACCGCTAGACGAAGACTCTCGCGGAACGGATTAATTTCGTCTTGCGAGGCACCACTGTAGAAATATCCAAATGCATCCAGAAGTTACAGCCTGTACATTAGCCCCCCCCTCCCCCTGTAATCTTCCAATGGTCAAGTTCCTTTAAGGAATAAATGATTTCTTCTGACGTACCATTTATACACCACAGTATGGAGAGTCTTATGGTTTCAGAACTGATGAAATGAGAATCAGACTTGAGCATACTTTTTCCAGTCACCATGGTCAGAGAAGACTTGAATGCAGATACCAGAACACATAAAAAGGAAACGTCTGTATTTGCATGCTTTTAAAGTGAAACATCATGCAATGGTTTGATCATCTTCTTCTTTGCAAATTGCATGTGTTATAAAAGTTTGCCAGAGACAGCAGTGACAGTACATGATGTATATTTTCCAATAAAAAAGCACTAGAAATCAAAGGCAACCAATATGTATATTTTTGCTAGAACATTTCTCAGCTACATAAGATCGAACAGTTAGCTGCATCCATATCCAAGAATATACAAAATTCTGCCTACAGGAATAAGCCTTTCAAGAATGTCAGTTCTGAAATAACTCCCTATGGTGGCTAACAGTTAAAAATAGCTAAGTATTGTGCTTTCAAAATTATCTACTTAATGACATAGAGATCAGAAATGAAACAAGCCACGAGGTTAAGTGAGGAGAAGCAGTTCAGACCCAACAAAATAAACTTTCTAGAACATAGAAGGTATGCATAGCTAATGGGCAAGTGTGCCAAGACATATTTGCTGGACAAAACTTTATTTTCCTTTCATAAAACTAAACAATAAAAGATTGCTCAGCTGGAATCAACCTAAGGTACTTAAGGAAAAATTATTTGGAAAGGTCACACAGAATGTATTTCCAGAAAACATCTGGACTAGTCAGCCTGAATGTAAAATTATGGATCATTAAAGGACTGCTGGGGACTCCAGATAAGGGAGCATCAATGAATCAACAGAAATATACCTATTTGATACCTGCAAAGTCCACCACTATTTTAAAAGACAAGTTTAAAATACCTGCCTCTTGTAATTAGTCCCATGTCCCAAAACAGAACTAATTCTAACCTTTCATTTTGCTTAAAAAGCCAGAAACCTTTTCTGCCGCTGTTAAATAGTATGGAAACAGCTATGTTTCTTTCAAAGCTTCGCTGGCACCAGTTCAAGCCACAGCTAGTGAACTGAACATTCATCTGTGACAAGGTTATGTGTAAAACTTGAAGGAAAACTTTTCTCAAAGTGGAATTCACAGAAACAAGCTACCCAGCATAAAGTATGTTAACAGTTTTATTTTTTTGTATGTTAAATACCATGGGACAGGGCTGTAAGGATGAAAACTTTAACAACTGCCTCACAAGGGGTAAGAAATTCTGCCATGATATTAGCAAAGTAAGGTAAAGGATAAAATTTACACACTAAGAGGAATCATTTCCCCACAGAATGCCTCATCATATTCCTGAACAAGTGGGATTAACATTCTAATAATCATTTTCCAAGAGGCAAGAGCAACAGATAATTTTTTTAAAGGATTATTAAAATAACATTTACAAGACTCTGAACAATTTTTGAACTCTTATTAAAACCACAGAAAGAAAGAACAATTCTTTATTTATGTATGACTTTTCATAAAGGACTGAATGTGCAACTGACACCTGCTATTGATGAATTAATATACAATTTGTCCAGCAGCCGACCAGTTTGTCTTTTTATTGTGTTGTCTAACCGTGCAAGATCATTAGAGGCAAAGCCTGTATGATGCTGTACACAATAATGGTCACTTGGGGCCATACTACCAATGAAGTGGTAGGTAAATACATTTTTTTCTGGCCAAGAAAAAAAAGGAAGCTGCATTCTGCATGCTTCTCTCTCTTTTTCCCCTCTCTACAAGATGAATTTCCCTAAAAAGAATCCAATGAAAATGGCTGCAATTACAACAAGAAGTGAGGGAAGAGGATTGGAGACATTATCTCGGAGAGCCAAGCCTGATGTTCCAGGTTTATCCAAGTGTGCCACCTTTCTCAGCCTCAAACCTTCATCCTGAAAACACATGGGGGGAAATAATCAATCAAAAATTATCAAAGAGATTGTTTCAGATCTGAATTTAACCAAAACATTTTAAAACTTAAGACAGGTTTAAATGAAATACAAATTTATTTGTGTGTGTGCACACTATCTGACTTTAAAAGATGTCAAAATGTAGCACAAAATAAAGTGTAGCATGTTGTGTATAAATTAGTAACAAGAGCAAAATATATTAATCCTTCTACTGTTATTTACTATCAATAATAGCCTGTTTACAAAACCGGGGAAACAAAAGACCCAACTATTTAAACTGTTCCACTGATGATGGCAATTTATCCCAGAACACCACTATTAGCTCAGGATTGCAAATTAATTAAACATCATAACACTGCACCTTCTAGATTTTCAGTGGCCACAAGATTTGTATGGCTTTGTGTAATGCTCAGAAATGAAACGTAAAGACAAGCAAAAACAAACAAACAAACAAAAAACACCAAGGGAAAGCTTACACTGCCTTGGATGTAAGGAAGTGTAAAAGCTGAAAACTGGGCAAATCCTATCTCTCCTTTACCCTCAACCCCCTGTTCAACAACTGACTTTATTTAGAACAGTCCCCTGATTCTCGGGAGAGGCCAAACCCCTTCTGTCAGTGGAAGCCACTGTCTATGATTATTAGTCAGGCTGTTATAGTATTATTTCAAGGGTGGGTTGGTTTTAAATCAAGGAGATTTTAAAATTACCAAGAAAAAAGGATCAATTTAAGTAACTGAAAACTGATCCCCTTTAGGAATAATAAGAATACACTCAAATATCTTATAACAAATAAAATACATGTTCACAACTAATTATTATTCCAATGTACTTGTATCATGCCATCAGTACATGGTACTTTGCAGAATAGAATAAATCAGATAGGTCCCTGACCCCAAGGGGCTTCCCATTTAAGATGGGCAGTGGGTGGGGGAAGCTACAGGGACAGGCAGAAAATGCCAAGGGTAGGGAAGAAAGAACATGGGCAAATATTTTATAGGCCATGTTGGAAGTGATGCATAAGGAGCAGCAAGGGAAAATAGTCAGTCATGTAACAGAGGAAGGGACCTTCAGTCAACTGTGATAAAAGCCAAGAGAACTGATGTCACGGGCAAGGACATAATGAGAAACAAGGACTAAAAGAGTGAGACAAGGCTGCAGACAAAGAGCTAGGAGCATAATCCAAAATTTTAAATCCAAAATCCAAAATTTTAAATCATGCATACCACATACATTTTACACTGTGCTTAATTATATATGCCTAAAGATAAGCGACAGGTTTCTGTTTGGCTGTTTGGCTCTCTGTACAGCTGCACTACTACATATATTTATCTAGAAATTAAGTGTTGGTCCATGAGATGCAGAGTAAGTGTTATGTTCTTTTGTTTGTAGTCATAAATCTTCATGATTTAAAAGTGGGTGATCCTGCACTCCTGTTTTATACCCTCCAGCTACCTCATCTCTGCGAAGTGTGTAGTTTTCACAGGCACTAGAATACAGGACATACTCTTGATGACAATTACAGGATGACATCTCTTGGATTCAAACCAAGAGAACCTCACAGTAAACTCACATATAAAAGAAAATACTTTCATAGAAAAGAAAGTACTTCTTCACATAGCACAGTTAAACTATGGAACTTGCTCCCACACGATGGAATGCCAGTGATAGTCACAAACTTGGGTGGCTTTAAAAGAAGATTGAACAAATTCATGGGGCTATCAATGGCTGCTAGCTAAGACAGCTATATACTGCCTCAGCAGTTGGAAGCAGTATGTTTTTGAATAAGAAGCTAGAACCTACAGGAGGGGAGAGTGCTCTTGTCCTTGAGTCCTGCTTGTCGGTTTCCCACAGGCATCTAGGTGACCCAGGCAGGATGTTAATCGAGTCGAAATCCTAGTTTAAAATGAACTAAGTTTTAAGAATAATTTTATTTTCATCAACAAATTTTAGCTATCCTGATTAGTCAGATTCTGGTTTGGAGGTAATGCTTAACAACAGGCACATGAATAAAGGAGGCTTGGTGCTAAGAGGACTATCAGTTAAGAAAAGTCGCTTAAGTTGAAACCAGCGTCAAATTATTTTACTGTGTGTTATTAAAAAATTAAACGTTATCTCTGACATTAAAAATTTGAAGAATTAAACGTACTCTGGCCGGGGAATTTGCTGTAGGTTTGCTAAATCCTGTGGGTGACATCCTTTCCTCCCCTCTGCAGTTCCTTACGCTCCTCCAAAATCTGCTCAGGTGTGAGGTGGGTGGGGAGGAGAGCCCTGTGAAATCCCATCATGTCTGCTACTGTGATGTTGCCTATTGCCTACCAATTCTTTGTTCTTGGAAGAAAATTATATGGGATGTATAATAAGGGTACTACGATAAATACTTCCGTTTAAACAGGGTGGTTTTTTTAAAAACAACTTTCATGAATCTGCTCTTATGAACTTACTCTCAGATGTCTGTTTTCCTCTGATAGTTTCACCACATCCGCCTGAAGTCTTTTGCATTCTTCCACTAGCTTCCTTGTTTCGGTGTCATTAAGCGAAACACTGTGTGGTTTTGGCATTGGACCATCCTGCTTAGCTGTATTCAGTATTGGAGCAGATTTGCTTGCATCTATGTCATTCTGCAAATATTAAAAATGGTTTCAGAACAGGATTTTCTTTAATCAAAGCATTTTTTTATTTTAGTACCACGGGGGGGGGGGGGGGAGGAATACCAAGTTAGTTACAAAGATGACAAAGCTCAAAAAACAACCAGAGAGTAAACATTGTGAAAGATGATTGATAAAGATATGTTTCAGGACCATTTCCCCATTTTATTTCATCTCTGAAATCATTTTGCTCACTTAGAGCTTTGCAGTCTGAAATCTGCGTATGAGCTTTATTAAATCTTTCCCAAAGAACAAATTGTTTTAAAATAGAAGTATACACAAGCCTGTGTTCTCTTACAGTTCCTAGCACAACTGAAAGGAACAAAATGTAAGCAGATGAGTTATGAACAAAACACTAGGAGATGTATAGTATAGTTATTACACTAAATCCTGGGTCAAGAAGAGACCCAGCATAGATACCTGAAAGCAGACATTGGCAGACATCTAATACAAAGAGCAATTAATCAGAAGACAATGAAGAAAGATGGTTATTATTTATAAAATTCATATACTGCCCCTTATCCAAAGATCACAGGACAGTTTACAGTATAAAAACAGAAAATAAGTAACATAATAACCAAAAAGTGTGTGTGTGTGTGGGGAATACACAGGCACACAGCCTGTGGCTATGTGTATGAACATGAGAAAGTTGGGGTGGGCTAGTCAGAAGAGCCAAAGGATCTCCAGTGGTTTAAGAATAATGACAGTGTGCTGTAAGTGTGATTATGTAATTGCTGTAATTGTCTGAAGTGGTAATTGCCTGTGTAGCTGAACGTGTATAAAAGATAATGCCCGAGAGGATCAAAGTTCAGCCAGCCTGATTTGCTGACTCTACATACATTTGTATTAATAAAGGCCTAATTTTTCACTTAAAGCTGTTGTCCACTAGCATATCTTGGGAAAACCCTAGATAGGGTGAACCCTTTACAAAAATTTCCAACATCAATATTTTTTTTAAAATTCAAGTGGATTAAAAATAGAGAAACAATTCGTACCCACCTGATTCTAAAATGAGAACAACTCAACAGAAATAAACATCTTAGCCCTGGGTGTATGACAGAGAGTAATCGAGTCCACACAATGTTCCTGATGACCCAATCATGGTTGGGAGATTAGGCATGTCCCTGGGCTTGCACACTCTCTATGCTCCCCTTTCTTAATGTGTTTGCCAACTGTGATTTTGAGCTAACCAGGATTAGCATTAACATCACTGCAAAAGGTAATGCTGCCTTGCAATTAGTTGTTATAATGGAGAGGAATAAATTAGAATATGGCAGAGAAAGAAGTTAGGACATCAAGAACTGAAAAACCATGTATTTCATGTGGCAGTCACTAAGCACAGTGGCCAATCTGCAATACGACTCAAGAAACTTCAAATATTTAGGAAACATTTTTACTGTATTTGATTATAATACAAACAGTATAGGCTTGAATAAATGATATGGCAATAGTCACAGACTTGCAAAGTACAGTAAGACGTCATTGTGTATGCTGTATGCATTTGACACATACAAGGCTGAATCAAGCACAAAATTTGGCTTCCTAAAATTATCATGTTTTTAAAGAGTTTTAATAGGAAACATTTATTATGCATAGTACCTAGGCCAGTACAATTAAAATAACTGTAACATTTCAGATAAGTATATTTTGTAAACTAATAACCCCCTTAATATCAACTGTTATCTCTGTCAAATATTACTGACACATATTTCTTTCAGCTACGGCAAAAAAATTCTAGTCTATGCACATTCCTTTTTTGCAGGAAAAGTGCAAACCATGGTTTGCTGGTTCAGAAATAGTGACAAACTACGATTTGTGAAAAGCAGAAAATAACCACATGTACAAGGGGAGGACAGAGTGAATGGGCTCTTTTGAGGCAGTTCTCAGAACCAAATCATGGCTTGGTGTAATATCAGAACAAATCCAAAGATTTGTTTCCAGTTGCCAAGAAGAATTTAGGGTCCTGCCCTAAGACTGTTTCAACTGCCTTACTGATCTTTTTTGGTCCCTTCCGGCTGAGACCTTTCACTTCTTCCTCTTGCCATATATCTCAATCCTAGCAACAAAAATTAATAAAGCAAAATTTGAGAGCAGGATACACTACAAAAGTAATGCTATTTTAACCATTTTCATTGTTGAGGTCTTTCTCAAATAATGCTCTCTTCCAATTTAAGCCTATTGATATTTTATTAGCTAACTACAATAAATTTAATTAACCACTGAGGCACTAGAAGAGTTTGAGTGCTTTCAGCTCCCTAAAACAAACCTGATTCATCTTGTGTTTGACCTCACTGCCTTGCTCCATCATGTCAATCTTCTGGCTATAACTTGCAGGTATCTGAAGATTCTTGCTGTTGGATGGAGTTATGTGTACGGATCCTGATGAAGATAAAGTCTGAGGTGGAAGCTGAGACATGCCCTCAGCACTCAGCAGATCTCTCATTGCAAGACTTAGGGGAGTGACTAAACCAACGGCTAAAGGATTAGGCTCTGCAACCCCTCTCTGCTACTTGGAAAAACATAAATGTTATGCACAAGCAGTCAAGTAACAGCTTACAAGACAGGAATAGGCAAAAAAGCTAGCATCTTTTTTATTTTATTGACTAAGGGTGCTAATCTAATCACACTTAGTAGAGAGTAAGCCTCACTGAAAACAGCAGGACCTACTTCTGGCTAAATATGTATATGATTGTGCTATACACAATACAGTGGTACCTTGGTTCTCAAACTTAATCCATTCTGAGAGCCCATAAGACTCCTGAAACCATTCAAAAATCAAGGCGTGGCTTCCGATTGGCTGCAGGAGCTTCCTGCAGTCAAGCGGAAGCTGCGCCAGACGTTCGGCTTCTGAAAAATGTTCACAAACCAGAACACTTACTTCTGGGTTTGCGGCGTTCGGGAGCCAATTTGTTCGGAAACTATGCTGTTCGGGAACCAAGGTTCCACTGTCTACTGTAAACTATATACAGAACCACGTACAGAAGCTAAGGCTACTTTTGTTGGGGTTTCCACAGCACTTTCAACTGCTGACAAGAAATTTTAAAAGCAGTTTGGAAGCAGAACTTCAACGGCGAAACAGATTTTGGGCTGGATTATAGTATATCTTCCAGCTCAGTTAAGTTCACTGTTTCTTCTCTCCTATTTTCTGTAAAGCAGCACTTTCTATAAAAAAAAATAGCAGCACTACATAACTAGTTGTATCAAGGAAACATGCTTGAAATACAAAAACATCTGCAAATAATCTTCTAGTTTAATAAATGGAAAACTAAGCTAGCAAATATCAAACATCAGTGCATGGTGGACAAAGTGAATAATACTTCTGAAAAGCTTAAAATTGTCTTTCTTCTTAAGGTGGATGATATAGTATATAACTTTCTACCCCAACCCTAGAGATTAAAGCATGGTCTTCCCTGCCTCTATCAATTATGGACTGGTAAATTACTCCAACCTACTAGATTTAAAAGTTCCTACATCCTTGTCTGGATATAGGTTTTACTTTTCCCTACAACCCAACCATGTATAATCATGTGAGAGCTGGCCCTCAACTTTCCCACAGCAACCTCTTCCTTAGGTATACTGTTCAAAATATTGCAAATGGAATTCGAGGCCATACATTTATTTACCTTTGTGACAATGACCGCAATAACTAAGTGGCAATAGCTTGGGCCGTTAATGCGGGGCAGGGGGAGAAGAGGAAAGCATAAAGGATATTGGAGGGCAACAGATTTGTGGAGGCAAAAGAACAAGGATTTAAGAATCACAGGCAGGAATTCTTAAGTTGTACCAAGGTTATCATCGTGCCATTACTGTGGCTATCTGAAGTTTTAAAATATTTTGCAAAACAATTGCCCATTTAAGTCTCTCAATAACGAAAATTAGAGGACGGTTTTAAGACCATTACAGATCTCGGGGCCTTAGGATTTAGCAGCTTTTTCATTAAATCTAAGAGTTCTGTGCTTCATAGCATGATCTTGGCCATATCAATTTCTAGATACCCCAACTACAGTTACACCAGTGGCAAAGCTAGCCCTGCTTTAGGAAACACTATGAGATGGCAGGCGGTAATTGCTGTCTAAATGCTGCAGCAAGCGTTTTGAAAACTGTTGTCCCTGAATGGGAGATGGCACTGGAGCTCTATTTTAGGCAGCAAATCCCTTGGGTCAACACTGAGCAATGGTGCATCTTCATGCAGGAATCAACAAAAAGCACATCCTTGCAAATAGTATGACAACCATGTTCTGCTGACCCAGACAATTTCCTACATGCCTATACAGCATGTGCAACTTAACACAGGTACCAGATAAGATGGTGCAGCCTAAATTGGCAAAGAAGGAATTGGATGCACACTGTCAGCTTCCTTTTCTCAGATTTCACACTTGTAGCTTTTAGCTATAGCACTGAAATAAAAAATATAGAAGTTCCTATGCTAATAACCCCTTTCACTCATGCTTCCAACTTCTTTAATCCTCCTTAACAGGAGAGTATTGTAGGATTGCCCGTAGCTCATTGTGTCATAAAAACATAGAGCTCTTAGAATATATTACCATACTGCTTTATCTTTCAAACTGCTACCCTTCTTCAAAGATTTTTATGTGATCATACATGGGAGTCTTGAGGTTTTGTTGCTCAGTTCCCAGTGACAAGGTCATTGCACCTCTTTGAAACACACCCCATCTTCCCAACTGACTAGCTTGCACTCACTGTGTAAGCAACACAGTTTTCAAGAGGTGGAATCAAGGCAGCTTTCACTTTGACAAAATGAGCTAGGCATATGCATGCACAATTTCATATGGCACACACTGATGCAGTAATAGACTGATAGGGAGGCAATAGCAAATAGTGCACTTATACTGTATGCTAAAAAGAAATATAAAAATACAAAGCTTTTTGTGTGCTACTGAATCACTGGTTACACTGCCCCATATTTTAATTTATTTAATACAATTACATAAACTGTTCAGATACAAAACAACTACGAAGCACATTCTTAGCTTAAGATACGTTGTTATAAAATCACTACTTGAAGTTGTTTCATTTTTGTTTATTTACTTACCAGCTTATCATTTTCATTAGGCATTTCAAATACACATCTCAATTTGGAGTCCATTAAGTCATCAGACTTTGCATCCTTCCACTAGGACAATGAAAATAAATTAAATTTTAGCTGCTTTACTTAACAGCTTTTTAGCAAGTCATAATATGCAAACTTTGTCAAATACACATTATTTTAAGACTGAATAGGCTTAGAAGTGGGAAATCATGGTTCAAATAATTACTTAGACATGAAGCTCTTAGGCAAATCACTGACCAAGTCTGGGAAGATATTAAGCAAAAAGATGCACAAGTCTTTTGTCTGAGCACACTGGGGTATGCCACTATAAATTTTCCTGGTTTAATTAACCATACATTCCCACTATATCCAAATTGGGATGCTATGGTTACTAGGATCTGAAACCATGGTTTGTTCCAGTTCTAGTAAGCATAGGCTTCCAGATGTAACAGGAAAGATAACACACACAGGCATGGGGCTTGTACACCTCTCTGCTTAATAAACAAAGAAATGATACTCTCAGCCTAATCTTCGTGCTTTGGTAGATATCAAATGGGGGGAAAACTAAAACATGTCATGTTCAAAGATAGTGAAAAAAAATGATTATTTTATTTTTTGTTTGGATCAGGCTATCAGGAAGGAAATTTGATTGGCATATTCCCTGAAAGAAGATATTCCCCCTACTTTCTAGAATTAGAAACTCCGAAGTTGTATTTGCCACAAAATTGATAAACACAAGACTCTTCAGATTATAGATTTTATCAGGGGAAGTGAAACAGCAATCCAATAAATTACCAGTAACAACGAAAGATGTGCACCACTTTGCAACAGCATTTATGAAATTTAAAGGCAGAAAACAAAGATAATCCTTGTAAATATTACTTCATGGGCTTAGTTCTGCACAACCATCTTATATTCTACTGAAATTTTGTCAGAAAAGAAGCACACAGAACGTCCTTGTTACTTAAAACAGTATCATCTTTGAGATCCTGACTGAGAGAACAAGGCCATTTTTTCTTCAAAATAGAAGTGGTAACATTAAGCACACTTTAAAAAAAAAAGTGTGACCAACATTAATGTCTAATGCATTAAAATGGCTAGTTTATGCAACTACTGTAGTTCCAAGTAAGTATTGGTGTAACAACAACTGATGGCAAATACACTTTTTTTCCCTGAAGATGAAGAAAGCAGCTCAAGGCTTAGTTCCTAAGTGGAATGTACATTTTGAGGTCTCTCGCAACAGTATTCTTCCAGCTTGTGCCAGCAAAGCAACAGAGGAGGAGAAGTTGGACAGACTCAAAATATATGTTGAACATAATACAAGAACCACAATGGATAAAATACGGCAAAAGGCAAAAAGTAAGAATTCATCTTGCTAGCTTACAATACTGAAATTAAATCTATTTACTTACCACTGCTTCCATATCTGTAATGTTTGAGGGGGCAAAGATTGTCTGTACCATAAACTTATGTTTACTCTTCTCATTTGGATCATAGTCAAAAGGCTGTAACATCACTGTATAATAGAAAAGTATGAATTACTAGAGGCATGCAACCTACTTTTCCTGTCAATTTCAAAATTTTAAACTCAGCATGAAAGAACTGTGCAATCATTTGGAACAGATAATAAACAAGATCTCTTGCAAGAATCAAGTTCTATCATTTATTGCAAATTTGCCTTTTATAGTTATCTGTTCACTTGCAAAATCAGGATTTTTATTTCCACATAACAACCTGAGCTTCCAAATTTGATGTAAGTATGTAATTAAGTTAAAGCAGACAGAAGTTTGAAACATTTGAAAATGGTGGGAAGAATTGATTAAAGGGCCACCCATTACCACTGTGATGTATACAAATACTGGGTAAGAGATGCCCAGGACCTTGAATGTTAGCAAAGGAGGACAGAAGAGATCTGCCACACTCCTTCAAACAGGAATGATATGATCACCAGAGAAAGAGTTTGCAGAGAATTCTTCTTGCCCTAATATTTTGCATATATAATTTGGATCCAAAGATACACTCCTTGGATCCAAGCTCTAAAAGAGAAGAGAGTTGAGAGAGTTGACTTCTTCCAGTCTCATCATCAGAGAGAAGGATGGGAGAGAGACTGGAGGAAGTCATGCATGGGAGCTTGGGAAGCCTACCACGGATGGCACTTTGATCATTTATAGATGATCAATAGATGATCTAGCTCAGTGCTCTTTTTCATATGTGTGTCTGCCTCCCAGACAGTATCTCTGTCACTCTCACAGGAGACAGAGGGATGTTGACCAAGAGAGAGGTGCTTAATGGAAGACAGGCAGGCACACATACAGTCAAGGAGCCCTGCTGCAAAGCTGTTTGTGGAGTAAGAGATTGTTCTCTGCATGGGCATTTTGCTGTGTTTCCATGCTGCATGATGAGAAAGGGAGCTCCTTTCTTAGTACAGTGGTGCCTCGCAAGACGAAATTAATTCATTCCGCGAGTTTTTTCGTCTTGCGGTTTTTTTCGTCTTGCGAAGCACAGTGTCAGAAAAGTTTTGGAAAAGCTTCAAAAATCACCAAAGTCTTCAAAAACCTCAAAAAAGGCTACCACACCACGTGCTATGAGTTGCTCCTCGAAGTCAAGTCGCAACTGTATTAACGGTTTTAAGAAAAAGGAAACAAACTTGCAAGACGTTTTCGTCTTGTGAAGCAAGCCCATAGGGAAAATCGTCTTGCGAAGCAACTCAAAAAACCAAAAACCCTTTCGTTTTGCGAGTTTTCCGTCTTGCGAGGCATTCGTCTTGCGAGGTACCACTGTATGCAAAGTGGAAGTCAAGAAAACTTTATGTATTAGTGTGGATGTGTGACTGGAGTCAGTGTATGCATGCTTCGGCCCTGTCCATTTTGGAATTTGCCCTGCTCACTGCTCATATGTGGACCCAGACAACTTTCATTAATAATAATAATAATAATAATAATAATAATAAAAATAAAACTTTTATTTGTATCCTGCCCTCGCCAGCCGAGACCGGACTCAGAGCGGCTAAAATCAAATATAAACATTGATATAAAATCAAACAGTAATTAAATCACCTCTTAAAAAGAAGTCAGGATAAAATTAAAATCTGAATTAGATGGCTTTCTGCAGGATTTGGGTTGGGAACAGTAAATGCTCATCAGGCCCAACAGTGTACGCTGATCTTATATGGGCCATCAAAGGAATGTGGCCGTTAGAGAGGAAAAAGGTTCCACACTGCTAATAAAAGAAAGAAAAACAACCAAACATTTTTACCTGATACAGTTACAGAAGAACCTGGGTCAATAATTCCACTGTTTGGCCTCACACAGTATCGACGAGGTGCTGTAGTCTTCACTTTAAAACATACTTTTCTGTCCGATGGATTTCGTAATTTAAGATTTGTAGTGACTACATCTGTGAAGGGACCTGAAATTGTTAAAGGTTTATGTTTAGTAATTAGTCTATTTGTTAGATGTGATCTCCAAAAACAGGCATCACAAGCAAACCAATGGTCCAAATCAAGACATATCCACAAACCATGTTTAAGAGGTAGTCAATGGTGACCAGCAAGTTATTATTGTCTTCCATCCTTTCTCCCAATATCTTGCAGTTTAGAAAAGCCTACCAGCAAGTCCCTGCCTCAATTAATACTCTTTTTGTGCTCTGCTCTGCTCAGGCAATGTTTCTCTGGCTGGTTTTTGACAATTCCCTTCTCCTCCTATAGTCCCCATGACACAGCCCATACTATTCAAACCCTCTGGAGATACCTTTCAGAGGGCAGAGCGGAAAATAAGTTGTAAGAGCAGCCTTCCATTCACGTAGCCATTGGTGCTATGGCAGTGAAAACACCAAAATAAAAATTGGAAATAATTAGAAAAAGGATCCTCTGTGCAATACTGTCCAAAACCTCTCCTGCCTTTGCCTAAACTACTCTGCTATCACAGGAATATGATGTCCAAGCTGATAGGGAAGGAAAAATATCGTTTAGGGAATCTGCAACATTTATTCTGGAAAACAACCTCATGGAAGAGAAAGACTGGAAAAGGAACATGCATCACACACACATACCAGAACAGTAGCGGTTTCTGTTCTTCAGAGACCTACTGCTGAACGGCCGAGAATGGTCTCTGAAAAGACAGCATAATTTCCCCCCATTGCAACACTGGGCTGGGAGGTTCGTCTACTTCTAGCTCAGAACTCCAATGTGGAGGAAGAAGCCTTGTAAACCAATTTACAGAGATTGGTGGGCCTCATCTGGCCCATGGCTCAGCACCCTGCACTACGCCAACCTATTTTCATGACTGTCAATAAAAACCAGCAAGGATCCATCCATTTGAATTATTTTATTTTTATTATTTTATTTTTTTGAGGCTGGCATCTCACTAACAGCCACAAGGATAAGCCACAGCTGAAAAAGAATGAAAAAGAGAAGGCACGTAAACAGCCAGAGGCAAGCATGCCAATGAGGCAGCAGATAGAGGCAGAGGTCTCAAAGGACAAAAAGAAGGGAACAGTGGCCAAGAAAAGAAACAGTGGAGAAAAATCAGCTGTAAAAAGATGTGTCCTGCTATGACCATATTGCTACAAAAATTCCCATCATTTGGTGGAGATCCTATTAGCTGAAAACAGAACTATATATTTGTGTCATTATGTCATTACATAGATCTATGGTGCACGTGCATTTGAATGCTCCCTGCAGCTGGATGATCACTGAGTAGCTAATTACCAAAATAAGCCAAGCATCTTGCATAAAGAGAAAGGTGGAAGAAATTAGAATATTTTAGTTCAGAAAATGGAAGCCAAGATGGAACATAATAAAGCTTGTAAAATCATGATGTGCAAGGAATGAAGAAAAGTATTTCCTCTCTCTGAGCTCTTAGGTTCTTGGGTAGTACAGTGAAATTAACAACTGGTCCAGGACCAATAAAATGAGATATTTATTTAACATATAAATGCACTGGCCAGGAAATTTAAAAAATGAATGACCTGGCAATAGGTTTAACCATAAAAGCCAAAAATGGATCTTTCAACATGGAAGATCATGTTACCCTTGCACAAGCGTGTTGGAATTTCTCCTATGTGGCCCCTATTTGGAAAGAAATTATTATTTGACTTTAACCATCTTATCCCAAGAGCTCTCTAAATCCTCTTCAACTTAAAACAAATAAAAAAAACCTGGATCCTCCATACTCAGAGACAACATCTATCTGATTACCAAATTCTAGGGACAAATAGGCCCTCTCTTCTATCACTACCTGTGTGTTTTCCAGGATCATCTTACTGGCTGCTGTTGGTGACAGAGCGCTGGACTACACTGAACCCAAGTCTGATGTAGCAAAACAATTATGATGGAGAACAACTGTCAGATCAGGTGGCATCTTAGTAGCCCTTATGCTACATGCAACCATTATTCTTCTGTAAACAAAATATGAAAAGTAGAAAACAGCTCATGTTTATAACACATACATGCTAGACTGTCAACATGGTATCAAATTAATAGTATCAGTGTATTCCTGAACATATGTCAACTTATGCAAGAGAAATTCTTAGCACAGAAAGCTTTCTAAAAGCTGTTTTGCTCTTAAATGACAGTGAGAGATATTACTTCTATGGAGAAATTAAACAGTGTGAGTGCCTGCAGAATTTTAAGGGAGCAACTTATATTTGGGTATCGTCTTTTCCCCCCTTGAATTTTAAAGGTGCGGCTTATATTCGGGTGTGGCTTATATTCGGGCCAATACGGTATATAAATAAAACACAGGTCTTACAGGTGCCACCTGACTAAAAGAAGCCACATCTGACTATACAACCAAAAATGATTGTTAACACCACGAGCCAAGATGGGTTTACATACAATCCCTTTCTAATGTTATTCATCTAGGAACCATTCAAAGCAATTAACAGGATTAGCACTGAACTTCCAGGGGTATCCCCCAGAAGTGAGTAAAAGCAAATCACATGCTGAAAAGGCTCTGCTCCAAAAACAGAATTTGACTGTTATTAACTGTAGAACAAAAAAGAACTTAACTTAAACTGACAGATTTTTCCTTGATGCACAGTTATATTCAAAGTCATTTTCTAAATTTCTATCACAGGGTAAAGTACAAAGAATTATTGTTAGCTGGCCATTGTTAATAATATAAACATTATGAAACTGAAGAAAATTATGCATGCAGCTAAATAATTAGGAGTCTTTTAAAAATAAAAGACTTTAGCTTCAATATAGCCAGAAACTGGTCGACGGACTTATTTCTGAATTACTTCAACAAAATCTCATTACCACCAACGGCCTTGGTGTGAATGCTTTTTAGAGCACTGCTTGTCGGGCTATGTTTGACTATACTGTAGAGAAACTAGCCTTCACCAGACTGGCTAGAAAATGCATTCAGTATGCTACACTTTTAAAATCAAAGAAGGGTCCTCCTGGTATCGTGCTACATATTGCCAAAGCTAAGGACGAAAGTACAGCACTACAATTTTCCTCTTAACATTTTTTCATAAAGAAATGAATATGTCACATTGCACTTAGTATTGAGACTGAGATCTGAAATTTTAGCTACCTTTTAAGCAGGTAGTCTTATGCAGACCTAATCTCTTCTTATCGACTTTACATTTATGTATTACCTAGCATTCATTGATCAGCTTTAAATTAAAGCAGTATATGGATTTTGTACATTCTTTTCTTTCTTCTGTGCTTTTAATTGGTTTCAGTGTTGTTTTTAATAGGGTTACTTATTTAATTGTTAGTATTTATACTGATACTATGTTTCTAGTTGCGTTTGTTGAAATTCAAGCTCTGAGCCGCCTTGGATCCTGTCCCAAAAGAAAGGCAGGATATAATTTATATCAATCCAAAAAATATGAGGGATTGATGTTTTCTTAAACAAAACAAACAAACCCACCTCATTGACTTCCCAAACTACATGATTATTTGAGACTAACAACACAAGACTATGCATGTTTATTCAGAAGTAAATACTTCAGGTACGTATGTACAGGATTCCACCCTGAGACGGCAATCAGAGTAAGTCTGAGTGAACCTTACTTCTAAGTAAACATGTACAAATTGGGTTGCAACTCAATTCTCCCAACCCCATATTTAATGGCCACAGTGCTTTACAACATGTAAGATTCTCATACCAAGGGCTTCCTTAAACCACCCCAGTTCACCCACCCATGGCGTAGCAAACTATGTCAGCTGTACAGCCTGTTTCCTGTTCTTGGCACAAATGTCTTCTAGGTAACTGAACTTTTCAATCATACTGTCTATGTTTCCGGTTGTACACTACAGTGCCAAACCAGGAGTGCCAGCAGCTGTTTATGAGGATATAAATGCAACGTGTGCCAATGCTGTTCACTATGCTAGTATAAATGTTACGCATATTTCTCCATTAAATGTAACAAAATAGCACAGAATATATTCCATTACCAACAGGGGCTGCATATTACACCATTTTAAATGGCTTCTAAATTTTATGATATTGGCTTGGATCAAAAATGCCTTTCTGCTACCAGAAATTGGTTGTTTCTGACCTACTGGGAGAGCACTGCATTAGAAAAGTGATTCCCTATCCAAAAAAGTTATTCTACTTGTGCAAGCTCCAGCCCAAGATTTGGCACATGCTCTTTCAAAGACTTTATGACCCATAAAAAGTAGTTCATGCACTACTTATTCAACATGCTTCTCAATGCAAACCCTGATATACCTTAGTACTGTGCGGCAAGTAACCTTCCGCTAGTACTTGCACAAGAGTATAATGAATAGCATGTAAACATTTTCTTCTTTAGATAAATCCTAATACAGTGGTGCCTCGCAAGACGGAATTAATCCGTTCCGCGAGTCTCTTCGTCTTGCGGTTTTTTCGTCTTGCGAAGCACGGCTATTAGCGGCTTAGCGGCTATTAACGGTTTAGCGGCTTTAAGAAAAAGGAAACAAACTCGCAAGAACTCGCAAGATGTTTCGTCTTGCGAAGCAAGCCCATAGGGAAATTCGTCTTGCGGAACAACTCAAAAAACGCAAAACCCTTTCGTCTAGCGAGTTTTTCGTCTTGCGAGGCATTCGTCTTGCGGGGCACCACTGTAAAGTGATTTGGCATTCAGAACAACCCAAGCAATTTTTGCCTTACCTATAACTAGAGATTTTCTGTGTGGAGCTCCATGTGCGGCTGCCCTTCGGCCTGGTCCAAAAGATCCAGCTAGTGTATAATACAGTGGGCCTACTGCTTGTGGGAGGAGGGCTGACTGTATGTGACATCTCTGCTAAAGCATCTGCACTGGCTGCCCAAATGCTACTGGGCAGGTTCAAGGTTCATACAAAGCCCTGAACAACTAGGGTCCCAGATACCTTAAAGGTCACCTGAGTCCTTATACCCCAGTGAGAATATCCAGAGGAACACCGTTATTTGTTCCTGATGAGAAAACCGTTTCTCTGGCCTTCCCCTTTGAACACTTAGATCCTCTCACCTCTGTCCAGAACTATCCTGTCAAAATCATGCGGCTCTTCCTTCCTTCATGCGATATCATTTCTTCCATAAATACCTCCATTGTCCATGACCTTTAGTCATTCAACTACTATCATCCTCAGCCTGTCCAAAAGTCTTATATTCTTAGAGCAGGGGTATCCAACAAGGTGCCCTCCAAATGCTGTTTGACTACAGCTTCCAATAGCCTTAACCAGCATTGCCAATGGGCAGGAATGGTTGAGCTGTATTCTTAACCAATGTTAGAAACTGAAATATGAAAGCTAGAAGCTAAATGGCACCTTAAACCTAGGTTATAGGCACAACAACAGAATGTCTAGGCACACTTTTTAATAACAAGAATACAAAGCTGTAAGTGAATGAACTGCTGCTAGTCCTCATCTGAAGACTGCAAAAAACAAAGCCATGCTTCCCCCGCCCGCCTCCCTGAGGTACCACTTTAGCTAATGGGGCCTCCCGCTGCTGCCACGGCACAATTTCTGTTCTCATCCTGAAGCAAAGTTCTTAACCCGAGGTACTATTTCTGGGTTAACGGAATCTGTAACCTGAAGCATCTGTAACCCGAGGTACCACTGTATTCTTAAGAGAATCTCTTCTCCAGTCTTCAGAGAATGGTTGGAAGCGGGAAAGCAGAAAAAGGTCCTTCTTTCCTTCCACTCTGCAGACAAGCCCTGGATTCTCCCTACACATCCTTTCCTTCAGATAAATATATATTTTTTGGCACCACAACTAACACATGTTAAAGGCCTGTACAACTGATGGCAGAGACACCCACCTTGAGTGTCCAGTTCGCAAATCTAAGACTTGCCATATTTTTCCATAAGATGAACCCTAGATATATTGGAAGTCTAGTGGGGAGGAATTTCTCTTCCCACACCCGCAGTGCCAGTTTTAATCTGAAATCTTAGGAGCAGTACTGTACCCAGAGCTCAGAAACTGCTCACTTTTATGAAATTCCCTGTCACTAAATGTGCCTAGAATAATGGTAGTTTCGAACACTGATCTTAACATCTGGAAGGGCCCATGTTGGCCACCTCATCTAAAAATGATCCCACTTGCTCTCCCTTGCTGGCCCATTTAAGCCCAGAACACCCAAGTGGTGGCATCATTTTCCTTCAAGTTCCTCATCAACGATCACCTATTGCATAAAACATCTGGCTTAACTCTTTTGTTTGTCTCCCATCCCTCGGTAAGTACCCAAATTTAAGGTTCTTCAGGATTTATCTTGATTATATTACTTAGTAAAGAATCACATGCATTATACATAATAATAATCTGCCAACATATTACCTCATACAAATAGAAATTGGATAACTAAATTTATTTTTGTTGTTAGTTTGCATGTTACATAGAACAGTAACTCATATATTTAAAAGTCATACTTTCAAATAATACTACTACTACTTGTCCAGCTTTAAATCACTTTGTAAGCAAGGAATAGATAAGAAGAGATAATAAACAGGTACAATAAAATATTTTCTCCTATATGAAGTTATTTAATCGCACTGTTAACAGACTCTTTAAAATTAAAATGATTTTTTAAAAGGAATCTACAACATTCCTTTAAAGTCAACTTACCTTGTCTTCATGTTCAGCACACTAAAAATCACATTAATAATTTAGAGCAGTATACCAACTGAGATAAGCAACTACAGGAAATGCAACATACTGATACTCTAGGATATGATGAACTAAGCAAATAATATTATGTAAGCCCCAGTTAATACACACCCAGCCAAGATCAAACCCATTATACACCTAATGTTTGCAACAAATATGTCAGGCCTTACTTCAACAACCAGCTTGTTATTATTTTAGCAGACCAACAAAAATGAAGGTTCCAAAGCAAACACAGCACAAAAAGTCAGCAGATGGATACTGCAATACGTTGACTGACAGAAAAAGAACCCCATGCATTCTAAGTCAAAATTATTCCTTCATCAGGAAAAGTTAAGTTACTGATGAGCACATTATTCCTTGTTGTTGTATAGTTAAAATATGGTATGCTGCTTCTAGATACACAGAATTCCCCTCATGAAAGGCTACCTTTGGTCTGAGAGAGGATGGGCTCTTGTCTGTGTCCTATGGAGATTTTTATGCTGCATTCATTAATATTATCAAGGCTTTTGTGCAACAATATAATGGTATGATGTGCTGAGGCGCATTAGACAAATTATTCTGGAATGAAGTACCACCTAAGGTAGTAGAGCATCATGAATCCTTTTATTAGCCTAGATTGACTAACATTTCACAGTATGATCCAGTTGTTCATTAAAGGTAAAGGGACCCCTGACCATTAGGTCCAGTCGTGGCCGACTCTGGGGTTGCGGCGCTCATCTCGCTTCTGGAGAACCAGAGCAGCACACGGAAACGCCGTTTACCTTCCCACCAGAGCGGTACCTATTTATCTACTTGCATTTTGAAGTGCTTTTGAACTGCTAGGTTGGGAGGGGCAGGGACTGAGTGACAGGACCTCACCCCGTCGCGGGGATCCGAACCGCCAACCTTCTGATCGGCAAGTCCTAGGCTCTGTGGTTTAACCCACAGCGTTGTTCATTACAGCTCCTTAATTATCAATACATGACATACAAGACCCTATATAGTTCATCCAAAAGAATTTCATCTAGTAGAAATCCTAATGACATTGCATTTATTAAACTGCAGTCTGGTGGACAAATATGAGCAACAATTATACAAAAATGAAGAGCATTAATTCCCACCTACCATTCCTTAACTATTCTAGTCATTTACTACTTTCTGGTTAGAAGTTACAAACAATACTGGAGTGATATCATGCTCAACTGACTCAAATCTACTAAAGACGTTTCTGACAAACTCCTCTGCTCCCCAGCATTAAATAGCCCAAACCATTTGCTTTAACTGGCTTTGTATTCAACCACTGCAGCACAGGTGGCCTCAGAGCTATAACAGGCAGAATTTTTATTCCCAGTTTTATACTTCTGTAACCATACTTCATACTACAACCTCCCTAGAACTTTCTAGCAGTGTTATTAACTGTATTGTCTATACTGTTGTGCTCTATATTGATTTGCAAAGATAAAATATAAATAAAGACTTCCAACTGCTATATAGGAAGCCATACTTTTTTTACAAAATTGTTTTAGTGCTATGATCATTCCACGAGCAGAAGGGTCCTTCCATGGGCAATATGATTCTGTCTGATATAATCCAGTGCATTTTATGTGAAATACTGGTAAGATTTAAGCAATAATTTCTGGAAATAATAGACAATCATCTGAGATTACCAAAACAGTAATTACAGAAATTAGACTCAACAATGAAATGCCATGCATCTTTATTGAGAAGTCTCAGCAATTTCAATGGGACTTGTTTCCTATTAAGAGTGCATAGGATTACAGCCTAAATATCAGTAGCTTTGTTTATGCAAGAAGGCAACCTGTGAAATTAAAGGTGAAATCAATACCCACCTGCCCAACCGCAACTTTAAGAACTGAGTAGAATTTTTCTCCAAGTAAACATGCATTAAGATTGCAAAACTAAAAAGTGTTTTGGACTTAGAATGAATGAAACCAAGTTTGTTTTGGCCAGTGATGTGGGGACAGAACATTTTCCAGCGCTTTATTTTTCCACTTCATAACTTAATTAACAACAATGCACGGATATAAATGGAAAATATATTAGGCGAACTTGGCAGTTTCAATATTTTTAGCACTGCTTACTAAATACAAGTAAAATAAAGATGCTAAATTAGATCATTCTCTAGCACATCAAAAAAACTTATAGTGAGTTCAGGCCTCACCTGGAGCACCAAAAACAAACAAACAAAAAACTAGTGCAAATTTCCATATGCAAACTAACTTGCATTGGATTTTTTTCTAAAAGACTCTCATCACTGTTTACAGTCCTATAATTCTATTTCTGATCTAATATATTTTGCAGTATATTTCCACCTTAGAATGTACCAACACAGAAGTTTTTGCACCCAGAAAGCCAATTTACTATCTCACTTAATGGACTTCTGAAACAGCAATGCAAATGTCTAATCAATATGAGGGCTGTTTCATATTACATGTATGCAGATCTATTTTAATACTCCACATTAGACATGCAGAAGTCAAATACCAATTTGCCCCAACAGGTATCTTAAAAATTAAATGAAAGATGTGTGCATATGAAACTGTGATGCAAGAAACAGCTATTACATTAGCCAGATCATGAAAATTCTCACTTATTTTCCTTCAGTGTCTTAAGTTTGAGAAAAACATAAACTAAGTTAAAAAAGACATACCGACATATGACAGATACATATTTAAAATGTTCCAACCCTGCCTACATGAAAGACATACCAATGACCAATTTTGGCAACCGATCTTAAAGGCAGAGGGATGGGTTTAATGGTGAGCTATTTTTACTCTTAAGTGCAAGCGTCTCAATTTGCAGTAAGTGTATATCCTTTGCAATACCAGCAGCTATGCAATGGTGAACTATACTTCTGTTATCAGACCAGTTTTAACAATTATCCACCAAGTCTCCAACATTCTGCAGTTTATAGTTAAGCCTAAAGTATTCTACAGCCTCTGTGCTCTATTTGCAGAGATTTCCAAAAATGCTTAAACCTTTTGATGCACCAATACAATATTACAAAATATGTCATCATGACTTCACCATGGTGAAATTCCATCAGTAACTAAACTACCTGTACAGTGGTGCCTCGCAAGACGAAATTAATCCGTTCCGCGAGTCTCTTCGTCTTGCGGTTTTTTCGTCTTGCGAAGCACGGCTATTAGCGGCTTAGCGGCTATTAGCGGCTTTAAGAAAAAGGAAACAAACTCGCAAGAACTCGCAAGACGTTTCGTCTTGCGAAGCAAGCCCATAGGGAAATTCGTCTTGCGGAACGACTCAAAAAACGCAAAACCGTTTCGTCTAGCGAGTTTTTCGTCTTGCGAGGCATTCGTCTTACGGGGCACCACTGTACTTGAAATGTAATAACTAAGCATGAAATGTTGTTCTTTAATATGGGCAGTGTTAACAATGGCTAGTGTAAACTTGTAACCAACAGAGAATAGTTATGTGTGGCACCTTAAATCCACTGGGTGAAATACAATTATTTAACCTGCTTGTGTAATGGAACTTCTGGTTTCTCTTTTCCAGTGTGAGAAACTCACGATATATAAGCTAATCACCAAATGGCACCTTAAGCCAAGGTTGTGGTCACCACAACAGAATATCTAGACACCATTTTTTAACACTGAAATTTATTTTTATTATTATGATTTTTCATTTCATTTCTATACTGCTTCATATTTTAAAGATATAATGTGTTTACAACACATTAAAACATCAAATAAAACAATCCAGAATAAAACAAATGCAAACTTCAAGGAAAATATTTCAGATTCTTCCGTGACATTTTGCTTTCCCCTGTTTATTTATTTACCTACTTAATTAATATAGCTGCCCCACAACTGAAGTAATCTAGGAAGCCAGTGTGGTGTAGTGGTTAGAATATTAGACTAGGACCTGGGAGGCCAGGGTTCAAATCTCCACTCAGTCATGAAGCTCACTGGGTGACCTTGGGCCTGTCACCACCTCTTAACCTACCTCACAGGGTCGCTGAGGTAGGGAGGGAGGAGGAGGGAGGAAGTGAACCATGTACTCCTTGGAGAAAAAGGTGGGATATAAATGCAGTAAACAAGCTCTTCTGCTTACCTGCTTAAGAAAGCTGGAGAAGCCAGCCAGATGGAGATCTGCATGTGGTCACAACTGGACCCATGCCAGTAGCAAAACACAACTGACTAATTTCTAACACTGCTCTTCTCTAACCTCCATCTGCCCCCCAGATTTGTTTCAAGGGGTCCCCCAGAAAGGGAAGCCCCATTACACGAGTGGACACCCATTCAAGCTACAATGGATCTCCCCCTTAAGGATATAGCACATAGTTACAATAAGGTGTCTTCTATTGGGTCAAGCTATTGGCCACCTAGCCAAGTATTTCAGCTGGCAATTCCTTTCCAAGGCAGACATCTCTTTCAGCCCTACTATATGATAAAATTTAAATCGGATATCTGAGGGATTTAACATCGCTATTCATGATTGAGGCCCATCTATTTCAACTTTAACTTAACCACATGCAGTTATGCACTAAACATCATCCATTGTTATTAAGAATGTTTCATCATTATTGGATTTAAGAGACTTTTTATTAAGAAACACCTTTTTTTTTTTTACAAAGGAAACATTTTAAAATAAATTTTATGGCAATGCAATAAGCTATTAACTCAAAATCAATGTGTCCTGACCAGAGAAAGACAGCCTGGCACTGACTGCTCAACTGTAACTTTTAAGAACGTAAAATAGTAATTTTGAACTTATATTTGAAATACTTTTGTCTTGTTTACCACTTAAGCACACTTGCATTATCAGCAACATACAAAGGCAATGAAAGTGACACATTTGTTTGTACTACTCAAACGGTGAACTGAAGCAAAATCTTTTATTTTGAATTATGATGTAAAGAGTTCTAGCCTGTTTCAGCATAATATTACAATTTTTAAAAAGTGTTTATATTATAAGCTTTTCTGGGGTTTAAATATGGATCCAGTGTAACTACTACCCTTATTCTAAATATGTTAATGCCAATGCATTGTCAGCAATGTCAAAACATCTTTGGAACTGTGTCATAAACTTTCAATTATTTTGTATTATCACAATTCTTCGTGTAACTTTAAACATTTTTTTACAAGCTGCAGTATGTCTAAAAGTCAGGTTATCATAACTACTGAAATTATGTTGATTCCTGTAGCACTTACATCCTGATCTGAAACATTTGCACTGAATTGTCTGCCTGCAATATCAGCATAAGGTCACATTTGTGATATTGCACTGGCACAGCACTCCATATATTCTGTCCTAAGCCTTTATTTGCTAGGGAAACCTGTTTTAAGATTGTGGCAGAAATCCACTTTATCATAGCTCTGGATGAGAATGTGTCCAGATCCTTCTGTATTCTGAAACAAACTGAAATCCCATTACTTAATTGTTTCAATACATTTGGCAATGACAACCATTTTACTTATATGGTAAAGGTAAAGGATCCCTGGATGGTTAAATCCAGTCAAAGGCGACTATGGGTTGCGGTACTCATCTCACTTTCAGGCCAAGTGAGCTGGCGTTTGTAAATATTTGTATATTTACTTATACAAATGTCTATATATGCCAGTGAGACTCAAGGGCAAGACTCAATAGGCCTACACTTGGTTTACATGCACTGTACATTACCACATTGTGGTTGCTACTCTAAGCAAACTTGCTTAGAAGTTTTATCAGAGTAAACAGGCTTACAAGTATATTCATTTCAGATTTAAATTTAACTGAGGCAACAGTACTAAACACACTAACTTGAATTCAGGACAACTTACTTTTGAATAAACAGACTTAGGATAGTCCAGCATACCAAGGGTAAGGTACATCTATGTATTCTACCTAGCTAAGGACTGTACACCTTCAGCTTTGCCACCCAAGTTGTTGTTTTTTAAGCTGAAAATGCCATTGACTGGGCTTTATACAAACAAAGCAAATGTTCTTCTTTTAAGTTACTTTTGAGTTGTGTTCAGGTGCTATAATGAAACCACTATCTGGTTTTATGCTACAGATTATTCTAAAAATGCAAACATATCAGGCATTTTAAAAAACTGATTTAAAAAGTAGCATGCCTCCCAACAGGTAGATGCTTCAAAAATTCCTCTGAAGTAAACCTTAACTGATTCAACTAGATGACTTCCCTAGGTAATGCAAGAACCAAAGCTGAAGGCCTGCTGCAGACCCATGTATACTTACCTGGGAGTAAATCTAATAAAGCTTACTGGGAATTACTTCTGAGTAAACACACATCAGCTCAAGCTGTATGTCACACAAACTTTCAATGGCCAGATTCCATAAGAATTCCACAACATTCTATCTTACTCTTCATCCCACCTCCACCACAAAAAACCTCATAATAAGTAACTTTTATCAATTAAGTCTAAATTTTTACATTTCCATATCTTCCTCCTGAACACATTATCTGTAAATTTCACAAAAAAAATAGTGAGATTCCCAAGCAATGAGTTTAGCTTGAGGTTTTAAACTAAAATTGATTTATGATTGTCAAGTTGCAACAGAGCTTGAAGATTCTGAAATGCTATTTAAAATATAAAAAATAAAATAAATAAATAAAATTATAAAATGCTACCTGAATTCACAACTTCCTTCTTTGAGCAACAATATTACATTATCACCCCAAGTGTCCAAAAAACTAACACTAATATGTCATTTTAACTGCCTGCTCCCCTAAACTCCCATTAATCAACTTTTGAATATTACAAACTTGCTCAAAATGATATATTTTTCAGTTAGAGTTACAATCTAGCTCAAGAGGTTATAGTATTACTATAGTCCTCCCTATACCTAACTCGGTAACTTAAGTAATATTAATTCCTCTTATAAGTGGACAACTGAGACCTAGATTGTGATGTTTCTAAAGCCATCCATTCAACCTAGTGCTAATCAGAGACAGAGTACAATTTTACGACTAACAGAATATGTTTACTGTGTTTTGGCAATTACCCTCCAAGAATCTTGACACTTTTCCGAATGGCATTACAATTTCATCACCATCTATATCACTGCTATAATGGGGGATAACTAAAAAAAAATTTATATTCTGTATATATCGCATTAGAAACATTCTGCAAATAAGAACACACCGAATACCGAAGCAACAAATACTCAAAGCACAGAAACTTATCCTGCACTTTGTACACGATTCTTATATTCGATGCACGGTCTCAGGAAACACACCTGCGGGGCGGGGGGAGGGGAAGCTTTTATTTCTGCCAACAACAACAACAAAAACGTGTCGTTCACTAAACCCAAGGTGTCCAATATCAAGAGTGTCGTTGCTATGGAAAACGCCCATTACCGAGCTCCTTACATGACACGTCAGAGGGCGTTGGTGCAAGATACCACCACTCGACTACAGGTATATCAGAATGGAAGAATCGAGGTGGCAACGAAATCGGGGGAAGGGAAGGCGCCGCCTGGAAATGTAGGAAACGTGCAGAGTTTCCCCCTCCCCCATCTTATACAAGGGCTGCCCAGCCGCATCTTGAGCCTCTCGTGGAAACACGGGTGGCGCGAAAGCCGTCCCCGCACTCCTCTCACAGCGGCGAGCGGGTGGCCGGCCAAGAGCAGATTTGGCCCAAGCAGGGCCTGGTCCAGGCTGCGCTGCGGAAGAGGAGCCCGGGGAGGGGCGGAGGAGCTGGCAGCGCCTAAGGCCGGCTCCGCAGACTCGCCAGGCCAGCTTCCCTCTCCCGCCCTCCGCCGGCGGATGGAGCCGTAATTGGGGCCGGCCAAGCCGGCTGCTCAGGATGACGCGGGGAGGTCGGGGAAGCGGGGGAGGGAAGAGAGGCTCCCGCCTCAGCACCGCACACCGACGGCGAACCGGGGCGGGAGAAGACAGGAGGCGAGAGCAAGATGGCGACGGCGACGCCTCGTCCCGTCCCTCCCGATTCAAACCTCCCACCCGAATCTCCGCGGAAGGAGGGCGGCTGGGCCAGGCCTTCTTGCCGCCCGCTCCGCTCTCCTCCCCACACATCTCTCAGCCCCACCGTTAAACACGGCGCCGGGCGGGGGAGGAAAGAGTTGCCTTTCCCCGTCCACCCTTTTGGGTATCGCAGCCGCCGCCGCCCTCCCCCAACCATTGGGAAGGATTCCTGCTCCTCCGCCCGCTCTCTCTCTCTCTCGTACCTTTGAATTTGAGGTCGGTGGGCGGATCGAGGACCAGGATCTGTTCGTGCTTGGAGAGAGCCCCGGCGGCCGCCATCGCTGCTCCCTCGCTCGCTCAGTCCGGGAGGAGGAGGCGGAGGAGAGGGTGGGTGGGTAGGTAAAGGGAGGACACTCCGGTCGGGGAGGGAGGGAGGGAGGGAGGAAGGAGAGAAGGGAAGGGACGCCGACCGAGGAGTAGCAGTCGTAGCAGCAGCAGCAGCGCCCGCCGCCTCCTCCTTGCTCCCTCTAGAGGCGCGCGCGGACAGAGAAGCGCGCGCGCCGCCTTCCTTCCTCCTCTCTCTCTCTCCCTCACACACAAACTCTCTCTCTCTCTCTCCGCCGCCGCCGCCTCAGCTTTCTTCTTGCCCGCTTTCCTTTCCCCCTTCTTCTCCCGTTAAGGACTTGGCTCGCTCTGTGAGGAACCCCCGCGCGGCTGCCCAGCGCACTGCGATCGACGCCGACGACGGCACGGGGGCGAGGGCAGCGGCCGCCTCAAGCTCTGGCACCCGCACGTCAGCCTATGGGGAGAAAGGCAGGCAGGCAGGCCCGTGCGCGCGCGCGCACGCACGGCCACGCGCGAAGACACATAACACCAACGCCGCTTCAAGTCTCCGCCTGCTCGTCCCTCTCCCCCCCCCCTCGCCCCCTGGTCGGTTGACAGGTCTGGTCGCTAGACGCGGGCCTCCTCCTCCTCTCACGTGGCCGGGAAGGGGGGGAAGCTGTCACGCGCGCCCTGAAGGCGCCACGGGTTTGGGTTTTTGGCAGTCAGGAAGGAATTCTCCCCTCCGGAGGAGGTGGGTGGGGGGATACTGTGTGGTACTCGGGGCAAACCGGAAGGAGAAAATGACACCAAAGGGTTAAAGCATCGGGAGTCTCCAACAGCGGAAAAGGAGGCGGGCTGGGAACTGTTGGTTCCCAGCATGCATCGCTCCCTAGCTCCTTCGGAGGTTCGCTGGACGTTGCATGCTGGGAGTTGTAGTCGCCAAACAAAGGAGAAACGGAGTTGACTTGGGTTAGAGAGGTAGCCCGTCCGGGTCTCTGTTTCCTCTGTACATTCAGTGCTGGGGACACTTAATTGCCCCCGTGTGGCAGGAGTGGCCGGGTTAAATGCTTAATGTTAAATTCGAAACAGATAACATGTTTTGCGCTGTGGATCAGAAAGAAAGGGAAACTGGATTTATTTATTTTTCACTTGAGTTCTTTCAATAACGCTTGCTTTGTTATTTTTACCACCGTAAATATTGCTGGGCTGGACATAAATTTGCAAAAATCGCACAATCTGTTTAGCAGAATAAGCCTGCTCACTCTCTTTGCCCAGTTTCCCTTGGCAAAGTGTGTTTTTTGCACCTTGAGACCTTGACCCCTCTAACTGAGGTTGGCACAAGGGTGTGGGTGTGGAAATACTGATAACAGAATTATCTGAAAATATATAAAATTCCAAGCAATTGCACATACTTTTATTGATAAGCAGCTATCACTTGGAATATATGGTGGGGAACACATCAGAATTAAACTGCAGTGGTAATAAAAATATACTGTATAAGGAATAATAAAAGCATTTGCACACCCATTGCAGACATAGTAGAATTACAATCAATGTATCACATTTAAAATGAGTATATGTTGTCACAATGAGAACAAAATATAGATGTTGACATACCCAATTGTACAGGGAACCCCGGGGAAAAAAAGAGAAAAGAACAGATCTTAGGGCAGCCACTAAAATGTAATAACTGACCAGAAATTGTTCAGTTACAAGCATCTGAATTCAAAAGACAATTGTGCCAATATTTGTTTAGGTACAGGAATTATGAGTCTTGCTCATAGCTGTCAAGTGTCCCTTATTTGAAGGGACAGTCCCTTATTCCAGCGCCATGTCCCACTGCTGTCCCTTATTGATGGATGTCCCTTAAATGTCCCTTAAATGATGTCCCTTAAATTTCAAAGGAAGCAGCTCCTCTCCCTCCCTCCCTGCTGGCCAGGGAGGAGGGAGGCTCCAACTGTGTTGCTTGGCTGTACTGCTCACCCAATAAGAAGTCTAAGAACGACTGGGGGGTGGAGCTTGCATGCCTTGTGTGTGGCTAGTTAATGCAAGCTGAGGGGCATTTTGAATGCTGGATGCCATTTTGTTGCATGTGCTGCTGTAAACTTTGCAGTGCAAAGCCAGGCCGGGGAGCCATCTTAAGTTGAGGCTGCATAGGCCTTGTCGTGCATGTGATTCAGATTCTATTCAGTTGAACCTCTGGTTACAAAATTGGTTGGACAGTGTTCTCGAAGCTACCAGCATGAGTTTGACCAGACTGCAGGAGGACAGGAAGACTGGAGTGCCTGGAACAGGTGAGGCTGCAGGTCCCTTATTTTGGCTGCTGGTCCCTTATTTTCAAATCTGTAAGTTGACAGCTATGGTCTTGCTCAGGATGCATGACATGTTAACCACAGTCCTATGCTTGTTTACTTAAAAGAAAGTCTTGCTGTAGTGCTCAGTGGAAAGCTCCACTAGAATGTATACAGCAGAACAGGAAACATATCACCAAATCATAGAGAATGCTGGCGTGGTTATGTGCAGGCACAAGGCAGCTAGCTACCAGAGGCAAGGGTCTTTTCTTCAGAAAAAAATAGAGCAAAAAGGAACACAAATTTGCCTTTAAAGTGCAAACAGGCAATAAGGGATGCAGAAAAGGCATTGCAGTGGGATTGAGTGAGATTTGGTTGCCCTGATGGATATTTATCAAGAACGGGACAGGAATTCAGCAGGGCTCTTATTTTATTGATTTGAAGGTAAGGCATTGGCTTGCAGCCCAAATCTCCAACATAACTGAGTTAAAAAATAATAATAATAGGACTTTTGTTAGGGTTATTTTTTTCTGAAATGTCAGTATGACTTTCATTGTTTTCATAATCCAAAAAATTGGGACGATACAAATTTTTAAAATACTGAATTTTTAATGTAATTAACCTACTTCTGCTCTTACTTTTAGTCCACATTCAGTTTATTGCAAATATCTTACGTAATTACATGCAACTAGTTCCATATCAAGAAGTACTATTCTTGCATTTTTATCTGAGGTGATTTATAAAACATTTATTCCTTTTCAGTCAGCTTGTATAGTTTTATAGATGGAATCTTTGACAGTCTCCTGTTGAATTATTCATAGGGCCACGGTATGGGTGATACTAATGAGAACTTGCTAGATTGGAGCTTGCAACCGATACAATGTATGTGTCTCTGCATTTTGTGCGTGAGAGGGAGAAAGAGGGGGAGAACCTTTTCCTACTCCTCCAGATCTTGTGTGACTTGTAATCATAGAATCAATATAAAGTAATATTAAGCTTTAATAGTAGACAAAGCTTGCGAGTAGCTGTTTCTGCTGCTTTATGCATCTTGCCATGGTTAAATCCTTTGGGTTGCCATGTCCAGACACTGGTACCTTTAAGAGCTGCATAACATGAAACTTTCTGCCAATTGCAGCACTTTTCCATTACAGTACTAATATTGTAATGAGGACTGCAGTATTAGGCAAAACCTGCCATATTATGGAATTCTTAAAGCTACAGGACCCCTCTCAGAGCCTTGACTCAGTACATCCATTTTCTCATCTTTTGCAATCTGCACTGGTATTCTTTCCTGAAAGTGCTCAATGATTTGTGCTGCTTCCCTCCCCCCAACACACCCCAAAGTCATAATTCATTGATGCACAGTAATAGATGTAGAGCCAACTTGAAAATATAAATGGCAGGTAAGTGGTTTATCTTTGGAACAGACTAGTTTTTACATGCAGTGGGCACCATGCAACTACCTCAAGCCTACCCATAATTACATAGATAGAGTGACTGAGCTGATATGTGAATAAGGAGGGAAAAGCTCTTGAAGCTGAGCTTGCTGTTTAATTTCAGGGAATCTATTTCACAACTCTGGTAAGTAACCTAAGTGCTTTAACAGACTTGAATGAGCAAGTGGAGGTTTGAAGTACATACGGTATTTTATCAGATATATTACCAGGAGCCGTAACAGGTCTTTGAGAAATCACAGGTGTATTTAAAGTGACACTCCTTGATAAAGCTCTACTTTGCTTTGATATTTATTTTTTGAAGTATGAAATATCTGTGGTGTAGTGGTTAAGAGCGGTAGTCTCGTAATCTGGGGAACCGGGTTTGAGTCTCCACTCCTCCACATGCAGCTGCTGGGTGACCTTGGGACAGTCACACTTCTTTGAAGTCTCTCAGCCCCACTCACCTCACAGAGTGTTTGTTGTGGGGGAGGAAGGGAAAGGAGAATGTTAGCCGCTTTGAGACTCCTTAAAGGGAGTGAAAGGCAGGATATCAAATCCAAACTCTTCTTCTTCTTCTTCTTCTGTTTACACACACACACACACACACACACACACACACACACACACCTCTAAGACCTTTAGAACTGAAAAAGAAAATTGTACCTTTTAATATAAAGAAACAAAAATAAATTATTCTGCACTACCTTATTTGGCAGTGATCTTGCATTGATAGCAAAGTGGTTAACTTTTTAATGGGCTAGTTCTGTTTCTGTTGCTCCATAGGAGATGGATCCACACGACGTGTCGCCATAGTATTTTGAAATCATATTTAGTCTCTTTTACAAGCTTGTGTCTACTAACTGATCTGAGATCAAACTACTGTTATTACATATCTGTTACAAACTATATAATAGCACAAGCCAACTCATTCAGGAAAAACGTATCTGTGTACTAGCCCCATAAGAGTTGACATTGCTTTTACAGATGAAAGCATTGGTTCAATACGATATAAAATTATCTGTCCTTATCTTTTACATCTATCAAGCTTCCCTTATACTTCCTACCAGACCAGAAAGCCCTGAGCACTACAACAATCCCATTGTTGGTCACTCAGTTTTAGCATTAATAATTCAGTTGTAAGACGGACTGTTAAACATTTGATATTTAATGCATGTAAATAATTTTGTGTTTTCTTTCTATACGCAGCCACGAATCTATGATAGTATCTTTCTTTCTTCTACCTTTCTTGTATTATTTTTACTTATTGAGGCATTTTAATCAATAATTAACGTATCTCAGATCCATTCCTGCCTTGCAGCTGGATTGGGAGTTATTATTCAGATTCGAAGATTCTGCATTTTTCAACTGTTATTGGGTACCAAGAACAGTGGAGGGAGCGCTCTTGGTAGTTCCTGCACCTTCAGAAGTTTAGAGGCACCAACCTGGGAGAGGGGCCCACCTTATTTCTGTGACTTAAGTTGTTGTAAACTGGTATTGATATTGTGTTGCAATGTTGTAACCCATCCAGGGGGTGTATGGTGAAGGGCAGTTAAGTGGTGGTGGTGATGATGATGTCATAAACAACTTGAGAGCAGGACACTTACAAGAGCCTCATCTTCCCTACTGCCTGATGGGAGCCTTACATTCATCTCATAAGGACCTCCTAGGGATGCTACAACTACTGGAGATTTGACTGGCAGCCACTGAGGGTAAGCCATTTCTGTAGTGGCACTCTTTTTTTGCAGACCCACATCTTCTAAACTTAGGCAAGCACCATCCATGATGGTATCCCTGCACCTCCTTAAAATGTAGTTATTCGACCAAGCTTTTGCTGATGCATAATTCTGGTTTTAGCTGGCTTTTACACTTCTACCCGATTGCAGCTGCATTTTACGATGTACTTGGTTTTCTTTTTTTCGTGTTCACCACCTCAAGACCTTGGTGGCAGGTAGTATAGAAATGTTCTTTAAAAATATAATAAACAACCTACAGCAATGTCTTTCCAGGTGTATTTGTGTTTTATAACCCCCTTCCAATACCAGAGCTCAATATAAGTTAAAGCCTCCAGAAAAAAATAGTTTCAAGGATGTGTGAATAGCCAGAGGCATCTTAAATATGGCACCTGCTTACATTTATGGGAAAGTAAATCCCACTGAGTACAATGAGACTTATTCCCAAATAAGTCTACATAAGACTGCAGTTTCATATCTCACAAATTGCATTGGATGTGCAGCTGTTTTATTTAAAAGGTGTAGAAGGAATGGTCGCAAAAATGATTTGCATAGTTAATTCTTAAAGTTATATTGTCGATTACTTACAGACTGCTTACAAAAGTTTTCAATTGATTTTATGCAAAATGGTGGAAGAACTAAACTTTTGCATAGGCTTGTAAATGCTTTTCTATAGAGAAAAGAATGTCCATCAGGAAATACAAGTGCTTTCTGTTCTGATCATTGTTCTCTTTTATTTTTGTCATCTAATAAAGGCAAAAAGGTGCAAAAATTAAGAATATTTATTAGTATCATTCATTATTGATTAAATAAAAAATGACTGTTTTAGACACAAATCTTGTTTCTGATCATACAATTACAATATAGACACAACAATATTAAAAGATTATAACATCTCATACATAACCACCAATGGGTCCAGCCCATTGAAAGCCCTTGCATAAACAACACAGAGTGATAGTACAAAGCATTACACTGGAATTTATTGCTTTTCTGGGTTTAAACAAATAAGATGGAATAAGAAAAAGCATATGTCTACACAGAAATAGTGCCATGAGCACAGAAGCACAATCACAATTGTATGGATGAAATCAACTATATTAAATATTATTCACTTGTATTATATTGAAGCACACTAGATAAATCTGTTGCCATTTGAAGATTCGTCTCTTGTTCTGCAGCTTGCTGCCATCGGTCAACAAATACATGTGCACTATTATGCTATTTTAACACTTTAGACTGGCAGATATAAATCAAAAATCCTGGGAGAAAATGGGGACTAGACTCAGGGAAGTGCATCATAAGAGCCCAATTCACCTCCCCTCACATTCCTTTTGCTGGAAATGGGGCAGCCCCTGTCATCTCTAAAAGAATCCTAGCGGAGCGATTTGGGCTTTTGGGATGCATGCCACATCTTCAGTGTCCAATTCATTCTCCATTCATGATGTCTTTCTGAGGCAGTGGAATATAGGCCCCTGTGCCATTGAGATGATCTTTTCCAGAACACCATCAACCAGGATCAGCCAAAGTTGTTCCACCAAGCCAAGCAACTGTTTTCACTAAGAGGTAAATAAAATATGCCAACTTCTTGGTCAGCTAACATAGCTCTCTTGCTCCAGGTGGCATGAGGGATGCAGGAATGAAGTAAGTCCTGTTGAGTTTAATGGGACCTTTTAAAAAATAAGTATGTTTCTGATTGTATACACTAGAAATGCAAACCAGAATTATCCAGTAGAAATAGCTACCAATATATATAGAATGATACATATGTTAATATACATATTGGCATTTTCTGCACAATGCTCTTGTCATAAGGAGACTTTTAAAAAGCGATCAAATGAGTACTGCTATACACAAATGTTATATGGAATATGTTATCTATACAACTGTTCTTGGCTTACATCTGCTAATAAGGACCAGATATAAATCATAGCTACAGTAACAATATGCTGCTGCCCCCATATCTGTCTGGAGGTGTTGATGCAATTGCTTTAAGAAGTCATATGTATGAGTTCAACCATTAAGTCCAAATCTTAATATCTGAGGGATTATGAAGCAAACAAACACAAAGTCAACATATAAATAAACAATTCATGGTTTTCTTTTCCTTCAAAAAGCAGTTCATTCATGTGATTCCAGAAACTCGTATTCATTCCAACTAAAGAATGACTCTCTTGAGCTGAAAACTCATGATATACTGGATTTGCAGATTATGCTATAGCTATGTTAGCACTTGTTCCACTTAAAGTATTCCAGAGACACATGTCGGGCTAGCTGGTCAAGACGGGCATTTTGTACTGTAATCAGATGATGTCACCTACAGATACAAATATTTTCCAGAGTTGCTCTATGACCCAGCCAAGCACTTAGCCAAAGCTCTGGTCCACATCTGTATAACATTAACAGTGTGGCATGTGCTGGAGATTTTGCATTGCTTTTGAGCAAGAGTAGGAAGCAATAGCCAGTATCTCTTTTAACCAGCAGTCGTGTAATGTGCCCTACTGCAGCCTGCATTGTGTCAACATTAGCAGTCATATTCCACCACCATCCTACATCCTAGAGGTTCTTACCTGCAGTTCAGCGGCATATTCCTTCCCAACATCAGTGACAATATCATCATGACACCAAAATCACCATCACATTAGTCATGGGATCAAGTCACTTTTTGTCAGATGTTCTATGACTCTATGGCCTTGCTGTAGGCCAGATATATTTGGAAATGCCTTCTAATCACCAGTAACCATAGAAACATCAGGACTGCAAAGCCTGAAGTTCAAAATGTGGGGGTGGGGGAAACCATGCCACTCCCAATATAACACCAGCTCTACTCCTATACCTGGTATAATCACCATGCCAACTAAGAGTGGTACCTCCTGTTAAATTGGGACCTAGCATAATATTGATTACAAGGGTCTATTTCAAATCCAAAGGAGGGAGAATCTAAATACCAGTCATTGTGCAAGCTGCATGCTATCTTATGAAGGGGAAATGGGAGAGGGAAACCTTTTCAAACAGCAGCTTATCAATAGTTGCAGTGTTGAATATACTTGAATGTAATTGCCACAGAATAAACACTACAGAAAACTGAAAATGTGGCTGAAGTTCTGCATTCTGCTTGGTATATAAATCCCTTTTATTTTAATGGACTTGAGCATAGAACCACTTTTCAGAATAGGAACAGATATTAGTTGTGAAAAGGTAAAAGTCACTCCTGTGCACAGCTAAAGCCACATCCTGTATAGCAGTACAAGTGATGCCCTACTTTTCTCTCATTTGTGATTTTGACCTTTCATTCTGAAACAAATGACATTTTACATTTTGTCCAAATGATCAAACCTAAGAAAAGCCTGTTGAGACTGGTATTATGCTTCCATATACCTGCTTAATCTTGGAAGACCTTGTCAGTGTCTCCAGGTCTTCACACATTCCTACGCCACTGAATTTGTTAAATACACGAAGATAACCTATTTTCTCTGCTCTACAGGCTGTTACTATACTCTGAAGCTCACATTTTATCAAATAGGTCTACAGGAGATAATACAGCATTTTCATTCCACAGAAATGATATACTTGAGACCAGGTCATGAGACATGAGGGTTTTGTGTATCAGCTTCCAGGGCCTAAGTAGAGAATGCTCATGCAAAACCACCTAATTCCTCTTATTTAAGCTGTGCCTCTGGTTTGGGCTACTATATAGCTATTCTGGAGTATATCGCTTCTGAGTATAGCATTTTTGCTGGGCTCTAAAAGTTAGACTACTATGAAACAAATAATGGTGAACTATGCGCTGACAAACACACATTTCTATAGTTCTGTAAAGTAATGGAGTTTCAGTTCAGTTGGCATGAAAAAACAGTTTTGCAATAAAACAGTTTATCCATAAAACACATAAATGCACCTACTCTATAACTTATGATGGGTTATACTTGCTTCTCCCAATCAACAATATTCTGCTCTCGTATTATAAATATATACATTATGCCATGTATATGCCATATACATTAATAGAAGACACGTAAAGCGACTTAAAGGTAAAGGACCCCTGGACAGTTAAAGTCCAGTCAAAGGCGATTATGGGGTGTGGCACTCTTCTTGCATTCAGGCCTAGGGAGCTGGCGTTTGTCCACAGACAGCTTTCCAGGTCATGTGGCCAGCATGACTAAATGACTTCTGGCTCAATGGAACACTGTGATGGAAGCCAGAGCGCACAAAAATGCCATTTACCTTCCCACCACAGCGGTACCGATTTATCTGCTTGCGCTGGGATGCTTTCAAACTGAACAGCCATATACATTAATAGAAGACAGGTAAAGCAGCTTGTAATAATTTGGAATCATATATCGAATGCTTTGTAGCATTTCCCCCCCTACTCCGTCTTTTATAATATTTCATGCAAAACTGGAAGACATAATTTCATTTAAACTGTCACCATTGTATACCATATTAAATTTTAAAAGTAATTAAATGTGAAGTCATTCACGGTCTGCACTGTATTAGTGATGGGTTTTGCTTTGTCTCCATTTGCAGTATCATGTATGGACCCATTCTATTGCTTGTAGAATTGATTTAACATTTTTACAGTATGAGATCTAAGCAATTTCATTTTCCTTTTTTTGTTTATGAAATACTATTCCCCTATGGAAAATGCTACTGTTTTCACAACTGATCTCTTCCGTCATCTTGCAAGCAGAAGCAGAACTGAGGTGGCAGAAACTATTCCAACTGCGGGGGTGGGGGTGGGGAATGGGGATTATATAGCTAACTTTGCACACACAAAAGGTCATTCTGGTTTATCATAGGAAAAGGCACATTACCCAGAACTTTATGATTTTGTCATTTGACAGTTTTAGCTCCCAAAAGGGGCTTTCTTTAGCCACTGGTAATGTGGTTCACAATCTATTCAGGTAAGAATACCTATGTATGTGAGCAGAGAAGAAAAATATTACTTCTACTTATAAGCTGGGGATTTTCAGTTCCCCCATTTCTGTAGAAGCCCCAAAACATCACCAAAAAGCAAGAAGTACTCTGGAGTAGCATATCACGCAGCTCAATGGGCTTCTCATGGATTGCAAAATTGAATGGCTCCTCCCATGCCCACATGGAAGCATTTTCTTTGTGACTTCAGTACATAAAATATGAACAAGCAACTTAATAGCAATGTATCAATTCAATAAACTTGCCCAAACATTGAATCAGTATTGTGCGTTATCTCTATATACAGTGTCTGAGGGCATGAAAATAACCTCTCTTGATGCTGTATTTGCAACCAAACTGCATTTATAAGCTGTTGTGGTACAATCTATATCAATTCACTGCACAGAAAGTTATTCTTCAGCCTTCAACAGCTTCAAGGTAAATGCTAGAATAATGCAACTACCCTTTCTCAATCAACCACGAAGGGTGCATGTTGCAAAACCTATAGATATTTAAAGACAATCAACTGCACACTTCTTTTTTCAAACAGCAAAACACTGGCTTTTGAGGCTTAGGTTGTGATGTAGCCATGCCACATTTCCCAGGATTGTGATCAACAAGGCCATGCACAGATTTTACTAATGTATTTAGGTTGCTTTCTTCTCACAGATCAACATTATTTACGTCAGTGCTACTTACTCCACCACTTTCAACAACTTGAAACAAAGACAGTGGCAAGACTGAAATGAATATGGCAACACACACATAAAATATGTGCTACTGTTCTTACCACTGTTTTTATGGACTGGAGTCCAGTGGTTGTTATTGATGCCACATAATTTGGCTACTTCCATCTGCTTATTTCCAGACATATCATTGGCATCAAATGCCAGTTCAGTATTTGTAAGGTGAAGTCCTTTAAAAGCTGATTTATACTTTGTGAAAAAGCTGGGTTTGCTGCTGTCTTGTCTACCTTCAGTCCAGTAATTGAAACTGAAGGAGACAGAAGAAGAATTTAGTTCATTGTATCAAACTATGGAGCAGGGAAAGACACAACTACTGACAGATCTTCATAGCACTGCATCGCCACCAGATGGGCTTTAAATGAATTCAAGTATCTGGAGTGGAAGGTATGTTATCCTATTCATTTTTGGCTTCTGGAACAGCGTCTGCTAATCATTTTTACTATGGTAATTGGATGTTAAATGCAAACATTTTGAGTTTACAGTGCTACACCCTCTCTCGACTCCTTTAAGACTTCCTAATGTACTTAAAAGTGTCGAGTTTGCAATTACTGCTTTTACCTTTCAAGTATAGAAGAAACTACAGCTTTAAGCTAAAAATTACCAGAATTTTATTATTTTTTAAAAATTACTATTATTTTTATCTATTTATTGTTCAAAGATAGCTACCTAATTGGCACCCTTTTAAGTTATTGCTTTAGAAACAAAGTCACAGAAGCCAAATCTGGTTAGAAAAAAAGATTAAGAAGTACATATCCTTCACTTAGTTAAAATACCATAGTATGTTTTTTCATAAAGGTCAAATCAGAATATTGTACTGAAAATGTAACATTTGCTCTTATCAACAAAAGGCTTATTTAAAATACCCATTGGTTTAAGCAGATTATTCCAATAATCTGAGTCAATATTTTAAACAGTTTATTGCTAAAATGAATTGTCCACTTTAATTGTGCAGATCCAAGACCTTTCTCCTACAATTCCAATGAAAGCACTGATATTATTGCTTTTAGACAAGATGTTCTGTCATTGAGTTTCTGAAGTCTGTAGCTCAATAAATAAGCAAATGATTTCTTTTCTTTTTTCAAGTAATGCAAACCAGGTTGAGTTGGTTTAACAACACCGCTTAGTTGTTTGTGCAGTCTGCTTTCCAAGTTTTATCGTCCCACTGTTGCCATTTTCATGAGTTTCCAAGGGTGGAATCTGTCGACCTAGACATGTTGAAAAACAAAACACATGCAAGTGTTCAAAGCCTGGTATGTTCTTTTAGGACCAAATTGCATTCAACACAAGGGATCTGTGAACAGGAAATTCCACGGTGCTTTGAAGCCGAGATAATCAGCTAATAGTAAGGGCACAAACAGAATTGCTGCTTTGAAGTCCCTACAATTAGTTGTTCATCGGGGCTTCAAAGCCCTGCACATGGCCCTCTGTAAGCAACAACAAACAGCTGATTATCAGTGCTTGCAAAGAGCCACTCAAGGTGCTATGCAAAGTGTTTTGCAATACTCCCACTCAGATGACTGGTGGTGCACAGCAACCCCTTTTTCGGGACAACTTAGTCTTTACCTGCTGACAGCATACAATATCACATTTAGGGCAGATACTGTAGGTGTGGCTTAGACAAAACAGGGAGGCCTGGTGGGCCTAATTAGGACCAAGGATGAGAGGTTCTCCATCATGGACAGAATGTTTTTACACAAAAATATGATTGAATATTACTTGTGGATTTCTAAAGAACTCAGGATCAATAAACTAAGTAACAATATATTGCCAGATTTTTTGCTTCATGTTCTAGGATTTTTTTAATGGTTTAATAGAAAAACTAAGGCAGTTGCCAATTCACTCATTCTCTGAAACATATGGCAATTTCAAGTTAAGGCACCCTTTGGAACGTCTGTATCATGTAAGATGCCCATCAAATTTGCAGATGACACCAAACGGAGGGGTAGCCCATGCTGCAGAAGACAGAATCAGGATTCAATATGACGTTCACAATTGGAGAACTGGGTCAAAACTAACAAAATAAACTTCAATATAGACAAATGTAAGATTCTACCCTTGCACAGGAAGGACCAGCTCCATGTGCAGAGGAGGGGGACCAAAATTATCAAGGGTCTAGAAGCCAAGCTTTATAAGGAATGGTTGAGTTTGGTATATTTAGCCTGGAAAAGATGAGACTCTGAGAGGAGATATGATAGCCATCTTCAAATATCTAAAGGGCTGTCATGTGGAAGATGGAATCTTATTTTCTCCTTCTCTGGAGTCTAGGACCCAAAATAATGGAAGTTACAAGAAAGTAGAATCTGACTAATCAGGAAGAACTTTCTGACAGTAAGAGTGGAACTGTCTCCCTCAGCAGGTGATGGACTCTCCTTCTTTGGAGGCTTTTAAACAGAGGTTGGACAGCCATCTGTCATGTATGCTTTAGTTCAGATTCCTGCACTGCAGGAGGTTGGAATGGATGGTCCTTGGGGTCTCTTCCAACTCTACAATTCTATGGTTCTATGTAAGCAGAAAAGATCTTAAACAATCTCTAATATTGTGCTTAATAATAATAATAATTTATTTATACCCCACCCATCTGAATGGGTTTCCCCAGCCACTCTGGGTGGCTTCCAACAAAGATTTTAATGTATTTTTAAACGTCACCCATTAAAAATTTGCCTAAACAGGGCTGCCTTCAGATGTCTCCTTGCACCCCCACTTTTTCTTGGTCTTTCAGTGGGAGGCAATACTGTGGTATGTTATACAGAATGTCATGGTCATAATTAACAATGCAACCCTGGGGCAATTATCTCTGAATGCTCGTATATTTAGACTTGAACCATAATCTTTGACGGCCAGGCAATTTTATTTTACGTACATGCCACACTTCTTCTGAATTGCTCTGAGCAAGTTAGCATATGGTTCATAGGCGTTCTTTCATCCAAGCATCTTACAATACGAGACCTGCTTAACTCTAGCAGTAGATCTGCATTATAGTCCTTGTTATACACTCTGAGTTCCAATTAAATTAAAGAGAACTGCATGCATTAACTGCATATGCCAGCCAAGGCTTTTAAATCAGCACCTATCCTAGACGCTGATAATTTAAGTGGCCTAAATTAAGAAGGGCCACAGCTCAATATCAATGTGCATGTTTTGCATGTACAGGTTCCCAGCTGCAATTTGTAGCACAGGGTGGGGAGCCTTTTTCAACCAGAGGGCAGCATTCCCTGCTGGGCAGCTTTCCAAAGGTCACATCCCATAAACTGGGATTTTGTCAGTTGCACTGTTCAATGTTCATCAAATTCAGTTAGACTTACTTCTGAGTAGGCATGGTTAGGATTGCACTGTAAGTCACTAACAGAGATTTTGATAATGGGAGGCTCTTTCCCACTTAGAAATAAGTTCCTTTGGCAGTAGCTGAATTACATAAATTATTCTAATGTACCATTTATTGTACAGCAAGGATTTGTTCAACTTTGGTTCCTATTTTGTGGTACATTTGGTTGGTTTCAAAGAAGCATGCTGTTAACATAGACAATAGTTTTAGGCATACTGTATAATTTAGCAATTATATAATTTATGTAATTTAGCAATCCTATACATATCTACTTAGTAGTAAGATTTATTGAGTTTGATAGGGCTATATACTAGGCAGAAGTATATAGAACTGCAGCATTTATTTATGCTATAAAGTAGATATAAGTATTCTAACTAAATTAGCTAATTTGTATTCACTCCCTTTTTGTTGATGCATCAGCACACTATGAACCCATGAAATGAAATAAATGTAGTTATTGACAAGTATGGGTCTGCATTCTTATGATTTATTGGATTTACGCTGCTTTACTTAAGTATTTAGGCTGCTTAATGATTAAAGATTTGGAGAGGCTTATTTACTACCCAAACACAAGTTACACAGGCTGCTTGCTCCAAACCACTCATCTTCAAAAACCACTCAAAATAGGTCATGTTCTGCACTATCAAGGAGATTTGGGGCTGAGTTTATCATAAGTGAAGTTCAGGTCTAATCTTTCCATAATAAAGTACACTTCAAGCTGACAGATCAAATGTACTATATTGCACTGAAATCATAGATGAAATTAGCTGTGGTAGCCTCTTGTTCCGGGGGGCAGGGGCGGAGAGCAGGCTTATATGTTCTTTTCATATATTATTGCCCTTACAAATCTGAGAGCTTTGATAGTCACATAGTGCTAAATTATGGCATCTTCTCAGTTTTGCTTCTCTTTGTTTAAACTTCTATTGTTTGTGAAGTCCACTTTTTATATGTCACCCTTTGTTTGCTATGGAAGCATGAACATGCAGCATATTGTCACAAACTTCTAAAGGAATTCTTCATAATCTGGGCAGAGGAGGTGGGCACATAGTGGAAGGTATGCGAAGCAGCTGCTCTAATCAGTGCCAGAATTACTTTAGGATAAAATCCAAACAAAAATCACCTTCCCCTTAAGGAATTCTATTTGAAACCATATTGAAATGTCTTTTATGGGAAGCTTTCCCAATGGGTAGCTGTTGCAGGGAGGGGAATACTGTACAGCAATGCTGCAGTCTTAAGACTGCAATTCCTATAATCAGGCCAAATTTAATGAATCACAGAGAGTTGTAATAGACAAGCAGATGAAATTATATTTTACTACGCAAGTCAGCAGCCACTCTTTAGAGAAGATAAGATGGCTCTGTTCTAAGTCAGCTTCTGAATGAGCTATACCCACTGACATATATTGATTGATAGTGTCTTCTTGTCAGACTTGTCCAATTTCAGACATCGGCATCTGCCACTGATTCTCGTGCCCCCTAGGAGACTAGCCATATCCCTTTTCACATTCTTTGCCAGTCAGTATAAGTCTCCTGGATGTCAGAGGTGTTTTCAATAGCAAAGATCAGGCTTCTAACATTTATGTTAGTGGCAGAGTATTCATGTGACTCAGCCCTCAAAAACCCTACTCAAAGTTTTGAGTAGATTTACCTTTCTAAAACCTGAGGTGTTTTTTTACCTGAGAAGGGTAAAAAAAGGCTAGCCTTACAACTGCTCTCCTTTGAGAAGGAAACACCCATGTACCAGGAAACAATGTGCCATAGTGAGAGTAGTGGCGCACCACATGAGAGCACAAGGACAGCAAATAGCTACAGGTAAAGAGGTGAAACTATGTGTTATGGAAGTGGAGAGGAAGGCTTCATCCCCTTAATATAACCATCCCGGGTTCCTTTGGTGGAAGGGCACAATATAAATTCAATTAACAATAGCTAGCCCTGAGTTGCTCAGTCACACCACTGCTTGTATCTAACCTGCTAGAGCTTATGTCCTAAACTGACCGAAGCTTCCAGAAGAATAAGTTCCTTTTTGTCCTTCTTCCAAAGTATAAATGAATAGGAAAAAGGAGATAGAGGAGGATGAGAATTAGAAAAATCAATGTCATACCCGCTTGTGTGAGGGGTTGCTTATGCCTGGGAAATCATGCTAGCTGGCTATCAAGTTCTACCTGTCAGAGCCTGCTGTGTTAAGATAGGCCAAGCTTGTCTATGCAAAATGGAGCAATCACCACAGCAACTATACAAATGTTTATGATAAATTAAAATAAATATAACTTCCTAAGAAACAGCTAGCATGTTGCAATGGATTAAGAGTAGATGGGGAATCCAGCTTCAAATCCCTGCTCAGCATTAAACTCACTGGGTGGCCTTGGCCAAGCAACTCTTTCTCAGCCTGTCCTATCTCCTAGGATTACTGTGAAGGTCCTTGAAGGAAATAGGAGATATAAATGTATCAAATATAATAATAAATAAGTAGCATATACTTCAGCCGAAGAAAAATGTAGGCAGCTATTTTTGGTTGCTATATCAGTGTCATTAAGGATTACAGCCATAAGGCTCCTCACACATATTGAATTATCTCTTCTCAGCAGCAGACTAAAAATAATGTAATATTGGTGGATTTATTTAGTTAGTGGTGGCACAGTTAGACATAAAACAGCAGCAGCTGCAAATCCTTCACAAGTCCCTTAGGTCTTTATCTGGAACGTCAGTTCTGTAATACTAAGGAAATATAGGGCTATAATATATATTCTCTTGACTATGCAGGTATAGTTTTAATCAGGCAAATACTTTCAAAAATATTTCAGATGTTACTAATGTCGATGGTAAATGTATATGATGCTCCTGTTATGAGTATTGTACATCCACTCATAAGTTCAAAGTTAAACTTAACTCATAAGTTCTTAACTTAAAAATGGAAGGCATAATGCTGGTGGTCAACAAAAGAGGTTTAAAGACTCCCTCATGGCAAATGTTTTTTTTAAAAAGTAGTATAAACACTGACAACTGGGAAACACTGACCTGCAAGCACTCCAACTGGAGAACAGCCTTTACCAAAGGTGTCATGGGCTTTGAAGAACTCAGGACGAACGGGAGAAACAACTCCCGCCCAGAAACCAATGTCCCCACTGTGGATCCAGAATTGGCATCCACAGTCACTTACGGGCTCACTGTTAAAACCGTGTTTATGGAAGACAATCTTACTCGGCTACGAGTGATTGCCAAAGAAGAAGACATGCACTCATTTTTTTCAAAAGTTATCTAAACCTATATTCTCTGAAATTATTTTTATTTCTAAACAGCTGCTAACACCTTTATTGTCATTCCATAAAAACAGAAATGAGAAATGCAATGTTTTTCACAAGGCCTCCAGCTACTCATGCTTACTTATGGATAGCCTATGTCATGGATAGCTGAAGTCTTGACAATGCATTGAATGATTCAGTCATTTGACAGTGTCCCTACTCAACTTTTATTTTTATATGTTAATGATATAAGTATGTAACATTATATAGGTTTTGTTGAAAATGATTGGTTATTTTACTACAAATCAATAAAATATTCTATATGTAAAAAAAATAAAAATACTAAGCAACTTGAAGTTGTTGCTTTTTTACAGACACAAATATTCTCACTTTACTTACTGATTCCTTGAAAGAGTTCTTCAATGTTAATTGCATGCTTGGCACTCGTTTCAACAACAATTGCACCTATAGACTCTCCATATTCTTTGGCATCTTTCATAGGTACCTCCCTAAAATTAAAAATTGAAATTAAACTGCTGTGAATCCAAAAACATAGGAAGTAGCTGCTCGAATTAAAGTGTTCCTTATCATAACCTGCATTACTCTAGGAAAGGAAAACAGTTTATACTCAATGGAAAACACTTCTCCCCTCCTTGTGCTACTCGTTGCAAGCTTCCCCACATTCCTCCTTTAAGCCTCTGACTTCAGGAGTTTAAAGGAGCAGCATGAGGCAAAGAGAGCTCCCTTGCACTTGCCCAAGTCAGCTGCTTAAGGGATCCTGTGATAACATAATGACAGATGGGCAGTCCCACCTACCTGTCAGATCTGGTCCATGGTTCTAAGAAGGTTCCCCACCCCTAATTTACAGGGACGGGCATAGCTTCCACAGGACACTTGGGGTTCATCCACACTTTTGCTTGCCCTACCTCTCCCCCTCCTCTTGGCAAACCACATCTTTACAGCTGAATTGGAGCAAACATCAATTGGGTTTTCTCTGAATTGATTCATTCCCTCCCATTTAGAGCAAGTTTTCCAAGGGAATGGTGGGGCAAAGACAAAAGTGCTTAGACCCATGTCTGGAAAGTACAGCCACGGCTGGTTCTGGGGATGGCATCCACCATCTCCCTGTGGGCCAGGGGAAGGGATTGTCACTCAGGCACAGCCTCCTCTGGCATTGCCAGACCCACCATTTGGGGTAGGCCTTGTCCGCAAGGCCAATAGGGGCAGGGGCACTGGGCCCTACCCGTCCCGTCATACAGTGGTACCTCAGGTTACAGACGCTTCAGGTTACAGACTTCACTAACACAGAAATAGTACCTCGGGTTAAGAACTTTGCTTCAGGATAAGAACAGAAATTGTGCAACGGCAGCGCAAGGCCCCATTAGCTAAAGTGGTACCTCAGGTTAAGAACGGTTTCAGGTTAAGAACGGACCTCCAGAATGAATTAAGTTCTTAACTCAAGGTGTCACTATATTTAAGAGGACAACGATGTTTATTGAAAAGCAGAGCTGTTTTAAACCATTCCAATAAACTTTCCAATTAATTTTAAACCAATCCAATAAACTTGCACTATTTATATCAGCCTTAACAAAATGGTATTTTCATCAAGTGAATAAACTATGAAGAGGAATTTCTCTATGATACTGAGAAAAACCGTCTGATATCAAACACTTAGGATCGATGACCAAAAGGCTGATAAAAGGAAAACAGAAATCCATATATGTTGTTTATTGGCTTGATATGACTTTGTGCCAGTGCAATCAAGCATATATGCCACTCAATATCACAGGGATATTGTAGGGGGGGAAAGAGGCAAGAACAAGCAATTTGAAGACAAAAGGTCAATACTTTACCTAATATCAGAAAGATCACATTTGTTTCCAGCGATGGCCATTACAATGTTTTCAGGACCATGTTCTTTTAGTTCTTTTACCCATTTTTTCAGTGTATGAAATGAATCCTAAATTAAATACAAGAGCCTATTAACAGGAAGTTGCTAAATGCATCAATATACTGAACCCTGTAATGACATAAGGATACCAAAGTACTAGATAAGATATTATCAGTGCCCTTAACAAATATAAACTTTAACTTGCATCTGATGTTAACCTATATCTAACTAAACCAGCTTTTGAGAGAACAGTATGTCCAATTGTGGCTTCTCAAACAATCTGCTCACACCTAATTACAGAAGTACCTATTTGTGGCAGCAGTTATAAAGGACACAAGCATGGTTAATTCAGTAATCTCCCTTTAAAGACACATGGAAACTGAATGCAGGGGGGGAAATCAAGTCCCTGCTTTGGTGAATTTTAAAGGACTGGGATTGCATAATTTAGAACTGTTGTGGCATTGGTATATTTGATACTTAAGTACCAAGTGTTGTCTGAGGGGGAACTATTTATGAAATACAGTGGTACCTCGGGTTACAGATGCTTTAGGTTACAGATGCTTCAGGTTACAGACTCCGCTAACCCAGAAATAGTACCTCCGGTTAAGAACTTTGCTTCAGGATGAGAACAGAAATCGTGCGGCGGTAGCGCAGCAGCAGTGGGAGGCCCCTTTAGCTAAAGTGGTGCTTCAGGTTAAGAACAGTTTCAGGTTAAGAACGGACCTCGGGAACGAATTAAGTTCTTAACCCGAGGTACCACTGTACAGTCTTTCTACCTCCTAATTCCACGTGCAAAATAAAATATAACCCACATCAGGCCAAATATGAATACATTAACAAGCAAATATAGGATATTTAAAATTAAATATACAATAATTTAAACTTTAATTAAAAATTAAAAAAAAAATTGGGTGCTCTTATATTTCTGTGCTGCACACAAATACTTGCTTCTTTGGCAATAGCATGGTTTTCATTTTTTTCTCCCGAGAATTCCTTGCTATTAATACCATTTAATCCTTCTTTGTAAAACTATTCATTTTAATTTTCAAACATATTTTGATCATAGTCTACAGCTCTATGACTAATTCTGTTTGCCCAGGAGGCCTTTGGAAGCTTGGGAAGATGCAAAACCAGTCTGCGTCAAAATGACTCAAAACCATGTGAAATTGGGGGTTACGTATTTTAGTGGACGCATAAAGTTCTTGGCCTTTTAAACAACCTGATCTGGGTATGCATGACTCTTCCCCCATGGAGATAAATCAATTATCTACCATACCATTTATTTGAATGCAATATCTCTGGTGTCATGTTCTACCATTTCCAAGGATAAAAAAGCCAATAGAGTCAATATAGGAAGACACCTAAATATATTCCAAGACAATAATGCCCACTCATATCACAAAGAACTCGTAACCCATCTACTCTTAGCAACCAGAAACATCATAGCAAGACACTGAAGAGACCTGTCAAGAGTAAGCATGGACCAATGGTACCAAATAGTATGGGAAACAGCCCTACTAGAAAAAATAACAGATAAACTGAAACTGACACGGGGACAAATAGAAGACGATACCCTTCATCACATACACAGCCCAACAAGACAATGACAAGAATCCACCAACAGCATATGAATCAATATGGCTAATCTGATTTAAAAATTCCCACTGACCCCACTCACACACGAAAACAAAGTTCAACACAGCCAATCAAACACAAGCAACCGCACCCTAGGCCAACCACAATTTCTCTCACCAAAGAACACAACAGAATAGCAAAGAGAAGCTGCACAAATGACACTGACAAAAAACCCCACACATACATTAAGCAAAACAGAAATATCGCCTCCCGACCCCACCCCCACCCACCATGGCCCCCTCCACCTCTTCCCCCGTTTTTTCTTCCTAATGTAACCCTAATGTCTCAACAAATGAAACTGACCTATGGAAAATGTAACTTGAAAAAAGAGACATTGTGCATACCTTTGTGAACCAAGAAAACTCTCTCTCTCTCTCTCTCTCTCTCTATATATATATGAATAAAGACACTGTTATTGAAAATCACTGTACCACCTGGATTAGATGTTACTTACTCCTCAGAGTGAGAAAGTAGGAGAACAGCAAGACAAGAGAGCTTGGGATTTGTCGTTTCTGGTAATAAATGTCTGACAAGTCAATTTATGCACCCCTAAGGCACCATACTAGATTATGGCCTTTGTAATCACCGTTGTTTAGTTTAAAGGTAAATATCCATTTAGTATGAAATTAATGGGATTTTTTATTTGCATTGAGTGCATTATCTTTCCTCCATAGCTCCCCAACACTTCATTCAAGTTCACTACCACTACGCAGGAAGGTGTTAGCCCTTGATAAATAATTTTGCTAATATACCAATTAATTGTGCCAACACTTCTGAGCTAAAATCAAATATGTAATTCAATTTGCTAAATATGTAAACTGCAGGCAAGCTATTATATTCACTCATTAATGCCTTTCCTGTTACACAGCACTAGCAGATGGGTTTCTTACTAAAATACAAATACATAATTTGGCCTTGAAAATGTGCAGCTTTCCATTTGTATGTTATAGCAGAGAACGTCCTGACCACACTGACTTCCCAATCTCAGTAATCTGTCAAAAACCAAAGACTTGTTGTTACGTAATTTTAATTTCAGCTATAAATATGGAGCCAATTTTGTTATTACTTCATTTACTTAGCTGAACTGTTTTGGAACAGTTTAAAAATATCCGAGCAAACTTCCGGGGAGGTGCCTCCGGCAATGGCGGAATTCCTCTGACCGGGAGGAATCTGCTCCGTGGGAATCTGGGTCTGGCCGCCACGGCGAAGGCGGAGACCCGTTAAAATCACAGGCGGGAGAAGCCTGTGAGCGTGGGATTCAGCGGGCACCTTTGCGCCTCCCCCACTCGCGGGGAACCCCGGTTTTTGGGGCTCCGGAGCGACGTGGGGTGAGTGGCGCGGTGCATCGAATCGTCTGCTTCTTCCACGGAGCGAAGCCGCATAGCTGTTGCCGGAGAGCGCTGACCTTTTCCTGTGGACAATTTGACTTTAAAGTAATTACTCGTGAGTAGATCTGAAACGGAAGAATTGGATTTCTAAATGTTTAATTTGGTATCACAACGGGGAGGTTCAAAACAGGAAGTCCGCCTTCCCTTTTTGTAAATAGACTGAGGCAATGAAGTTGCAAGCTGGAGTCCTGGAAAGTCTTTTGTAAAAGATTAAATTTCCATCAATAAAGAATATTAAACCCCCTCTTGGAGGCAGGAGAAGAGAGGGGGAAGTTGTGGATTGATTATGCCTGTGGGAGAGAGTGAAGAGACTTAAAACACCGCCGCTCTGACCCTGGAAACGGGCTGCTAGTAGGACTGACGTCTTTTGGAATGTTCATTGACAGCGTTTAGAACGTTCATTGACAGCTAGTTAAACAAGAGAAATACATTGTTTCTACTGTCTCCGGCTGCTTTAAAAAGGAGTAAAAGTACTGAAAATTGAAACAAATTTGAAACTAATTTTGGATTGTTGAAAAGAGGATACTATTGACTATTACAAATAGAAACAGTTTCCCCCTAGTGGAAGCTTTTGAAACCGGTTGTTTTACAAGAGCTGGGATAGGAGAATTTCCAGCTGCAAGTTAAAAACCATGAGACTCTGGGACTGACCTTGAATCTTTTAAGTGTTGTGGTAAATGGAAGAGGAAAAACAGGCCAGTCAACTGCTGACAAAACATTAAGGTCTGAGAGGACTTGGCAACAATCCAGAAGAGGTTCATCATCAGGCCCCCCTGTGCCTTCTGTTGCTGCCTTTGTACCAGCATATTTAAAACCAAGAAGAATGTCGACAGAAGAGGCTTTAGTGGCTGCATTTTATAAGATAAATGACTCATTGGATCAGCTTAACAGGAAAATGGACATGATAAATGCGAAAATGGATGTTTCAATTACTAAAATCAACCTAAATACAGAAAGTATAAATAATACCAATACAGAAACCACCCAGAAATTGATACAGGAACCTACTTTGACACGGCAAACCACGGAGGAAGCCAGGGAAAAAGCTGTTGTTGCTGAATGTAAAATAACACAACTGGAGAGAAAGAGAAAGAGAGCCCCAGCCCTACAGAGGCAATTTGATGAACATAAGTTGATGCTTGCTATGACTGAACTTAAAGAAGAACAGACGAATTTGAGGATTAGAGTTCACTTTTGGTGGACATGCCCAAGGATTAAGACACTTTGGGAGATGATTTATAACGAAATGAAAAGGGCATTTAAATATACCCTCTTGAAGAAGCCAGAGGCCTTTCTCCTGGGCATGGTCGGCCAATTGGTGTTAAAGAAGAATAGAACTTTTTCCATGTATGCAACAATAGCAGCAAGAATATTCATTGTGAAGTACTGGAAGACACAAGATTTATCTATTCGGGAAGAATGGCAGATGAAGTTGATGGACTATATGGAATTGGCGGAAACGACTGGCAGAAATCCGAGACCAGGGAGAAGAGTCGGTGGAAGAAGACTGGAAAAAGTTTAGGACTATTTATAGAAATATTGTAAAAATAATGAATGTAAGAAAAATGTTGGAATGAAGTTATATGGCTCTAGTAGAAATGCTATAAGGAATTAAGTATAAATAGATTAATAGAGTATTAAAGAGAAAAATAAGGTCAAAATATGTTAAGATAATTATAGGATAGAAACAGAGGAAGATGGAAAGGAATTGCTGAAACAATTAATAGAAGTGGAATACAAAAAGGGAGGTGTGAGGAGGTCATGGAAATAAGGGAATGAAAGATAAGATATTGAAATTGTTTTGTATGTTAAATGGTTTGTGTCTTATTTTGTTATGCTTTTTTTGTGTGTTTTGTCTATTTTGTTGTGTTTAAACGGTTGAAAATTAATAAATATTATTAAAAAAAAAAATAATAAAAAATATCCAAGCAAATACAAATTGCACAAAATAAAATGTATATATTTCTGTATTTTTAGAAAATATGCCATATTTTTAGGTACTAATTTTCCTATACCACTGCAGGTATGGGAATGTCAGTGTGAGGAGTAAGCCCCACTGAATACACCAGCCTTCTCTAGCCTGATGCCCTCCAGCTGTTTAGAGCTACATGTCTGCTTACCTTACTTATGGGTGTGGAGGTGTTGTGAACCGGCCACCACTTCCCCCTACACAATACAATGTGGCAGTGCTCTTAATGGAGGTTTTCTGACCGGGGTGGGGTTGGGGAGCCTAAATGGTCTTCCTCACCAGCTGGGAGGCTTGCCAGCCAAATTGGCCAATGGCTAGCAGGCCAAGAGACAGGCTTTCTCCAGAGGGCGGGCTCAACTGAGCCAGCAGGCTTCACTTGGGTCTGCCTCTGACTATTTAAAGAGTCCTGCCACCTGATCCATACACAGTTCCTTGTCGGATCTCATGCCCATCCTTCCCTTGTTTTAGTCTACTGTTGTTTATCTACTTTACCTTGCTATGGACATCGTTGGTTGCCGTATTCAAGGTTGGGTGGGGATTTTCCTTCAAACAAATTGGCTCAGTCTGAAGGTTATGCCTACCTCATAGCAATTGTCACAACTTTGGTGGTTTGACATTGGGTTGGCCTTAGTCTTGGTTGGAGGGAAGGTTGTAGGCCTTGGCCTGCCCCTCCAAGAAAAGTGGGTATCCTGGTAAAGAGTTCTGGTTCTGTCTAGACGCTCAGGCAGGGGCAATGGCAACAGCACCCCTTAAGATGGCGATCCCATGGAGACAATCCTATTTGATGTAAGTCATAGGTCCTCTCTGCCTCAGGGCTGACCCCTTTGGTAATATTGCCAGCACATGGGGTGGTAGTTATACCCAATACCTATGTCAAACCTCTTACATCTGTAATCTATAAAGTTGTGGCCTTATTTCACCCAGAAGTATTGTGTCTTGTTTGGTTCTTAATTATAAATTTGGGATGTTGGAGGGCTGTAGAGCCTGGGAACACAAGTACCATTCCCGACCACTGGCAATGCTGGCTGAGGCTGATGGAAACATCTGGAAGTCATATCCAGAATGCAGGAACACATTGACTAACTAAGGCAGTGATGGCCAAACTTGGCCCTCCAGCTGTTTTGGGACTACAATTCCCATCATGCCTGGTTCTGTTAGCTAGGCATGATGGGAGTTGTAGTCCCAAAACAGCTGGAGGGCCAAGTTTGGCCATCACTGAACTAAGGAAAATACTACCAACTTGCAAGACTAAGCGAACACAGTATAATATTAGCAGAAGGCACAGGGAACACTCACACTATGACCACTTGAAAGTGAATTGCTGAGTAACCTACATACCAGTGATGGAACCAGAGGCGGGTTTAGGGCACCACAACCAGTTCTGCCACACTGGGCGCTGAGCCCAGGAGGTGTCACAGGGTATCACAACTATGAGGTAGTGAATTGAGCAGAATGTAATGTGGGCGAGGGGGGTGCCTCACACCACTGAAATCTGAAGAACCAAGGTCCGCCCCTGATGGAACAACTGAGATTTGAAAGCTTACCTGCTTGGTGATATCATATACTATAACAGCTGCTGCTGACCCACGGTAATACATTGGTGCCAATGAATGGAACTATTAAAAAATGAACACAGAAACAGAAGAAAAAAGTAGTTAAAGTTCTTGCATTTTTGTAAGTCAACAAAAGACACTATGATTGCTCTAGCTTCTTTAATCAGTATGCCTTGTGACTCACTGTTGCATTAATGTGTTGTTATTAAAATCACATAAAAATACAGTGTTTTAAATCTACTAAGCTAGAATAATGAATGCACGTACTCTGGTACAGGCCAACCAAAGTTCTGTGAAATAGTTAAAAAAACTACAGGAACATTCTGTACCAGGTCAACTCCAGTTTGCTCAAGTGGCAAGAAACAATAAGCCAGTGACTTGTTCCAGAAGCTAGGGAAGAGCATTCATGTCTGGATCCTGACAAGAACCAGCATAAATCAGTCAAATGAGTGGCTAGGTGGCACACCATCTTCTCCAGTGCATGACTGCTGTCTATTAACCTGCAGCAGAGCCTGCTCCTGGTATCTTCAGGACTATGAGACTGGGATGGGAAGGGAAGGGGGAAGTGTATTGACTCTCTGGCTTGCAGAGTGAGCTGCTTTATATTGAAGGACTTGTTTTACATCCTGTCTGTGTGGTCTCCTCTTCATAAAACATTTTGTCCCCTCCAGATTGTCTTCCTTCCTCTCCCATTAGCAGATACCTAGAATAGCAGCAGTAGAAGGGGCAACTGGATTCTTGCCCTGAAGCTCTAGCAGACACGGAGTTAATTTTCAAGCTGTTTGGAGCAAGCTAAAGAATTCCATTCCAACATCATGGGCTCAGGTAGGCAAGGAACTGGAATGGGGCAGGAAGAATATTTGGAGCTTTGTTTCTTCATTCCTTTTCTTACTATGATGTCTGAGCAAACATTAAGTCTTCCAACTTTGGGTGATTAGTTTCAAGTTTGCAAAAGAAATGTAGCTAATTTTCTGGAATGCTAGGCATCTGAGATTTAATCCAGCGGGAATGCATATGATTTCATGTGACTTCTCATTAGAAACTCTCCTTTGAAAGAAAAAAAAATACTGTATTTCCTCACAATGGCTGTTTTATTAACACAGTAATATCTGGCACCCTGTGGATAATGAAAAACATGTATTAAGGCATGTGCTTTTCAAAAGCATGGCTGTTTTCACAGCATGCCTTTGAAGAACTATACACCCTATGAAAAAAGAATTCAGATTTTTGCTCTGTTGGCTTTACAATTATAAAAGAATATGGAAGGTTGAATAAAAACGTTCCTCTTCTTTTTTAAATCCAAGAAAACTGTGTATTACTTTTCTCCGAAACCCTTAGTCCAGTAGCATATAGGTACTGGAAATCCATAATACTGCCCTGTGCCCAGGAAAAGTCTTACTACAGGCCTATTACAAACTCTGAGGATACACTAGTTGAAACCGGGTCAAAAATTCTGTTTCTCTCAAACAAAACTAGAATAGCATTGGCTTCACTCAGGTATATCCCAAAGCAACCAAAAATATTAATTCTTCAGTTGTGCAACAATGATGATGCAGCAGGTAATATCAAGTACAGGCCACTGAAATGGCCCATGACATCCAAATAATATCAGTCTCTCAGTTGACAAAGGTCAGCTGCTAGCCTTTCACAAGGTCTACTGGGCAGTGATTAAAGTTCCTTCTGTTGTGCTGATCTATTTCTTCTGCAGTAGTTACAGGGTAAGATTTGCTCAAACCATCTGGTTAGACCATAAGGTCTGGAATAAGTCTTCCAATTCACCCATTTGTTCATGGTCAGCAAAGTTCTTTCTAGTCATCTCCGAAGCAATGGAATGCTGATCCAATATAGTATAAGGTTTCTCAAAGTTCTTGATCTCCATGATTAGCCATTTGGAATTAAATAAGGCATTTCTGGATGCCAGTGGTGAAGTGTGCATAGGATCTCTTTTTACTAGACCAGTCTTGAAACTTTCCTTCAGTTTCTCCCATGTTGTCAGTAATACCATTCTGGCTACTACTCCATGACTGAGGCGATAATCCAGGTATAACGTAGCAAGGCATTCACCAGGGTGATTAACCTGTGGCTTTCCAGCTGTTGTTGGACTACAATGTCCATTGTATTGGCAATAAGGCTGGGTCTAATAGGAGCTGAGCATCTGAGGTGAAACAGGTTAGCCAATCCTGAAAAGCACAGTGAACACAAACTGCTCCTCTTTGTAGCTTGTTTGTGTGGCACAACATTCAATGGAGTGGAGGAAAGCCTCTGGTCTATGTGAAATGGTTTCTGCCTTATGCAGGTTCAGATAGGGGACTGTTACAGGTCTCCTCTGAAAGAGGTGTGACATCGGCTCCTCAAACTACTTTAAAATTAATGTTGTCTCATAAATAGTTAAGTTTATTCTCCAGGGAAGATCATCGTCTTTACAAAATGGGCAGCCGAAGAAAAACTGGTCTGCTTCTTGTTCCATCTGGGTATAAAATATGATAGCAAAAATATACACTTCCAGCACTGTACTCCTATAGCTGGATGAAATCCTCTAATGTCGTAAACTTTTCCACAGTCTGTAGTCTGAACTGGTAGGGCTTTTTCCTGTAGAATGCTTTTCAAATGACTTGGACTGCTTGTTTCTTTTGTACACTTTTAGAAAGCATTTTTTAAAATGGCTGCAGCTGCTGCTGGCATAGTAAAGGTTACCTCCTCCAAGTCACCCCAAAGTTTTCTTTGTTCCCTATTATCCATTTTGATCATCTTTGATTGCTTTCCCATCCCTTTTTATTTGAGAAGTAGAAAACCAGAGATTACTTGTCCAAATCTCTTACCATTCCACAAGCCTTACATCCCTATAGTTGCTCATGTGAAAAGCAGCTAGCTTTGATTGTTTTATAGTGTTGTTTTTATTAAATTATAATTTTACATGTTGTAAGCTGACTGGTGCTTTTACAGCGGAATATAAATGTCTGGATAAATATAAAAAGAAATTAAACAAACAATTAGCCAAGGAGACAGGATCAGTAACTAAAGCCAATCATAAAAACAAGATCTGCCACATACAACAAAGGCCTGCCAAAATAAAACAGTATTTAGTAACTGACAAAAAGATAGCAAGAGAAGAGACCAATCATACTTCATATACTTAGAATCCAGTTGTCTCTATCACACAACTATTCAAACAGGCATGGAAGGCTGGCTTGGCTTGAATGCCAACTTTCCCTTCATCTTATTGTGCCCTCCCTCCCACAAAGCAGAGAGTATCAGGTAAATGAAGGGTGCAGCAATGTCTTCCAAGCTGGAGGAAGGAGCTGTGCCTACTTTTGTTATTGCAGTTAACTCTCATACTACTCAACTGATATGCTTTTAGTTTATTATTGGTTTTGATTTTTTGAATGTTTTCATTGTTTCTTCTACTGATATTATTGTTTTATCCCTTTTGTAAACAGCTTTGGGGTTTTTTTTACAATCAAGTAGTATATATGAAATAAACAAACTTGCTCCATAAATAGTCCTGGGGTACCTTAAACACTAGTGAGTTGTGTAGGTTGAATTGAGTTTGAGAACCTGCAAAGATGCATAAAATGGATAGAAAAGATGTTGGATTTATGTGGGTCCCAGGGAAGTAAGAGAATCTGTTTTACGAAGTGTGATTAAAAAGAAATGGATCCTGAAAGCAGTAATGAATTAATATACCAAAATGAACAAGCTTCAGTTGTTAGGAACCAACAAGCCCATAGCTGTAGATGGGCCCAGGCACAGTGACCATTTCATACATTTCCATCAACCTACATACTGCACAAAGCAGAACTTGCCTATGCAGCAGGGATGTTCATTGGTTGTCTATGATTTTTTTCTCACAAGGACTCTACTACTGGATTTGTGCATCAGAGGGAAGAACAAATCAATACAGGTTTTACCATAGCTTTCAAGAGGATGATTGCTCTTAAAGGAACAGTGAATTATTTAAAAGCACTTTACTTTCCACTACTTACCAGTCACATTTCAAGAACAGACCTCTATGAATAAGCCTTGAAAGTATTTCTGTCAATGTTTGAAACTCCCATTGTTCCAGGTGAATTTTGCGACAGGGAATTTCATTAGTGCGAGCAGTTTCTGAGCTCGGGGTGCAGTACTGTGCCTAAGATTTCAGATTAAAACTGCAGAGTGGAAGGAAAGGTGAACCTTTTTCTGCCTCCCCACTTCCAACTACTCTCTGGAGAAGAGACCCTCTTAAGAATTAATAAAGGTCTATGGATGTAATCATGTAGATTCAGTGTTTATCAAGCATCAAAGAAAAACAAGAGACATGTAGTAGGAAAAGTGCACAAAGATTTATTCCAAGATAGAAAGGGACAAAATTACAAGTAAACAAAGGGTTACAATAGTCTGGGTATATAATACATTTGTTGTGCTCGAGTTTGTGTGGATGAACTTCAAAATATGAACTACAATTATTCTACTCTAAAGAGACATCAAAGAATTACTTGTGCAACTTTTTGTCTAGAGACCCCTCCTGTGGGCAATACTAGATTTTTTTTATAAGGCATGGACTATGCAGATCCAAAAAGCCATGAGCAAAAGGAAAATAGCTGCAAGCAGTATTTCACAAACCACCTTTTAGCAATTTTTACGCTTTTACTTGTGCAAATTGAAGAACATATTTGGAATCTGCAGCACAATTCCACACATGTCTACTCAGAAGTAAATCCACAGAGATTCAGTGGGAGTTGCACCTAGGACTGAAGACTTAGTTCCATTTTATCTCACAACGCTCTAACAGGAGATGTAAAGCACTCCTAGTGTCAGCAACAGACACCTTCCATGTACAGAAAGGCACACTTGAATCCACATCTCTATGTTGGGAAAGCTAGGGGTTAGAAACGTAATAGCAGCATGGAGAAGAATTGGTTTATGAATTTAAAGTCTGTTTTCAAAAAACTAAAAATGTCAAGCACATTATCATGAAAGAAAAGCTGCTTGGTTCATAAGAGAGGTGCGGGGGGGGGGGGTAGGAAATAGCTAACATTCCCAGCTGGTGAAAACTGTGTGGAAAATATTAATCCACACTAAAAAAAAAACAGATTAAATACATTCTTTCTATAAAACAGTAACAGATAGGAACTTTAGTTCCAGAGAAACTTAGGAACTACAACTTTGTAGTCCTATAAGTTCCACTGAATTCAGTGGGAGTTACTTCTGAGTAAAAAAGCAAATGGTTAAACTTATGAAACACTTACTTGGAAATAGGTTTTATTAAAATAAGTAAGAGAGAGAGAATGTATACTTGACAATATATACCAGTCTCTTCAATACTATTTGATTTATCCATTCAACTTCCTTTGCATCTCCAAAGGAAAAAAGTTTATAAAGCATAAAGACTAAAGTAATGTCAGCGTGATCCTCAGTGTATTTACTGATTTAGTTCAACTGAGTAGCTTAATCACAATAGTAATATATTGGCCTAAGTAAGTTCTGTATTTACCTGTTTCTCCTCACAGGAACACTTAGTTCTCAGTATCAAGGAGTACCGTAATATAATTTTTAGGTGAAGCCCTACGTCAGGAGTAGCCAACATTTTGCCATCCAGATGTTGTGAACTGCAACAGATTATGTGGCCAGGACCACCTTGGTTACCCCTGCTATATAGCAAAATATACAAAAACTGAATGGTGTTCAGCTCTTATAAAAATCATTTTTCATTCTTTATCTGTGATTTAATTTGGGGAATGACAAAAACACCCCTGAAGAAATCTGTGAAGAAAAGAAAGGAAGACAAATCCCTATAGAGCGCTGGTGGACCCAATCTATACCAACCAGACAGGGTCAGTCTGGGAAGAGAAGACTGGTTCCTCCCCCTGGAAAGGTGGGAAAAGACAGGACCCTGCCTATCACCACCAGTAGGAGGTGTCATCCCTATCAAAGGAATGTCCTCCATCAGGATCCAGTGAATATCAGGTCTCATTTTTTGAAAAAGAAAATGAGCTACGCAGACCCTAACCCTTAGGGTGCAGTGATATTTACAATTGTAAGTCACCACATTTTATGGAGTAAGCTATAAGATTATTATAATAATGATGATAATATAAGATCAACGCTTGATGAAGTCAGAGGATGGGGCTAAACAGTGTTTTCCAGTAGCAGCAGCACTTAAGCGGCTGCCATTTTAAGTAGCCCCTCTCCAGAGCCCTTTGGCGCACCGCTCATCGTCCCTCCGCCGCCACCACTGCTAGCCCCTGCTGCTCACAAGACACAGGTAAGTATCCACCGGGGCTCGTGGTGCTCTTACATAATTTTTTTCCTCCAAAATATAGTCCGGCCCCCCACAAGGTCTGAGGGGCAGTGGACCGGCCACCTGCTGAAAAAGTTTGCTGACCCCTGGTCTATACACATGGAAATGTATCTTACGTGCATGTTCAAGAAATAATCACTTCAGTAATCTTTACTGGAGACAACCACATGCCACAGAATATTGCAAGGGACACAATTACTTTAGAAATGCAGTAATGTCCTCTTATGGGAATGAGCAAGAACCAACACAATTTACTGTGATTAAAGTCTTATTAACACAAAATGGCAGACAGAGTGAAATGGCTTTGCAACTTTAAGTGTTAGTACACAAATAAAAGTAACAAGACAGTCAGGTGTAACAACATAGAAAAACATACATTGTCTGGACCATAAACCTAAACTATTAGGCAAGCTGATTGCCTTTTATGGATTGAAGGTAGGAAAACCAGGAAAAATGCAGTGGAGGCCTAAACACACCAGGAGGAAAAGCTATTTAGAGAAAGAGAGATTTGGGGAAATGAGGGTGATGGAAGTAGGAAGTAAGAGTGAGGTGCTAATAATTATTAGACCTGAGAAAAGATAAGCTGTCTCCTGAGTTTCACCATGACTTGCAGGGGTATGGTAGCTCCTGGGTCCAGGAGGTCTTGCAAAAACTAAGCACAAATTCTTTGATAGCTAGTCTAACCAGATGTCATTGACAGCAACTGTGTGAGTTGTCAGTAAACAACCAGAAAAATAATTCAGGTGGCTGAAGGTAGGCTAACCTTTGTAGGCCACCCTTGAGCTAAGTCAATTCACCACTCTGGGTTCCTCATAATCCTCCCAGTAAAATTATTTAAAAAGAAAAAGCTTTCTTTTCAGATAATACTGCCTTGTGCTTCTCATAAGGGTCCTGACTAATTGGATAGAAAAACAACAAGCACAAACAGGTAAATGGCCCGTGAAACTGCTGCTTTTTTGGTCTCTTGTTTGTTGCAGTTATTGTGGCCCTGACCCTTACAGGCCTTTCCTGTTAACAACTGGAAGTTGCAAGGAGGTTACCCCCACTTCCGGTCAGCCAATCACATTTTTAAAAAATGATTGACCCTGCCTCCATAGCACCTTAACTCTTTTGTGTCTGCTCCACACCTCATTGACATTGTAATTTTCAATTATATCTACTTCCCAATATTTTAGTGAAAATAAAGAGGCACAGCATGTAAATGATACTCACCCTTTCTTGCCCTGCTGTATCCCAGATCAGAAATTTATGAAGTTCATTCCCACAAGGCACAGTTTTAGTCATGAAAGAAGCACTAAAAGGTTGTAAGAAAAAGCAGTACAATACTTAGATATAAGCTTCTTATATTATCAACAAATCATTTCTTAATACCTGGCCAGGTATGTACATATACTACAGATGAAAAACACTGCCGCTAGATAATAAAAGTACCAGTGATGTTCAATCAAAGATTTACAGAAGTTGCTATATGAATGTTGCTATTTTGAACTATATCCATGTAGCATTTTCTCTGAATAAACGAAATTATGAATATATGACCTTCCAGTTCAATGAGAAAAAATTGAATTGTTCCTGTAAAAGTTGGTAAATTATTTACACTTAAGTATTTCGTATCTCTTTGAATTATGGGCTGAACTATTTAAAATTTTAAACGATGATGCTGTTAAGGTGCTACACTCAATATGCCAGCAAATTTGGAAAACTCAGCAGTGGCCAGAGGATTGGAGAAGATCAGTCTACATCCCAATCCCAAAGAAGGGCAGTGCCAAAGAATGCTCAAACTACCGCACAATTGCACTCATTTCACACGCTAGCAAGGTTATGCTTAAAATTCTACAAGGCAGGCTTAAGCAGTATGTGGACCGAGAACTCCCAGAAGTGCAAGCTGGATTTCGAAGGGGCAGAGGAACCAGAGACCAAATTGCAAACATGCGCTGGATTATGGAGAAAGCTAGAGAGTTCCAGAAAGACATCTACTTCTGCTTCATTGACTATGCAAAAGCCTTTGACTGTGTCGACCACAGCAAACTATGGCAAGTTCTTAAAGAAATGGGAGTGCCTGATCACCTCATCTGTCTCCTGAGAAATCTCTATGTGGGACAAGAAGCTACAGTTAGAACTGGATATGGAACAACTGACTGGTTCAAAATTGGGAAAGGTGTACGACAAGGCTGTATATTGTCTCCCTGCTTATTTAACTTATATGCAGAATTCATCATGCGAAAGGCTGGGCTGGATGAATCCCAAGCTGGAATTAAGATCGCCAGAAGAAATATCAACAACCTCAGATATGCAGATGACACAACCTTGATGGCAGAAAGTGAGGAGGAATTAAAGAAGCTTTTAATGAGGGTGAAAGAGGAGAGCGCAAAATATGGTCTGAAGCTCAACATCAAAAAAAACGAAGATCATGGCCACTGGGCCCATCACCTCCTGGCAAATAGAAGGGGAAGAAATGGAGGCAGTGAGAGATTTTACTTTCTTGGGCTCTGTGATCACTGCAGATGGAGACAGCAGTCACGAAATTAAAAGACGCCTGCTCCTTGGGAGAAAGGCAATGGTAAACCTAGACAGCATCTTAAAAAGCAGAGACATCACCTTGCCAACAAAGGTCCGTATAGTTAAAGCCATGGTTTTCCCGGTAGTGATGTATGGAAGTGAGAGCTGGACCATAAAGAAGGCTGATCGCCGAAGAATTGATGCTTTTGAATTATGGTGCTGGAGGAGACTCTTGAGAGTCCCATGGACTGCAAGAAGATCAAACGCATCCATTCTTAAGGAAATCAGCCCTGAGTGCTCACTGGAAGGACAGATCGTGAAGCTGAGGCTCCAATACTTTGGCCACCTCATGAGAAGACTCCCTGGAAAAGACCCTGATGTTGGGAAAGATTGAGGGCACAAGGAGAAGGGGATGACAGAGGATGAGATGGTTGGACAGTGTTCTTGAAGCTACAAACATGAATCTGACCAAACTGCGGGAGGCAGTGGAAGACAGGAGTGCCTGGCGTGCTCTGGTGCATGGGGTCATGAAGAGTCAGACACGACTAAACAACAACAACATCTCTTATGCTGCTGCTCATCTGAGTAGTGCAAGGGGTACTACTATGCCAATGTGTTTTTTTTTTCTGCCAGCATAGCACTGTGCTATTTTGGCTCAGAGGGACTTGGGCAACGATAGAATAATTCCTGGCAGGCATGACACAAGGATAAAATCGTTCTTTAAGCCTCCAAAGTTTTCTTTTTAGCACAAGTTGGCAGATTTGTCTCTAGACATAAACATGCATGCATTAAATTCAAATCATATATTGCATAGTTGGTAAGCTTTGAAGTTTTGGAAAAATTAATGAAGATGAATTACATGCCATGCACTTACACTGTGCTATCCTGTCTTGTTAAAAGCCAAGGCGATGTGATGAATTATAAAATCTTTGGAAGCAGATACACGCCTAGGAACTGTCAGCAAGTAAATTTTAAATATCATAATTTGGGTTCTGATGTTCCTCATGTAGATGCTATTAAAACCAAAGCTTAATATACAAACCTAAATAAAAGATCTATTTAATACCATGTTGTGAGAGAGGTCAAAAACATCAATCACTTATACGGGCCTTAAGCACTAATTTTTTCAAAAAAGTTTTTGGGGGGTTTTTACATCTACCCAAATGGCTCAGAGCCATAGGCTTTCCACAAATCAGTTATATTCCAAGAGCTCTTATTACTTTATTTAATAAAATAGTTGCTGGGCCAAAGCCTGCCTGAAAACCATAGCTATATAAAAGAGAGCCAATGTGTCACAGTTGTTAAGAGTGCCAGACCAGGGTTCAAATCCCCACTCAGCCATGAAGCTCATAGGGTGCCCTCTGGCCAGTTACTCACTTTCAGCCTAATCTGCTGTATCTCACAGGACTGTTGTGAGGATAAAATGGGGAGGAAGACTACCATATATCCCTCCTGATGATACAAGGAAGTGCAGTCTTTATGCACACAGATGCACTGGTTATTTCACATGTTCCCAGAACTGTAACTTGACTTATACTAAGTCCTGCCAAAGCATTTACTGACAATGGCTATGTTCCAACACAAATGAGCAGTAAATAACAAAATAAAGAGACAAAAATATACATCTATTCAGTAAAGTAATTGTAATAAAATAGAGGTTTGAGAGAAGCTAGAAACCATAAATTAATACTGAGATCTAACTGACTGCTAATTAATGTTTATACATCAAAACTCAATATAAAATAACTAAAAACCCCATAATTCCATCCTCTAGAAGCTAGACTAAAAAAACCCCCACCTAGTTGCATAACAAATAATAACCGTTCAAGGTACATAATGGTTAATAGTGTGGAACTGGCATTACCTAAAGAGAAAGTTAATAGGCTTACTCAATTAATAGCTCTCTACATTATACAACACTTCGAAAGAATGAACAAAACCACTATTGTGTTGAGTAGTGAGCTTTCCCATAAACTTGAAATATAAATGGATTATATCAATTCTGTTTATTTACTAAACTGAAACTGTAGTAACATATTATATATGTATGTATGTATGTATGTATGTATAGTACTTACCCAATAGTGGGGCTAATATTGTGGTCAAAATGATCCTGAACAAATCGACAAACTATACTAGATTTGCCAACTCCAGTATCCTGAAAATTAAGAAAGGAAGAATCAATTCAACATTACATTGAAATAAGGTGTGAGCTAAAAAGAACAAGTGTCTAGTCTGAGGAATGTTTACTTAACCACCTAATGGTCCATAATAAGTTTTTCCTCAGTACATGCCACTTATACTGCAGTGTAGAAATCAATAAAGTCCTGAGGCAGCCGTGATTTAAAACCATTCAGGCAGATTCTAGTCAATAACTGTGGCAGAATGGCGATATTGCTATTACGAAAAATTTAACTCGCCTACTGATTTCATTTGAGATGTTGCAATTCCAGGATTGTGAAGTGTTTTTTTAAGATTAGAAATTATTTGTAGGCAACTTCAGGCAATACCATTGTTATTCCTGATTTGAAGTGAATGTTTGAAAACAAACTGCATTTCCCCTTCTGTGGTTAAATGGTTTCCTGTTCAGCTTTTAAAATCTAATTTCTTCCAAACAACCCCAAACCACCTCCGGTTCATACACATCTTGGTAAATATCATGGTAGTTTAGCAGCTCACAAATTAAAAGACCCTGGTTTTGCAAATACCTACCATGTATAAGCTGATTTAATGTTCTCATAGTCTATTGTTCATTGACCCTATTGGAATTAATTGCGATAAAGTCTATGGAATTTGCCCTTAATTAATTTGACCCACTGTTTTTGTGATAAGACTTCTGCAGCTATGTTCTAATGCGTGCTTTTTTTGAGTTGGGGAAGCTTAATGATTCATTTTAACTTCCTTTTCCTCACCCACCTCAAGTAAGATAAAAATATTCAAGGAGGGTGTGAGGCCTGGTGGGGAAGGGTGTGGCTGGTGTCCTGGCCCTCCTCAGCCAAGGAAGAAACATGCCTGATAGTTAACTCTCTATGAATTCATCTATGTCTCCTGGTCCTCCTCAGGCTCTGAAGTTCCCTTGACAATAGTGTGAGCAAGGGGGGGGGGACCTACAACTAATCATCATATCAGAAGTCAGGAAACAATATTGCCTAAAGCCAAGTGACTTCCCAGCTTCCCCCCCTCCCACTGCAGAAGCCGTAGCCCCCACTCCATATGCATATGTCGTGACTTGCTTGCTCCTGGTGTTTTTATTTATTCAAAATCCTGGCCCCCGTTTCTTAAAAGATGTCCTGCTTTCAGTATGATTTTCCACTCATTTTGTACTCACTGTCTTGCTACAGTAGCACATTGTGAACTGCACAGACTGATTTGTGGGTCTCAATGGACAGCTGGGGCTGGAGAAGGTGACTTTTGCTCATTCCCTGCTAATTACATGCTTGAATAGGGACACCACTCCTCACTTATGGGGATGGGGGAAGGAGGACAATGCATTTTAAACAAGAAAAAAACTTAAAGAATATTTAGCTAAATGTTGTAATATAAGATAAAGAGAAATTTCTTGGAAGTAATAAATAGGCTTAAAAGGTAAAGGTACCCCTGCCCGTACAGGCCAGTCTTGACAGACTCTAGGGTTGTGCGCCCATCTCACTCAAGAGACCGGGGGCCAGCGCTGTCCGGAGACACTTCCGGGTCACGTGGCCAGCGTGACAAAGCCGCATCTGGCGAGCCAGCGCAGCACACGGAAACACCGTTTACCTTCCCGCCAGTAAGCAGTCCCTATTTATCTACTTGCACTTTGACGTGCTTTCGAACTGCTAGGTTGGCAGGCGCTGGGACCGAGCAACGGGAGCGCACCCCGCTGCGGGGATTCGAACTGCCGACCTTTCGATCGGCAAGCCCTAGGCGCTGAGGCTTTTACCCACAGCGCCACCCGCGTCCCTTGTAAATCGGCTTAGGGGTAGAATAAGAATACGCTGTTAATAAATATTAAGGATTAGAATATTAATAAAGGAGAAAAGGTTAGTAAATGAAAGAAGTTAAATACTATTAGAAATATGAATTTGGAGAACTGCTAAACAGGTGATATAACAAAATTCAATTAGAGGGGATTTGAGGAAGTCAGATATCAATGTAATGAAATTAGGAATTGGAAGTAATAATTCTTTTTTATGTCTTTTCTTTGTTTTTGTGTTATGTAATGTTTTTCTTTTTTCTTGTTTCTTTTTTATGTGATAAATGTGAAAACCAATAAAAAAATTGGGGAAAAAATACATTTTAAACAAGAACATACGTTACTGGGTGGCCAGATCAATATAATAAAATAAATTTAAAACAGAGAAATTGCTAGAGGGAAAGCACAATCTGCATTAGAAATCATAATATAGGTTAATCTTTCCTCTAATAGTCCCCTTACCAAAATAGGCTTGTTTCACTTGCACGTGGCTTGGTTTGTGTAAGCATTTTCTTACTGCAAGGAGGTAAAATGTTTAATATCCTAATCCTAAAAAACATTACTAAGAAGTAGGTCTAATAAAAACACACACATATATATCCAAGTAAGCAAAGGGTGGAAAATGTAAGAGTAATTTGAGCTGTAAAGCTGTGGAAAACATAATTTGTGTATGCTTTTTTGACACTGCCACGGTTTCCATGCACATGAATGAACCTTGCTCCCTCAGTGCAGTTTCTCATCTTGCCACAAGAGGAAGACCTAGCCAGCATTTGTTACACCATATGTTCAGATAACACACGTGAGTTATTAAACAATGCTAATAAGTACCTAAATCCTTTTCATTTAAGAGCAACATCACGTTAATATGCATATAGGTAAGTAAGTACAGTATTGAACTGCCATATTTTCACACATACATACACCCTACCTAAGGCTGCAGCATAAAGCCTGTAACCCTACTCTTAAAGTGCTCACACCATCCAACATCTATCTCTATTTCAGTACAAAATAAAACATATAATAATGTGTCCCTTTACACTATATAGTTTAAAGTAGGAGTTCTTAAACTGTGGTCTGTGGAGTAATGTTGTCCCACGAAATCCATTCAAGCGATCTGTGGTAAAATTGCAAGGTGCCAAGAATATCTGTACAGTGGTACCTCAGGTTAAGTACTTACTTCGTTCTGGAGGTCCGTTCTTAACCTGAAACTGTTCTTAACCTGAAGCACCACTTTAGCTAATGGGGCCTCCGGCTGCTGCTGCGCCACCGGAGCACGATTTCTGTTCTCATTCTGAAGCAAAGTTCTTAACCTGAAGCACTATTTCTGGGTTAGCGGAGTCTGTAACCTGAAGCGTACGTAACCTGAAGCATATGTAATCCGAGGTACCACTGTACACTCAGCCCTGCACTTTGCATGTTTTTCTTCTGACAACAATGGAGACTGAGGCTGTGTCGATCAGGCCAAATTATCAAACAAGCTTAAAAGACCCTAGTATGGGATCTATATTTTCATAATGTGACATTGGTTTTGATAATGATGGAGAAGTAAAACCAATGCAAGTTTACCATGATCTGTCAAGATCCCCAGCGGTTTTTAAGTGGTCTGTGGGGGAAATGGTTTGAGAACTGCTGGTCTAAAGGACTATATTCAACCACTGCAACTCTCTGGCTAGCCTGATGGAAAGGAAGCTATAAAAATATATCTATTTATAGTAAAGCAAACACGAAAGTCAGTTTTAAACGACTGCATGGAAAAAAATGGCATTTTCTTACTGTTATGCAATATTAAAATTGCTTGTGTGATTTAAAGATTTTGTAAGCATTCTGTTTCTTATTTACATAAAGATTGGCAACATAGACAGACAAAACAGTAGTAAGCAAGCATGGTATTTTAAGTTTCAGGGGTGTTTATTAAATACACTGTCAGATTTCCAATTCCATAACTTCAACCAGATGCTACTAAAGAACAAAGCTGTGTTACAACTCGGCATATTATCTTATATGTTAAATTTCCATTTGCACAAACTATAACTACTATGATATTATTGTAGTAATTTTTATTGGGGATATCCTTTATTCAGCACTTTGAGATGTAAAATTGCTTCAAGATGCTTTATAGGAAGCAATTTATAAATGAAATACTTAAATCATATTTTTGCCTGTTATTTTTATTGTTTGATTGTATAGGGAAAATTATTTTTTCCACATTTAAACTTGGCTGAACTTAAGATTTTGATTTTAAACATATCCTACGGAGGATTACCTCCCTTTATCCTATCCCGCTTGCTAGGGTTGCCACGTGTCCTATTTTTCCAAGACACACCCTCTTTTTAAGGGGTAAAATCTGAGACAAATTGCATTTATTTGCTTTGAATAGCTGCCTTTTTTTTTTTGCTCTTCAAAATATGGCAACCCTAACACCTCCACCAACCACACAGAATCTTACCAATCAGCCCTAAAAGAGGTCAGAGAAAGAGATGGCTGTGGGATGTGGCGAACATAGTTAATATCTGTGTGCAGATGGGTAAATGTGGATAAATATGATCAATTATTTGTAAATTTTAGGGAGCAACATCTGAGGTAGAGGAAAATGCCTGGGAGAAATTATTTCCTGAAATTCAGTACAAGAGGAAGTTTTCCTCCCTTACTGCTGTTTCCCCAGCTGATCAGACAGTGACAGCTTTGCAACTTTTTCCATGTCTTACTAGTGCAGTCATGTTTCTAAAACCACATTTCAAAGATCTGCTCTGCTGCTTGGAGAGTATTTGAACCTGGCTGTCAATGAATACAAGTTGTATAATACTTTTGGGAGTGTTCTGAAGATTCTGGCTACACTTTTTGGATTTTTTTTTTAAATTCAAGGACTATTCCAAGGCGGCTCATACTGAAAAGAAAATCCAGTCCAGTTCCGTTCCGTTCAAAACAACTTGGTTTTATTTTCTTGTGCTAAATGTTGAATCTTTTTCACGCTTCCCACAGGACTCCACATATGACTTGAGGGTGATGTGGTCAACCCACAGCCTGTGTAGTCCATAATCAACCAAGTGCAGATAATGAAAATACAAACAGTTGGCAAAATATACATAGTGAAAAGCAAGCCTTGGTTTTTAAACTGTTGCCCATTGATAAAAGTGCAAAACTATAGGCTATCCATGTCTTAATGTCTCATCTAGAAAATAAGAACAGCCTATGTCTTTAGGGGCAGCAAGTGTATATCAGGAGTTCCAGCATGATTTTCAGTTCTTTGCTTCCACAACGATGCAAGTGAAAGTGTTTCTAAGTAACCCTCCCCACAACAACAATATTACTTGAATGAAGACACCACCTCTCTCTGGCACCCATGACACTTCCCCAAATCCCTGCATTTGGAGCTGAAAGCAATATATGTACCTCCATAACTGCATCTGCTTGAAGCTATTCATTAACACACTTCATTGAGCCAGATTCAACTAACTAATTCAACCAGATTAAATGAAACATTTGTGCTAACAGAAGCCAGCACAAATCCCACTATTGCAACTGGGGCTTCCATCCTCCCCCCTGCTCCCCACTAAATCAGCTCTGGAAGTCAGGAGAACCCTAAGAAAAGCACACAGTGAGTGGGGAGGGGGCAAGTTATCGTACTCTGTTGGGCAAGCAGACGTTTGTGCTGACAGAACTATTCTAATAGTGCAATGTTTAATTCCACCCATTAATTTTATTTTCTGTTTTAAAACAATCAACTCTGAAGAGTCTCTCTGCCTCCGATTCTGAGCCCCTCGCTGCAGAAAAGCGTGCCTCGCTGGCTGTGGAGAGGAGGAAGAGGAGTGGCCGCCGTTGGCCAATGCAATGCGGATGTGCGACGTCACATGCAGATGCTTGCACAGTGTGTGACATCACATTCACTACATGCAGGCATGTGTGTGTGACGTCACATGTCTGTGGGCAGAAACTCACAACCCTGAGGGAAAGATAGAAATCCTGTGACATACAAAGAGTTCAGTGGATTTATCTCATGAATCTGAAGACCCTTTGCAATGGATGACAAAACACCATGAAGTTGCTCCAAAGTCCCAAACTTTATATCAGAAAATATGCTATAATTTTAAAAACTTGCCATTGTAACATGACTAAAGCACTTTACTACAAATACAGCAGATTTATTACAAATTCATTACCACCCAGAGGTTATCCTGTACACAGGCATTTTTACAAAGGTGGTATCTACTGAACTGAAAAGAAATCCAAAGTATGTTCATGGACCACTAATTCCCCCTCTCTTGTAGTGGTTCTTCTTGTTAGTGCTGAGTAACTCACTATTTCACACTCTTTTGGCCTGGCATACAGCCCTCCCCCACCATCACTTGCCAGTGCAGACTGACTGAACCAAGCCATTAAAAAAAATTCCAACCTAAATAAGCCTATTATCAGGAAGTTGTAATATGGGTTACACTTGCATATGACAACATTCTCATGAACTTAGGAGATGAGACAGTACAGGCTGTTTAATACATATCTTAATAATAACCTAGGTGTTATCAAATTCTTTACATTTTTTCTTGCCTGTTTAATCCCACACAGATAAGAGGCAGGAATTGTCTATTATATGCCTATAAAATGTGTTTACATGATATATATTTTAAAGGTTCTACTTGTGTTGCAAATGTTCTTGTAAGAAAGAATGCCCAAGGTTACAAATATATTACACAAGCATAGTTGTATATTTTGACTTCTGCAAATGAAAAAAAAAATCTACCGTAACTTTGGTAGTTAGTACAAATTAAAAAAGAAGGTCAGCCATGGACTCCCAATGACACCACAACATCCTGTTCTTTTGCTGAAGAGTTAAAAAAAAGCCTTGTAACAAATTTCTATCATACCTACAATTTATACCTTTAAAAAAACAAAACAAAACCACACATTCTACTTGTGGCTATGTTCTTTTTGCGCAAGTACCCTTCTAAGTGATTTCGGTGAAATGAGGCAACCAGGATGCTCCCACCTTTCAGTGATTTTAGCCAATGAGTGAATTGGGAGCTGTGGCTGACAAGTGAGTTGTGCGGACACCAAGCAAAAGGGATTCATGGGATCCCAGAAGAGCTGCTGCTTTCCTTTTCCCTTTAGTGTACTTTTCCTGCTTCTTTCTCATTTTCTAGTCCTTGGAATCTCTGCAGTTTGCCTTTATTCCACCCCCCCCCCAACAACTGTGGTTAGGTACTTTCTAGAAGTTGTTTTTTGCAAATATGATTACACAGTAAGTACAGTGGTACCTCGGGTTACAGACGCTTCAGGTTACAGACTCCACTAACCCAGAAATAGTACCTCGAGTTAAGAACTTTGCTTCAGGATGAGAACAGAAATTGTGTGGCTGCGGGGCAGCAGCAGTGGGAGGCCCCATTAGCTAAAGTGGTGCTTCAGGTTAAGAACAGTTTCAGCTTAAGAACGGACCTCCGGAACGAATTAAGTTCTTAACCTGAGGTACCACTGTATGTTAAAGCATCCCCCCTGCAACGGCCAAGGCAATTTATGAAAACTTTGCAAAGAGTCATGTCTGCTGCTGAAGAAGAGTCAAAGGCTAAACACTCATTAAGAATTCACTATTACATTATTATGCAGTACGATGGTACACATGTCTACTCAGAAGTTTGTCACTTTGTGCTTCATAGTGGTTACTCGCAGGAAAGTGGGTACAGGACTACATCCCAGGCCTTGGTATACAGTTGGCCTTAGGAGAAAGCACACTTCTTGTGCCTTTAACAGAGTTGTGGAAGGTAGAACTACAAGTTAAGTTTTTTTCTAATACAGAAATATAATTATGGGGAAAGCTTCACCTGCTCACATACTTTCTGTCAAATACTTTGTGTGTATGGCCATTAAATTATTTTTAGACCCTCTACTACATCTTCAGAAGAGGACACAAATTTGCGTGTTCAGACCCAGAGACCTCCCTCCTAAATAAAGACACATTTGACTCAAATTTTAGTTTTGATTTTTGGCAGAATTTAGGCCACAACTTTATTGATTACAGAAAAGTGAGTGGTTGCAAAGGCTCTGGTTTGACTAGCTCACTACACCCTTGTAGGTAGCACTGACCCAGAGCTCTATCATAGGTCAGCCAAGGGTGAACACCTGAGGAAGGTGAAAAGCCTGGGAGCAGACTCTATTCACTCCCCAGATGCTCCCCTGGACTCAGGCATGGGCTCAACCCCTTTTCGGGGGCTGGCCAAACCTAGTTGAGTCCCTGGATTCCTTTAACAGAATACTCTTCACATAGGGATGGCGGACCGTTCTCCCATCCCTATCATATGAACCAGTGCCTATGCACAACCTTACAAGTTGTGACGCATTGCTGCGCAGCAGGCGAAACCCAAATGACAATAGCCAATCAGCCAAGTGGGAAAATTCCTGCCGTACCTGTCCCAAAGACAGACGACACACGACGGCATAGCAAGGTCAATCGCAAAAGGCCCTAAAAATAGGGAGAGGTGGGCAGGTGTTCTGATGCACAAGCCAAAAGAGGAAGCTCTGGGTCATGTGCATGGCTTTATATATGTCCCTCGATCCGTTTAGACTGCAGCCCAATTGGCCAGATTGAAACCCAGCATTGAGGGACCTACCAATCAGGTGTTGTGGCTATCCAATGGACCCACCCACAACCAAGAGGTCAGTCTCCAGATCTCACCGCAACAGATCTCTTCTGGGAAGGACACGATTTGCATGACACAAAGCATATGCAAATTTTATTCAAATCTGTGTCCTCTTTTGCAAGTGGGTTAGAGGGCCACTAATTAGACTTTATCTCAAATTATATCATCACTTGCATTTGCTCCTCTCCTCATCTAAATCCATATGTACTGTACTCCACCCAAAACAGAATATAGTCAGATTGGATTCCTTCAATTCCCTCTCAAGGTCCATGTTTTTTGGTGTACAGTATATGCATTTCCACATAACACATTTAAGTGCATACATAAACTACACCTTTTCAGTAACATGCTACTAAATAAACATGTTAATGGAAACAGGTCTTCCAATAGGGTTCCCATATTTGAAGCAGTGAAAATGTGAGACAGAAGCCTTTTTTGGCCAAAGTTTATGAGCTTTTTTAGGTTTGCCCAAAGCTGTTGAGCGTTTGGGGGCAACCCTCCCCCCAAAAAACCAATTTTTGTGCTATTTTTATGGGAATTCGGAAAAAATGACACTGTCAATATGGGCTGCCATACATCTGGATTATCCTGGACATTTTGCCTATTTCCGCTGACTACTGACTGCAGCATTTTGGATATGTCCGGATATGTCCGGGAAATTCCATGAACACAGTCCAAGCCACAGACTTCAGCATGGTAAGTATGGTTGCCCAGATTTTATAAAGCCTTATGCATCTTTGATCACATTTTGCAGTCAAAGGGGAAGAAGGTCTGAACAGTGAAGATATTGTTATTTATACAGCAACACCTATAAAAATATAAATGAAACTTTACTGTTATAAGCACTGACCTGCCTTGTTCTAATAATCTGTATCTGACACAGGGCAGCTTGCTCTGCTACAGGAAGGATATTGCACTCTTGGAAAAACTGACCATCAAGCCTTTATGAAAGGTGATGTAAGTAAATCACGATCAAAGCTGATGCTTTTGTAAGATATTGCATTTAAGGTCACAAAGCCTCCTCCCAATGACTAGTAGTCTTGGCTGGTGTAACTGAAACTCTTCATGTCCTCTTTTTTTCCTGTGTTTCTCTCTGACATTTGTTTACAAGCTGGAGAGTTGTGCAAGCCTAGTACATGCAGTACATCCACAGAGTCTTATTTAAAAAGCCTCTTGTAAATCTAACTTTAGCATTCACAGATTTCACAAGACAATGAGCTTTTCAAAATACTGACTCTAAAGGTACAATCCCATGCACTCGTGTGAGTTAGGCCCTATTGAATTAAGAGAGGCTAATAGCACAATCCTATACATGTCTACTCTACTGAAAGGTACAACTGAAATCAACGTTACTTATTCCCAAATAGATGGGTATAGGACTGTAATTTAATTGGCTACGTGTTTTGCTTGCTCAAGAAAAAAACCATGCCACATTTTCTAGAATAAAAGTTCAGTAATCATGCTGGAGAGAGCTAACCTAAAAAAATGAAAGGTCATATACCATAAGATAAACCATGCAAAACTTTATATGAGCTATTAAATGTACAGAAGCATGTACAGATCATAAAGGTATGTTGCACTTTAACTTCCCTAGGAATACACAGCGGAAAATGCTCACAACAAACTTTTAAAAGTTTTTATTACTAAAACTGAGGTATATGCAGTTTTTAATAGTTTTGTTTAACATTTATAAAAAGTCTGTATATTGCAGTTTAATTTATGTTACTTATGACAAAAGGAAAAGCAAAGAAGCTGCAAATATAAGTACTTCTCTTTTTCTTTAGATGCTGTAACACAGCTGGTTTGGATAGCAAATGGAAATAAGTTAAGCAGAATGAAACTTCTGCAATTAGTTCATTAGGTCACATACATCTTTTCCATCATTCCAGCGAAATCAGTGAAATAGGGTGGTACACAGAAAATACTTGTTTAAAGGTTTTAGAAAGAAGGACAAGAACATGTTGATTGAACTAAGTAACGTCCTAGTAGAAAAGCACCTCTGCACTATAGCTGCCACCCATTCTGCTGCAGCAGGGTGATTATATCCTGCGTGGGTGGCCACTGTACTCAAGGTTTAAAGCAGGAGAAGGATTCTAGGCCAAAACCTAGGCATAATATACAGCACAGCAAAATAAAGACTCCCCAAGTGATTTGCACAACCTACTGTGGATCCATAGGACAATCATAGGCCAGCTTTCTGTAAAATAAGTTCTGTGGCGCTTACTCTCATGTACGTCGGCAAGAGAACAAGCCTTCGTGCTGGTAATGTCAACAGTTTATCTCCAAGAGTTTTGACCTAAATAATCTATGCAATGGGCTATGTAGCTGGCATTGTTTGGCACGTATTAATTTATTTACATTTATATCCCACTTTTCTTCCATCATGGAACACAATGTGGCATATGTAAGGTGGCTCCCAGGTGTTCTTTCATCCCAGAACTGACCAGACCCAGCCCAGGTTAGCTTCAGCAAAGTAATAGTCCTATGTGCCTTCAGATCATATCTCCACACACTGGAGTAGTTTTTTATTTAATCCATTCTAAGTGGCTCTTTACTTTTTTGGCAAATATTGCTGATTTTTAAACTTTCTTCTTCCTTATTTGTTGTACACACAATGCCATTCTCTTAAAACTAATACTAGGTTTATTTGTTTTGCCCAAATAAAAGGGAGGCAAGTCTATGTAGTTAGTATAAGCCAAACATGGCTGTGCAAAACAGTGTGTCATGCCAACAAAAGGTTTGTCAAGAACACTGAAAGCAAAAAGAGAAACAACTCCCTGGAAACTGGTCGGTGTTTGCCCGCCAAGTTTCAGCTGAGAGGAACTTAGCACAACTGATGCAAACTCTTCTAAAGACACAGTCAGGCACAGAAAGACAAAATTTTAGCTGAGCTGTGTCTGATGTTTAACTGCTTTGCATGCGGGCAGTTTACTGTCCAACAATCAGTTGAAGTATGTAGCAATCCCTTTCCTCTCTCCAGCACGAAACGTTACTTGCTAAAGATAAACCACAAAAGACCATGTTTGGATAAAACATATTTTAGCTTGTGGAAGAAAGTTTAAGAGAGGGAGGAGGGATGGGCAAAATCCTTCTGTAGTTCAGCATATGAGAAGCACCAGTATTTTTTTTAAGCCACCTTTCCCCCACCCCAAAAGAAACAATGGACTAATTCGTATGGAGATGGTGAATCTGGGCCTGGACCACTGCAGGTGGGGGCTGGTATGAGGGGGAGAGTAAAGCTCTCCAGTTAGAAATCTGGACGTCAGGGGAAAGGATTCTAGGACGATCATTTTCTATCTGCATATATCTACAAACACAGGCTCGCCATCTCAGTGAGAACTATATCTCCCAGAAGATATAAGACTCCATTTCCACCTGGTGGAACGAAGTGAGGTAGAGCAGGAATGGATTAAGCAGGGAAAGATCCCAGGCGCGATGGCGGAGGGTGAGGGGATGTCTGCCTAACATCCCTATCTAGCACAACTGCCAAACTTCCCAGAAAGCAACTCGAGGAAGCGAGAGCCAAACAAGCCTTTGCAGAGCAAACGCACATCTGGCCAAGTGGGGGCCGAAGGGAAGACAAAGGAAGCTCTTCTGCAAAGACCACGAAACTTTCCAAGGTGCCTCGGGACAGGCATCCTTCCCGCTCTAGTTCCTCAGTTTGCGCGTTGTTGTTTTCTCCCCACGACACGGCTTGAGAACCCAGCGCCTCCTCCCCGCCATCTCTCCTTCAGCCCCCACCCCAGCCCACTCCGCCTCTTGGTCGCTACTCACTCCAAGCAGACACACTTTCAGCTCTCGTATCGCCATCATCTGCTTGGGGCTTGGCGGCTTCGCATCCTTCGGAGGAGCCAATCTCCCTCGCGCTACCCACTTGCACCGAGCAAGGAAAGCAGCTGCGGCTATTTCTGGGCAGCCCCAGCCCTCAGCCGCCACCGGTCACATGAGCGCAGCCCCGGAGGCTCCAGCTCCTCCTCGCGTCTTTTTGGTGCTTTCCTCACCCAAACCCAACACGTACAAAATATCTGCGCTTCAGCATATTTCAGGAGACGCGGTTTCCATTCTTGGGTCTGCGCTGCTGCTGTTGCTGCTGCATTTCCAGACAGGCAAGTTAAAGAGACAAACTCTTCTGCGGCTCACAATAGCAATCTGGAGTTCCCGCCCATTTTTCTCCTCGCACATTCTTCTGGGGAAATTGTTCGATATTCCAAAGAGAACAGCAAGAGGCAATGCTCCAAAGGGAGGGGAGGAGGAGGAGGAGGTGGAGAACATAATCTTTTGGGGAAAACGTTTCAAGTAAAAAAATAAAAAATAAAATTTTAATTCCAAAAAAGTACAACTAAAAGGGCTTGACACATTCAATAAATGGTCATTTATCAGAATTCCACTCAGTCGTGTGTGGGTTAACAAACAAACAAACAAACAAACTTGAAAAGTAATAATTTGTTTTTAAAAGCTTCGCTCCCCCAAAAAAGTGTAACCGGAAATGTCATTGATATATCACTCATGATATAACAGGATTTGTTCACAGAAGAAACTGAAAATAATATATTAGTTAGTCAGGACACTCAAACTGAGCAAGACCTGTCAAGCCCTACTGATTAACTGACATATAATATAATCTGCGCCATAGCCAGGAATGATAATAATAATAATCAAATTCTGCACTGGTAAACTAAAAAGGGAAACTGGATTCTTTGATGTGTACAAGTACTTATTTGCATAATATAGTCTACCACCCCTAGAGATGTCATTAGAAACCTAGCCCTGCCTCAAAGGAATGAGCAATGATTATGGGAAAAAATTCTATGCATACCAGATCTTTCCAGAATCACAGAGCGCTTTCAGACTTGCTATTTTGCCTGTGGGATTTAATCACATATAGCAAATCCAGGTTGTGCAATTAAAATGGATTTGGCTCTTACACAACAAACTCACTTAAGAAAACAAAAACAAAATAGACTTTGCAGTAAGAAAAGTGACAGAAAAATGCATTGTGACGTGTCATAATATAACCTCTACAAAAACAGATTAGTAAACAACATGCATCCTATAATCCATACACACACTGTGTGCAAACAAATCAAGATGAATGTGTAATAAAAAGGTTGTCAGGAAGTGTCTACAGACATAGAAATTCAGACTAAATATAGTTGTGGTTTTTCAGTCCATATTCAGGTGGATATCAATTAGTACTGTATATATCACATAGAAATTTTAGAGTGTAGTAGCCTGGAGGGTGAGGAAGGCTTTAGATGGGCAAAGAGTCAGCCAAAGTATTTTACCACTGTAAAATTATGGTCATGTTCAGAATTTCATACCAGAAAAAAACTTGCCAGCCCAAGTGAGGACTCCTTGCAATAAAATGCAGTGATTGACATAGCCTGTAACTTTCTGTCACAGAAGTGAATTGGCTTAAAGTAAAGCCAAAATAGTAAAGCCAGTGCTTTATATCATGGATTTCAATGGGATCCGCTGAATTCCGTGGGATAAAGCAAAGAGGCTGCAAATGGGACGAACAGATCAAATAAACACCCCATAATATGCATGCAATGAGCTAAAAGGCCACAACAATAAATTTCAGTGGAGACATAAATTTCTCCAGTGATGTGGTTCCTTTTCCTGCCAAGGTAAATATAATAATAATAAAATAGTTTAGTCTAAAAAGGTTTCTTGTTGCAAGGCAGAAAGTAACATTTGTCTGCATGTATTAAGGAAGTGGGGATGCAGGTGGCGCTGTGGGTTAAACCACAGAGCCTAGGACTTGCCGATCAGAAGGTCGGCGGTTCAAATCCCTGCGACGGGGTGAGCTCCCGTTGCTCGGTCCCTGCTCCTGCCAACCTAGCAGTTCGAAAGCACGTCAAAGTGCAAGTAGATAAATAGGGACCGCTTACTAGCGGGAAGGTAAACGGCGCTTCCGTGCGCTGCTCTCGTTCGTCAGAAGCGGCTTAGTCATGCTGGCCACATGACCCGGAAAAACTGTCTGCGGAAGCGGACAAACGCCGGCTCCCTCGGTCAGTAAAGCGAGATGAGCACCACAATCCCAGAGTCGGTCACAACTGGACCTAACAGTCAGGGTTCCCTTTACCTTTACCTTATTAAGGAAGTGGACAGGAAAGAAAAAGATATGGAGATGGTTAAATCTGTAGATCAATGTCTTACACACCCCCTCAGTGTCCACAGACTTAAGGCAGATAATCAGTGAAAGTTGTTATAGATTTGTGGGGGAGGACCCAAAACCTAGAAATTAATAAATGGTAATATTTTAACTAATTGAGATATGAAATGGGAAATATCCACTGCAGAGGAATTTCTGGGCTAGCCTATGCAAACCGACCTGGCCAAGCTAGGGCCTTTAAGAAGAAGAGTTTGGATTTGATATCCCACTTTATCACTACCCTAAGGAGTCTCAAAGCAGCTAACATTCTCCTTTCCCTTCCTCCCCCACAACAAACACTTTGTGAGGTGAGTGAGGCTGACAGACTTCAAAGAAGTGTGACAAGCCCAAGGTCACCCGGCAGCTGCATATGGAAGAGCAGAGACGCGAACCCTGTTCACCAGATTACGAGACTACTGTTCTGAACTGCTACACCAAACAATACAGGGCCACTGAGAGCCATTGGCAATGCAAGAGAACTGTCCTTTTCCCCTACCCTGAGGTGTGGTTTGGAAAGTTGTCACGGTAATTGGACGTGATGTCACAGGAAGAGTTTGGGGCCGTTGGCATAACTGAGAATAAGCTTTGAGATAGGTGAGAAAAAGGCCAGATCCATCTTGGGCAGGCTGGCTGAAGGCAGGCTGGGAGAAAAGCCTCGGGCTCCACTGCTGCACTGCTGTGGGGAATAGGCTCCTCTTGAGATGCCTGTTCTGTAAGATCTGTACACCCTCCATCTACATGTAGGTATAAATATATGAATCATAAATCTTAAAACTACGACAGCCTCCAACGTGCCTTCAATTCTCGAAAGGGGCAGAGACCCCAGTTGAGGGCCAAGGCTCCTGGAATCCCATGCATGGCTCAGCAGAGATGGGGTGGCCTCTAACACTACTTACATCTCACTATAGTAGAAATATAAAATGGTTGGCACTTTGTTTTTCCAAGCCCATCTCCATGAGCTGTGCCAATCAGGAGTAGAGTTTCTAACTTGAACTTATAGGGCCTGAGTCAAGATAGTATTGTCACAAGATGTATTCTCGACTCAGCAAAATGTTCACGATTATATTAGGCAGGGATTCAGGCTCAAATAAGTTGCACCTCTCATCCTCACGACTCACACACCTCCACTCCTATCAAGCCCCAATAGATACAATACACATTAAAGTAGCCTATAGTAAGCCAGCATGGGCTGCAGTAAGGTATAGAAAAAGCAAATATATATGCCAGCACAACACTGCACCAAATCTCATTGTACTTTCTTATAAATGCCTGACACAAAACAATAAATCTTCCTGTACAGTCATGACCCAGAACTTGTTCCTGAGTACTTTTCAACTTATTTAATTATTACCCTAAAATTGCTGGTTTGTGAACTGTAGTCTCATTCATGTAAAAGTAATAAGTTTACTAACCAGTTTTAAATAGGCTGAAATGTTTTAAGGACTAAAGCACTCATAAAGCACACTACAAATATTTTGTGCAAGATTCAGTCTGTTAAACAAATGTGATTATCACAAAAGTCAAGGTCAAACAAGGTAAGGAGGAAATATAAGGACAATATTCTCTGTTTATCTAACTCACACAAAGAAGAAAAAAATAGAGACATGTCCTTCAAGCTGCCTCTGACCCAATCTGTTCCAGGAAACACCATAATTGTTTGTCTGCATTCAAAGAGCTGTGGTCAGGGAAACATTTCTGGGGAATTTGTCATATTTTAGTATGTTTAAAACTGCAGAAAAACAACTCTGACAATCCTTGCTTTCTCTCCCTCCCCCTTTTGTAGCAGCTTGGTTGATCAGCAACTTTTGTGTTGTTGTGATTTTTTTCCTTCTATAAATAAATTAAGAAAAACTAAAAAAGAATAAGAATGGAGAAAGCACTGCTTAGTGGTAGAGTGCATGCCTTGCATGCGTGTAGAAGGTCCCAATTCAATCCATTGCACCTTCAGCCCAAAAGACCTGTGGTAGCAGTGGTCTGAAAGCAGGAGTCTGAGACACTCCAGTTATAGTGCATAATACTGGGCTAAACAAACCAAAGTTATGAGTGGTATGAAGAAAGGTAACAAATTAATTTTGTGCGTTCAGGTCCTGCTTCTGGACTTCCCACAGGCCTCTGACTGGCCACTGTGATAACAAGATTTTGGACTAGATGGGACATTGGATTAATCTAGCAGGCCAGTCTTATGTTCTCATTAATTTATTTAACAAAAACCAGTTGTGCAGAATGACCCATGTCTATTCTTGTGCTGACTTCCATTAAAATTACTCTGCTCTTTCATCTGATCTGCTTCTTTTAACTAATCCCATTAGCTGTGCAACTGTTGCTAAGTATGCAGTGGTACCTCAGGTTACATACGCTTCAGGTTACATACGCTTCAGGTTAGAGACTCCGCTAACCCAGAAATAGTGCTTCAGGTTAAGAACTTTGCTTCAGGTTGAGAACAGAAATCATGCTCTGGCGGTGCGGCGGCAGCAGGAGGCCCCCATTAGCTAAAGTGGTGCTTCAGGTTAAGTACAGACCTCCGGAACGAATTAAGTACTTAACCCGAGGTACCACTGTAATTATTAAATGACTGTACCACCTCAGAATGCATACCAGGGATGGCATATTTAAAAGCATTACATATAAACAGGGTTGTTGGTTAGGCTGTGGACCATGGGACCTAAGCACCCAGTAATTTGCATTGGGCCCTGAAATATACTCAGAGTCGAGAGTGGATTTCATACTCTTTATTCTGCTCATAGTGGTGAGGAAGAATGAAAATCCCCTCAAAGTATCTGCTTTATATACATTATTTACACAATGGGCTGCACGTGATTGGCTAATTCTGGAATTCTCCTGTAGGCAAATCAGGTTGTGGATTCACTTCCATCTGGAGCTGGATTGGGTGGGTCCTGCAGACCAATCATACTGCTGCATTGTTCTAGGACCAATCAGACTGCTGCATTCTGAATCCTATTGTTCTGGGACCAATCAGACTGCTGCATTTTGGATCCTATTCAACTCAGTATATAACAGGCCCCCAAACTCCTGTCGTGTCTTCTCCCCTTTTTGCCTTAAAAAACCCCAAAACTATGCTAACAGGGTGGCTGGTTGCAGCGTAAATGAGACCCCAGCCACCCATCATCTTAATCTGCCCAAAGACAAATTTCCTTGATGTTCCTTTCCCTCAAGTCTTTTAAGTACCTAGCAATGTCCCTGCACATAAATATCTCCATCCATCAGTTGGCTCTACATTCAGTTCGAGTGCAAGCATGTTTGAGCTTGGCTTCTGACTTAAGTCTAATCTTACTGTTGTGTTACACAACACCCCAATCTCCACCAATTGAAAAATTGGCTGCACAAGATCCCAGGGGTTCCAGGTGCTCTTCGAGAAAGATGGTTCATTGCACCCATATTTACACCTGGGTCTACTTTGGAGAGAGTTCAGAGCATTACATCTAAAGAGGATATTTTTCTCTACAGCAGTGCAGCATTGGAGTTCAAGGCATCCTGCATACCATCTCTATGCCTCTGTCCCAGCCTGCCAGGATGGTTCTGGCCTTCACAGCAGCTGGTCAGAACCTTCTGCCTAGTTGATGGTTTCAGCTGATGGGTTAATGACTTGCTTCTAGGAGCTTTTGCCATTCTTAATGACTTCTATTCCAGGTGAGCCCCTGGCCTGGAAAAGAAGCTTCATGTGTATTTTCCCCTAGTCTAACATCTGTCCTTCAATATTCCAAATATTATCTGAAGTCTATCATTTATTAATTTATAATATTCACTAATTCTAGCAGTTATGGATGCCCTTGTAGCCCCATACTCTGTTACCCCAGATTTGTAACAGTAAGGGTCAGAATAGTATTGTAATGAAATAACTGTGTAAATTGGATGGGATGATTGGTTTGGGCACTGTAGCTTTCCAATACATCTGTAGTTTAATTTGCCTTAATTGCTGATTTTACTCATTAGCCACTTTGTTTTCTTTTGAAGATCAAATCGAGTAGAGATTTGTAAAATAAATAAATAAAAATAATATTTGGGGTATGCAGTAGACTTTCTTTACAGTGTAAGAGGACATAGCTGTCAACTTTTCCCTTTTCTTGTGAGGAATCCTATTCGGAATAAGGGAATTTCCCTTAAAAAAGGGAAACGTTGACAGCTATGAAGAGGAATGGAAGGATACTGTCAAGGCTGCCTCAAGTCTCAGCTCACAAAAGACCAACGCCTATGTCTTCTTATATACAAAAGTGTTTATTGCAGTTCATTGTTTGCTTGACATCCTAGGCGCGCAGCCTTACGTCTGCTACGCTTAGACCGCTGTAGTCCCCTCTGAATCCGTCCCTCCCCTACACCAATTTAAGAGGCTTGCGCTGCTCCACCTCTTTCTCTCCTTCCTTTTCCGCAGGGTCCTTCTGCCCGCTGGGGTTTCGCCCCTCCTGGATTCCTCTGACGCGGAATCAGACTGCTCTTCCCCCTCCTGCGGGCTTTGGGACCTGGCCCCTCCTCCGGGCTCCCTGTACTTCCGCGCGCCTCTACATTTGAACTTGGCGCGCGGGCCAAACCTCTAACTTTCCTTTTGACAGTTACACTACTCCCTTCGCTGCTCCCCTCCCCTTCCGGGACGGCGGCTTGCTCTGACCTCCCTCCTTTCTCTGCTGCCGGAGCTGCTTCCCCTGACACACTGGAAACTCCACCCCCTTCGCTGCACTCTGGTGGGGAGGCTGGTCCTGACACCCAGCTGCCACTTTGGGATCCTCCGCTGGCCCCCTGCTCCTGACACGTCCCCCCTGGGGCTCCCCTGGCCTTGACCACCGGCGCCCCCTTCTGGGAATCCTCTGATTCGCTGGAAAGACTCATGGAATCTCTTGAGTCATTGTCATCCTCTTCCTCGCTGGCTTGGAATTCATCCCCATCGCTCTCCATCTCCTGCCTACCCTGTGCCTCTCTCCCTGAACCCCTGACAGATACCTTTATGGGTTTGTATCAAAACTTAACAGCAAGTGTTATGCTATGTAGATTATATTAATACCAGTGTTTTTTTGGGGTGTGTTTTATTGAAATACTGATGATTTAACTCAATAGCACCAGAAATCTCTTAAAATAATTATGTCAGGAGAGTATTTTAATGTGGCATCAACAGTCTTATTTCTTGTACAGGAAACAGCTGGGGGAAAAAGCAGCCACAAGTCTTCCTTTCAGTCCCTTTACTTTACATTGCAAAGTATGAAAAGGGAATTAAATTAACTCCAAAGACTTATTGTCATGTAAACAGACTTGTATTGTGCCCAATGCCAAAGAGAGATAACAAGTTTCTTTTATAGACAGCCAGTTCATATACTGCCAAATCGGCATGAGGATGATGAGTACCGCCTGCCAACTAGAAATTCAGATTCAAACTGGCTTTAAAATGCTCAGTTTGTAGAAGTGTTTCATAAGTGCATTCTGCAGAAGCAAATGGATGATAAATATTTCAATAATCATTATCTAAGAGCAATATTTCAAACAATTGTTAATGTACTTAAGTAAACCAAACTTCTTCCTTGGTCAATAAAATCATACTATTACATTTGATCATTGTTGTCTGCCATATGTTGTCCCCCACAACAACAACAAATACGATAACCAGAGGTTATCCATCAAAGTTCCATATTCACAGTGCAATTCTATGAAATATAGTTCTGAGTATGGATCAGAAGTATAGCGTATAGATCAGAGTTCAGGAAGAACACCAGAGGTTTAAGACTGCAAACTCACGACATAATCCAGTACTACGCATTATGTTACAGAATTTAACAGACTGTGCTTCAGTATATGCCTTTTATTGTGTGTCTAATATACAAATTCTATTCTAAAATACACTTTATTTCCAGATTATATTATAGCAGAGTATTATCACAGACTGGAAGCATTCAAGCTGGTATCAGCAGCAGTTTCATGAGCAAAATGACCACAGAAATATCCACAAGTAATGATAATATTTCAGTCTCACTGATGCAGAGATAGAGAAATCTCCATGTTTGCAAAATATTGCCCCAGTGCAACATGTGAAATGGACTCTTAGTTTGCTATTTCAGCCTAAGTATTCTATGCAGTACCTCCTGGCATTACCATCTGCTGTCATTAAAATTTCTCAGAGGAATTAAAAGGCTAGTGATTGCTAAATAATTTATCAACCATGGGAACACACTTTTTATGTACTGAATGTCACTAACATTAGATGAAGCAAAATACTTTGGTCTTTCCTGGATCACTGTCTTGCAATTAATTTTGTGCAGCTTCATCAGTCATGGAAATGGAGTGAATTTTTTCCTCTTGTTTCAAACAAGGAGTTTAATTCAAAGAGACACACACATTTCCTCCCTCAAATATACTTTTTAATGAAGTCCAGTAGCAAAATATGGGGCTATTAAATACCCACTAAAATCTTGGTAAAAATAATTTTGGATGTAATGTCAGATGAATTCAGGCTGGATACATTTTGTAAAGGTGACAGAAGGGCTGCATTACTCAAGTTTCTTGATTTATGCATGTTCTTGTGCATGGATTTGTTTCACTGTAACATCAGTTGGGAACCAGACTATTATGGATAAAACTGTCAGAAACTCCCACGCTGGCTGGATAAAGCAGCATTATAAACAATTTCTTCATAGGTTGCCCATGGTGAGTAAGTTCATAGGTTGCCCAGGCAAGCAGTCAGAAAGCTTTACCTAACTTTTGTGTGATGACGATGACACTTCCCTCATCTAACAGCAGTGGGCCCATTTGTATAGCCCAGTCTTGGAGACTAATAGAAAATGTGTTCCTCAATGCTTTGTGTGTTTTCCAGTGGAGAAAACTGGTGATCCTGATGAAGCCCTGATCTCAATATGGAATTGCAAGATGAAACAGTCGCTCCTGAGCATCCTCTCCAGTGTTTTGGAGCCTGAGCAACTCCTCCTTGATCGTAATAATGATTCTCAGTATATAAATATGCAAGGCCCACTGATTATATAACCACATTTGCAGAACAGCCGGGGGTGGGAAATGTTAGGAAAATCAATACATATATATATAATTAGAGAATTCACTACTTGCAGTGTATGTAGATTGTCTGTGAACCTTTTTTTTTTTAAGGAAACATAGGAATTAATCTTGTGCCTGCCTTTTCAAGGTTCTTCAGTCCTTCAGTGAGTCCACAGCCTTCACATTTTTGGGTATTTCTTGACTGAGTGCTAGGTATATAAATTTTATTATCATAAATGTTGTATTTTTATAAAGTATATAATGAGATAACTGTTTTGGTTGCCAATTTTCAACTGTTATACCTAAATGAAAGACTGTGGCAGTTTCAGTACTGTTCTTCTGTTATTACCTGTATTTAGGGTTACCCCTTTCCCCTAAGCTCTATTTGACTATAACAATTATTTTATTCCATCTATTAATGCACTTATTCTAATTTTTAGCTTTATACTGAGCCTGAAAAGTTCTGATACCCTCTGACCTTGAATAGTTTTGTTGCAGCATTTCACCAATTCCAACTTTGTATGGGACATTTGGACAGACCTGAAACTTGGCAAATCTTTATCATCTGTCCTCACAAGATACCAGTTGTAAGGAAAAAAAGACTCAATTTTTAGGTAATCGTGCACAGAACTCAAGCTTATGACAAGAACAAGGAGCAATTGGCACATGCTCTGCCTATCAGACCAATGGGAAATATATGAGCTCAAGAAGGGAGTATAACAGCTTGTATTTAGATGAGTGGTCTTTTATCTAGTTGTCTGCCCTTGAATAAGAGCATTCGGCATTGGGGATTGATGAGGAATTCCACACATCTGCCTCCCTGCTTGCAAGGCTAATTGCCCCATTGCACTATTGAATAGGTATAAAGGTCTCCCCTGACTAACATTAGGGTCCAGCCTTTTTAGTTTTATTGTTTTAATAGCTTTCCAGGTTGCTAGATGCTGCACCTTTCTGTACTTAAGTGGGAAATAAAATTATGCTTTGATTGCTTAATCCCAGTGTCTGTTTGGCCTCCCTTGTTGGTGCTGTTGAGTAAAATGGGACTCGGCTGACAGCGGACACTGGGTGGTTATTTTCCTCACAACACAGCCAACCCACAAAAGCTTCACTGCAGCTTCCTACCACTTGGTAAAGTGGTGAAGAAGGTAAAACAAAACTGTCAAACTAGTTTTTTCTCTCTACATAGAACATGTGCAAACAACAATTCAACTGCATGAACGCATACATTTAGCAACTATACACTGCATGTTTACTGATTAGTCATTGTACATGTTTTGTATCAAAAGCTTCCCATAAATAGGGGCACATTCTTTTATTGCTTGCTGAGACACACAGTATTAGAGATATCTAAAACAGCTGGCTACATGGTGAATTAAAAAATTGAGAATATTTTGGAAAATAAGATCATCTAAGTGTAATTCACAGCCAGAGTTTGGAAAGAGCTGAAATTAAGCTTTTCACCTGATTAAGGAAACTAATCATATGAGTTGTGATTGCGATCAATCAAGTAAATCTGCACACATTTACATTTTGTTCACTAATTTTAAAAAGCAGTATAAAAAATAAAAAATAAGCAATACGGTATAATAAAATCATTAAAAACTGTTCTTAGTGCTTGCTATGACATGCATGCATAATCTATCTTTAAAAAAGGCATTCCATTCCATTTCCTATCCAATTTTTAGTAAATGTATTTTAAAAAGCTACATTTAAGAAACACTGCTGCTACATATGCAGGAGGACCTTTTTAAATCAATCAACCACTTTAAAAATCAATTAATATAGCTGAATAATTAGTTGGTCTAGAAAAAGAGAATGAAGACAAATGCACAGCAATAGCCATTTAAGATTTGGTGCAGTAGCTCAACCTGAAATTCTGCTGAAGATAGCTGGTAAAACCTGTAAAATAATTCAGCAATTGATGGCTAGCATGAGCTGTTACATTTATGTTGCTTGGATATACCACTAAAGCCTATTTAGCCAGGGTCGGGGCCATCCCAAACAATTAGTGCTTTAGGTTCAGGTGTACAGTGTACCTAATGTTTTAACAGTACCTCTTACAGGTACGCTCATCAGGGGGCATTACTGCAACTATTAGTGTGTGGGAAATCAATATTTGCCTCAGGGTAATATATAATGTGTGTTAAGTGAGAGAGGGAACCTAGGTATATCTATTGTGAGTGACTAGAGCCTTTGTTTTTAGTAATTCATTCTGCTTTTCTTATTGGTACCCAAGGAACAGCTCATTGTCATGGTGAGATTGTGACATCTCCTTGTACAGAGGCTAACAAGAGATATATAGCAGCCAATCATTTATCTTTGTCCTCCTACTCTACTCCATGCTACTTTCCTTAACCTTCAAGTAAACAGAGCTATGAAAGGTAGGACTTCTTTTTATTTTCAACAGTCATTCTTTACCCTCCTTTCCCCTTTTTTCCCATTCCAAGTGTATAGAGCCCTCAAATGGCCGACATGCCTTAACATGCTTGAAATAAATATCCTAAAATGCAAGTCTTTCATCTGAGTTCTGATCATGCTTATGCCTTCAAAAATAATGGTTCAAGTTCAACACAAAGTTAAGCTGAATAAAATATATTGCAATAAATGGGCTTAAGCATGCTTAACTGTGTTGGGTTGTGAGCAGCATATTTTCAAACTCACTCATTTTAGATGTTTCATTTTAAAAAATTGCTTGATACACACACATACTGTCCAACCAATTGCATAGTACGTCGACTGAAAATTGTACAATAAAAATCTATTTCCCCTTTCGGAAAAAAAATCAGATTCCACAATGCAATTCCCAAAATTATTTCTGCCCCATTGAAGATGTTATAATTTATTAAAAGGCATTTAAAAAAATTATAAATAGTACTATCTATGAAAAGGGACGCGGGTGGCGCTGTGGGTAAAACCTCAGTGCCTAGGACTTGCTGATCGCAAGGTCAGCGGTTCGAATCCCCGCGGTGGGGTGAGCTCCCGTCGTTCGGTCCCAGCTCCTGCCCACCTAGCAGTTCGAAAGCACCCCTAAGTGCAAGTAGATAAATAGGTACCGCTTTATAGCGGGAAGGTAAACGGCGTTTCCGTGTGCGGCGCTGGTGCTGGCGCGCCAGATGCCGCTTAGTCATGCTGGCCACGTGACCCGGAAGTGTCTTCGGACAGCGCTGGCTCCCGGCCTCTTGAGTGAGATGGGCGCACAACCCTAGAGTCGGACACGACTGGCCCGTACGGGCAGGGGTACCTTTACCTTTACCTTTTTACTATCTATGAAAAAAGAGATAGGCGTTGCTATTAGACATACAGTTGAAAGTTTTTAAAAATTAATCTCAGACATTGATGTAGGATTGATACTTTTCAATTAAATTTTCATCTCCTGTCTCATAGAAATGCATTACTATTAGTAACACAATAAAACTTTCAAGTTACTTTCCCTAGGAAGCACATATCTCTTTATTTGCAGAGTTCTTCAGTCATGCTAAAATCAAGCTGTAATCCATACCCCCAACAATGGGTGCAGGGTTGGGGGGACAGATTGAGCAGAGGCGTCTCTCCTTCCAGCCCTGCTGGCTTTCTGCCCATAGAGTGACACTAGCATTACTTGGCTAAAATACAAAAGGTCCCTGTTCTGTAACAGCAGTGGCAGACCTTGGGGTCTCAAGATGTCCGTGGTGCCCTGTGCAACATCAAAATTCAGCACCTCCCTGTCTCTTGCCTTCCATTCTACGTAATAGTTGTGATGCTCCTAATGGTCTGCACCCCACCTGCCTCTGGCAACAGCACACACACACCCAGTCTGAAAACCAGGTGTTCTGGATCTGCTGAGCCAGCCCACTTGATGGCACTGGGGCTGATTGTTATTTCCTTGCCCTCTGCCTTCCACCCTGTGTGAGCAATAAGGCTAGAGATGCAGCTGTTGCTCTATTCTCTCACATTGCACTGCTGCCCAGCTAGTGTTTGGATTGTCCTGCAAGCATGTTTTCAATACCTTAGTCCCGCCCCTCAAAATGTAATGTAAGGGAAATGTATGCTGCCAAGTAGTTATTTGTTTAGAACCTTTATAAACATTCCAATCAAAGTAACTTTGATTTTGTATGAATATAAAATAAAACCACACTGTTGCTGCAACGCTGCATGTGTCTACTCAGAAGTCAACTCTACTGAATTTGATGGGACTTTCTCCCAGGTAAGCATGCACAGAACCGTGCAGCCTGAGTGCATTTTATTTATTTATTTTTCTAACATATGTCCGTTCAATTACATTAGGAAAAAGAGATATAGCATTTATACAACATGTGAAGAAGCTAATATGAGGAACATTTAGTAAAGAAAACTAAAAAAATAAGTCATATATGTGTGCTAAATCATATCTCCATTGATTTAGGACAGCAGAAATTTGTCCAGTAAAATGTTTATAGAACATACTGTCACTGGTCACAAGAGAATGATTTGAATGTCATAAAGTTGGTGCTATCTTTGAAATCTTTATTAACAGCCTGTGGTACTGCACTCTATGCTTGACTATACATGTAATGGTTAAAGTTACTCCATACAGCTGCTAATCACATTTGACAGAAAATTTAATATGCCACAGTGCTTCATTCCTTAACACATCAAGCTTGTACACTGTTTTGCATATGAACAGACACATGAACTCTACTAAACACATAACTACTGAATCTTTGGCAGCTAGGTAATCACCCATTTTTCTCCAGCATTCTCCATCAACAACAATATAGCATCCAGATAGAAAAATGCTGCTTATTATCAGTATTTTATATGGGCTCAACCTCCTATAAATGACATTCCTTCTAGTTCAACCACAAATGCCTGAGATCAGAAATTACTGCAGCTACAAAGGCCTATGCAGGCCATTCAGATAATATATTTCCATAATAGCTAGTTGATTGTCTCCAATATTGAAATTTTAAATGTTTTTTCCTTATTTATTATTAAAAACTTGTTTGACTTTTTATAACAGTATATAAATATTTTTCATAAATTATGCTACATCGCACTACAGTTCGTACTTGCATGGTATTGAGGAAGTGCAAGGGATATGCCATCATTATATCTCAATGTTTGACTCTTAATCGCTCAGAATTGTAAGCAGATCTTAGGTTTACTTATTTAATATTAAGGGAAACTGTGTAAAGTTTACCAAGAAATCTCATATAGAAGTTATCAAGCAGAAACAAAAAACACAACCCATAGGAGGCACAAAATTAATTTTTGGTTTTTGCAAGATTCTTACCTTTTATGCCAAGTAAAAAGCCGAATGGCCAAAGCTACCGCAACAGAAAAACAGAGTAATATAGGAGGCGCCCTGTGCTGTCCACTCTGACAGGAAGCAGTTCCCTGAAGCTTCAGGCAGATATATTTTGCCATCCTTGCCATCAAGACATCCTTTAACTGGAAATGATGGTAACTGATCTTGGGGCCTTCTCTTAACTGCAGGCAGAAAGACAGACGAGGTTTGTCAGTGTACATGTTTGTCTGTTACAGAGATCTCTTAGGAGTTCTGTTGATTATCATATGGTTTTGTAAAGTTGGTGTTTACACTGTTCAGACTACAAAATGGTGCAGTAAGGATAGTGCAAGTACACTATCTAGTGATGCATAATCCAATTTCCGGCTTCTCCCTTTTCTCCAGGAAAGGAATTGCAGATCACCAGTCACCTCAATCAACACTGCAAATGGCCCATGGTAGGCTTATAATGTAGAAAACCCAATGGTATGGTATAGGTATCAGCTACTGAAATCACTGTGACAGTTGTGTTCCTATTTCTTTGTACTAGAGAACCTTAACTAGTACAGCTGATATTGTAGAATTATGACCTTCATAACGACTGCAGGAAAGGCTGAGCACCTATTGAACCTTATGGTTCTGCAATTAAACATATTTTTACTGCGTTTTACCGACAAATGAAAGGGAGTCCAGTGGCAAGGGGACACTATTACTAGCCTCAAGGGGAATATTATACTATATTTAGTATATTAAACAAGCAGAAATTTTAACTGATTTGGATATAAACATGGTTTATACCCTTTAAAGGCAATCCTGTGCATACCTACCCAGAAGTCCTACAGAATTAAATGAGACATTAAGGCAAGTGTGTCTAGAACAGCCTTATCTTCTGTGCTATGCCAACTACCTTTCTGTCAAAATATTAGATTTTCATTAAACCTCAGTACAGTTATATAAGCAGCTAAATGCTGATTTCTTATTAGGGTTGCCTGGCTCTTATTAAATCAGCCCAAGGCTTATTTTAATGAAAGTAGGCAATGACCCCAAAACCCAGTTTCGGATAGCTGTCCCAAATGCTTTTGCAGAGAACATTTTAATTTTTGAATCCATATATACAAATGGCCACAAAACAAAGCATGTGTGCCTACAAATACAGTATAGGTTACATTGTGACACCAACCCTGGAATTATCACCTGAGGAAGGTGGTTCTTTATAGAATGACATCACAATGATTCAATCTACTTATTGCAGTGTGTCATATCTCAGAGCTCCATTTGGCATCCTCTAAACCAGTGTTCGGCCACAATTAAAATAGTGTGTTCCGCTTCATTCCCTATAGGAAGGCAATAAAAAGGGATGAAAAGCAGCAGCAGTATTCCTAAGTAAGTTTAAGAGGAGCAAAAATACAGCCAGGGATGGGTGGCAGTGAGATCAAGCAAAGAAAAAAGAATAAGAGGCAGCGCTAGGCCGCCGTTTCAGGTAGCAGGTGATGTGCAGCCAGGTGCTAGACGACAGAGCTGTTTATCCCACACTGGCTGCCCCTGTGCTCCCTAAACCAGCCTAGCTGCCCTCAGGTGTGGGTATCGCCCCCTTGTCCCATCACTGCTGTTGAAAGCAGAGTCAGCAGCTGGTCTAGGTGGCTTGTGTACACAGAACAGGAAGGGAGATGGAGCGTAATCTTTGCCTCGGGCAGCGAAGTGTCCTGGGGCAGCAGCGCTGAAGGAGGGGCGGGAAGAATGCAATGGCCGAGCCCAGAAAGGGGAAACGAAAACCGGAGCCAAGTGGCACGGAAACAAGTGCAGTAGTAGAAAACCAGAGCCAAACCTAGATGTGGGGGGAGATAACAGCGTCACAGCCAAGTTACGTCGGTCTGAGAAAAGCCCAGCGTGCAGCTCCCGAGTAGTCGCCGTGCCCTGCAGCCGTGCCAGTGCCTAGCAGGGCGCGGAGAACGGAAACTGCCGTACCCTCTTAAACCAACTTTGGGAGCGGCCATGCCATGTGGGGAAGGCAGTGCAGGGTCAGGGTCAAGGGAAAGCACTGCTAGGCGAGTGGAGAGAGAGAGGGCGCTCACAGACACCGGGGCGTTTTTTCCAAGTGTCCCGAGTAGTTCACTCTGCCTCACCGGTTCTGGCTGGGCCAGACCTGCCTAGCGGCCCCACCTGGCTGCGCCCGACGGAGGCGGCTTTTGAGGCTGGAGTGAGTCAGCGGGTGGAAAAAGAGGGCAAAAGCGCGGCAGCTCTTGCCTCGCATGTCAGGCAGCTCTCTCTCTTTTTCCCTCCCTGGCGGAGGCGGGGGCAGCCGTTTCTCGCTCTGTGTGTGTGTCCGGCTCAGACCCCTCCCTCTCCGGACTGATCGCTCTGTGTGAGACTCTCCCGGGGACGCCCGGAAACGCCGCCTGGGCCCAAAGGCCGCAACCGCCACCCCAACCGAGCCCCCTTCCCTCAGCCCTCGCCTCCTGCGGCTGCCACGGCGGGCTAAATGTAGCCCCTGCAAATCGGGCGGGGAGGTTTGCAGAAACATGGCGGGTAGGTAGCACCTCCCTCCCTCCCCAACCCCCCCTCCCACTCCCAGAAACTCCGTCCGGGCGCGAAAGAAACACCTCAGTCCGGACCCCCCCCCCCGCTTCAAGGAAAAAGCAAAGGGAAAGCGCCCTTTAGCGAGTCCTCCTTCACCTCAACTCATCGATCTGGGGGGTGGGGGGGTTGCCTCCTGCCTGCCTACCTACTTCTCTCTGTGTGTGTTGGGGAAACTATGGCAGGAGCTTGCGAGGGGATTTATCTGAGAAATTAACGACCTTGTGTGGCAAGAAGGGCTTGGGGGATTTGTTGCCAGATGTAGGCGTCCCCCTTCTTTCTCTCGGCCCCGTGAGTGTGAGGAGGGGGCGCTTAGGGCAGGGGTGTGTGTGTGTGTGTGTGTGTGTGTTTTATAGCGTGGTAAAGAAGCGCGAGGCGCTCTCGTGGGGTGTGTATTACGGGTGTTTTACAAAGGGGAGTTGGTCTGGGGTGGGGAGGAACCCCCTCGGCTGGAGTTCACTTTGTCTTGTCTCTCTCCGCCTCCCCCCCCCACTCCCCCGTCTAGATCTGTCGCTGCTCCAGGAGGACCTGCAGGAGGAGATAGACGGATGTGAGTAGCCCCAGCTGCAACAGCTTCTTCTTCTCTTTCCCTCTTCCCCAGCGCGCTCGGCGGCGCTGCCCGGGCCGCCCCTTCTTCCCAAGTCCGTCTTGGATGTGGGGGCTGGGTCGGGGCGGTCCCACTTCACTCGCACCCGGAAACTCAGGGGATCCTGGGTCTGGAATGAAATGGGGAGAGGGAGCCTGTTCCCGTCTAACGAGGGTTTGTGCCTTATCTATCTATATATGTATATATACATAAAATACAACCGGGAACGGGGAGGGAGAGGGATGGATTGCGCGTGTGTGTCAAGCTCTCGTTCGCTTTTGCTTCCGCGAATAAATGGTTTTGAAAGCGTGGAGGAGGCCCAAGTTGCATTGTGGGAGGAAGCAGCCATGCTCAGCTGTCCTTGCCCGTTTTCCCCCATACAGGCATTTATGTGTATGGCTTGCAAACTTGCTCGTGTTTGTGCCTGTCTTGATTTTGTGGTTGTTGTTAGTTTGTTTTACTTTTCTGGAGACCACGAAGGGAAAATGGGGAAAGTTGTGAGTTGGATGGGTTGGTTGTGATTATAGCATTACTGCTGCTATTCTGATGAATGAGATTTAGGTCACGTTGTACTTGAAGCTTAACAGTGTCTTAATATTGAGATACAGTACTAATAGAATTCGCCTTCCTTTAATAACACTTTATTAATTGCCATCAGAACTCATTGAATGTTCTCATATAGGAATTATGCTTGTGTGCTTTTTAAAATCAAGGTGTGTTCAGGTTTGATATAGCCATTGAATATTTAAATTGTAAAAATTAAATTTACATTTTAAATGTCAAAATTTTTAAAATACTAAAATTTAATACATTGATATTTAAAAGTTAGCATTTATGTTGTTGAATTTCGGACAGCTAATGAGATTAAAAAATGCATTGTGATCCATAAAGGGTCAAGAAAGCAAAACCCAAGATTGGTAAAGTTTGATACGACACTGACCTTGACTTTGTATGTTAGATAAATAGAATGATGCATATTCTTCTGAATTAATTTGTGGCTGGTTTGCAGGTCTGTTGTATGAGGTTCAGGTCTTCTAATTAGATTTTGACCTGCTTTCTTTAGTTTTTAATCTTTTAAAATGTATTGTGTACATATCAGACTTTAGAGAACTGATGCTACCACCTATTTGAATCAATAGTATACACACACACAGAGTAATGTGCATTTATGTTCTGAACAGAAGGTAAACCTGTGTAACTCAAAATATTTTAGTAATGTATATGAATATACACTTAATTTTTTTACAGCAGTAAATACGTGATAGGTGACCAGTGCAGGCATCAGTGATTGTGTAGAACAGCCTTCTCCACCTTCGTGCTTTCCAGATGCTTTGGACTACAACTCCCATGGATGTTGTAGCCAAAATATGTGGAGGGCACCAGGCTGGAGAAGGCTGGTATAGAATATTGTGTGAACTAAATAATGGAGAAGGTACTATGGAAAATAATAATGAAGTACCAGAATTAAATAAAATAGAAGTATAGAAGAGAGTTTAGAAGATGTGTCCATATTAAAAATACATGCTCCAGAATAAGAATGTAAGAAGATTGAATAATAGAGTGTCCTTTCTAATTTCTGCTACTTTTACTTACCATCTCTTTCTTGGAGGCAGATTCTTTGGTATAAATTTTGATGGTTAACTCTTGGATAGGAGCACTTAGTAAAACATAATTTCTCTTCCAAGGCGATATTAGAGGGTGGTATTAGATGAAAGCGAAGTCAATTGCTGCTTTAAGTAGTGTTGTAGTATTCACCACAGTGCAGCTGTATACAAATTAATATTCATTACGTTGTCTCCTTTTTATTGTCCATAGTAAGTGATGCTTGCCATATGAGTTGTCATGCTTTTGAGTTCTTGATTATTAGGGTCTTAGTGTGAAGGTTTTATCTCAGTGGAGCACCTATCAATGAGTGCAGTGTTTGAATTCTGCATTAGCCTCCTTTTCTGTATTAGCATCATTTCCTGTAGAGGTCTGCTTGGTGCCAAAGTTCTTCAACTGAGAACACTTTATTTCTTCTTCTCACATGCTTCATCCTCAACTTTGTACCCTGTATGTTCTTGTAGTATTGCAGCTGTCTTGGCTCTTCATAGAGGGAAATGGGCCATCAAAAGACCTGATTTGTACTCATGCCTTTTAGGTTGACATGGGACCTTAAGCAGCCCAGATCTGAGACACTGGTGCTAGCTAATCTGATTCCTCTTAATAAGCTGATTTCTAAGGCGAGACTGGTGACTGCATACTTTATTTTTGTTCTCTGTTATTTTAGTGACAAACTGCATATACAGTCAATTATGGTAATCCACAAATCCTTGATAAAAACAAAGGCCATAAGCTGCTGAAATGGCCCCAGTGGCATTTGTGTCTAACTAATGGTAGTGTTTCAGGGTTGCCTCTGGTGTACCTTCTTAGGTTGAAGACATCTTTCTTTTTTAAAAACTGTGTCTGTGCTTCTAGGTGGACAACTTCAATTGCTAATTTTAAGCTTTTGTGTGTAGAGCATAAACCAGGAACAGACAGAAGCAAAAGAAAAATTGTGACTTCATTGTGTGATGAGAGGTAGAAGAGCATACATACGCAGTAAAATCTGTTGGTGCAAGGACTTCCACTTGTGCAGAGAAACTTCCCTTCCCCCTGTGTGCCTCTAAATATATTCTGAGAGTTCTCCATACCCTCTGGAACAGATTGGGGGGCGCTCTGGAGAGGCAAGGGAGGGAAGTTCTGTTTAGCAGAAGCCCCTGCACTAACAGGGTGACTTAGATGAATACAGCCCATTGCTGTTTAGCATGGTCACTTTGACGAGCAGTAACTAGGAGAATAGTAGAAAGATTTCTTGTTCTTTTGAAACCATCTGAGTATAGATGGAAAAACAGTATTTTCGTCTTGGATAAGTTTGTGAATTTCATTTACATAGGAGAATAAAATTGATGGTTGTCCACATTCCACAGTGAACATGAGTTTTGTTTGTATAATAAATGTCATTTCTGAAAATAGACATGTAACTGAATTGCCTATAAACTACAGGCAAACAGGTGCCAAAGATCAGAAAAGGAGGTACTTTCAATAGACATTAGGAAGGCAATGTTATGTGGTTAGTAGCATAGGAGATTCCATAAGGGATGACTACACTGTTGAAATATGTTTAAATGAAAGAGTTCAAAATTATGCTTACAAAATGGAATGGTATTTGGTAACAGTGTGCAAATTTCCCTACCTTTTGTGGGCAAACATTGATTGCTGTATCCTTTAAAAAAATCCCAAAACTGTTGTACATTGTTAGGCAGTAGGTTTTTGAGTTTTAAGATTTATTTGAATTCAGTGCATTTATCTAGGTTTTTGCTTCCTATTTAAGTTAATTCTTTTTGGAGGTTATTTTTTATGTTTACAATATTGTACAATTTTGAACACTTTCCTATGTTTCCATCATGTTAGAGCAGAGGGGATAGGAACCTGTAGCTCTCCAGATGATGCTGGACTACACCTCCATTCGTCCTTGATACTTGGTCATGCTGGCTGAAGCTGATGAACACTGAAGTCAAACAACATCTGGAGGGTGAAGTCAAACAACATCTGGAGGGTCACATGCTTCCCATCTCCATGATACAACCAGATCTTGTGTTTACACTGAGATCATGGTGATGTTCCATAAACATTTGCCCCCCGCCCCAATATTGGCATCTATTAAAAGTTATATGAAGTAGTAGAAATGTTCATCTCCTGTAGGTGTTGCTTATAAAGGGAAATATTTATGCATCGTCTTAATACATTTTATTAAACTAATAAACAGTGATGTTTTGGATGAATGGACATACAGTGGTACCTCGGGTTAAGTACTTACTTCGTTCTGGAGGTCCGTTCTTAACCTGAAACTGTTCTTAACCTGAAGCACCACTTTAGCTAATGGGGCCTCCTGCTGCCGCCGCGCCGCCGGAGCACGATTTCTGTTCATATCCTGAAGCAAAGTTCTTAACCTGAAGCACTATTTCTGGGTTAGCAGAGTCTGTAACCTGAAGCGTATGTAACCTGAAGCGTATGTAACCCGAGGTACCACTGTACTTCAAGGAGAATACTGACAACCTAGTTTCCAATAAGTTTCATTGTTGCAGGAGTAGCTGAAAATATAATGCTAAAGCAAGCAATCAGTACTTTGGTATGTGTTTTTAAGTCAGCTTCTTAATGTTAATGGACACACCTCTCTACATTATTATTACTATTTCCAAATATAAGTTCTGCATGGGCTACCTTACGTTTTTCACATCTGAATATTGGCAAATAAGTGAAACAACATACAGTGGTACCTCGGGTTACATACGCTTCAGGTTACAGACTCCGCTAACCCAGGAATAGTACCTCGGGTTAAGAACTTTGCTTCAGGATGAGAACAGAAATCGTGCTCCGGCGGCGCGGCAACAGCGGGAGGCCCCATTAGCTAAAGTGGTGCTTCAGATTAAGAACAGTTTCAAGTTAAGAATGGACCTCCGGAACGAATTAAGTACTTTACCTGAGGTACAACTGTATCTGCCATTTCACACATGATATGAGAGTTTGTGTCCACGTTTGGATCTGCCTTTCATTGCTGAAAACTTTGGTCAAATGAGATGGTTTCAATTCAGTTTTAAGTGAATAGCAATGGTACAGTATACAGCTGTGCTACATCATGTCTCTGAATACCAGTTGCTGAGAAGTGAGAGTGGGGAAGAGCACAGTTGGTCCTACTCTGGTCCTAGTTGCAGACTTCCCCATGGCATCTGGTTGACCACTATGATAATAGAATGCTAGGCTAGATATACCTTTGGCCTGATCCAGTAGGATTCTTCTTATGTTATATACGGAGGTACAGCTCAGACATCTTTTGATTTCATAATTTTGTTTTATATAAATAAATATATTGGAAGTTTTTCTTTTAGCCAAAGCCATTTATCTGAAATATTCCTACAGGAAAAAATAAATAAATGAAACAGACTTTCTAGTTTAAATGTGATAGTCAAACAATTTCACAACTTTACTTGAAAAATATTTTTATTGGGATATATGTATATATTTTAAAACCTGACAACTCAATAGCAAACAATCCCTACATTGCTTAAATGTTTAGAAAATCATGTAAAGACACTCAAAACTGTTAATACAGTGGTACCTCAGGTTAAGTACTTAATTCGTTCCGGAGGTCCGTTCTTAACCTGAAACTGTTCTTAACCTGAAGCACCATTTTAGCTAATGGGGCCTCCTGCTGCCGCTGTGCCTCTGGAGCTCGATTTCTGTTCTTATCCTGAAGCAAAGTTCTTAACCTGAAGCACTATTTCTGGGTTAGCGGAGTCTGTAACCTGAAGCGTCTGTAACCTGAAGCATATGTAACCTGAGGTACCACTGTATACTGTACCAATTTTAATACAGTGGTGCCCCGCAAGACGAATGCCTCGCAAGACGGAAAACCCGCGAGACGAAAGGGTTTTCCGTTTTTGAGTTGCTTCGCAGGACGAATTTCCCTATGGGCTTGCTTTGCAAGACGAAAATGTCTTGCGAGTCTTGAGATTTTTTTTTCGCTTCCCCCCCCCTTTATCTAATCTGCTAAGCCTTTAATAGCCTTTAATAGCCTTTTAGCAGCTAATCCGCTAAGCCTTTAAGCCTTTAATAGCCGCTAAACCGCTAATAGCGCTAATCCGTTAAGCCGCTAATAGGGTTGCTTCGCAAGACGAAAAAACCGCTAGACGAAGACTCTCGTGGAACGGATTAATTTCGTCTTGCGAGGCACCACTGTATGCCTAAATAGCATGTTTAATTTGGGAAATGTAGTATTATGGTGCACATGTAGTATTATGGTGCACATGTGCAAGCACTTTGAAAGAGTAGTCATGCGAGAAGCTAATTGCAATGCTGGACAGTTTCTGTTAGACTGATATTATATCCATGTATAATGATGGTAGTGGCTTAATTTTCTGTAGGAAAAATATAGCAGCTGAAAATTTACATCAATTGTTTTAATATGTGTGCTCCTGTTTGCTACAAGGAGGATTTGTCAAGGATATTGTGAATACAGTGGTACCTCGAGATGCGAACGAGATCCGTTCCGGAGCCCCATTCGCATCCTGAATAGAACGTAAGACGCGTCTGCGCATGTGCGGGCCATGTTTCGCCGCTTCCGCGCATGTGTGTGACGTCATGCGCGAGCAGCGAAACCTGGAAGTAATGCGCTCTGTTACTTCCGGGTTGCCGCGGAGTGCAACCCGAAAATACTTATCCTGAAGCATATTTATCCCAAGGTATGACTGTACTTGGAGCAGTTAATTCATGGGCAGGGACTTGGGAGACTGTTAGCAATTTGTGATAGTGCCAGAGAGCCCTAATCATGCATCAAGGGTTCTATTGTTATGTGTATACCATAGGTAACAAGAGACCATTATCCTCTATGCTGTAGAATAAGTGTAAAATAAGAAAGCATGAGACAACTGGAATATTCATCTGTATGAAAATAGATGGGGAATGGCCAATTCTCTTCCCACTGTACTCCAAAAGGATAGAACAATGGAAAGTGCTCTATCTGACTTATTAAAAGCACTGCTCTTGTAACAAGACTGTTAATAAGCCAGTCAGCCAGTGAAAGCAAAATGGTAAATTGAGAGAGTAGTTAGAATGTCAGCAGTGGATTCCATAGATGACCGATCCTTGAACAAGTGGGGATCATCCTTGTTTTTTGGAGATAACTGGTACTCACAAGATTTTTATGTCTGTTGCTTTGACAATATGTAAGTGTTGGTAATTAAACTTGATCAGATTGCTGCTGACATGAATAGTGTTGCAATAAGTTGGAAGATAACATCATGGATATAGGCTGACTTCTTCCCCCACCCCATCCTGAACTTAAAACTAACTAACAGATTTGAAGAAATACAAAGTACAGCCCAGCAGCATCTAGATAATTGCGCTAGATGCCACAATCACAGGTACTTCGCTCTGCTGCTTCCAGGAGCGAAGCCTTGGATTTGCTTCAGCATTATGCCTGAACCTAGACTTGTGGTTTGCTTCCCTCCGAGCAATTAATTATAACCTAAGTTTGTTCTTGGCTTTACTGCCCATGGTTCCCATGTAATGCTAAGCAAAACTAGGGCAGCACAGTGGGAACAGAGGAGGAGCAAAATTTTTAGCCCTGTGCACCAGCATGCTGAATGCTTATATTTAAACTATACTTAACCTTAACAGTGGTTTTAAGTCCTGATTTTGGTTTTAATGAAATTGCACTTCCTAACTACTTTCTTGGGTCTTCATCAATTTTGAGGTTCATATTCATTTATGTATACAAATTCGGCTACTAGAGATCTTTATCTGGTATGACAGGAGAGGTTTTAAAAAACAGTTAAAAAACAGGACTAGTAGAAAAAGCAGTCCGCTGCAGATGGTGTGTGGTTTACAAAATATTTGAGACTGAAGGAAATTGGAGAACAATTTTGTACAAAAAGTGGATATAGTTCAAGAAGAATGGCTGAATTGTACAAAAAGCATGCTTTGAAAGGGAAGAATGGTAAAGGCACACAAAGTTTAAAGACTAATCTGTGTTGAAAGCAGACTGCTGCATAGCCTAGCTTCTTCTCAGCATTAGGCATCTGTTTTAAAATATAGATTTGTGATTATAAGGAATGTTTCTGATGTCTCTGATAGTTGGTGTGGATGACTACAGCTCAGAGTCTGATGTGATTATTATACCTTCAGCCCTGGACTTTGTCTCACAAGATGAAATGTTGACTCCTCTGGGAAGATTGGACAAGTACGCTGCAAGTGAGAATATTTTTAACAGGTATGGTATTTTAGCCTAAATAATCTGTTTTATAAGGAGCTATCTTAAAATGTTTTGTGTGCAGGACAAAACTTAATCTCTTTTTTACAAGGAAATTCTATGAATTAAATTCACACACCTATCCACCTTTTTCATTTAATGGATTATCTGTCCTTATCAAGAGGTATTTGGTATATTACTTTGTAAGAAGATATGTATTTAAGATTTGTATTGTATTCACACTATAACACAGTAATGTTTGAAGAGACTACAGTTCATTTCCAAATGTAAGAATACCAGCTGTACACATGATTAAAGATGGTGGCCTAATGTAACATGTCTTTGTTTACAAGGATCTGTCTGCCATCTGATATCGGAATATACAATGCTGTAAAATTCACCTTAGTTTTTGTTGAGTTCTAAGGAAAGATTTTCCTCTTTTTGTATTTGGTATTCTTATACAGTGGTTTAATTTTCTGGGTAATAGTTCAAAATGATTTGTTTTGATTTTTTAATGTTAAGTATTCTGTTCTGAACAGTTTTTTATCCTGTGGGCAGCAGGCTGTATTTGGTGTAGCAGACAAAAACTTGGACCAGGAAAGCTGGGTTCACATTGCCACACAGCCATGAAACTTTGAGCAAGACACACACACACACTAAGGGTTGTTGTGGGCAAAATAGGGTAACCCATATATACTACCTTGAGTTTTCTGAAAGAAGGCTTGGATGCAAATGTGTTATATTAAGGTGGGATAGATAAATTATTTCTTGACATGTAAAAGCTATAAACTTAGTTCCACAATATTGCAATTTTATTCTCTCATGTTCTAGGCAAATGGTGGCTCGAAGTTTGTTGGACACTTTGAAAGAAGTGAGTGATGATGAGAGAGATTGTATTGCTGTACTGGAAAGAGTCAGCAGGCTAGCTGATGATTCAGGTATGTAGTATGAGCTATCTTAACGAGGTAATGAAGTAGATTAAATGTTGGGGTGGTTAATGTGAATAGTGGATAAACTAGATTATATTTCTTTCTTTATTCCATGCTATTAGTATCCTCAGTAGTTCATTCAAAAAAGCAATTGTTGCTTTGCAGCTGCTGAAGAATCATGATTATAAAACCAAATTCATGTTATTGCTGGCAGCACTGTAAAGAATATTTAGAAAAGGATCAAAATAGTACCTATTTCAAAATGGCTCCTAATAGCAAGGAGGCTTTTCAGGAAAACAAGGAGACCATAAAATGAGAGGAAAATGGAGACTGGCATAAGGTATTAAAGGCAGATTAAAGGCAGAAAGTGGTAGGGAAGTGCAGTGGGATGGGGAAATTGGCAAAAATTGCCACCCTTCCTAATCCACTTAGCAGATGCATCCTCTGGATTAAAAGGACTTTGGTGAGCACAGGGACATCAGTTGAATTCCACAATTAATACTACTTGCAAAACAAGAAGGATTAGTGACTCTCTTGAACTTTTAATTCATGAAGCAATAAATTTGAATCCAAAACGATTCCTTTATGACCGGTTAGAGAGAGTTTATTAGTACTGCATTATAGTAGGTATTTGACTTTCGATCAGGAGATCGATAACATATGATTTACTGGTTCATCTTGACATTTTTATCAATAGAGCCAACAGTACGAGCTGAATTGATGGAACAGGTGCCTCATATAGCTATGTTTTGTCAAGAAAACAGGCCTTCAATCCCGTATGCTTTTTCAAAATATTTATTGCCTATTGTGGTGAGATACCTTGCAGACCAGAACAACCAGGTGAGAAGTCATTGAAGTTATTGAATAATTACACAGTTGTGTACAGATTTTACATGTTTGAAATAAGCTACATGCAGATCCTGCAATCCTCCCAGTTGTTATCCAAAAATTCACTTACCTGAACATAAACAATTATTCCCAAACCTTACTACACGCGCCGCTGATTCAGATATCCGAATAGCCACAATTTGCCCACTTCCGTACTTGTTTATGTTTTGCTGGTTGGCAGCAGCCATTTTAGGGTGGGGGGAGATAATGGATTAGAAATGTTCCCGCAGGAAATAATGGAAATTGCCAGCTTGTTATGCAAATGCTCTTCTAATAGACAGTTTCCTGAGAATGCATTGTGTTCGGTAAGCGGGACCTGCGTTTAATAGTACCATGTTAATACTCATCCAAATAAATTGTTTACATAACAGCATCAGTATATATGGGACTTTGAAGTAGCAACATGACAGGTCCCTTCCCATTGGGGCTGACACCTGAACATTCACTACAAGGGAGGGAAAAACAAGGCAGTTTAGTGGTTTTGAAATTTCACAATTATTTGGATCAGTGAATGTCCCAACAACTAAAATAAGATTAAAGAGTTTTGAAATAAATTTGTGTCACAGACTCAGTAATTAAATTAAACAATTTATGTTAGTCTTCCACAAACCAATGTCCCTATAGTTCAAAACATCTGGAGGGCATCATGCTGGGAAAGGCTAGTCTGTATGAATAACCTGTTTACTTCTGTGTTCTCTTTAGTGCCTTTTGCAGTGGTACTTGACCAGCGTTACATAGTAGCAGTAGTATAAATATTATCAAATTAAAGATTTACAATGGTATCATTCCATATGTTAAAGAATTCATGGAAATAAATGCTAACAGTGTATGGCAATATCCCAGACAACATAATCCTATGTAGATCCTATTCAGAAATAAGGCCCGTTGAGTTCAGTGGGACATTCCTAGGTAAATATAGAGTGGAGCCTGAAAGCGATTCACAGGAGTTCATTCTTGCTGTCTTATAAAATGTTTGTTCTAAAGCTTTGTGGCACGGGTGAAAACATAATTCAAGTCCCTTCCTCTCTTCTTTTTAAACATAGGTGAGAAAAACAAGCCAGGCAGCATTACTTGTTCTTTTAGAGCAAGAACTTATTGAACGCTATGATGTGGAGGCCAAAGTATGCCCAGTTCTTGTAGAGCTGACGGCTCCAGACAGCAATGATGATGTGAAGACAGAGGCTGTGGCAGTAAGTTGGAGGATGACTTTGCATTGTCTATATTAATTAATTATCTGGATTTACTAAGCAGCAAACATGCTTGCTTTCCCATAGAGTATCCTTTGTCATGAATGAGATGTAAACTAGTGCTTTGCAGACTAAGATAATGGTGTAGTTATAGCGATAAGCATGTTTCAGAGATCATAAAACATTTTTTTGGACCAAGAACAGAGGAAATGGAAGAATGGTGATGCTTCAATCCTGCTCACAAGTTGTTAAACTCCTGGTTAACTTCCATGGAATAAAGCATCCAAACTATACAGGATTGCATCCACTGAACTTAATGTGGACCAAGAACTCAAATTAGAAAATAATTAGAAACAAAATTAATTGCCTTTGTTCTGTCTTATTGGGCCTTGCAAACAAGGAAAATTATTTCACCCATGATTTCTTTCTTTGTCAATGTCTGGTGGAGGGGGAAAAGGAGTGAAAGGGTTCACCCCATTCATTCAGCTGGCTGTAGCTCAACAGCCATTGAAAGCTAGCAGCAGGCACTTTCTTTGACACATACTTGGTCAGTGAAAGAGATGTGGTCTGTGTCTGAGAAAGAGTGGGGGGAGGTATGTGTGATCTGTGTGAGAGAAAGTGTGTTGCATTTATTAAAATTCTATCACATCCTTCCTCCCAAAGGAGTCTCAGGTACCAATGTTTGTATGGTTGGTGTGTGTTGAGTAGGGAGGGGAGTTGCAGGTAGGTCTGTGAGAGAGAAATATGCACTTGGGCAGGCATATGTGTCTGTGGTCTGTATGTGTGTGGTGAACATGTGCATGTGTTATGCAAGACATAGTGTGGTGTGGTGTGACCATTTTCTAGATTTTTCCCTGGTAGGGATGGGGGCGGGGGGAATCAACATTGTATGATCTCCACAATAAGGACTAAAAGGTCATAGCTGACTTCTCACATTACCCATAAGGGGTGGAGCATGAAGCAGCAATGAGTGTGCTCTTATGTTGTGTCATGCCAGCCCCAGCCCCACCAGCCATTTTTTGACTGGTGCCCATGGTGCTTTCCTACAATTCAAAATACTACTACTAGTCCAAAAAGGTAGGCAACCCCTAGCTGAGACCAAGAGAAACATTTTTTCAATGTATCTGCCTTTTGTTAATTTTAATTGGCAAGAGCATTTTGTTTCAATGTACAGAGAGGATGCAAAAGAAAATACTAATTAAGCATTTTGTAATACACATTTTCATAAAAATGCTATTGGATTACAAGTAGGAATTTTTGCATATCTAGGAATGCAGTGATACCAGATGCATAATCAATGTTTTTCTTGTAATTAGATAATGTGCAAAATGGCCTCTATGGTAGGAAAGGACATTACAGAGAGGCTCATTCTTCCCAGGTTTTGTGAGATGTGCTGTGACTGCAGAATGTTTCATGTTCGTAAGGTATGACCTTTTTCCTTTGTAAATCTCTTATTTCCCTTCTTTACCTTGCCAGAATTTTAGCCATGCTTTTTTTTTGGAAATGGAAAGCATTTATTCTAAGTAGGAATCAAAACCTCCTTTGTGAATGCACTGATCTCTTGACAGCTTTGTATGTGCAGGTCTTTCCTGTTTATTGGAATGGATGAGGAAACTATAGGTAACGATTATGGCCATAAACAACCATTGTCTTAAGATGTCAGTGTGGCATCTAGAAAATATGACTTGGGACTCTGGAGACATGACTTTTAAATCCCTCCTCTGCCAGGTAGCTCAGTGGGTAATTTTTAGTCAGTCATTATCTCAGTAGCTAACCATCACTGATGGTAGCTAAGAGGCTAAAAATGTGATAACTCCTTGTATGCCATCTTGCATTTCTTGGAGGAAGGGCGGGATTCATTGGCTCCATTCACAGCAAGGCAGGGCAGAAATGAAGGATTTTCAGGACATCACTGCAAATGAAGCAAGTAAACGTCAGCTGTTGCTGATACTCTCTAGGGTTTGGCATTTGACTCGCCAGAGCACATACTTTGAATATTGTCCAGTCAAACAGTTGTAAAAATTAAAGCATTAGAATGATAATATTTGACTGCTATCCTATCCTATCCTCACTTTATTCTGCAAAGATGATGGAATCCCGAAATGCTAGTATCATAAAGCTGGGAAGGATCAGGAAGAACATAAAGATCAGCCCAGCTACTCTAAGGCAAGATCTTACATACATCAATATTTCCTCTTCAAATCATAAAATTGTAGAGTTGGAAGGGAGCCCAAGGGTCATCTAGTCCAACTCCCTGCAATGCAGGAATCTCAACTAAAGCATCCATGACAGATGACCAATACAACACAGTTTGTTGGCCAAAGCAGAACAAAGTCCATAGTACTGAGGTACATCAGTGCAAGACAAGAGCAGATAACAAACAAATGAGCCATTGCTGCACTATGGGAAGGGCAAATTTCTCCACATTTGTTATTGGCATCATACCCACACCAAACATTTAAAGCACTCTTCCACCACTTTAAGAGTCATGGCTTTTCCCAGAGAGTAATGGAAACCATATTTTGTGAAAGGTGCAGAGACCCTTGACAAACTACAGTTCCCAGGATACTTTAGGAGAAGCCATTACTCCTAAGGTGGAAGAAGGGTCCTTTAAATGTATGGTGTGGATGCAAGTAAAGTCTGAACTTTAGGGGGAAATTCTTTCTTGACTCAAAATCTGGTGATTGGTTAGCAGCTAAATGTGAAATGAGATCCACCCTCTTTCTCCCCAAAGGAAAACATAATTGCATTGAATGTTCACCTCATTCAGCATCATCTCTGTAGTAAGGGGATGAACCAGAGGGAGTTGGCTAAACTCAACAACTTAGGAAAGAATACTTTTCTGATCGCTCACACTGGCTTATAACTTAAGTTTCCAGAACCTTTTTAAAAAATCTATATTTTATCCTACTTAATACTTAAACCAATTGTGCTCTTTACCAGTTTGTTCCTGCAACTTTTAGGGAAACAAGACTTCTTGTTCATATCAAGCTGTATCTCCTATTTTTAAATTAGCTACCTTTCAAGATTAGAACTGCAGTGAGTAGTAGACCTGTGAGTAGTAAACCTGTGGCCCAGTGCAATAGATTTACAGTTGATTGCAAAAATTGTAGTTTGAGAACCTCAGTCTTGCTTTTTTGAATAGTTTTTGTCTGCTCGGTGCCATATTATAATAAATGTATTGTTTTTTCAGGTTTGTGCAGCCAATTTTGGTGACATCTGTAGTGTAGTTGGACAGCAAGCCACTGAAGAAATGCTGGTAAATTCTGGAATAGGTTTTGAAAAGCTGCAGTTAGTTATAATTTTTCCTATTAAAATCACTGGAACCAAAGTACACTGATTTATGCTAGATTTCATTAATGCCTTTCACCAACTTTAGTGCATCAGCTACGGCCATTCCTGGACCTAGATATCCTGGCCACAGTTACACATGAATTCTGTGTGGGGCTGTCCCAAAAGCTACAAGTTGTACAGAATGCTGCTGAGTGGAGTAGCTTACTGGAGTAGCTTAAGCTCTTTGTGAGATGATGGGATGGTTTTCTAATACCAAAAGGAAACAATATTGTAAAGCAATTCCAAACATAGGAAGCAAAAAAAATGAATTCACCCTTGTCTTAATCTTGTCCATAGCACACTTAATAATTTTCCACTATAACATTTTACAAGTTTATGAGGAATTATTTCAAGATAAAAAGTCAAAACCTCATTTAAATTATTCATAGAAAATTTGTGTTATGCTTTGTATTTTTCAGCTTCCTAGATTTTTTCAGCTTTGTTCTGATAATGTTTGGGGTGTGCGGAAGGCTTGTGCTGAATGTTTTATGGCTGTTTCATGTGCCACATCACAGGAGGTCCGGCGAACAAAATTATCAACACTTTTTATTAACCTTATCAGTGACCCTTCACGATGGGTAAGATGTCAGTTGTTAAGCTCCCCTTCTCCTCTTGCAAGATTCTTGACAATTATTTTGAGAGTTTAATTAATTGATTGTATTGATCAAGTATTGATAATACCATTGACATGTGGAAGGGGGTAATGTATTATGCAAGGTATAGAAGCTCCATCCTCTGTAGTGTTTTGTAGACGTTGATTATGTTTTCAATAACTATTAGGGCTAGCATTTTAAGGCAACTCTATGTCCAGATACTTTTGTCGTTTTACTTATTTGTTAGATGCCACAACATATTTTACTACTTTGAAAAAGCGTAAGGAACAGTGCTGTTATTTGTCAGAACCAAAAGTAAAAGTATATGCCCCAAAATGAAATCTTCTATTATGAAAGTAAATATAACCATGTACAGTGAAAGTGTACAGAGGTTCTTAAGATGGTTTGACAAAGGAATAAACAATTGGGCAGGAAACAGGATGTGAAAATGCATATATATCTATTAAACACTTTACAATCTGGTTTGTATTTGTTACTTGGTTCCTTCTCTAGCTTTTAAAATATGTATTTGAAAATATTTTTGGATTTCCTGCTCACCCATTCTAATATCTGCTTTGACAAATTGTGATTTCTTCTGTTAAAGAGATGTGTACTTCTGTAAGTTCTGAATATGGATGGAAATGTAATGTAGGAATTTATAGTAAAATTGTGGTGAAATATATGTGAATAATGCAATATTTCTCTGGATTAGAATAAGGGGTAGCTAACCTGTGGTCCTCCAGACAGGAGCTGTAGTCCAAGAACATCATCCCTGACCATTGGTCATATTGACTGAGGTTTTTTGGAAGCTGGAGTCTGACAACATCTGCAGGGTTTGCAGGTTCCCCACCCTTGCTCTAGAGTTTTTAAATATTCTTCTGCAGACTGATATGTACTTTAATATGCGTATTCAGACACTGGTGTGACACTCAAGTATGTACCCGGTTGTAATGTAATATTCTTGAGGCTGTGAGCATAATGCATTCCCATGTCCCACTTGTTGGCCTTGTTTCAAGATGCAAGATTTCCTTGCAGCATACCTTGGGGAACTTATGATGTTTCCACTTCTGACAGCTGGAGCACTCATTACAAGCAGCTATATTTAAAGGAACTCTCTGGAATCCATTACTCTAGGTCCGCCAAGCTGCCTTTCAATCCCTGGGGCCTTTTATATCAACGTTCGCTAATCCATCCAGCAGTGGTCAATTTTTTAAAGAAGAAGAATGTAAAAACACTGAGGATCGGAACCTTGCAGAGGAACATAGGTATGGATTGGTTATTAATTTCATTTAAATTCATTGGCTCTTAGCATTTTTTTTACTAATACTTTGATTGTAAGTTCTACCATTATGAAGGAAATTTCATGTCCCAAGTTCTGAGGTAGGATGGGTTTAAAAAAATCTTTCTTTTAAACAACCCAACCATTCTGATTATTAGACATACACATTTTCTGGGTCTAGCAATGAAAAAATTGTGGATACAGAATATATGTGCCAAATGTTCATTCTTTTTGAAGGACCTTAATTTTGATGCTGCCTGTTTGTGAGCAACTAAGAAAGGCACAAGTGTCCTTATGTAGACCAGCAGTGACTAACTATGCCAGAAGTTGAGGCCAGTTTATTTTGCACTACAATGCACATACAGCTCCTTGTGCTTTGGTGTAACACGTGTCTTTAATTTTGTGTTTGCTTGTTTGTCCCAGCATCCTTCCACCCTCCATTTTCCCCTTTGTGACCTCCATATTGCAGATTGACCACCCATGTTGTAGCCAAATATGTCTTTATAACCACTATGGTAGATAACACACACATTTATTTTCTTTGTCCAGCAATGAAAGAATTGTAGATACAGAAGATATCCCAACACATGATGTACAAAGCCAGACAGAGTTGCCTTTAGATGCTGATGAGAGTGATTTTGCAGAGACCCTTGAAAATGACAAGGAAGAGAGTAACTCCATGTTGGTTCATTCCCTGCCTGAGACAATGTTTCATTGCACTTCGTCTTCAGAATCATGTCAAGAAGCAGCAAATAAGAACGAACAAAGTTTTGATTGCTGTAGTATAGCAGTATTGCCAGCACCTGCACCGAGTTCCCAGGAAAAACCCCTTTCTGATCAGGAGCTATATAACTCATTCAATTTCTGGAGGACTCCACTTCCCAAGATAGATATTGATTTAGAACTTCAGGAAACTGCAGAAACACTTGATTCAGAAACTCAGGAAGGAGAGCAGGAAGTTGTTGCATCAGCTTCTTCAAACGTTACCATGGCTACAAGGAAGGAGTTGGAAGAAATGATAGAAAATTTGGAGCCTCATATAGATGATCCAGATGTTAAAGGTATTAATACATGTTAATACATTCCTAGTTCCAGGTGAGGTGTGAATTAGATGCCTAGAAAAGAAAGATTAAGGCCAATTGATTGCAACTGAAATGAATCTTAGAATCCTGTAGGTAAATAGCCTTGATTTATGCAAATACACTATGCTTACTTATCAAAAAAATCAGGTCTCTGTTTTGCACCACTACTCCCCCCCCCTTCTGTCCTTCCATTTCCTTTTCTTGATTTCAAACAAAGATCTAAATTACAGAGTGGATAAATTGTTACAAGTTAGTTGGGCCAGTTTTCCCTGGCCATTTTACTCCCTGGTTTAAATGTTAAGCTGCCTGTTAAAAAGTGATTTGGGTATCAAATCCCAACTATATCAACATATTGCAGTACATTAGAAGTGAAGCTGCAAGCCCAAAGTCTCTACCATCACTATATAGATTAATTTCCAGGAACCTTCAGGGGCTGCAAACATTTTGCATTTCATTGAATATTTTGCTATCAGAAATGTCATGGAACATGCCTCTTGATCCCTGTTCCACTTCACTTTTAAATATGGTGTGGCATGTGAAGGTCTTTATGTGGTTGTATTTCATAATAATTTGCAGAAATCTGTGTCTCCACCTGAATACAGTTGCCCTCAGGAGTGGTTTACAAACCCTCTTCTTGGCAGTTTTTTTCTGTAAAGTTACTGAATGTTCCTAGGTGCTGCTGAATCTACCATGTATTTTGGAAGATGGTCTCTTTAGCTCATCTCTCTGAATTTGGACACCTCTTAAGAAAGCTTGCATGATGATTCCTGAGATCAAGGAGCAGGTTTTTGTCTATTGATATAATTGGACACCATTTTGAATCAAAATGGCGTACTGAACCTTTCAAAACTGTGCAAATTTTCATCACCAATTTCAAGACAGTACTCACTGTTTTGTTTCTTAGAATTCCCAAGCAGTGCTCGGTCTGAGACAGCTAGTGTAATGTAATTCAGCATCAGTTCCAGAAACCTCTATACTAGCTGAGAATCATGAGTGGAAGGGTGCTCATGTGTCCAGTTTGTTGACATTGCATAGGCATCTGATTGGCCACTGTGAGAACATAATGCAGGATTAGGTAGGCCTTTTCCAGCAGGGCTCTTCTTATGTTCATATGAAAGATAAAAGTTCTGGTAGCAGGATCCATCACCATATTAGGGGTGTTGGTTGCAGTACACCTCTTTATGAACTATGGAAGAAACAGGTCAGCTGCCTCTTACATCCAAAACAAAAACCAGTTTGTTCATTTCATTACTACTACTTAGCCCTTCCAAGTATGTCTCTTGAATCTTGGATTACTCCCGTTGGTCATTGTGCTAATTTACTAATTTAATCCATAAATGGTTAATTGCAGAAAATGGGCTAGAAAATGAACTACTTGATCCATTAATGATGTCAGATACCAAATAGTGACTCTGGACAGCTTATTATAGTCTCAACTCAGTTGGCTTGGGTTTGAATACAGAATCTCAAAATACAGTTTATTAGGAAGCTTCCCACCCTTGTGTTTTACAGCGGATTTGCTTAAATGAATTTTCACTTGCAGGCAGCTTGCCAACATGAGTACTACTGAGTAGCTTCTTAAGTATTGTATCTATTAGATGACTTTCAATACTAGAAATGTTCCCTATGCGAATGCACCACAGGAAGCGTTTTAAAATTATGCTCCTCCGTGAAGTAATCACATAGCAACTTACTGTGTTGTGAAGTAGAAAGGAAGTAAGAAAGAGCACTTCAGGAAACAGAAGCTGCAGATGATAAAAAAACAGGAGGATGTTGTATTGCTGTGCAAGCATTGTATTTTAGCAACTACACACACAACTAAAATAATAAATAGAATTTACTAAATGAAGGAAATAAGAGGTAGTATAAATTAAATCAGGGCTTCCCAAACTTGAGTCTCCAACTGCTTTGATCTACAACTCCCATCATCCCTAGCTGGTAGGATAGGACCAGTTGTCAGGGATGATGGGAATTGTCGTCCAAAAACAGCTGGAGACCCATGTTTAGGAAACTCTGAATTCGACTAAACAGATCATTGTCCTGAAATTTCCCCAGATAACCTAATGTGATCTGACCAAGGCAAAATAGAGCAGTACTATGACTTCCCTTGATCAGGACACTAGACTTCTGTTGATGCATAAGCTTTTTTTGCTGTTTACTCATGTTAAGTTAGGGTCTACTAAGACCCCTAAATCCTTTTCACAAGGTACTACTGGTAAGCCAGGTTTCCCCCATTTATGCAGCTGGCTGTTCCTGCCTAAGTATAAAACCTTACATTTGTCCCTATTAAAATTCATTTTGTTCATTTGGACCCAGTTCTCCAGTCTATTAAGGTCAGTTTGAACTAGGTCTGAGCTCTAACTACCTGCCTCATTTTATGCTTGTTTTAATAAGTAGATGAAAGTGCTTTCCATCACATTCTCAGATACTTGTACACATTTATATTCCTTTAAAGCCATAATTGTCTCTGCTGCTTTTCTTCCTTTGCCCTTACAGTCATCTGCCGTGTTCCCCGTGCTTAAAATCTTATTTAATCTTTAATCTTATTCCCTGTAGTGGCTAACATGTTGGTTTTTTAATGCCACAGTACTACATTGGATGTGATTACATAATAAATGTTAATAAAAATCACATGGGTTGTCACAGCCAATGTCATATAATGCACATGTTGCATTAGAGAGAACAGCATGACATGTCTCGTGTAATGGTTTGGTAGGCGCCAGGTTTTAGGTAGTCTGAGAGAGATACATTTTGATTTGAACTGGGGGAGTTGGGGAAGTTTCAACTGAATGGGAAAGGAGCCAAAAGCAATGTGTTTTGGTATTGATGCTAACCGAGGTATGATTCACATGAAGTTGCAGAGTCAGACAAGGATAAAAGCCAGTACCAATTAGTGGTGGTGCCCCCAAATTATTCTAAACCTGAATGAAATTTATTTCCTTAAAGTTTCACAATAAATTCTTTCACTTTCAGGACCTAAAAAAATGGTCCTGAAATTGCAGTATCTAGTTCCTTTGAATAATTGAACCCTACATCACAACTCATCACACAGTATTACCAGTCATTTTTTAAAATCTTTTAAAATCCTTTGCAAAAGCATTAGTCCCTTAATCAAAATCATACCTGAGAGGCTGCTTTCCAAACTGTCTTAAAATCAAATATCACCTCAACTGTGAGTTCACTACACCAGGGTAGACAGACTTAAGGCTTGCAAAATATACTGTATTTTTTACTAAACCCCAAGATCTACTCAAAGCTGCCTAGTGCACAAGGCAGGCACATAAAATAATTTGGGGCCTAGGCATCCTGAATGGAGCTCACAATCTTTCACACAAAACTCTAATTTGGGTTACCCCAAGCTTTCTACATTTCAGCAGTATAATTTAGGGTGGCAGGGAGAGATATCCGTTTGTTGCTATTATTCACACGCAATTGGGAATCAGAAGCCCATGCCAATCTACTGCTAAGCATGTACAAGTAGATCTAGATCTAACTTCTGCCCACTGTGACACTAGACAGCCTTTCCTTCCCCATTCCCCTCAAATTGGAGATAATAAAATTGGCATCTCTTTAAGGATGTCACAAGAATGAATAAAGTAGTGAATAGAGAAATAATTAAGCATTCAGAGTATGTTATCATTATTATTATTATATGGATGCTTTTATTATTCATTATATGGCTACATGCATTTCATGTCACCAAACCTTGCTTAGTTGTGCCTAGCAAATCCTAATTCAGTCACCAGTTAGTTCCCAGTGTCTCGGTTCTTATAGTTGCATATTTAACACTGAAGCTTTGTTTGGTTTCTTCAAAAGAAGATTCTGCTCCCCCCCCCCCCCCGGAGTCTTTTGAAAAGCCTAAAAACCTAGGCAGAACATAACTAACACAGTGACCCCTGTCTCAAATGGCAAATGGCCAGAAACAATGGCTTCCCCAGGATGAATTGCTTCTTTCAGCTCTTTGCTGAATATAGCAACCACTAATACAGCTGACTGTGTAGCAGGAGGAGAACCATACAGTCAGCTTTGTCTGTTGGCCACTACTGATGCCTATAGTCTATGGTGGTCAATTTGTGCAGTTACAAGAACAGAAGAAAATATGTAATGAGATAAAGCTCCATAACTACTTTAAATACTCTGGATGTATAAATTAGCAGAATTTGCATATCATGAACATGCAGGTCTTTGAATCAGCTGTGAGTAGACAATACTATATATACCCCTACATTGTTACTATCAAAATATGCAAGATTTTAGAAAGCAAATGAAAAATGCTGATGCAAGGGGTCAGAGTGAGCCTATTTAAAGGACCTAACTTAGTCAGGTTCATTAATTTCATTGGCTCTGCTCTGAGTAAAATTTAGTTGAATACCAGCCAAAGACATAATCATGAAAATTAAAAGTCAAATAAATTCTTGGTTTCTTTTTTTAGTTATTTTGTTTCACATTTTCAAAACTATTTATGACGGCTGAAAGTTTGTTTTCAGATCCACACCAAAGAATTAGGACCGCCATGTAAGAGAATTGTAGCTTCTCAGTTTTACTTACATTTATGTTATAACTAAAATATAATAAACAATGTGAATGCAATAAACAAAATTAAATTAAATTAAATAGAACTGAGAAACATCAGTTCTCAGCACATTTTGAAGAAATAACCTTTCATATTTAAAGGCATTAGGTGGCTCCATAAGATGATGGATTTCTGAAATTATGAACTTAAAACAAGGAATAATGCCTTGAATTGTTTCCAAAGTGCAGGAAAAAAGAGAAGGTTACCAAGATGTGGGGAGTGTTAGGATGGAAGAGAAATATCTAGCAATGTAAGAAGCCAGATAGTACTCCCTGGTTTTTTTAGGGGCCAAATAATGCTGCGAGAGTCCACATGGTTGCAGAAAGGGCTTCCTTGGTAGCCTCCAAATGTGTACTGCCTGTTCACCTATTTACTCTTATCTTTGAGTATGCATGCTTGGAAACCCTAATGGAACTGCATCTCGCACTGTCGTACAGCTTTCATTTAGAACAGGGGTCAGCAGCCTAAGGCCCATGGGCCAGAAGCGGCCCGTGAAGGTCGTTTGACTGGCCCACGGGCTGCCCCCAAACCGAGCTGCCCACTCGCGTTTTGCGCTAAACCGGCGCAGCGCGGGGACTCACTTCCACGGCTCCGGAAATCGCGCATGCGCAGACGCCAGAAATTACGGGGGCATGCGCTCTGGCCCACGGAGGGATCTCCACGGGACCGATCCGGTGCAGGCAAGATAAACCTTGCTGACCCCTGATTTAGAGCATTGTTAGGATATTTTTTCATAAGCTCGGAACAGCTCACAAAGCAGATTACATGCCATCATCAGGGTAAAATACTAAAAGCAATAAAAATGCAGCATAAAACCAGAGTCTGCGTATTCCCAAAGTTTACCTACCAGATTTATTCCATCCTTAAACCAGAAGTGTGTTGTAATTCTTTCTGAAACCATTTAAAGACTTTACACCTTAGCGGCAAGATCATTCCATAGCAACAGGGCATTTCTGTAAAGGCTCTGCTTCCATCAGTGGAGGTTCTCAACTGCTGTGTTAATGGAATATGAAGCAGGGTGTGGGGGAAGTACTACTACACCACTGAAATGTTTGTGTAATGGGTGTAGAACAAGTTTTTGACCTGCTTGCCCCCTTCCTTACATGCACAGCACAAGTGGAGGTGCTCTCTGCTGCCCTTCGAGCCTCAAGCCTGGACCCCCAGGAGGAAACGACAGCAGGCATTGGCAAGTCAGTGGATTCTCAGAATGAGCTGAGCATCAAAGATCACCTGAGCTTTACATCCATTCAGGATGACCCAGTGCCTTTAATCAATGATACTGCTGAGGTAAATATTTGGCTGCTATGAATTTTATCACTTGAGCACCTGTCAGTTAATGTCAGAAAACAAGTAACTTCATTTTCATATGCTTTGGATTTACTTTTGAGTAAATATGCATTGGATAGTGCTACAGAGTATGCCTGCATTGTAAGTTGTTGTTTTTAACTTTCCACCACAGGACATTGTAGAATCTGCTCTGCGTTATATTCATAATGATTCCGACTTTAGCACTAATAGTAGTTTCAGCCCTGAAGAAGAAAAAAAATCTAAAATTCAGGTATTTTTAAAGAGTTTTCTCCTTGTACAACTTAAAAGTAATTTTACATGTAATATATGATCCGACACCTGTAAGTATAATTTTTACTTTGCTTAAATTGTGCACTGTAAGTTTCTCCCTCTTTTTTAAAGAATTCTGAACTTCGAAATTTAAAATTGAAACCTGAGCCTCCTCACTCAGACTACTGTTGTCCCCTTGAGAGCATCATCAGTTGCAAATCTGACCTGTACATGCAGTCGGCAAGAATTTTCTATTACAGTAACTGCACACCGGTCTAGTGAGTGTGTGAGAGAGATGGCTTGTACTATGTACAAGCTTTTCTGTTTCCCCTTTGCCTTAATGGCTTCAGGCACCTGTAAGCAAAACAGAAACATCATAGCCCATATAGTCAGCAAGGTGGTAGCTAATCCCATTGCCCTGAGTCACCGTTTCCCTTGTACGCTGTACTCTCAGGACCTAGGGCACATGTGGCAGCCTTGACCCATGGGGGCTGCACATGACTCCCATCCTCATTTTGTGGCTTCTCCCTCAACTGTCATCAGCAGGCGTCCTATTGGGCTGCAGGAGAGGGAGGGAGATGGGACTGCAGGGCCCCTCCATCAGCTCTGTTGAAAGGTGAGCAACTTCGCTCCTGCTCTCCTTAAAAAGTTCCCATTTATACTTGTAACAAGTTGGTTATTAGAAGAATAATGTAACCTAAGAAATAGTACTTGAATTTTCTTTTTCATTCTCTTTCCCTGCAGTCTTAACATTTTTAATTAATTATTTTTTATGGCGATGTAGTTTTTTCAGAACATACACTTAAATTCATATGCTTTGTGTTTTAGGACATTGTACCTCAGGCCTTGCTGGACCAGTATTTATCCATGACTGATCCCTCTCGAGCTCAGACTGTTGATACAGAGATTGCAAAGCACTGTGCCTACAGCCTTCCAGGTGTGGCACTTACCTTAGGTAGACAGAACTGGCACTGTCTGAAAGATACTTATGAGACGTTAGCCTCTGACATGCAGGTAATGTTATAGCTCTTTATAAGACCTGAAAGTACTTAGATACAATGTGCAATTTGAAATTGTATGCTTTGGCTTCTCTAGTCTTCCAGAAACGAGTCTGAGGTTCTTAATGTAATGGGAAAGCAGAAATGTTGGGCCGCTTCTCATTACTATAGCATTCTTGATGTTTTTCCTGAGAATAGGGATATCTGAGGGGAAGGGGTGGTAACTACTTGTGTCCTGAAAGGAGAATTTGCACATGTCTTTATCATATTTTTCTTTCCAGGGGAGGAATCCTATACATAGTAGGCTAGTGTAAAGCAAACCAGTGTAAATTAAGCTGGCATAAAATTACTCCAGATCCAAACTCCATTCAGCAGCAAGGCTGTTGCTGGCTAAGTCAGCTTAAGGCTGACAAAGGGAAAGTAAGCCTTTAAAATAGTATTTGAGTTACACCATCCTGTTTACTGGCTTAATTTACACCGGGTTGCCAGATTACATGACCAAGATGATCAGGCTTAGGATCCAGCCCCTGTCACACCCCTTTTCCAGGGCTTATGCTGGTTTAAGATCTACTAGGCTTGGCTCAGCCAACTGGGCTCCATCTGGGCTAGAATGGGGAATACAATCTGGCAGATCTCTGGCTGAGGTGAAGAGGAAGGAGTTAAGCAGTGTAGCCTGGCTGTACTGGGAACCTCCCAGTTCAGCCAGAGATCTGCTGAATCCTAACCTACTCATTCCGACAGATCTTGCTGTAAGATTGCTCTGTAAACCATAAGTAACCTGTTGGATTTCTTTTCTCCATTTACACTGATCAACTAATAGATTTGCTGTAGGAACAGCTTGCTCTAATATAATTTCTGAAACCCCCCAGCATTTTTCCTTTTTGAATTCAGTGCAATGAATCTGCTAAACTCATAAAATAATTCAAAGGAAGGATTAGAAAAGAACTTTGCTCTGTGCCAACATTTATCCCAAGAGTTTGTGATAGCATTCATACAAGGCCAGAGTTTACCAGCTGTATGGGAGTAATCTTATTATGTCTAAAATTCCAGGCAAATCAGTAAAATAGAATTATGAGCACAATTGTGTGTTGTTTCGCAGTGGTGAAGAGAGCCTAGGATTGTACTTCAGACACCTATGCAAGGGATGCCTGATCCTTTGGCTGTGGTGTTAGAATTTTGAAAAGGTTCCTCCTCTGCTGGGTTTGCAGGAACACAAAAGGTCTTCTGGGGAACTGGTAGAGGAAGTTAGGACATCTTTTGTTTTCTCCTGTTACCCCCCCCCCCCAAAAGTTACAATAAGGAATTGAATGGAATGAGAACATGCTTAACATATTTTTTGTTTAGGAGAGCTGATCCAAATAATTTCTATTTTGTATAAACTGCTTAGAGCTGTGGTTTTTTTGATTAAGTGGTATATAAATCTCAAATAAAAAGTTCGTCTCCAGCCCCTTTCTCAGCAGTAAATAGTAACTGCATTAATATGTTAACTCATTGTAAGTTAACTGATTAATTGTAACATGGTAGCAGAACCAGATATGAGTGATGCTTGGCTTTTTGCTGAAAACAGCCCCACATCATCTCTGTTTCCAGTAATATCCAATAAATAAAAATGCATAATGTGATTTAATTGCATTGAAAATTTTGTTAGGCCAGGGTAGACTTGCCAGTGCACCATTATGTCCAACATGGGTTTTATGTTACTAGACTTCACCAGAGGAAAGAAGAGATGCATGGAAGCAACCACGTCTCCTTTTTGTCTTGTTCCAGCCTTCAAATCAAGCTGTACTCTTGGCTGTGCAACAAATCTAACCCTAACATTGAATAAGTTGTATGATTTGCTAACAAGTTGGCCTTGTGCATTGTTTCCTCTTAGTGGAAAGTTCGAAGAACGTTGGCATTTTCTATACATGAACTTGCAGTCATTCTTGGAGACCAGCTTACAGCTGGTGATCTGGTTCCAGTCTTCAATGGCTTCTTAAAGGACCTTGATGAAGTCAGAATTGGTGTGCTTAAGCATCTGCATGATTTTCTGAAGGTACATACTCCTTTTACGCATACAAAATAATCATCCCTTTTCCTCCTCCCTGTATGCATACTTCTGTGGTGACAGATAATTAAATTTATAAACTTTTAGTATTTAGTAAAACCTGATGGATATCATGTGATGAAACCGAAGATGTGTTTAATTTCTGCCATCATTCACATTGTATATTGCATTACTGTCTTGTTCCAGGATATTTCATAGAAATTCTGGAATAGCCTCATTTTTTGATAGACTATATTCAACTATAATTTGATAAACTACAATCAACTATAATTTGTATGGTTCTGAAAACATTCATCTTTATTTTTCCAGCTTCTTCACCCTGATAAAAGGCGGGAATATCTGTACCAGCTTCAGGAATTCTTAGTCACCGATAACAGCAGGAACTGGCGTTTCCGAGCAGAACTTGCTGAGTAAGTTTTAGTAGTAAACTATGCTGTCTAAATGCTAGACCTGATTATTATTAATATAGAATTACAATACCACTTCTGTTTGGGCACAGTTTAGCTTCTGAGAAGACCCACTAGTGGAAAGACCCACTAGCTGCTTGTTTTTTATTCCACTTGCCAGATGAGAGGATGAAACTTAGGGTCTATGTATAGTTAAGTAAAAAGTAATTTTTTTTGTGTTCAGTGGGACTTAGTCCCAAGAAAATTCAACTCATTGGAATTTATTGCTGAGTAAGCATGCTTGGAATTGTAGTGTGTGGATCTTTTAGATCTAAGAAAGAGCAGAACCAAACCTCTCCACCCCATCAGCAGCACAAGGGCATGCTCCATTTCAGCTCCAGAAAGAGGCTGCTGAGGTGCCTTATAATGAATGAACACTCCAGCAGCAATTGGTGGCCATTAGAGCAGGTGGTAAGATACCGGAAGTTCCTCCTGCACTGTAGCTTTTCTTCAGAGAGACTACTCAATCAGGCTGGAACCCACATCTCTGCTCTTCTATGCCAGTGTGGTGTGTAGAGCCAGTGTGGTGTAGTGGTTAAGAGCAGTGGACTCGTAATCTGGTGAACTGGGTTCGATTCCCCGCTCCTCCACGTGCAGCTGCTGGGTGACCTTGGGCTAGTCACACTTCTCTCTGAAGTGTCTCAGCCTCACTCCCCTCACAGAGTGTGGTGTTGTAGGGGAGGAGGGGAAGGGAGATTAGCCGCTTTCAGACTCCTTAGGGTAGTGATAAAGCGGGGTCTTCTTCTTCTTCTTCTTCTTCTTCTTCTTCTTCTTCTTCTTCTTCTTCTTCTTCTTGGAATATTCACCTTTGCTTGCAGCACATAGCTTCATTTTCATGATTGGTTAGCAATTTTAAGTCCTTTGTTTATTTTAATTTTGTAGGCAGCTGATCTTGCTTCTAGATCTGTATAGTGCCAGAGACATATACGATTACCTACGACCTATTGCTCTCAGTCTTTGTGCAGACAAGGTTTCCTCTGTTCGTTGGATTTCCTTCAAACTGGTATGAACTATAATGTAAACGTTAAAAATGGAATTTGACTTAGTAACCATTTTAGCAGGTAATCCATGTATTGGGTTCTTTGCGTATTTTCTAGGTTAGTGAAATGGTAAAGAAGCTGTATAGTGCTCCACCGCCAACATTTGTGGTCGATCTCATGAATGAACTGGTTGAAACGTTCTGCAGGTGCCAAAAGTGGTCTGGCAGGCAAACGTTCGCCTTTATTTGCCAGGTAAGAGATTCATGAATTTTTCTTATTTTCTTGACATGTAAGCCACTGCTACAAAGTTACAAGTTTTTCCATTTTCAACACTGAATTATTTCTGGATTCCAGAGTTTGATCATGGGTACAATAGGAAGTTAGTAAGAGTAGCTAACTGGATAGTATTTGTGAACTCCGCTCCTTACAAAAAGATAAAGAGCTTTTGGAGGTTGAGCCTAATGATGGTTATCATTCTCTTGTCCTAATTTAATGTGTGTTATCCAAAAATATGTCTCCTTGAAGCTTTCCATGTGGATGGCTAGCAGTGTATATCAGTGGAGAAGGGGGATGGTTGGGGAGCAGCCCCAAATCCAAGAAAGCAAAAAGAAGAGAGCTTCAAAATGACCCTATAGAATATATTTTATTGCTATTTTAGAGGCTTTGCTCCTGCTTTTCGGGGAAGTCTAAAACAGTTACTTTATCTTCTTTTCAGACTATCATAGAAGATGACTGCCTACCAATGGATCAGTTTGCTGAGCATCTATTGCCCCATTTACTGCTCTTGGCCTCAGATAGAGTTCCAAACGTTCGAGTCCTACTTGCAAAAACATTAAGGCAAACGCTTCTAGAGAAAGGTTTGTGGACTCAAGTACTCTTGCTGCATTTCCTGCTCTGTAGCAATCACACATTTCCTGTGTGCATCCTTACAGTGTAGTATTAGCTAGTAAATGTACTCTCATGCCATTGTTTTTTCCTCAAGCACATCTTTTGTTCTGGACTGGTTCCTGATGTTTGAAATACTTGTAACAAGGGATGAAAAAAAGTTAACATCTAGGAGGTTGTGGGAATTTCCTAGGTACCAGACTGGAAGCAGAAATGGAAATTCTAACACAGGAAGCCTCCAAGAAAGGTTCCTCCTCACATGGAAAAACTCTTTAAGATTCTGTGCATCTTCTAGAGCAGGAGTGGCTAACCTTTTTGGCCTAAGAGTTGCATTCGGCCTTGGCCAGTACTTCAGGGTCTACATTAGCTGAGAACGGGGGTTACGGCCGCCTCTCTGCATGATTTGCATTCCTATCAGGGTGCTGGGCTTTGTTCACTTCAGCACAGTCTCTATTCTCCCCTTCCTTTTTGCCACTGACACCAAAACTGATGCAATCCTAGAGGACCAGAAAAGTTGCTGGGGCAGGCCAGGTCAGCTACCCATAGAGGAATCATATCCAATTGGCAGGAGTTTTCACTTTAGACATGGCTGAAAAACGTAAAGAGGTGCTGGTAGTATTATTTATTCTGCTTGCATTCTACACCTTTGCAGCCATTTATGCACCATAGTTAAAACGTATAAAAACTACAAAACCAAAACAACAGCACGAGACAACAAACACATTGGTAACACTGCTAGGTCCAGGGTATTGAAGCTTGGGTGAAGAAGTATGCTGTTAGCAGCACAGGGGACAACTGCCATTCCCCAGGGAAAGAATTCCACCATTGGGGCATTGCCCTCTGTTGTGCCACATTATCAAGGACCATGCCCGTTGGTGGGATCAAGAGCAGGGTCTCCCCTCCTGATCTCAAAACAAAGGTCAGTAGGTAAGGGACAGGCATTCCTTTAAGTACTTGGGTCCTAAGCTGCACCCAGTAGGTCACAGGCATCCAGTACAGTGCTTTAAGGATCAGTGACTTTTCCCTGCTCAACCTTACGCAGCACAGATGATTTCTCAGTGAATGTTGATTATAACTAACACCTTAAAATTGAGCCAGAAGAATGTGGGAGCCTGTGCTGTATACTTTCTGCAACCCAGTCATGATAAGCATGGTCCTTTGTTTGTTTGTTTATGCCAAATTATAATATATATGATTGATTTAAAATGTTAGTCTTTGTATGCATTTTGTATAAATGTTCTGTACTGGCAGCAAAAAAAAATAGCAGTGACTTTGCATCCTAATTTGGGGTTTTATAAGAAGCATATCTTTTGTGATGCTACCTTTTCCTTTATAAAAAAAGATTCTCTTGCTTTTTCTCCATACAGAATATTTTTTAACATGTGTCAGTGCTCACCAAGAAGCAGTGGAGCAGACAATTGTGGCCCTCCAAATGGATAATGATAATGACGTAAAATACTTTGCAAGCATCCACCCTGCCAGTACCAAAATTGCAGATGATGCCATGAGCACAGCCTCTTCAACTTACTAAAAGTAGCCCCTGAATGTTGCTATAATTTTAATTAAAAAACAAACCAAAAACATTACAAAATCGCAGGGCAATCCTCAAGTGCTCCTAAAATGGATGACTGAAACCTCTTTTTTTCCCATGGAGGAAGGAATTTCTTGCCAGACTTTTAACTTCAGTTGGATGTTATCTAAACCTGAGACCAAGGATTTTAAGAGTCAAGGAAAAATAAAAATAAACATTACCTGTTGAATCTTGACTTTAGAACAACTTTGCTCAGAGGATTGTATTTGCCACCAGAGCCTTAAATCTTCTGTCTTCCTGAATATGTGAAACTTGAATTGGCTGAGCATTTTCAGTGTAGAAGGGATGTGATTTCCAGAGACCGGCATTTGTTTTCTCCTGAGGAGTTAATGTAACAAGCTTTCCCTCTCTTAGGAACTGATAGCTGAAATTCTCATACCCTATAAAGGCAGATTTGTACCAAGAAGCAAGAGACACCTCCAGTATTAGCTATTAAAAGTTTTTATCCTTGAAAAGACTTAATTTGTATGCAGCTGGGCACCTCCTTAAGTGTGAATAGTTTTGATGTGTGTAAAAGAGGGAAAAGTAGAGATTTGGTGTTTGTTTTCTCCCCTTAAGGGCTCAGTGCTAACACTAACAAGAATTTGATTGTAAACCTTTAAACACAGCATATTGCTGTACTCATTAGCAGAAAACTCCACTGAGTACCTGTGTCCTAATGTGTTTTTCATGCTGGTCATGACCTGAAGGAAACCTGTTAGCACATGTACTTCACATCAGGTATTTTTAACTAGATCATGATCGGCTCTTCATATACTGTACATATCTGTGACCACTCTTGGGAGGGCTGCAGTCTTTAATCATGCTATTTCAAACTGTTGTGATAAAATGTTCTCTCCTTGTCCAAATAAAAAGAAAATTTATTAATAAGAGTGAATGAAATCTCCTTCTCTTAATACCGTATGAAAGCTTGCAAATAGGGAATGCTTTTATCAAGTCTCTCCTTTTCCTGTTCTGATGGTGGTATGTGGGTCTAAAATTGTGTGTTTAACTTCTCATGGCGATTGTGTGTGTGTGTGTGTGTGTGTGTGTGTGTGTGTGTGGTTACCCAAGGACAGGTGGATGTCCTACTCTGAAGAAATGTGTGTAACTGGTATTGTGTATGTATGTCCCCAGGCTGAAAGCTTGGTTCAAGAGTCATAATGGAGGGGACAGGGGACTGACAAATGCTGCACATGTTCATGGTGGCTAGTTATCGATGGGCAAAGTGGCTGTTAAAATCATGGGGTTAGAAATGCATAACGAATGCTGGTTCTGCCTTATTTCTTTTCATATAGTAGTAGTAGCAGCTCCCTACTACGATATACTATGTTTAGTGATATCGGTTCTTTCACATATATATGTGTCTGTCTATGTATACATGAATTTATATGCATACGCTACTACCTCAACTTGTGATGTTCAGATAAAACCATGGTGTTAGTTATTTGGAAGCTCTGAGAAGCTGCCCTTTCAAAGAAATGTGTTGAACTTGTTTGAACTAAAACATACTTTGTAAATCCGTAGAGACCAAGTATTCATGGCCAGATCCTGGCCTGATAATCAGTATTAGAAAACTAGGCTGCCTGAAAGTAGTATGGCACACTAATGCTCTGATGGAGTAGGAAGGCTGGGTTGTAACCATGTGGCATGGGGTGTTCCAGTTCAGACAGCGTCCTAAATCTCATGCAGTCTCCTGGAGAATGTTCACAGTGAGCCATGATGCTGCCCCTACCACCTTCCTTTGACTTGTTTTTGTACTGTTTTTTCAGTGTGTCTAATGCTGGTATGTTTCTGTACTGAAGTGCTCTTTTTACCTTTTTTAGAACTATAGGCTCCTTTATTCCTTGAGCTACATTTTGGGGGTTTTTTTAATGGTTGTATTCATGCCCTGCTTTTTACAGTTTCAGTGGTTTCTCATCCAAGGGTCTATAGCAGCATCTGACCACTTGGTGCACCCCATATTGTCTATTAGAAAGCACCACAATCTGGAAAAAAAGCATACCCATTTCTGAGTTCATGCAGCCTTTTAAAAAAATGTTTAAACCTGCACTTGCTTTCATAAAAGTGTTAGAATAAATGTACAGTGATTAATTCAACCAGTTCTTCATATTCATGTGGTTGACTAATCTTTTTCTTTCAGCTTGTTCTTTCCCATCACCTGCCGTCTAGTGGAAAAACATACTCGTTTTGATCATAACATGTCAAACTTGCCAGATTTTTTTTTGTACTGTGTTACCACACAGACAGCTGCTTAATATTTACTTTAGCTATCATGAAGCAGCAACAATGCTGACTGCAAATTAATGGTGCAAATGTATGCACATCTATTCAAAAGCAAGCCTTATTGAATTTGCCCCCATCTCAAGAGACTGCAAATGCTGTCTGTGGGTGCTCCCAGTTGCAGAGTCTCTATTACACAACACTTTCCCATTTCCCCAAAAGCCTTACATGTGCCTGTACAAGTCATATTTGGACAGCAACAAGTGCTTGAGATAGTTACAGCTTGCAGTGGATATCAACCTAGAAGCTGCCTTGCATGGAATCACATCACTGAACTGTTGAGCTCAGTACTGTCTGCGCTACTTGGTAACACCACTCCAGGCTTTCAGATGGGATATTCCCAGCTCTTTCTGGAGCTGGTAGGTATTGAACCTGTCCAAGTTATTTGTTGTTTCCTGTAGTTAAATAAAACCACTTGCAGATGGCTGTAGAATTTATTTACTTGATTAACATGGTATTGACAAAATAGAAGTTAACCAGCAGCAAGATATTTGCTTGATGAACATTGATTATATAAAGGTTTGACAATTTAATAGAAATTAGTGAGAATTTAAACAACAAAAAAAGTTTAAATACTGCCAGAAAATATAAAATGTATGTAACAGGCAAAGGAAAATGCTTTATGCACACACAACCGTCATCTGACCAGTCCCCATAAATTCTTTTCTTCAAGGTTTAAAAAAATAAGCTGTTCTCTGTAACATATATCAAGGCGTTATTTGTACAAAATAAAATCATGGCCAATGATTCATAAGCAGTGCAATAGGCAAAGAAAACCACACCAAACAAAATAAATAATGCAGACTAGAAACTACGGTAAATAAGCTATAAAGCACCCTGTGGAATCTGTTCTACATTACTGAGATGACCAATTCAATTAAACTGCGCTTTTAAAAATGGGTGCTGCTGAAATACAAACGTTACCAAAACAATTTGTTGCTGGCAACAGAAAATGATCAAGCAAAAGGAAGCAGCTCTCCATCAGGAATTGTTGGAGGACATCTGAATAGCTTGAACTTGTGTACAAAGAGAGGTGTATATTACCTGATTAAGTAAGCCACATTGTCCAACAGCTTTAATTACTCAGAAGTTCACAAATATGCTCACCATGGCTAGTGTCCCATTGTCCTTTGGAAAGAACGATGAGCCACAGTCCGCCTCCTGAGCTTGGAGTTAAGGATTTGTCTCAGTAGTCACACTATACTTCAGAGTAGCTTAGGGTGCCCCAAAATCACTGCATGACTCAAGGATGATCAACCATTCCCTTCCTAGCCTCAATCCTTAGAAGGGGGCAGTTGCTTCTCTGTGTCATGCTGTCTCCTAGGCATTCCACATGCACCAGAAGCACAGTGCAACTTCTGTGACAATCCTGGAGACATTCCCATGCTTCTCAGGGGCACAGTACAATGGCACCGGTGATATCCCACCACCTTCCTAGCTCCAGGAGGAGGTCAGAGTTCTTTGTGTTGCACTGTACTTGAAAATACTCTGCATCTCAGAAGAACAGTACATCAAAAATAAACTCCAGCCCCTTTCCAAGCTTGGCAACCACAAATTGGGGGCTGGTTATTAAGTGAAAATGTGTGGGTCCCTGTTAAATTATCAAAGCATTATCCACAAACATAGGAACAAACTTTAAAAAGAAATGAACAGAGTCTGCATTATGAGGTGCTGGCTATTTACTTATACGGTGCTTGTATTCTCACCTGTAAGGAACATACATTTCCTAGTTAATTAGTCCTATACTTAAGTGCATTGCCAAGGTTTAACAGATCATTGTGGGTAACTTTCATTTATGGGGCTGTGCTCATCAATCTTTGCATCTCAGCTTTACGTATAGTTCCATACAGCTTTAAAAATGTCAAATGAGAATGAGAACATGCTGAATAACACTAATGTTTTGCCCTTGGAGACCTTCCATCCACTCAGGACAAATCTACTTTGTAAAGCTCCACTGCTCATAATCTGTATCAAAAGCACAAGCAAGAGTGAGTAAAAAGATAGAAATTACAATGGAGAGCAAAGAAATTCACAAAGCAAGTAAATGTATGGTTATGGGTTGGAACTGATTCTGACCCAAGAGCCACTTCACACATTATCTTTCACCAGCACAGTGGAAAAAATGTGAACACTATTATGGATGATAGTTGCATTTATCTATTTTGTTGCTGCCAACTGTGGCTTCCCAACGTGTGTGTGTGTGTGTGTGTGTGTGTGTGTACAGCAAAATAGAAACAAGCATGATCTGCACATGACACATACATAGACATATGCAGCCTTTTAAATAAGCCCATACAACTTATTAACAGGCTAGTTTTTAAAAAAATCCAGGCTACGAAGCTAGTTGCTTACATTTCCAGGTTGGCTGCAGAGGAAAGGAAGATCCCTTCTCTAGAGTCAATACTAAAAAAAAGGCCTTCTGTCAAGTGGTATGGTGAAAAAGGAACAGAGCAATCCATCCCTCTCCCACCAGCCTATACAACTGGCGGGAAATTCTACTGCCTATGGCTACCAGGAAGAGTGGCCAATTACAAGGCTGGGTATGTAGGCTTTCCCCCTACACTAAGCGTAGTGAAATGATACGCATGAAGTAGCCCTTAGGAAGAAAACACATGAGAGAATTTCCAAGACTTCTCCAGACCCAACTGTTTGAAAATAAAACTTCCTAGCGAGTCATTTATTGTCACCTGATGCCAGTATCTGACGTCGCAAAGTAACAGCTGTGCTGCACCCTCTTTCCCATCTCAAATTGCTTTGTCCTTCCAAATAACCTGAGCCTGATAGGCAGAAGCCACAGGTAGGGAGGAGACAAAATGTCTCCAGGGTGTAAAAGACAACCTATTTACAGAATATACATGCCTCAGATTTACAGTAAGTTGCACAGTCCTGGCTTTGCCCCAGGTGGTCTGAATACCTTAGTAATCCAATTAAATTGGTGTTTCCTTTCGCTCCTTGCTTGGCGATGGCTTCACTGGCTCCTTGATTGCCTTTGGCTGCTCTTTCGCTGCTTTTGTCTCCGGGACAGTCTCTCTTGGCTGCTGGGGCTGCTGCTGCTGCTGCTGGGATGCGCCTGCCCGTTTCTCAAGCTCTTCTTCTTCCTGCACCTGCTGCTCAGATTTTGCTCGCTGCATCTGCAAGAGCCGGAGCTGCACTCGCAATTCAATGATGGCCTCTCGCTCTTCATGAATCGCTTGGTTCAGATGGTTGTTCTTAATCTTTATCCAGCACAAGAGGGAGGGAGGGGGCAGGGTCACTTCAGCTACAAACAGCTACTTATGCGGCTAATGAATCGTTAATAGAGCATCACACAATGTAACTTTTCCTTGGAAGGGGCACAAGTATGTTCATGGGAGAAGGGTTAGAAATGAGGCGCATGGAAAATCCAGCCCAGGAGGAACTGGGTATTTATAACCACAGGAGATTAAACATCGACACAAGATGCTGCTAACTCCCTCTCCACTAGAGAAGGTTCTTGCAGTAATCACAAGTTTAAAATTGTGGGTCTTTCCGCCCTAGCATTCACTGGGAAATTACATTTGTTTATACAGTTTGCATTTTCACTTTACTCTGAACTTCTGTGTGCCCACAAGTATTACAAAAATGAAGGTAACATGGTGGCTTTGAATGTGAGGTGCAAATCCCTAGTTCAGATTGTACTAGAAGTGAAATCCCAGGTTCAGTGGGACTTACTCTCAGGATAGTTAGTGCAGGGTTGACTTAGTTGAGTCACTGTCTCTTAGCCTCACTCTTCCACCTGCAATATGGAGGCAACAGTGACCTACCTTAGAGGTTGCTGAATGGATTACAGAGATAATACGGTGGAACCTTGGTTCTCAAACTTAATCCGTTCCAGGAGTCCATTCGACTCCTGAAACTGTTCGAAAACCAAGCGGAAGCTGTGTCAGACGTTTGGCTTCTGAAAAACGTTCACAAACCGGAACACTCACAATTTGGGAGCCGATTTGTTTAGGAGCCAAGCCATTTGAAAACCAAGGTATGACTGTATGTAGCAAGGTATGAAGCACTCGGAGTACTCTAAATCGTTTTTATTTTAAAACGTCAGTAGTTAATAACACTAAGACCTTTTATATTGTAACATGTAGGGAGCAAAAACCCTATTTAGGAAATTCTGCAGGTTAAGTTATTTTGGATGCTTTACATCAGGTAGTTGATTCATATTTGTAATTTTGTATTGTTCAACTAAGTTAATTGTTTAATTAATTTGTTAGCATTCAAATTTTCCACAAGGAAGCATGCTTTGGAAAAAATGCATAGGAAGCCAGAGGATTATTTGCAGCTCCCAAGCTTGAAAAATTCCTAATTTCTGCATTGGTTTTGAGGTAGTAACAAAGCAAGATATAATCCAGAGACCTCATCAACAACTCGAAAAAATTCCCATCTAAGATTTAGCTTCAGAGAAGAATTTTGTATTTCCAGTTCATTCAGTGATTTTTTGGCAACAGTCTCTCTCACGTGTTTTTATGTAGTTTTTGTGATTTCACATATCTATGTATTATTGTTACTATATAAAGTAACTAAAATAAATGCATATAATACAATCGTTTCCATTAGTAATGGAGATTATGTAACTTGTGCAATTTCCTTGCCAGTGCTGGGAAGACCAGCAGGGAAGGTGTATTAAAGATTACAAAAGCAACACTAGGAAGGGCAAGAGTCATAATTTGCAATATAAATGTGGCAATAGTACAATATAATTTAATCTTTTAAGTGTCCACCCTTCCACATTTTTAATTATAATTTTAATATTTATTAAGTTACATAAGATAGTCAAGTTATTGTAAAATATAATAAAGCAATTAAGAATGTTTTTAGATCTGAAGACACACCCAGTATTTGAAAATGTCTATTCTATACTTGTCAAACCAGTAAGGCAGCAATTCAGTTGAAAGGTATCACTAGTCCTAAGAGCATACTGTATATGTAGCTCCAATATTGTTTTTCTATTTCCCAAGCTAAAGCAATGGAAACTAGTAAAAAGGAGTTAACCACTATATCTGCCCACCCCCCTGAAAATTGCCAGCACTGTAGCAGAACTACATATATTCAAGACATTTTCAATGAAAACAACCTCATGCCTGCCAAAAACAGGTTGTTATTCATTAGGTGACAGAATGAGGCGTATCAGAGGCTGTGTTTTCAGATGACATACACAGACCTGCCATAAATATTCTCCTGATTAAACCTCTCAGCTCTACAAAAAGTTCAATGAATAAATATTTTGCAGTAGTGCAGTCTCACCTCCAGTTCTTCATTCTGCCTCTGCAAGTCTTCCAAGATTATTTGTAGCTCTTCCTCATCTTCGCTCTCACTCTCACTTTCAGAAGAATATTCTTCAGTTTCGCTTCGACCATGCTGCCGACTAAAACAGATGAGCACGTTTGATTTTTTTAAAGCTTACTTCACTATTTGCCTAGATTGCTATACAGCATTAATCAATTGCCACATAATGGACATGATCTGGAGCACAAATAGATGTTTACTGTATGGTATACTGTATATGGAGAAGTGTCACTAAACATAAACGTTCAAATATTACACTTAGAACACTTTTCAAGAAGCTACTTACAGAACCACCAAAACATAGAACCACTTCTGTTAATAGGGCAAAATTCAACAGCCTATTAAGTTTACTGGATTTTACTAAGATTCAAGCCAAAGTGTAGTGTTAGGATGATGTAGTCAAAAAAAGCCAAAGGGTGCAATGTAATTATCCTTCCATCACAGTCCAGTACGAGCTTATTGCTTTAAAAATATTATTTTAGAATTCAGAAAGCTTGATTCCAGAGAGGTTGTTACCTTTGAATTTCTGCTATTTCTGCTTGGAGGCGATCTATTTCCTCTTTTTCGGTGGCAATTTGTCTGCGCAGAAACTGCTCCATTGCCAGCAGCTCTTCTTGTTCTGTCAAAATCTCGTTCTCCTGCAAAAGATTAGATTACTTAAGCCTTTGGTTTATGGATCAGGGATATTACACTGCAATTGCTACCCTTCCTTTCTCAACTAAACACATGAACTATAGCTTCTAAAGCTGCTGGGCAGGGGGTGGAGAAGGGAAGAGATGGTTAGGATGCTGACTGGGAAAGAAAGCGTAAAACTCGCCGTGCCAAGACATCTCCCCATATAATTTTCCAGACCAAGGCATTTATCTCACCAACTGCACAACTTTATGGGAGGAAGTTCAATATACTGTTTGTTCTTTAGTGTACAAAACCACCATTTAGGCAGCTCTACTTCCTCTCCTGATTCCTAACCACTTGAATGCTCTCAGCTCCAGTGGAAAACTGAAGCACTACATTCCACAGAAATCCTGAATAAGCAAATGCAGGATGGCCTGGTGGAGTTTGGGCTGTACTGCATGATTTAAGCTTGACTTACCATAGTTACGGTATTTTGATAACCTTGCCCTGGACCACAATTTTCTCTTTTTATGAAGAGAAGATTGGGACATAGGAAGAATAAATGGGGAGGTGGGTGTTACTTGGGCACCTAAGGGACTGTTTTGGGGTGCATGGCCAGAAATTAAAAAAGAACCAAGGATGGTAAAGAATGGGCTGGGATTCCTGCAGGTAGCTGAGGAACAAGCAGCATTAGTAGGGATGACCAGTGTAGTGCCAGAAATTGCAGGGACTGCTGGAAGGCAGCAGTTCATTAAATTAACCCATACAGCAACTATTGAAAAGGCATCCTGTTATCTTGAATTAACAACATTTCTGTAACAACTTTGTTAACTCAGAAGCCAGTGGTTGAAATCACTGTCTTCCCCCTCCACTCCCAAATAGTGAGGATGCCAGGGGTCTGAGCTAAGAAAGGTCCGTTTTGGGATGAACAAGCAGTTCTACCAGCCTCATCAAGTGCTCACCAAGGTCACCAGAAACAAAATGACCATCTGGAACTAAGCATGACATCTTTCTAGCCATCCCTGCCCCACCTTTCAGATGCTCAATAAGATTAATTAGAATGCACCTACAGTGAGGGGGGAAAGTATCTGATCCCCTGCTAAATTTGCCCGTTTGCCCTCTGACAAAGAAATGACCAATTTTAATGGTAGGTTGATTGTAGCTGTGAGAGACAGAATAACAACAGGAAAACCCCCAGAAACCCAGAAGACAAAAGTCAGAGATTTATATGCATTATAAAGAGTGAAATAAGCATTTGATTCTTTGGCAAATGGGCAAATTTAGCAGGGGATCAAATACTTTCCCCCCTCACTGTATAAATTATAGTTTCATTAAAGTAACAAAGAATTCTTAAAGTATCAAAGAATTCTTTCAAATATGAATGTCCGTTTCTCTCCAAGTCAGTTTGGCAACAGTTTAATGTTACCTTAATGAATAGTGAAAAGGGGAAGAAGAAGAAGAGGAAGAGGAAGAAAAATAAAAAATAGTGCATTCAACATCAGAAATTACCTGAGCGAGCAGAATATTAATAACTTCTTCATTCTCATTCATTTCCTCTTTGGAAACATCCTCCTTTGAAAGGCTGGCAATCTCTCGTGCAATCTTTGTTTCACACTCCTACATTGAAAAAATCTTGATTAATGGCCACTGCCAAACATAGCCATATGGTTAAATGAAATTGTATCTAAACAGGAGCTCACAGAGGTTTTTGTGCTGTTATTATACTGAGAAAATATCTGAAGTTATTCAAACTTCCTAAAGTAGCATTAGTGGGTCAGGTTAATCACTTGCTTTCCCTTCTAGGACAGATGGCGGTTAAATCTGTGCAGCTGCTTTCGATTCTCTGTGAACAAGCAGACTGTGGGTTCCCCCACCAGACAGATCAGTTGATTTATGCACTGTGGCAAGCGGACATTTTCACATACCTGAAGATATCGTGATTAACCACACAAAAGGCATCGGCCAATAAAGCCCAAGGCAATTACAACAAAAGTCTGAAAGCTAACCTTGTCAGAAGCTCAAACACCAAACTGTGAAACTGAGAGCCAGAAACTGTAAGCGTCCCAAGAGAAGAGCAGTCATCTAGTGCAACATTTCTACCCCATGCCTTTGCAACAGAAACTCAGCATGCTTTAGAAGTGAAATATCAGGAATACACACAATTTTATCATTATCAGATACCATGTTGGTACACCAGGCCATTCATTATTACAGGATAGGGTACCAAGGATCCCAATAATGAGATCCTGGAATTCACTTTGCAGCAGTGCCCAGTGTTTAAGGAACTTGAATCCCTGCCTCTGATGCTGTGTTAAGTAAGGACAACTACGCTGGACGGCAATGGTCAAAGAGAGCCTCTTATTTAAGGATGGGGAAAAGAAGTAATATGCTGTGAGACATTTTGATCCATCAGAACTATGAACTATAAACAATCCCACACTAGACTAGTTAAAAGCCTCCATAGCAGAAAGGAAGAACAGCTCTGTCTCCCCTGTCAGGGATAGCATGATATTTTGATTAAGACAATGTTAGCTACTATTTCTATCACCAAAGCAAAAAACCAAACGAAGCAGCTTAGAAATTATGAGAGTACTCTTCCTGTCCAGTTCATGTGGGTTACATGCAAAGAAACTCACTTGTCTTTTAGCTTCTCTTAGCTTCCTTTTGAGAGCAGTCAAAATTCTTTGCACCTCCCATAATCTCTCCTCTTTGGATAAATCTTTGATCCCCGCCTGTAGGTCTCGGTGTAAACAATTCAACAGGAATTCCTAGTAAAACACACACCATATTCAGCAATATTATTCAATTTCTAAGCTTAAAAAAACTTTTAAGAACATAAGAAGAGCCTGCTGGATCAGGCCAGCAGCCCATCCAGCATTCTGATATCACAATGGCGAACCAGATGTCTATGGGAAGCCCAAAACCAGGATCTGAATGCAATAGTAGTCTACCCACTTGTGAGTCCCAGAATAGCATTCAGAAGCATAGTGGAGGCAGAACATAGCCATTGTGAGTAGTAGCTGTTGATAGCTGGTGTAAACCTGCCCTGTTATTCCCCTGCCCCCCAACACACAATTGTCTACAATGGGAGGGGAAGCTTGAGGCTCCTTCATTTTTAGTTCTTACTTTCCAGTCAAAAAATTCTGGAGTCTTCTTCACCACCTCTTTTAATAAAGAAGTAGGAGAAGCAACTCTGTAGTTGAGATGTATCACATCCTATGTTAAAACCCAAACTTATTTCTTATAAAATGAAGATAATTTCTCCTGTGTGATTATTTGTCTGGTCAGTATGAAATTTGCCCTGTTTCAATATAAAAATTCAACTGAAAGAGCCAAGAAAAGTACAAGTGCACCAACCTGTCTTCTAATTTCTTCTTTGATGCTTTCCTGTGTTTCAGGCAATGCTGGCATTGTTGCCATGTTAGACCAGCGTAGAGGCTTTGTCACCCGTTTCAGAATCACATTTCCAAAGAACTCTTGAACATGTGTGAAAAACACATACAAGACACGGTTGCTGATCTGAAAAGACGTAACAGTCAAATTACTACTTTTGACCTTCCTCTCTAATCACTTGGTCTGCAAACATCCACAGCATAGATGCTAAATAATTCTAACAGACCTAAGATATTCCTTCCTGTAACTTCCTGAACAGGCTAAAGACGCAGAGATCATGTTTAAAAATAATTAGCTGTTGAAATGTAATCATGTTAAAATCTAATGTAATCATGTTAAAATTGCGTAGTTTCCCCTAAAAAAAAATCACACAATTATCTGGGCGGAAATGTAATGGCCGACTCTTTGATCCTAAACAAGTTACTCATTTATGTCAATTGTAACTATCAGCAAATAAGAATTAAGTTCCAAACTGGCTTTAATAACAACTCCAGGCTGCTGCTACTGTTTGTTAACTCCGTAACTGTAAAGGCTCCAAAGGAATCTGGTAAATGTGTTTTTTGTTTAAACGTTGGGGTCTGACCACTTGCCACCTTCAGGCAAGGAGAAATTTTTATCCAGGAAAGGCTGAGCAAATGATCTTACAGTTTTATTTTACTTTTTCCTTTAAACTTTTGCCTTGACCTGCCTTTAAGAGTAATGTGGAGTGTTCTGCTCTGCAATAGCAGTACATTTTCTTCCAGTGCAACATGATCTGAAAGCAATATTTGAGTTCATCTCCACTAGCCTGATATGGGAGGGGTTCTGAGAAGGGGCCAAGGATGGACTAAATGACAGGTAGTTCTAGAACAGTAGAAGAATCCACAAAGGGAAGCTGCAAAAACCTTTCTGACAATCTTTCCTTTGTTCTTTTTACCATGATTTGGCTTTACAATAAAACAGCACCATTGGACTTCTCTTATTTACGTAGGCAATACCAACTGCATTGTAACACCAGTTGCTCTAGTACTACAAAACAAAAGGGAAGAAGATTCTGGCCTCTACTAATGAGAGGCTGCACCCTCTGCCTCCCAGGAAGAACACCATGGCAAACAGACGATTAATTCATTGATCAGAGAAGGAACAGCTGCTCCAATGCTTGCTTACTTCTCCCTTTCCCATTCCTTTTATGAGATGTATATGAGAGGTTGTGTCTGCAGGCAGAGGCTGCCTTATCTTTAATACACATATAGGCTTAGAAAATCTTAGGAGCTTTGGAAGTGTAAAATAACAGCAATACTATTATTCAACATTTTAATATAAATGGATTATGAAGGTGACATGTCAAACGTGCACTTCTGACGGCCTAATCCTAATGCTCCAGTTTGATGTTCTTACATAACAGAGAACCAGAGATATCCATCCAGTCTGTTCCCACAAACTTCATAAAATTGACTAGGCAAGAGCAGGTTTTTTTTTAATAAAGACCCTGTGCTGTTAGCCTTCTTTGTTAGTCTAAGCACAGGGAAATGGATCCCAAACGAAGTGTTAACTTTATATCTTGCAATCCCAAAATGTCAGAACTCTTAGAAAGCAAAATATTAGCTAAAATTTTATACTGTCAATTCCAGAATCTCCAGCTGGGTTAAAGCGTTGATATAATGAGATCCTTTCTATGAAGTCTTTACATAGTACTTTGAATACCTGCAACATTTAAAAAAAATGCCTGTTTAACTCTCCACCTATAATAAGAATATTCAAAGCATGAAATATTTTTTATCAGTCAGTCATTTTAAAAAACACAAGGAAGTATACACTGAGAAGAGATACTACTGTTCATGGCCTTGAAAACTGATTTGTTTTGGAATCTAGCTGTCACATTAGTTTCCAGAAAAAATCTGGAGTCTAGGAATATATGACTTTAACTGAACTTAATCCTACATATATAACAAGATATGACAGGGTAATACCATGTTGCTTTCATTTTACTTTGGCTGCTAAGAAGGGAGATGGAGCAAAGCAAAGACATCAAAGAACATTACCTAATCCACATGCCCAAAAAGCTTCACTCTCTCATTGGATTACATAAAAATGGCAGTGAGATTAAAAAACAAATATTACCTAGACTTCAATTCTCAACTGGGAATAATTGAAATTCAAAGATATAATGGAATAAATTTAAACAACTAAAAGTATAACACTATCAAATGATTTGATTTTTGTCTTGACTTTAGTTGATACATTGCACAAAAGGAGTTTCAACCGGAATATCTTGTTTAGCACTTGAACAACTGGTTTGACAGCATCATTATTCAATAATAAAATTAAAATGAGGTTACTGTGATTACTCATTCTGGAAGGAGATCAACATATGTGATCTACATTTGGAGATGTGAAGGTAGCAGGTGGTTAAGCCCTCAGTACCTAGCAAAAGTCCAGGTTCTAGTGCTTTTATACTGATATATGTAACTTATCATATGACTAACAGCGTAGCCCTTGTGTACTCAAAAGTTAGTTCACCATGTTCAATGGGACCTAATACCTAGAAAGTATATTTTCTGCAACCCTTTCTCATGCCTGCATGGCCAAAGGCTTAAAAATGCCAACCAGTTGGGATGCCAAAGACAGCGGCAATCTTATCCAAGATTGTAAAGACATTACTAAATATATCAAAGAAAGGATGGCTGTTTTAAGCTTCAAAATCTCAAAAACTGCTGCTGCTTGGTAAAGCTGGGTTTTGTTTGCATAATTTTCTTTCCCTGCAATGCTAATTGAGACAACAGAAGCAATGAATGAGGGCCATTAAAACATTGCAGGAAGAATGGTAAATTATGTATAACTGTAGGGTATGTCAAATAAACCCTCAACCAAAACAAATATCCATTCTGTTCTAGACCTTGGGAGGCTGGGGAGGAGGACACAAAGAGAACTAACACAGTCCCAGTTTAGGAGTGTCTAACGTGGCTCCCTTGCCTGAACACCATCTGGAACTATGGGCTCTGCAGGTACCCATAGTTGCACACTGGTCTGGATTATGTAAGAGGGTGACTGGGTACTACCACAAGGTCGTTAAGTTTGATTTGTTGGTCCCAACCAACTATAAATGATAGCTTGGTGCACAATTAATTACATTTACATCCCCTCCTTCCTCTATAAACAGCTTCTATATGTGTCCTACGCAGATCCCAACTCTGCTTACCTTCAGCAACATATGGATGTAGGCAGGGATATAGAGAGCGCAGTGGTTCTCAAAGAGTGTGGCATGCCATGTTGGTGTGGCAGGTAAGGATAGCAAGTGTGGCGGGAAGATTCAAAGACAATCAAATAAACATCTAAACATTCCAGTGTAGTATAGTATAGCATCAGAATATATATATTTATTTGCAGGATATGGATAGATCTTTTCAAAATGAAGCCCTGCTAGTTGTTGCTTCTTTTTGTGTCCCAATGTATTTCTTATCACTTAAAAATTCAGTGTGGCAAGAGCAAATTATTATTCTGAAATTGGCCCAGAGAAATAAGTCTGAAAACCACTGATATATATATATAGATAGATAGATAGATAGATAGATAGATAGAGAGAGAAGTAGGGAAAGAGAGAGCCTATTATGCATACCTGAACAGTTGGGCTGAGTACTATGGAAATGTTCTGTATATTCATTTTTGTTTCTAGTTCCTTTGCAATTACATGGTCCATGTGCACAATCAGCCAAGAAATTAGGAGATAGTTACACTCTGGTAGTTCTTTCAGGAGACGCTGGCATTCCTGCAATTTCTCAACCTCCAGGCTCTTCCCACAAGCATCTTCAAAGCGAGGCATGAGCTCTTTGGTAAGCAAGTTCTCAGGAAGTTCACGCAGATACTGTTTCAACAAGCTGGCTACAGTGTTAGGCTCATACTCCTCCAGGTTGGGGGATTCTTCTCGGTCATATGCTGCTTTTAGCTCATCCACCTTTGATTTAATTCCTAAAAAAAGAGAAAAAAAAGAATGATTTCACAAAATAATTCCAAAAACAAACAAAAATAGAGCAATCACACATGTAAAGCACTATCTTCATTTTGCAAAGTCACAAAACACTGGGGGAAGTACTCAAGTAAGTTTTATTCATAGCAGACCCACTGAAATTAATGGACCTACAGTGGTGCCCCGCAAGACGAATGCCTCGCAAGACGGAAAACCCGCTAGACGAAAGGGTTTTCCGTTTTGGAGGTGCTTCGCAAAACGAATTTCTTATGGGCTTGCTTCGCAAGACGAAAATGTCTTGCGAGTTCCTGCGGGGTTTCTCCCCCCCTTTTTCCCAAGCCGCTAAGCCGCTTATCAGCTGATCCGCTAAGCCGCTTAACAGCTGATCGCTAAACCGCTTATCAGCTGATCTGCTAAGCCGCTTAACAGCTGATCCGTTAAGCCGCTTAACAGCTGATCGCTAAGCCGCTTATCAGCTGATCCGCTAAGCCGCTTATCAGCTGATCCGCTAAGCCGCTTAACAGCTGATCCGTTAAGCCACTAAGCCGCTAATAGCGCTAATCCGCTAATGGGCTTGCTTCGCAAGACGAAAAAACCGCAAGACGAAGAGACTCGCGGAACGGATTCTTTTCGTCTTGCGAGGCACCACTGTACCTTAGTTGTGCTCATTAATTTCAATAGGTCTGCTCTCAGGAAAACCTTGTTGAATACCACCCTGGGCTCTTAACTCAAGAAATAACACTACAGCACGCTGACTGCAGATAAGGGTGTGTGCAATGGAAGAGGGAAGGAAGGAGCACTAGGCTGCGTCTGCATGGTTTAGCACGGCATGGATGAGCCAGAACAAGTCCAAGCAGAACAAACCCACAGTCTGACACCAGCTTGTTATGAAACTTGCCAGTTTGTTTTAAATTAGAATCCATGTTTCAAATGTAGTAACGATCCAGGATTCTGTGAAACTAAACTCTGCCAAAATGTACCTCAAGACCATGACGGAAGAGAACGATGCATGCAAGCCTGACAAGTCACTCAGGCTCATCCTTGGGTGTTAAACCATAGTTTTGTGTATTTTGTGGGTGCATCCAGGGTCTCCAATTTACAGCAAAAGCAGGTAGAGGAGAAACAGCAGAGATAGTGGTTGGATGGTGACTTTTTGATTCGGAATTTCAACCATCTCTTTAATTTTTTAAATAATAATAAACCACACCCATGTTCTGATGTGTCTGATGTGTTGTACACTATCCACTTTCAATCCTTATTTCTAAGAACACACCTGGTCATCAAAGGCCACTAAAATTCCATGCAGGCAAGTGCATGGAATTCTATGCTGATGAATGAGCACACTGGTGGAGGAGAGACAAACTGCTCTGCTGTCCTCTGCCTGCGTGTTCGGTTTCCATGCTAGCCACAGAGGAAGGACAGGCACAGAAATGCAGAAGGCTTAAACACCCATCCACACCACTAGTCTGCTAGGAGGCAGGTTAGTAAAAATAAAATAAAGCAAGGTTGCAGGATACCAACTTTTATGGACTTGTTTACAAGTCAGTTATAATCAGAGTACTTTACTTCTCTGCATTGTTCAGACTTGCCCGAACACTTTCCAATGCTTGCACAAATTCCCTTTCAAGCTTAAATTCCAAGCAGTATCCATATCTACTACCCAGAGAAGGACACTTTACACTGTCATGGTCATACTGTAGCACGGCCTGGCATAGTAAAGGATATAAACCTATGAACCTCCAAGATCAGAAAATTATACTTCTGATTGAAATAGTGACATAGTGTCAATAAAAGTGTGGCTATGCTTTCATATTTATCCATCACTAATGTGCAATGTTTGCACTAAATATCTCTTCAAAATATTTACTTCCTGTGCAGTTTTGTCTTTAAATTCCACCTTGGAATTTGCATTTCAGTTCCTGTCAAAACAGCTCGTGCATTGCATTTCGATCACGGGCATGATGCCTCTCACAGGTGGCATTCACAATTCAAAATACAGCTGTATAATTAAATAAATGACTCGAATCATTGTTACTTTTATGTGGATCAAGGGTTACACAACTACCGTGGCTGCTAATTATCTTGGCATTACCACCGGGGTGTTTTCTTCAAATCCAAGCTAAATCCTCAACTGCTATTGCAACATTTCCCCTGTTTTTTCAAGATACCAGCTAATGAGGACTTTGTGTATAAATTCCATTTGGAAGAAAGTCAAAATGAAAGTGTAGGAGGGAAAAACAGCTGAAGAATATGTTCTCTCCCCACCATATGCCACTTGACAAATCACTATTTTACTTGCTAGCACTGAATCTTTTACACAACATAATTAAAAATATATAGCAAACAACTGCAAGGTTCTTAACATCTCTGATTAGGTTATATTCTCACAGTCCTCAAACTACTTACACCACTCTATACCATTATACATACTGAAGTCACTACTCCAGAGCAAGCGTTGTGAGGAATGCAGTTGGGAAGTGCCATGTGCCAATTTTCTCTTTCTATCACAAAGACTGAACCATGTTGTTGTTTTTTTCAGTTGCTCTACTCAGCAAGCAGGTTGTGGCAGATGGCTGAGGAAACCGCTTGGAAATCAGTGCCACTCTAGGGAAGCATGACTTTAATGGATCTGATAAGACACTGTGCCCTCAAACGCAAAAGACTAGGTTTGCTAACTTACGGCATAATCTTATGTGTTCATTGAAAAGGAAATCCAGTCAAATTCAAAGGGCTTACTTCTAGAAAACTGGGCATAAAATTTGCAGTCTTAATTGCAGTGGTAATATATGTAACTTGTTTAAAAAAACCCCACAATCAAGCAATTTATAAATTTTAAGGACTCGATAAAAAAAAATGCACATTAACCCAGGAGCAAGCACCACTGAACACAAATGGTAGATGTATATAGAATTGTGTCTTTAACCTCTTGAACTTTAATATATATAAGCGGAGTAAATCATTTTTCAATTATACCTGCTTATCAGCAATCCTTCCAGCCTTAAATTTAGAGCTAGCCTAAATTCAACAGCAGCTAAACATATTTGGTTTTAGGAAGCTGCAGGCATTTACAAAGTCACATGAAGTTTTGGGCGATGTGAAGGTGGAGAGCCCCACCATGCCCTTTGGGTCAAAAGACATGAGGCAAAGCAGACGAAAGCTACCTTTAGTTGGGCCACTATACCTGAAACTCTGTAGATGCCTTCGCATTTCATGCCATATTTCTCTACGTAATCTATACATTCCCGGAAAACTGCTGGCAGGCGGATGCCATCATACAACATGGTCCTTTCTGCTGCATCTGCCAAAGGGATACCAAACACAGGGCGAGGCCTGGGAATATCCACCTGCGGTATCTCTGCCTCTTGAGCTGGTTTCTTCTTCTTCTTCTTCTCTTTCCACTGTTTCACAACATCCGCTGCTGTCAAGTCTTTAGATTTTTTCTCTTTATGTTTTTCCTCCTTGTGCTTGTCCTCTTTATGCTTTTCATCTTTGGGTTTTTCTTTTATCTTAAAATCTTTTTCCTTCTTTTTGGAGAAACTTGGCTTCTTGAAAACGTGGATCCCTTTGGAGCGCTTTAACTTGGAGGGGCTTTCAGCTTCATCCCCAGAGCTGTCTTCCTGGAAGGCTGCATAGCCTTCCGCTGTTAAGAGAAAAAGGAAGACATGAAGGAGGGAAAATATCAAACGCATAATCTACCTAGAAAAGCCAAAAGGCAGAAAAATGCTCAGCAATAATGTGCTACATACACATATTTGCGGAATTATGCAGGACTTGGAGACAATTCTGATGTATTTTCTTCCCCTGAATAATGTACATGAATTTTTAAAAATATTACTCTGGTATGAAAGCTTCATACACAAGCAGAATCACTTGATTACCTGCTGACAACAATATGCAAAAATGTACAGTTTGAAGTTTAACTCCAACTTGCAATGCAAGCCTAAGCCAAGGCTTGAATATCCCATTGTGTTCAGTGGAGTTATTCCCTGGTAAGTAAACTTAGTACTGGCACCTTAATGTTTTTCATCGTTTCCTCCTAAAGTAAAATGTAACATCAAAATCAATACAGAACTGATGCTGTAAAGTGATATGAATGGCACATATATGCTTATCTTAAACCTTTAGCAATATTCCAGGATCTGCTGTAGACTCTTCTAAAAAAACAGAATGTGCAGAGAATCTTGAAGTTTGTATATGATTCAGGCCTATGTGATTTTACTTGGGTAGACACTTGCATCCTGTTGTATGAATTTTCCAGTTTGGTTACCATTTTCTAAGATGGCCAACAGGCAAACAGGGATATGTGATAATTTATGAATGAGTGCATATATAAAGCTCATTATGGTGGCAAAAGAGTTTGTTAAACAAGATGAGTAGAAGAGCTATTGCTAGTCTCTATTACCACCAGGAGGGTCTCACGGATAAGAAGCAGAATATGAACAGGAAGACTCAGATTCAAATCCATGCTAAGCTTTGGAAATTTAATGGATGCCATTTGGCTGGTAAGCCTATCTTAGCCTAACCTACCTCAACAAAGTTATTATAAGGATTAGTGTGTGTCTGTGTGTAGGTGGGGCATGTACACTGTCCTGCCCTGGGTTCCTTGGAAGAAGAGTTGTATGAAAGTGAATAAAATTATTTAATAACCATTGCAATCAGAAACAATATTCAAACAACACACATTTGCCACTAATAAATGGTTTGAACTTTCATTTGTTATTTAAGAAGCATTATAACACAGTTGTTCATACTTGCAAAAAGTATAGAAAATTAGTCAGAACTTCTTGAACTTGTACATTTGTTATTTTCATCATAAATATTAATTATAAGAATCATTATTATTAAAATTAGAATGTCAAAAATATATGTATTTTTGCAGTGAATATAACACACTGTCATGGCATCAGTTCAACATCTTTACAAGCACATCTGAAAATCAACCTGCAAAAAATACAAATAATACAATCCTGCTGCATTAAAATGAGTGAGAACTTTGCTACTGACTTCAGTGAGAAGTGGATTGCATTGCACAAACCACTAAGTTAACTGCTTGGAATAAAAAGGCTAGACCAGATATTCTAGGCAAACCAGATATTCTACAATGTAAAAAATTAATGTACAACCTCTAAAAAGAAATAACTTACTTTTCAGTTCCATGGGCAAAGTTGTCCCAATCATCCTGACAAATCTCTAACTACATGTGCCCATTTGGATTATGTAAACTGCACAAGAGAGTTCAATTCCACAGCCATAAGACAAACAAAGCTTTTGCTGCACATTATCAGGTGCTTTACTTTGCTGCCTCTGAAATAAATGCACAGGAGTCCAATAAGCTACACCTCTTCTGCAACTAGCCCTGCCTACCCTGTAGGGAAGAACAAGAAAATAAATATCTAAAACACACCCATCACTTATTGCAGCACATATGCTAAGACAGAGGAGGAAATGGCTAAAAAAAACCCTGAACTAAATTTGATGGAGAACCTGCTAGAGCATTGGTTCCCAATTAGCTAAGTACTGTGGACCCCCTGTTTTTCAAAAGCCAAGCCGTGGACCCTACTTTTGAAAATTTTGATATATTTATGGTAGTTTTTATGTGAATGGTGCCCTGGGTGAGTTACGCAGACCCAGTGTGCTAGAGCGCTGAAGTGATATTCCAGCATGAATGTCAGGCCACCAAAGTGGGGGTAAGAGCTTTGTATCCACAGATGTGGACCAACTTGGAACTAGAATATATGGTCCATAAATAGATTGCCATGGTACAGCCTTTTAAAAACATGCTCAATGAAGAAGAAAATCATGTTTTTCCGGCCTTTGGTTTTTAAAAAAATGATTTAACAAACCCCAAATTCTGACTTTTAACTTCTCTGTTATGAGAAGACCCTACCATTGTCTCACTATAGATGAGATTTGGGAACTGCCTCAGTACAGTAAAGACCTGACTCAACATCCCCAGATTAAAAGATCCCCGATTGGACCAATGGCCCTGGTTTCCAGCAAATATTCCACTATATCACATCTTTATTTAACCCATTCCTTTAGCTCAACTGTATGTCCCAAATCCTTTCTACAAATCAGTTTTCTTTATCTCTTGCCTTCTGCTATGCCCTAGGACCGAGAGTAACCAAGCCTTGACTCAACAGCTGCAGCCCTGCACTAAAAATCAAATCCAAAATGACCTAGGGATGCACACTTACTTGGGAGTAAGCGCCACTGAACATGGTGGGATTTATTTCCAAGCAAACATTCATAGCCTTCTGCTCTAAGAAACTCTAATTCTTCACATTACTTCAAAAACCAGCAGGCAAACAATGCTGCCACTTTTAAAAGAAGGAAAAACACACAGTTGAAGTCTGAAATTCTGGGCTCTCATATTTGTTTAAAATATTTAATAAATAAACAGCTATTGAAATATTAGACCCATAATTTGAAGCTAAGCATCTTGAGTTTTTCTGAATGCCTACTGCTACTTCTGTATACACAAAAATATAACAGCATCACAGTACGGAACAGAATGTTCACCACAGATCAAGGTACCAAGATAAAATGTAACTTTTCAAAGAATTCAAACTTTGATTAATCAATGTGTCTTGCAAAATACAAAAAATGGAGAACTAGCAATCCCTAAAAAATGTATTATCAAGCAGCCATTCTGACAGCTATGGTACTTGTAGAAGGAGAACAGATGTAGTAGAATTAGCGCTGAAACAGTGGATGTGGATAAAAATGCCAAAAGCCATAACTCCCAATACAATTAGAGAAGCAATTTCAGAACTTTTTGACAAGGCTTAGAAAACAGTTGTCTTTGGAGATTTTACTGCTAATGCCATTTTTTGCAATAAATTTATTTTCAGATAGCTAGACAATACATGAATCTGTCACAACAGAAACCAAAGGGAGAAATTAATGTCAACAATTTTAAATGAACAGAAGATCGATTCATCAGTCTTTAGTTATCTACACATTAAACACAGGTTGGATGGCAGTAGTGGCCACAGCATGCACAGGGCTGGGAAAAGGCATTGCTGCTATCTCCCCCTTGCAATATTTAATCGTTTAATCATTTGCACCTGCAAATGCCAAAGAAAAATGTCCATTTGCAAGCGAGGTTTCATACCAAACTGCACCTGTAAACGAACAACTTCAAGGGGGCTTTTAGAACCAATAAGCTGATCTGTCCCAACCACCTTAAAAAGAGGCCCATGGAGGGGTGGCCCAATTTCTGATTCCGCCCTTGGGCTGAAAATGGTTCCCCACTTGTTTTAAAGTGATGGCATTAGCTTCAGACTGTAATTTTCTTTAGCTTAAGAAGCCAAGATATGAATGAGTATCGTACACTTGCAGAGAGCTGTTTTGCTCCTCCCTTTGCATGAGCAGGCAAGTAAGTCAACAAGTTTCTATTAACAAGGGTTTCCCATTGTTTCCAAACCAGGAAACCTATAAGGAAACTATAGGTTAACTGAGAATTCCAGGTTTACTTCCTGGATCATAGGGAAGGACTGAGGTGGCTCCATGAGGCTTGTTCATACCTCAGTTAATTATGAGGTATGATAGTCGATACACAGCCATGATGTCACTGCTGCAATTTGGAAATATTTTTATAGTCCTCCTTTAGATGTTATGAAAGCCTTAGCAGATTTACAAATAATCTTAAGACTCTGATGGATACGAAGGCATCACATACCAAAACATTTGATTAGAATTAGCACAGATTTTATAGCACCTTATGCTTTAGAAAACATTTACATACAAAAAAAAAACCTGTAACACTTATGAAATACATTTACACTTGTGGTGCCACACACACTGATAACTAAATGAATAAATTATATAAAGGGCTACAGTATAATCACATCTTGCGCAGGGTTAGACTCTGGAGATGGCACATATACTCAGCCCACCCCCTTGAAACTGTCACTGTGCGACCATACTTACCTTCTCGAGCCAATGTGCCAAGTGGACCTTATACCCAAGGAAGGAAGAACTTTTGAGCTCTTTGTCTTGCTTAGCGGGCAAGTCATGCTCAGCTTGTAGTCTCTGGGATGCTCTCGTGAGATCTCATGGGGGCATCCACATTCCCACAAGATCTTGCAAGAGCATCCCAGAACTCGCACACTGAGCAGGACTTGCCTGGTAAGCAAGATGGAGAGCTTAAAAGCTCTTTCCACACTGGGAAAACCCAGTGCAAAAGGAGCCTTTAAGTGTGCAATTAATTCACGCAATTTCAACTGGCCTGCTTTCAACTGCGCAAGACTGAAATCACACTCGTTAACTGTGCACAAGATGTGATCGTGCTGTACATTAAAACACATGCACACAAGTATTGAGTCATGAAAAGCAAACCGTAAATACTAAAAAGCACACTAGTAGCACACAGATTGGAAGAAGAGAAGGACTACCTACTTCTTTTCTCCTTCTTTTTAAATTTTCCTTTCTTCTTCCCATGTTCTTTCTCATCATCAGACACAATATCTGGAGGCTCATGCAGGCTGTCATGAGGTGGTGATGGCTCGCCAGTTCGATATAAGCCAGGGAATTTTGTTGGGCTGATTTCTTCAGAGCTCGGGGTCCGAGCAAGACTCCCGCCATGCTCTACTCTGCGGTGCTCACTGGGGCTGCTGGTGGGAGGCAGGAAGCACTCCGTCATTCTTACTCTCTGGCACCACAGCAGAACAATATCCTGTTACCTATCCATTATGCCTGCAATAAAAAGAACACAAAGTATTTTCGTCGCTGCAAAATACTATTATAGTGAGAGAAACTGCTTTCAATACAGCTCTATATGTATTACACTCAATATGTATTACACTCAATTTCACTCAAGAATTCATCACATGATATAAACAGGACTACTCATGATATCACATACATTCAGATTCAAGTTTAAAAATCTGAAATTCAACTGCAACCATGAAGTACAATTTCAATTTTCAGAATTTGTTAAGAGTAGCTTCCTTTACACCCCACATTCTGGCTCATCACAAATCATATACTCATACATCCAGGACAGTGTCTTCTATGAGACTGTATCAAGTTCAGTCCAGTATTTTGTTTATTTTGGATATGATTGGTATGTGGCACTATGTTGGTTATAACTTGTCCCCAAACAGATACAGAGAGAGATGCAATGCAATGCTACCTCACTGGGAACTTTCTACTAGAAGAGTAGGCATATAATCTGTGGTGGCCCAAAGCTTATTTTGAAGTGTACACCCCCAAAGTTTCTGATTCTCTTCTACATATTTTGGTTATTACTGGCATTGTATATGTTAAATGACAGAGCAGAAGCTATTGTGGAAACATTTTAAAGCTTACAGTTTGGCATAATTTTATGGATGTAGATGCCATGGTTCATGAGACAGGAGGAGAATGACAATGGCTATTTTGGAAAAGCTCTGCAACCTAGGGTTTTTCCATTCCAAATTATATCTTCTATGTCATCCAAGTAGAAACTTCAATCAGTAATGGACTTTCCTGTAGAAGTCTATTACAGCAAAGGGACTATGGATCAGATGGAGAAATCTGACATCCACTTTCGACCTGAAGCAAACTGTGCTATTTTTAAGTTTGACTACTCTATCCTGTTAGCCCTGTTATGTATTTATTTTTTTTAATTGTGTGCTGCCTTCTGCAAGCCTGGAAGGGCAGAGTACAAGTACTTTAATGAAAGCAATACAAACAATGCAATACAATGTTATCCCAGCACAGCAAGGTTAATGTGATGTTGGAATGATGTACATCAGACAGAAAATTCATCAGTCATCTCAGCCTTGCAAGTGCACTTTTTTTTGCAAGCGGTGAAGTATTATAGGATTTCTAAAGTCAGGACTTTAAACAAAGGGACCTGAAGTTCAAAATTCAATGCAGAAGAGGGAACCCTTCAATATTCAGAGGTACCTTTCAAAGAGGTCTGCTAATCTCAATAAATCTTAGCAATTTGAAGATCCCCACCCCTCCTACTCTTCATACTTCCTTTTCTCCCTGGACCCTAGTTCTTGCCCTACACTCCTATTAGCTCATAATCTTTCCCCTTTTATGTCAATTCTGAGAGAAGAATTCTATATCTTGGAACAGGAGGTAAACCTAAAACAAGAAGTATAAGAGTACACTAGTTTAAAATATGTCTGTGCCAATTTCCTGCATGCACATTGTTTATTTCCATCACAGAACCTGGGGATTGTCTTAGGGCAAAACTATAAGCCTTGTTTGAATCTCTTGCCTTAGCTATCCTTGCTGTCAGACTGACTTGCATTTATGTAAAGAACACTCTGTTCTCTCTCAGCGCTAAAGTTTATCATGTGTAGACTATACACTGGTAGAACATGTTGTTATTTCAAAACCAGAATCATAGAATAAAAATTATCAGGACAACTCGTAACTCCCATGTGAATCACTCTCTTGCCTACTATTGCTTATGAAAGTCTTACGAAGGTCCTCCAATTAAGTTGCACAGCCAAGAGCAAGTGCCAAACCACCAGTGAAACAACACCTTGGAGATTTAGATAAGGAGTATGAAGCCATGGAGTTTATCTCTCTCTCCTTCCACACAACTGTTCCAACAAAAATTGAATCCCCTTAAAATTACTTCAAAATAAAAAATAAAAATGGGAGCTCCCACCATAGATGCCATGTCTCTCATGCAGTTTTGGCCCTGAATCAAACAACTACTGCTACCTAATCAGAAGATAACTCATTCTGAAAACATAGCCTTGCATTTCAGAATTGAAGTTTTCTCAGCTGAGCCTGCAATCCTAGCATAACTGAACAGACTTAGCCCTCACTAAATATGCACTGAATTGAGCTTCATGAGTGAAAACTTAAACCACTTTGCCCTGAGTAGCCCCACTGACCTTGAATGACTAAAAGCTAGAAAAGTGTCCATAAGGTGCCTTTAACTGTAAGTGGGTCAAAGGGAAGGAATACAAAGAATCTATGTATCATAAACAAACCTGATTTGACCCATGTCAGGTTCCTATTTTGTTAACAGCACAGCTGCAACTCTTCAAGTCCATACACAATTTGCTTTTTAAGCAGTTTATTAGCAAACATTCAGACACAGTATAACCTTTATCATAAGTTCATTTCAAAGTCATGGTACAACAAATAACAAACACTGAACAGTTCCGCTCTCTCTGGTGTTAAAATGTTCTGGGAAACATTTTCTTATTCCAGATTCCTCATTTGCTGAGCCACAGCTAATATCATGTGTCCACACATGCTCAAATCTGGCAGAATGTTTGCCTCAATAAAAAAGAAAAAAATCTTATCTGGATGAACAATTCAATTAAATTCAGAGAGAGAACTAAGCACATACGTAGCTCCCACTGAAGTCAGTGGGATCTAAAACTGAATTGTGGCTAAAATGGGCTGGGTTACACCAAAAAATATGAATGGGGAGAACACTGCTTTCCACAGCTTTGAGGAAGCATTTTACTTTGTGACATCTGTGCAGAGGTCCATATTTTTTGGCTGGCCTTGCCTGCAAAGCCAAAAATTATGGTCACAAAAGCTCATCAGATGAGCCCTATTATGGAGAAGCAGCCAGAGAAGCTTCCTGCCAACCTTTCCTAAAGGAAAGAGAGGAGGTGGGAAGAATGGTAGTTTTTGCCTGCTGCTTAGCAAAGGTTCTCTGATCACAAGAAAAATTTAAAAATGATACTTCCCCATCTCTTTTCCTTGAAAGTCAGGGCATGAAATCTGTTTTGATCTCAGTGGTCGGTATACTAGCACAGCGCAAGCAATGTAGATATGGGATACAAAACAGAACATGGGACTTCCAAATCAGTCACCGATTGGAGGAAGAAAAGCTTTCACTGTGAACCAGGAAGGCAAACTTGAAATTGCTTTAGTGTGCTTTAACAATCTTCAGGATGGGGTTACTTGCACTATGCAAGCTGTATTTACATATACACAGCTTGATATAAACACTCCTGCTGCTGCACTGATCTTCCTCTGTTACTCAAATATTACCAGAGCTGTGGAAGATCCAGCCATGGAGCAGCTGCAACCATGTAGCTCGGGTAAATATATAACCAGCTACAGTTTGAAGCACTTCCAAAACCTTTAGGGAAACTGTAGCCACCTATACAGAAATCATTCTGTGTGGCTAAAACAATTCCTTGTGTTAACAAATGCACCCAACAGGACACATACAAAAAGAAACCTTTCTTAGAGAGAGTTCTTTGTGGTGCTGAAGGATATAAGCAGCTGCCTTTTCCAAAGCCAGACCAACTGTGCCTGAATGAGGACAGTCCCGTCTGACAGTAGCTCTCCAGGATTTCAGAGAGAGGTATTTTTAAACTTTTTTTCTTTTACAAGGTGCACTGGTATCTTTAGTATTTGCTCTGTTGCTAATAACAAGCATTCTGTGTGACCAATACAATTACGAGCATAGACACAAATCTAGAAATCTTTTAAAATATATCACAGTATTTGTTTCTTCAACTAATCCTGGTATGTTATGGTTTTCATTAAATACAGAAACTAAAGTATGTTATAAACGTACACAAAGGAGGCAGTAGTGCTCCTAAAGAAGCCTTCCTTGGATCTTGAGGTGTTTGACAACTACCACCCTATCACAAATATCCCCTTTTGGGGGTAAGGTGCTTGAGAGGGGGCTGGCAGACACTCTTAGAGGAAGCTGATGATATTGACCCATTTCAGTCTGGGTTTGAGCCATGTTTGGGAACAAAATCATCTTTGGGTGTCCTGATACATGATGTCCTTCAGAAGCAGGACAGACCTTGTTGCTCTTGCTTGGTCCCTCAGCAGCTTTTGATACCTTTGACTATGGCCACATCTGTGTTGTGAGTTGGTGGCACTGTGTTGAAGCGATAACGCTCTTACCTAAGGGGCTGGATTTAGTAAATAGCATTAGGGGATTAGGTTTTCCCCTTTGGCAGTTGTACCGTGGGGTGCCACGGGGTGCTTTTTATCCCCAATTCTGTTTGATTTCTGTTTGGCTGCTGACACATACCATATTTTTCGTCCCATAGGACGCTCCGTCCCATAGGACGCACCTAGTTTTTTTGGGGGGGGGAAATAAAGGAAAAAATGTTTTCCTTTATTTCTCCCCCAAAACCAAGTCGGGGAACAGCGGGATGGCGGCGCTGCGCCTCCCCGCTGTCCCCCGAGCTTGTGGGGCTGGCCGATGTCTGCCCGGCGCAAGGGGCACTCTGCTTCAGGGCGCCCCGCGTGCCGGGCGGCAGGCTGCTATCCGCAGCGTGGGGAGCCCTGCGGGAACTCCCGCAGGGCTGCCTAGGCTGCAGATGTGTTCCCAAAGCACCGGGTGCTCTGCTTTCAGCGCACCCGGCGCTCTGGGGTGCAGGCTGCTATCCGCAGCATAGACAGCCCTGCGGGAACTAGGCTGCGGATGTCTTCCCGAAGCCTGGAGAGCGAGAGGGGTCGGTGCGCACCGACCCTCTCGCTCTCCAAGCTTCAGCGAAAACCTGCATTCGCTCCATAGCACGCACCCAGATTTCCCCTTCATTTTTGGAGGGGAAAAATTGCGTCCTATGGGGCGAAAAATACGGTATATGAGCTTCTGTAATCCTTTTTTAAAAAGAATTAAATCCCTGTTTATTTTTGCACATCTAAGTAACTAAGAAAGGCTACATGGAAGACTGCAACAGTTACTCCCCCAAAAAGAAAAACAATTACATAAATGCATCCTGAATCACAATAGTTACCACTGTGTTCCCATTTCATAAGTTTATTTGATCCTACAAACAGGATGCTTGTGAATGGGGGCTGGCTGGTTGCAGTTTAACATCATTAATTAGTTATCTTTTAACCATCCTGCCATAGTCTCAAAGGGGCATGTTTATGCATTAAGAGAGTCCACATAAGTAGTCACTGGGAGCATTAAGCAGGCAAAAGTGGGTGGGGGGAATGATGGTGAGTGGAAGATACTCGGACAACACACATTTACTCAGAGGTTAACCCCACTACATGCAAAGGGCCTTTTTAACATGTTAAGTGTGCGTAGGATTGCAACCTGAACCACTTGTTGCAGAGTATTTATTTATTTCATAAAATTTATACACCGCTTGAGTGCAACCCCCCCCCCCAAAAAAAACACCTCAAAGCGGTTGATAATGTCGACGTTGCTTGCATCGTTTTCATCCCACCCGCAGGGCGTGCCAATATGCCAACACCCCATTCAGCAATCCTGAGGAGGAAAAGGGAGTGGCAGCCTGAGAACCAACCGGGCCTCAGTTACAAGGCGCCCCCAGGCGCTAGGGGGCGCTGCACAGGGATACTAGCGCATGCGCGCCGCAGAGAGCGCTTCAGTTAATGCCCTTTTCCCACAGGCTCGGCCACATTTCCCTCCCTCACCCCCTTCTCGGAGGCAACGGAGCTGATGTGAGGGAGAACCCGGGTCGGGTGGGGAGCCCTCACGCGCATGAGCATGGCCCCAGCACTGACCTGAGCGGGTGGGTGGGGAGCCCGTCGCTGGCAGGACGGCTGTGCTGAGCTTGGCTCCTCTTCGGCCTCATCCGGGCCCCGCTCCGCGCCCCATCCCCTCGCCGCCCGCTTACAAGGTCGGGTATAGGGAACAGAAGGAGGCAGTTTGGAGGCGCATGCGCGAGCGCCCTTCTCTCCTCCTCCCCCCCGCTTCTCCGGCCTGTTTCTTGCAGCCCTTTGGCTATCGAGGGCAGAGGCCGGAATTAGGCAGCGCACGCGCATGACGCCCAGGGAGGGGCTGTCGTAGTAGCTGAGGGAGCGAGCTACCCAAGAGGAGAGGAGAAGGGAGCCTGCGCCTGCGCACTTGTTCTCCCTATTTTTATATAACGGGTAGAAAGTCCCGCCTGCCCTTTTTTTTGTTTGATGCATTTTGGGAGATGTAGTCTTATGAGGGGGGGTGGAAGCGAAGGGATGGTTTGAGCCAGGAGCACGCGTGCGCATTGCATAGGCGTCCGAATTAACGTTAAATTTACGCCCAAGCGGTGTCCGTTCCTCTGTGGTATAATTCGCTTTAACAAAATTAGAATTTGCTCTGCCTGTCACTGGGTTTGGCTCTACCTATTGTTGGTCTCCCTTCCACCCTTCAAATTTCAATGGGCACCAGTAACTAGAGATTCCAAATGTAAGGTATTCCAGAATTCACCTTAAACAAAAGAACAAGGACAAGCAGGGTAGAGATGAACAAAGTAAGTGAAAAAATGTAATATGTCTAAGAAAGACTATAGCTCACAACTCATTTGGGCATTTACTAGCATTTCAAGGAGAAATAACTTCGCCAGGATCCATCTGGGCATGAATGTAAATAATAGGCTGGTCCACAATAAGAAGTTTATGTGCAGTGCAGTCCTATTCATGCTTGCTCAAAAGTAATTTCCAGTTCTGTCAATGTGCCTTATTCCTAAGTAATTGTGCACAGAAAAGACAGTAGTCTCTTTGGCCAACAGGTACACAATAACACACCTCTCATTTCCGATCTTAGCAAATGGACAAGAACATGTTAAGCTACATAGGTTTCTTATGTAATTCAGTATGGTGAGATCTCTGTCCCTTTCAGCTACACTGTAATCTGGATCTAGTTATTTCAGGAACAGCCTCCCTCCCTGTTTCTTATAATTAGTAAGCTCATACAACATTCAACCAGTCTCCTGTTGTACAGTACAGCTCCCAGCCAGTTTTATAAATTAATGAAGAGAATAAAGGTTGAAAGAAAGGGTATGAAAGTTGAAGAGACCTGCCATTTAATGGATTTGGTCATGATTCATTCATAGTCATAAGTATTTCAATCCTTTCTGTATAGGACAGTGGTTCCAAAATTACCATTGAGATGCAATCCTTATTCAGGACTCACCTTTGTTAATCCGATTATATGAAAGTCATTTAATTTCTGCCTCAATATTTACAATTAATTAATTAATTACAAATTAAATTTACAAATTACAGGTAGAAATTGTTTACCACCATAACTTTTATCTAACATAAAAGCTATTAATGGGGATTATCCATCAGTGTTAGCATGGACTAAAATTCCCACTTCACTCATAAGCATATAATGGATGAGTGGAACAGAAATTTGCCGCCTTCTCATGGGTTTTCTACAAGAGAGTGGTTAAAACATGGTCAATAAGTGGCCTGTAACATTAAGCGACATCAAGTGTGTGGATTTTTAGAGATAATACGGCACAGCATGAAGTGCCAACTGCAAGACTAAGACCCAGGTGATTAGCCCCGCAACACCATTAAACTCCAAGAAGTCCCATTTTATCCATAACCATACTTTTAAAGAGGGAGCAAAACCAATGCTTTCTCACACATTATCTTACTTCATTTGTGGCTGGTTAAAGCATGTTAAGAGGCAATCAACCTTTGTAGTATTTCCTCATTTTCAGTGGGGCTTACTCCCAAATGTTCACAGGATTGAAGTCCTAGTGGGTCAAACAGATTCACTGGGAAAAAACATTTTGGCTTTCTATTTAAGAAAGACTACAAAAGGAAAATAAGAGGGGGGAAATTCTTCCCTCTGCAAATGAGAGGAAGAGCATCCCATGAGTCATACTGAGGGTGCATAAAAATAAATGTGCCCTGGGAGGTGGGTAGATTATTTAATCCCATCTGGGACAGGTAAGAAAGTGTCAGAAGTATGAAGGAAAAGGAACCCTAGAACACAACTTGAAATGAAGATGAGGTTACCACCATTTTCCCCCACCACAGTATATTTCCTATGTATATAGCAGCTGTAAAATTCTGTAGATGTTTCTTCCAACATGAAAATAAGTGAAAGCTTCATTTGTTGAATCATGACAAGAAATGGTGATAATCCAATTCACATTCCTATTAATATTTACACATACAAAATGCAGCGTATGTACAGAGAAGTTTCATATACGTAAATGGGAACAGACCAACCCCCTCCCATCCAATGCTCAGGTTGCATATATGTGTAAATAAAACCATATCCTAAAGACAAAATAAAAATAAATGGGAACAGGCCGACAATATTTGCTCCCTAGATGTAAAATAATTGTCTCTATTAGAGCTCAGTGCATCTAACACCAGTGAGTAATTTGTACAATGATAAATAAGTGGGCGCTAGGCCTTTCTTTTAACATGGGAGGCAAAAATTCAGCAAGTGAAGCTGCTGAATTCTGCCTGCCGTAAAGGTATTAAACACACAGGTGTCTATGGGGAGAGATAAAAAGAAAAAGAATACCTGGTTTGCTAGCTTTGAACAAGTTTGCCACACAGTCCTATGTAGCAATATCCTTATTGTCTGCTGGCTAGGTTTTCTCCATTATTGAGACTGGGCAGCTTCTACCATAGCTTTCACCAGCTGCTACTAAAGCCTTGTCCACCCAACCTCTTCTTATCAAATGCTGCTTTACTTGCTTGTGTGACTGAAGAGGAGAGGCGGGGCAGTGTCTATTATTTTCTTGTGGATTCCAAGCTCCACATGTGCATTTTAAGCATGGTGGCACAACTGCACTAAACTCCTTCCCTCCCAAGCTATGAGGGAAAGGGAGGGAAAAGGCATCCATTTCCTGCATACAGGGGCATATATATATACACACACACAAGAATGTGCATGATGGTGCCTCTTGAAATTTGATGTTGGATGCCCCAGGGAACTGTTTACATTCCTTACTTTAGAGCGATGTCCCAAGGAACTATATAGAATATTATATGGTGCTTAACCAGAGAGCCAGCAGTGTGCAATTATTGGCCCATCATACTCTCTAAACAGCAACAACATCCTTTTCAAACCTGAACGTCAAGAACATCCGCATGGTGAATAAACATGTAGAGTTGTGTCCAATGTAGTACTATGTGAACATCCTTTAAGTGCAAGGATTTCTGCTTGTGCCACAGAATGTTTTCTCCCTCTCCTACCTTCATTTCACTCCCAATTTGTTCTAGGAGTCCCCCCAACTCTATGGAGCAGATATAGGGAAGGTTCAGGGAAAGTGTGGGGAGAAGGTGGAAAGTCCTGTTGTGGAAGCAGGAATTCTTGTGCTGATAGGACATGATAGTTGAATACTGTCCATGGGAAACAGAAGTACCTAGCGAAATTCCAGCTTAGTGTTCTGCCTGTGGCGTGTATACTCCAAACACCATTTCTCTGGGAGCAAACAATGTGCCAAAACACAAAAACCCGCTGGGAAACTTTGTGCCACTTTGCTGCTTCTGTGCTTATCCCATTTTAATCAGCAATAGGAAAATGAAGAATCTGTGTGCCTATTCTGCTGGGTTAGCTTCTGAATTAATACAAGCATCCTGTGTCTGAATTAATACAAGCATCACACACTTCCTGTGTGAATATTCCACATACATGAATTTTGACATGTTTATACACTTGGATGCTACAACCAGATCCCCTCTACATGCAGCAAAAATGCACAATGACCACATTAGTTTAGTTATGCTCCATCTACAATTTCTACACTGCTTAGAAAGTACTTTGATTAAATAGTTTAAAACAAAAATAGCAAGAAATAGTAGTTCATCACATAGCTATCAACAGCAATCAGCATAGCAGCCAAATTGAAGTCCTTGTTTGGAGTTATTCTGTCTTTGGAATAGACAGTGCCAGAGACAAAGAATAAGGAAGGCTTCACAGAGGGATCTGGTTGGCCATACTTGAAAACAGGACGCTGTGTAAGATGGATCTCAATCTAGTTCAACAAGGCTCTTTTTATGTTCTTAATCCATCTATCTAACGATTTCCAACATTCTCTGTGTCACACTCTTGAAACATTAGTCACACTTTTGGCATGACTAAGGGTCACATTTCTGTAGATGAAAGAGTCTATGCAGACAGGGATGGACTCAGTTTTCATGAGCTTCCCTTGAGTAGATGGCAAAGAGCCTCCAATTTGGGAGACATATCAGAGACAGCAAAAATTGCCCCTCTTCACCTCCTCCCACCCAAAGTCACTAGGGTTTCTCAATGTTCTTGTTAACCTTACAAAGGAAGGTTAATTTTGTGTTTGTTATTCATTCACACTAGGGAAAATAAAACACTAAACTTTTTGACAAATTTAGCATGAGCAAACTCCCTTATAGTGGAGTGGTCTGACCATCACCAACAGGGATAGTACACAGAGGACAATGTATTTTAATACTCTTCTGAGTTAAAGCATTAAAATCGAAATGTGGAAAATATGGAAACAACGAGGAGAAGCAGGATTGAGACTTGGAGATATGCTTCAAGGTCCAGGCTATGGGAAGTCCCGAAAAATTAATAATTATAATTTGGATGATAATTTGGTCTTTTTATTTTAGTTTTTTATTTTAATTGGATTATAATTTGATATGATAATTGGATGTTTTTTTATTGGAAAATTAATTAAAATGATTTAACAACAACAACAAAAATACTCTTCTGGGACAACTTAACAGAGTTCCCCCCAGGAGCTCAGATAGGCTTAAGCTGAGACATAGTGACTGAGGATTTGGATCCACGTCTCCCTAGGCACATCCAGAATCCCTCCCTCCACATAACGTATACCCAATCATAATGGCAGTCATTCTAATAGTACAATAAGAACATTATATTATTAGTCAGTTCTTCACAAAAAATGGAGAATTGGTCAGAATATAAAACTACAATCTTATCATGGAACTTTCAAAGATTTATTTTTGTCAAAGTGTATAAAACTTCAAGAATGAAAATTTCACCATCACAAGGATTCAACCATCTGTTAGCATGACCAATAGAATTTATTAAACATTGTATTTACAACTATTTACATATGCTTTAATAGGTAAATATTAAAATAGACAATGTACAATTTTTCATTGAGAGGCATTTGTAAGGGAGAAGCAGGACACTAAAAGGCTTGTTTTGAGACCACAATGTAAGAGCAGATTTATAATCTTTTAAGATTTTAAACATAATACTCTTCATAGTAAGTCATAGGCATGGCATTACAGCAGCATAGCAAAAGACAAATGGCTCTAGGAAGTCAAAGTGTAATCCATTAAGCACTGCTGCAACCACACTGAAAGGGACACTCATGCAAATTCCTCTGAATGAATGGATGCTGTACAGAAGCAGTGCTTGGTGGATTGGCACCGTATGTTGCAATCATTTAGGTACCACACAGTAGGAAAAAACCTGAACTGAGCTAGCATGCAATACCACTCAGTCTCAAATCTTAACAGTTATGGTGATGGAACAAGTAGCTAAATCAAATACATGCCTTTTAAAAGAAAATTGCCTATACACTACACATAAGAAACAACAACTTTGGTCCAATAAAACATTAGACAAAACAGTTTTACAATTAAAATATCTATTTTTATACAGGGTTGAACGTTAAATACAAGATTATTTACAATTGCGCAATATGTATAAAATAAGTTATTTTAAAAAATGAAAACAATATTACATCTTTTCCAAAAAGAAAACTGTACATTTAACCTATAAATTATATAAGATGAATAGACCCTCACTCCCCACATTCCCACAAGCGTGTAATATTTCCCACAGCTTGATGTTTTGTTTTTTGTAGGAGTTTAAGTTTAATAAAAATCATTAAAGTGAACATAAAATAGCAAGTGCTTTTCAGCAGATTTTTTTGTAACAGCTGCCAGCGCTGTTAAAACTTCAGTGAAAGATTATTTTTTTTTGTACATAAATAGCTCTGTTGGGAAGATGCTTTTTGGACCTAGGATCTAAAATAAATACCATTTGTAATAAATGGTATGCACATTTACAACATTGAATGAGATTTTGTGAAGCATTTTGATGTTATATATGGAAGATTGAAAAAGGCTGTATTCCACATTAGTGCTATATTTTTAAACGAATTACATATATATTTCACAACGTTAAGCTGTAACAGACAGCAAAGAGATGCTAGCAGTCATATGGGCGTCAATTCAAAGTCATCATTAACATCCACAAGAGGAACATAGAATTCCTGAATTTCATAAATGCTGATGGATTTATAAGTTGCAGGATCAAGTTCTTGTAGTTTAAGCTGCCATTCCAGTCTCTGAACAGCGTTTAAAGCTGCTGCTTCATGTTGTTGCCTCATCAAGAGACATGTCTATTTCAAAATAAACAGATGAATAGTCAATTATTCCAAGTACACCTTAATGTGAACCGCATACTGAATTCTCCAAGACAGGGACGGCCAATTTGACAGTCCACAGGCCAATCAAACCCCTGAGACGATTTGATCTTATACTTGTGAGCCTATTCATGTTTTGAATAGGGTTTTTATTTTTTGTAATTCTAGAGGCAATTAAATATTCCATAAAACAATGCTAGCACTTTTAATAAATCAACCCTAGAGCAATTAGATGCTAAAGCGTCAGCTCCTTTTACCTAAAGCTTTAAAATGCTGGCTATTCCTGCTTTAAGGGGGTCTTTAGAAAAAGATATTCATTCTGCACCATTTTCTTTTCTCAACGCTGTACATATGCAGTTCACTCTGAATTAGATCCAGTACTAAGCATGTGTAATTAAAAAGGCAACTTCCATGAACAGGACATCTGCTCATGAAAAGTATCCCCACCTAATTTTCAGGTATCCTCCCTTTACCCTCATCTCTCTGTGTCACAGCCCATCCCATTTAGCAGAGTCCCCTGAAAGATTTCTAGGTATTTTGGGAGAACTGCTGTGGAGAGGAGGTTGGGTGGGGAAGTCAGCTACTGCCAACCTTGTTACATGCACTTAATTCTGGGTCCAAGCCCTCTAGACATACACCATATATTCCATAGATGCCAATGGCATGATTTCAAAAGAATTCTTAAGGAGAATGGAAATGCTTCCATGTGCACTTCAGGACTTCTCCATATTTTGTTCCCTACCCCACCCTTTTGGATGGATACACGGGATACACTAAGAATATCCTCCTGACACCTTGATATACATGAAGTCTACTCACTGAGTACTGGCTTCCTCATTCAGTGCAATATTAAGGCAGTTCCACAAATAAAATTGACACGTTTGTGATCCCTGCAAATTCCCTGAACTGAGAAACCCATGGAGGCAGGAACTCAGGTGTTGTTCTATTCCATACGTGTGAGCAACTAAATGAATTAAGACATGTATTATCTATTTTCTCCTGAATTTGCTATGACACAAAGAATGTGAAGGAGACCATGTGCTAGATGGTTTATTGCAGCTTTCTACTGAAAGATCTTTTTTGGAAAAGGTCCAATAAAAGCACATACCTTTAACTTGTCGAATTTATCATCCACGTCCTGTAACCATGACATAAACTGTCGTGCATTAAATCGATCTCTAACTGATGTTTTGCTGTCATCAGTCTGGAAATCAAATGTATTAGAAATTATAGACAATGTTAATTATATAGTAATTTATTCCAATGCTAAAAATGGTAGACCCATATTTTTAAAATGTTAAGAGTGATGAAAAATAGTAGTTTGGATCCAAATGTGACCTTGTCTCCATTAGGTGCAGAGATGGGGAACCTGTGGCCCACCAGATGTTGGAACTACAATTCCCACCATCTCTGACCATTGGACATACTGGCTGAGGTTGATGAGAGTTAGCTACACCTGGAGGTCCACAGGTTTGCCGTTTCTGCACTAGCAGAAAGCCTCTTCCAGTCAGGCTGTTTCTGACCTAGTGTGGAGAGTGAAAAAAGTGATTCTCCCATGAGCCAGATTAAATCTGTTTACACAAGACTTTACACAAACTCTTTCAATATTTTTAAAAAGTTAAAAGTGAAAACCTTTCTTCTCTGCAGACCATGCAAATTTGTCTTCAGCATCCAGTTCTTCTATATAAGAATTCTAGCCTAATGTTTCCCACTAATTTAACTAGGACTGAGATTAGCCAAATAGAGTAATTTATCCTCAACAGATTCCTTTTAAACAAATTGGTTTTACAATGGGTACCTTCCAAATGTCCAGCAAGGAAGATAATTTTAGGAACAAGTTGCTAGAAGTTTAGACAATTCAACGAACAATTTCATATGTGAATTCTTAAAGAACTCTAGCAGTATGCTGTCTGAATCAGCAACTTTTAAAATTAGAATTAAATTTAAATACCATATTGGCCCGAATATATGCTGCACCCACATATAAGCCACACCCTTAAAATTCAAGGCTTATTTGCAGGTGTGGCCACCAAGCCGGTGCTGACACTCGGCGCCCCGCTCCCCAAGCCGGTGCTGGCCGCCCCAGTTCAGGGCGGTAATGCCAGGAGGCGGGCACACAGCGCACTCAAGAGCCGAACGCCGGCACCGGCTTGGGGAGCTGGGTGCCCACCTACCAGCTGGTTGGTGGTGCATGCACTCCCTAGCTGGGGGGGGTGCACCTGCCTCCCAGCTTTTTGGCGGTGCATGTGCTCCCTAGCTGGATGACCTGCGCATGCTCCCCCCCCGCCAACCAGCTGGGAGGCAGGCGTGCCACTCCCCCCTCCCACCAAGCAGCTGGGAGGCGGTCGCGCTGCTTCCCCCCCCACCAAGCAGCTAGGGAGCGAACACTGCCAACCAGCTGGGAGGCGGATGCTGCTCCCCCCACTCCCGCCAGCAAGCAGCTAGGGAGTGCGTGTGCTTCCCAGCCACTTTCAGCAGCATATGGTAAAAAGTCACGAATATAAGCCGCACTTTAACCTTTCAGGGTCTGAAATTGGGGAAAAGTGCAGCTTATATTCGGGCCAATATGGTAAAACGTGTTTTCATGTTAACTTTATTAGACTTAGTTTGAAAAAGTAACTTCACCTATGGGTTTATTTCCAAACCAAACCTTAAAAGCAGTCTTTTTAAAAATTTACCTGGCTGTCCATAGGCACATTATACACTTCAGCATCCAGCAGTACTGTGCATGCACTGAATGGTAAAGTCTGATTAGCTAAAGTTCTTGCTGCTCGATAATGGACACGCAATACTTCTTGCTCATTGGAAACAATAAGCTTTTCCTAGTTAAACAAAAAAATAATCAGAGTTTTAAAACACAAAATTTCATTAAAATACTATTTGATCATTGTTTTTCCTTTTCTGAAGTACACTTTCAAGATTTTTGAAATGTAATATTTCTATTAATTCTCTCTATTAATTCATACCAATAAACATGCACATTTACAGAGATTTCATACAGAAAATACTATGAGACTTGGCTTAGAAATCTAAGTAGAACTTTCAAAACTTCCCGATAAGAATGGCTTCTTATATGAATTTCTTAGCACAGTGTAAACTCTCCTTTTCTTTAAAGGAATTCCCAGGTATATATAGGTTCTGATTGGAGATGCAAGTTTTTAACAACTTCTTAACAATCTACCGTATTTTTCGCACGATAGGGTGCACCTAGTTTTTAGATGGGGAAATCAATAAAAAAAATCTTCCCCCCCCAGCCCCAAAGAGCAGCGTACAGGCTGCGCACAACCTCTCCCTGCCGGAGGCACAAGCCAAGGCAGCGAGCAGGATGGATCGCGCTGGCTGCTTTGGCTTCCTCTTAAGCCCCGCGCAATCCCTCCCTACCGGGAGAGGCTGCGCGGGGCTAAAGAAGCCATAGCCCCGTGCAGCCTCTCCCTGCCGGAGGGGTTGCGCGCAGCTATGGAACAAGCCAAGGCAGCGAGCGGGATCCATCCCACTCGCTGCCTTTGCTTCCTCTTTAGCCCCGCGCAATATCTCCCTGCCGGGAGAGGCTGCATGGAGCTAAAGAAGCCATAGCCCTGTGCAGCCTCTCCCTGCCGGAGGGGCTGCGCGCGGCTATGGCACAAGCCTGTATTCGCTCCATAGGACGCACACACATTTCCACTCAGTTTTTGGAGGGGAAAAACTGCGTCCAATGGAGCGAAAAGTACGGTACATATTGTGCTTAAATCTTAACATGTAACAGTTTTTCTTCATTCTAATCCTTTCTCTTTAAAACGATAAAACTTTTAAAAGACTTGCCCATCTTATACAGTCATCAGTCTACTGGGTGAAAATAAATGAATAAATAAACACTATCAGCCAAGATTTTATGGCACTTACCCTCTCAATACTGTGCTGCAAACGAAGTTTCATCCTTACAACTTCTTGTTGTCTAAACAGTTCTTTAAGTGGATCTGACAGTGAAGGAGGTGGTGTGATCTGTGAAAAAATTGTTCATGCAATATCATTTATATACAATACTGTATACATAAGCAAGAGCCATAACATAGTCAACTGGAGGAAAAAATTATGGTGCTTAAAATGTCACCGAATGCACATATTTGTATCACAAATACGGAATTAAATATATGAAGTTTACTGTGTTAACATGAAACATTGTTTAAAGAATCTTTATATATATGAAAGCAGCACATCAAGCAGATGCAAGTCAATGGACTGCATTCATATGTAACGCTAAATCATGGCATAGGACAAGTCTGTGTGAGCCTTGTCTATTTTTCCCTGGCACAGCTTGCAAGGAATTTGAAAGCTTGTTTCTGTTTCAGATTGACTTCTGAACCAGACAAACTGCAGTTAGTTTTAACAACTGTTTACAAAAACAAAGCCAATTTCAAATTGTAGTTTAAGAAGCTGGCTTACTTGAGTAAACCGTAGTTCATAATAACAGTTAATCTGCAGTTTAAGGTTCAGATGTAATGTTTAAACAGAAGTGGAAGCTTCCAAACTCCTTCACCTTTTGACAGCATTATCTGTCTTCTCCAAAAATCTGGCTAACAAGTCCTCCTAGCAACTTTCCAGTTGCATAATCACTGGAGCCAAAAGGGCAATGTAAAGTTATCTTGTAAAAAATGTGGAAAGCAAACTATGCTACTCATGAGTATTTTCTTGGCCCTTTCGGCATCAGCTGGTTGCATCAAAAATACATATTTGTTTTACATTTAATAAGAAAGTAGAAAACAGCAGCATAGCTATTCTCCTTACGCAAAAACATCCCCTTTCTCATTTAGTTTATGCAGAAAGTAAAATATACTATTGTTATTGTCAGGGAGAGGCAAATGGGAAAAGATGAAAGGACAGAAACCAGCAGTTATAGAGAGCCTAAAGAGATTATCAGCAGCTTGTCGTCTAGTCTGACGTAGAGGGGGAGGAGGATGAGCCTGGGACAAGTCATGCTGTACACAGAGGAAGTAAGGGGAGGAGTTTTCGCAGACTTGCATGCTGGGTGCGGAAAAGGAGGAAGTAAGATTAGAGGGAGCAACTGCGCACAAGGGTAAGGAGGCTAATGGAAACGCTGGAGATGTACGTTTGAACTTTGTCAAATAAATCAATTGGGAGCCCGGAGTCTTATCTATGGCCAGCTGGACAGCACTAAGCCTCTGACAGTTATGGGATGGGGACAGGGGGTGGCAAGGAGCATGCAGAACGATCAAGCAAAAAGTAACATGGTTGCAGCATGCTCCTACTATGCAGAATAGGAATCTGGTTCCATTAGCTTACACTGGAATGAACTGAACAGTTTAAGAGATTGCTGAGAGTATATAATTCACTCTATTAAAACTTAAATACCCAGTTACTTACAGTTGGAATGCATATCTTGCTCAAAGGGTTGCCATCTAAGAGGTATGATCCATTGAAGGTCACATATTCATCGTAATACTGAGGCGCTTGAGGAATAACACTACACAGTAATTTACGCTTTTCTTCTATTTTCTTTCTTATGTGCAAATATTCAAAGTATGGATTTGCTCTCTCCGAACTGTATGGCTGGATCTCTTCTAGTTTGAGAGCGTCTACAATAGCTGCCAGAGACTGGTGAATTTTTTCTTTAGCTTGCATTAATGAGGGATTCACTTGCACAGGCTGAGGAACACGTGACAGCTTTCTTTTACGAGGATGATGCGCCTGAGCATCATCTTCCTCAGTCAGTCTTATCCTTCCTTTTATAGAGGAAGATGATTCAGAATCTCTTTCTGATATCTGAGGACAACCAGTAAGATTTTGCTTACTTTGATTAGCAAGCATATTTGCTCTGTTCCTTGTGATTCTTTGAGGAACTTCATACTGTTCTCCTTTATGGTCTTCTATTGCTTCTTCCAATTCTGACTTAACACTCGCACTGTACTTATGCACTTCATGTCCAGTTAATTGTGAATGGCTTTCCAAACAAGGTGAAAGGCACTGTTGCAAGTTTTCTTCCATTGAACTGTTTTCCATGCTGTCTATATTAAAAAGTTTTCTGTTATATTCATTAGCAATTCCTTTCAGCGCTCTGCCATTTAGATCCTGTAGATCTATTTCATTTTTATTACTTGTCATATGGGATGAATACAGGTAATCAGAATGGTCTTTTTCACCTGCAATCTGAATATCAATCATGCTGCTATCTAGCTCATCCACTTGTGATGTCTTATAAATGAGCTTACTGACTACAGAACTTGCATTAGGGTGTAAACGAGGATCATTTGCAATAAAATCCTTTTCAAAATGTTGTGAAATATCTTTAGTGAAGCTTTCAGGATACACAGTGATTAGCACATCTGACTTTTTATTGTTTGATGGAAAGAAAGTTTTTTCTATCTTCTTTTTACTGTTTGTATCTACATCTAAGATTGAATTGGTAGCTTGAATGGCACTTTGTTGGTGTTTAACAACCAGAGACTCTAGGCTGCTAATATCTGGTATAGAACGCTTTGACATATAGACTGCATCTGTGATTGGCTGAATCCGAGACGAACAAGAAGACTGGAGAGAGAAAACAGCTGCAGATTCCGGTGATGTAAAATTTGCTATGTTTTCAGCATGATGAAGAAAAGGTTCAGAATTTTTCTGTTCTTTCAAGATTTTATTTTCAGAATTGTGTATGGCTGGGACAGTTGCTGCATCTTGCTCAAAGCCAGGAAAATTTGAACAGATGCACTCACTGCTCAATGAGTTAAATCTATCCAAAGGTACATCCCATGGTTTACTTGATGGAGTCGTATTCTGGCTGCACTGCTCCAAAGGTGTATGACTTTCTCCTGATGGGTTTGTCAGAGTAGCATTTTTAACTGCATCTGATGTAATATGCTTGTTGCTAGCAGATCTAGTTGGAGATGATGCAGAACTGGAATGCATGCTTGACATACCATTTTGGGAATCCTTCTCCAGCAAATTACAGCATAGTGATTCATGTTTAGGAGAAGGGCAACTATGACTCTGAACTGAAAGCAACGCACTGTGATTATTTTCTTCTGACACTCGGGGCTGCTTTGCATTTTCACAAACAACAGATGGCATACTACACCTTCGAACTTCTACAACCGGCCTGCACTCGTTTATAATAAGTTTAACATCCTCAACAGATGCTGATCTCACATAAGCTGGTGGAAACCTGTTTGGAAAAGGTGCTTTATTGCGCTCCGGCAACTCTGATAAACTATCAGTCTCATGATGAGCAGGTGATTTGGCACTAGGTAAAAATGGTGAATGTGAAAAAGACATTTGAGAATCAGATCCTTCAAGCATGAAGTCTGAATCATATTCAGTTATTGGTCTTGGAGGAGTCACTGTTGTATGGCAAGAATCCTCCGAACTAGCCACTGAAAGCATGGACACTGATCTGGATGTTAGCCCTGTCTTTTCACTTTCTGATCTGGGAGATCTACTTAAGCTGTTGTCCTGTAGCAGTGACAGTTTCCCACCAACTGCTAAATTCTTTATGTCAACAGACTGTGATCTACTACTTGTAGCATCTTTCGGCTGCTTATCCTTCACACAAGTATCTGACAACTCAGAGCTTTTTGAACGAATCAGCTCTTTAGTTTTTGGTTCAGTAAGCGGATGTTTTATTTTGTCCTTATCTTTTATTTTGTTAAGTTCTGAACAGGATCGATTCTTCAATCTTTCTTTTTCTTTCTGTTTTATTTTTTCTTTGTGTTTTCTATGCCATTGTTCAATTTCCAGATCTTTAAGACTAAGCATTCTTTCAAAGCTTGTCTGCATCAAATCATCATTCAATAATCTCTTTTCTTTAGGCCGACTGTCTTTAGGTGCTGATGCTGGTTTTGACTTAAGCTTTTCAGTTTCAGGTTTTAGCTTAAGTACGCTGTTTGGCTGTATTTTATCTTTATGTTTGTCACGCTCTTTATATCTATCTATATCTTTATCTTTTTTATCTTTCTCTCTTCCATCTGGAGTTTTCAGTAATTCATCTTTTGGTTTCTCTTTCAAGGACAAGGTTTTTTCAATGCTACATTTCTTCTCTTCTGGAACATGCTTTATAGTTGCAACTGTTGAACTATCCCGATCTCTCGGTTTTTCTTTTTTCTCAGCTTCCTTTTCTTTTTTACCCTTTTCAATTTTTGAATAGTCAGCTTCCTTTTCAGAAACCTTGGATTTTCTCTCAATTCCAGGCTTTTCTTTGCATTCTGACAAGTATCTATCACTTTTTTCTTTGTCATGCTTTTTATCAAGTTTTTCTTTGATTTTTTCTCTGTCATCAAGCTTTTTAATAGTATTTATGCTTTTTAATTTGTCATTTTCTTTATGAGATTTTTCTGTTTGCTGAAAATATGATTTTTCTTTTTCTTTTGTCTTTTCTACATTTTCAGTGGGGTCTGATCTTTCTTTTTCTGACTTAAGTTCACATTTTATTTTTTTCTCTCTGTCTAAATGTTTTCTTTCTACTTTTTCAGTAGCAGAATTCCGCTTCTCCAGCTTTTCTCTATGTTCCTTTGTGGGTTTTTCCTGTTTCTCAAAGTCTGTTTCTTTCTCTACCAAAGATACATTAGTAGCTAAATCCCTACCACCTAAACAAAACAATTCTGTTTCTTTATCAATGAACATGTCTTTTTCTTCCTTTGTATCTTTTGCTTTTTCCTCCTTGTCATTTTCTTTTTTATTTTTCTCTCTCCTTTTCCTCTCGAAAATTTCTATCTTTTTGAAAGTTTTTCTCTTTCACATATTTGTCTTCTTTCATCAGAACTTTTTCCAGCTTAGATTTTCTCTCAGAGGTTTGAGATTCATGGTCCAAACTTGATATATCCTCTGCTTCATCACTTTTAAAAAAGTTCTCTTTCCAAAACTCTCTATCAAACTCAATATTCCTTTGGGCCTCCTTAGAACTCTCTCGATGCTTGTTCTTTTCCTTTTCTCCATCCTGCTCCTTTTTGTGCTTATCCTTTTCTTTATGTTTCAGTTTATGCTTCTTAAGTGCTTTCCCCTCCTTATCTACTTTTTTTAAGGTACATTCAGAAATTTCAAAGGATGAGCTATTGTGTTGTTCCTCCTTAAGTTTAGGACTGGATTTTTCACCAAATTCAGAAATAAATTCTTTCTGATGTTTACTTTTGTCTTTGTGCTTGTAGGATTTGCCACTGGAGCTTTCCAGTACAAACTCAGAGTCTGTATTATGATCATACTGCACTAATTCAGATTGTGATGTTACGTCAGACCCTCCTGGAGATAAACATGTTTTAACATTTTCTTGTTTAAGTGGAGTTGACTGCTTTTCAATTAATCCACATGGGTGCTTGGGGGATCTGCCTGCAGTAATATGGAGTAAGGGCAAAGAAGAATCCTCTTTTGAGTTAAAAGATTTTCGAAAATTCTCTTCTTCTCTGCTTTTGTCTAAAGATTCTAATACAGAAGCACCCAGGTTTAGCACTCTGGAATTCTCTTTTTCAAGTTTTAATTGTTGGTTCTCTTTATTTTTGCTTTGATTTTTTAGTTTTCTTTTAACTTTTCCTTTCTGTTTATATTCACTAAAAGCATATTCTTTTTTAATCTTTGCATCAGAATTTGAAGTTTCTGTGACAGAACACGGAGAAGAGATTATCTTTTTGTCCTGAAGTAAGTCTTCATCTGAACTTTCAGAACTTGAATATAAGACCCTGGAAGGCTTCTGTTTCTTATTTTTAAATGATTTTGGAAATGTTACCTTTTCCTGTTTAAGAAATAGGTTACTCTGTTCTATTTCAGATTCATCCTCTTTTCTCAGATCTTTCCTAGGTATATGTCTGTCATCAATCATTTTCTTAACTTCATCTTCATCATCATCTTTAAACTCATATTCATCAAGAGCAGATGAAAATGATGCCTTATTGGGAATGTGCTTGCTGTCTAGAGATTCTTTCTCTGTCTCAGAATCCATAGTCCCATCTATACTGGAAGGATTTACAGACGGTGTCTCTTCAAGATCTAGAAAAGAAAATGAAAAGAGTCAACAAATATATTCATTTATTTACTATTCATGACAGTGAATATTACTTTTAAAACGACGTGTATGTTACATGTGTTTTATCTCTTTTTAACCATCTTTTAAATGTTTTCTGGCACTGGATCCCACAGTTTAACTACATACTGTGTGAAGAAGTGCAAAAAAGTTCATTACAAGTAAAGGCTTTGGGGTGGGTGTTTAGGTGTTGCTGTTGTCTTTTGGGGTTTCTTGTCAAGCTGTGTAGATAGCAGTTGATATATATATATGTAGTAAATCACACACTTTTACAGAGTGGACAGATCACCTCTACAATAGCTCACTTTATTTGATATGTAAAATAACTTTTCCAAAGAGCAGCGATTGAAACATGCTTATTAAAAATATATATATAATTAGGCTTGTTAAATATATATATATATATATATATATATATATATATATATATATAAAATTAGTCTTCTATGAAACTCTATTTTTAAAACCTGGAAAACTACAAAAAACTTGCTGGTTAAATCCCAAAGGGCTTGGCAAGTTTTTAGTTTGTGTCTACCTGGCCCATGTGAAGGACATCCAAATGTTAATTGGAAGTGTGCAGGGAAGGAATAAATATGCTTTATTCGAAAACACACCCAGCTATTGTTATGGGGGGCCCATAAGAGATGAACAGTGTAATCCTGTGCATATCTAATCAGATGTAAGCCCCATTTAGTCCAATGTGAGGATCAATCAGCAAAATGATTCATCAAAACTAAGCTGAGGACAAAGTTGTAGGAGATAATTTCACAGAACCATGTCTCTGCAAATTACTTTGTCCCGTAAAACTCAGTGGGAGGTCACTGAGAGGTATAACTGTACTTATCTGCAAGGATCCTGTTTTCTGTATATGCACACCAATATGAAAGTCTGTGTATTATCTATACACACTTATGTATAACTATAAAAGTACAATTAAAAGGGTTTTTTCTGACCTGAACAACCATCGTCATCATCAGAAATAGGAACTTCTCTTTTCAGTAACCGCCCTAGTTCTTCTGTATCTGCTACATCAACAGGCCTTTCTCCTTGTTTATTAGCCTGAAATGGATTTCCGCCATGTCGGAGCAGCAATTTCACAATCTGAAACATTAGGTATTTAAGTTTATTAGACATTAATTAGCATTAAAAACAGGCCTTGGGAGGTGATTAGATTGTAAACAGACACCTGTTTTTTTAAAGCATCTCACTCTGTAAAATGCTATATACATGGATGACATTATATACCAGTAAGTAAATCAGGGTAGGACAGCAGTGCTGAAATCCACACATAACACACTCCAGAACAGTACACTGATTTATTTTGACTGCTCTAAATCTGTGGATTGGTGCCAAAGATAAAAAAAATTAAGCAACACAGGAGATTAAACTCTTGTAACATATTTTACAAAGCAATCTTTTCCTTAAGTTCTGTTGACTGAGAGGCTATAGTATTTGGCAGAAATCAAGATATGACACTGGCATGCCAGTGCTGCTGGCAGAATACCCAAATATGCTGAATGAACAGCTCTGCCAACAAAGATATGCTGATGGAATGGCCAGAAGAGGATGGAGTCATGAACAGGACAGAGGTGGATCAAGGGTAGAGGACATTTACACCATGTTCCTTACCATCCCTGTACCTAACTATCTGCTTGGTAGCCATAGGTCACCAGGAATTCTATGGAGAAAAGTTAATGGGCTGGTGGAGAAGGGATGGATTTCAACATTCTTCCTCTGCCAGTCTGCTTTGTTTCTGCTTTTCAGTGCAGGGAAACCCATCCCTCAGCAATATCTCTTCTTTGTTAGATACTTAAAAAATAAAAACTGGCCTGCTGAGAAGCTGGTATCCTGAATTTTCATGATGGCCATAGAGATGGGAATTTCCCCATCTCTTGTGACCAGCATGGAAATGCAGACTACAACTGTCATCACAGGCTGGTAAAAAATGGCAGGCTAAATAACTTGGGCATATTTACACATTGTTCTGTAGTCCTCCAGACTGCTGCCATGTTCATGTTGATACTGGAACTTTATACCAGCCCTAGACCTGGTGCAAAAAATTGCTGTCTCACTGAGGAGTTGTGTGTGTTGTTTAAGCCACCCTTTTATCAATGACTGCCCCTGCCAATCTCACCACGGCAGAACATTGTACTTCAGAACCCAATAACTGTACACCACTGCCAATAACACCCACAGAGAGTGGCTACAACTGAAACAGAGTGCATGATATGGGGCAGTATCTCAGAGCTCACACATAAGTCTTCTTTAAGTCTCTCTATATAAAATGTAAGTAGATCCTGCTGGATTAGGCCAATGGCCCATCTAGTCTAGCATCCTGTTCTCACAGTGGCTGGCCAGCTGCCTGTGGGAAACCCTCATGCAGGATCTGAGCACAAGAGAACTCTCCCCTTCTGTGGTTCCCAGCAACTGGTATTCAGAAGTATTACTGCCTCCAGATATGAAAGCAGAGCATCATAGCATAGACAGGAGATTGGCTGGTCAAGAGGAGGAGGAGAGTAACTGTCAACAGCCTGTGTTTCTTGGTTTGGGGCACAAGAGGGCAGCATAACCCACTATGCCATAGATCACCACTACTGGAAGAAAGAGAGAACATCATACCAAACTGCTTGTCTCCAGAACACCAATATGAACTTTAGAGATGTGTTACCACTATGCAAACTATGCACACTGCACATTACAAGTGCTTCCGATTCCAGATACAAAACACCCAATACTCTACTCCAACAACTGGGTCCGCCAGGACAAAGCAGCCCATGCAGAAATGCAAGAGAAGGTGGCAGCCATGCTATGAAGTGTAACTGTTATAACTGTCACCCATGTCTTCCTCCCACTTTGTTATATGTGAATAGCATTTCTTGTCTGAATTGTTTTGCTTTAGTACCTCTTACACCTCCCTCCTCAACAGCAGGAAGCAGTGTCTTCCACACACAGAGAAAGCACTCGTCCCTCCCACATGCAGATGATGATGAAGAAGAAGAGTTTGGATTTGATATCCTGCTTCATCACTACCCTGAGTCTCAAAGCAGCTAATAATCTCCTTTCCCTTCCTCCCCCACAACAAACACTCTGTGAGGTGAGTGAGGCGGAGAGACTTCAAAGAAGTGTGACTAGCCCAAGGTCACCCAGCAGCTGCATGTGGAGGAGCAGGAATCGAACCTGGTTCACCAGATTATGAGTCCACTGCTCTTAACCACCACACTACAGATGAGCTCTCTGTTGATGAAGGCCAGGCACTCTGCCCCAAACATTGCCATTACTGGCCAAACATTCATAAGCGTAACATCCCTTGCAAACAGAGTTCTAGTGAAATCCCACAAAGGGCAAGTATATGCAGTCTCCCCCACCCCTGCTGAGGCATTTACGCTAGCAGAACACTCAAGTGGCATCATTTACTCTTCTCTGTCACTTACAAACACCTATTATGCAACCAGGTTCAGGGTCTATGCTTTCCAGCAGCTACCCGCTGCCTCTATGTCCCCACTCCCCAATTTTCTGCTGCTTGCTCCTCTACAGGTACAGGATCCACCCCACACTCTGTTCTATGGAAACCATGAAGGAGGCCCACCACCTAAGAATGCTCCCTGCTATTCCTCTACAGGGATTGATAATCTACCAGTTCCAGGCAGGCTTCTGCACCTGGGCAAGCTTCATGATAGACAGTGATGCTACAGGTGCTCCTAACAAAAAGTTAATGCCACAGGAAACACTTCAACTGCTACCATGTTGTCAAGCAGTTGCTGTCAAGCAGAGGCCCCCTTTCTCTCTGCTCACTCAGGTTCCCTTGTTTGTCAGGCACAGGGATAACTGCTGACACCAGGATGAATGAAGCACTCAGTTGGAGAAATGGAGAGCGGGGTAATGAGGGCTGCTGGGATGCTAAATGAGGAAGAGGGTAGATTGATCATATGAGTTGCAGGGGGTGTGGTGAGCTGGTTGGCTCACCCATGCAGGAGCCAGGCTCTGGGTCCATGCAGCACTCTTCCCAATTGGATTGGGTGTTCCCTACCTTTCTTATGGTCAGGATGAGTATTATCTACACTAGCCTGGCAGTGACTATCAAAGGCTTCAGACAGGGAGCATTCCCAGTTCCATCTGGAGACGCTGGACACTGAACCTGGGACATACTGCATGCAAAACAGATGCTCTACTCTCCTTCCCTTGAACATAACCCATTTCAGCCAGTTAGGACTCCCCCTGTAGCACTGGTGCTACTGGAATCTATAAACTGGTGCTAAATTTGGGGGCAGCGAAGAGACAAATGCACCATGATGTGTCTGATTTCTGTCTGGTGCTGTACGCATTGTGCTGTGATGCAAAGATATGTGATTAGGGCGTGCCCACATTATTGTGAGTTCACTGGCTCCCTCAGCACATTTCTGGCATACTGGTGTTGTTGCCAGCATAACTTGTTTGAGGGTCTTTCTAGGTCACTGGGGCACTACGTGTTTTCCCTGCTGTTTTTGAATGTTTTGAGGTCTCCCTTTTTCCTTTTGCTCCTAGGCTGAACCAGTATAGGATGCAGTGGCAGTTCCACTAGTGTGCTGGAAGTCCCCCATGTTAGTGTCTAGAAATCCTCTGTAGATTTTGTTTAGTTAGTTTGGACCACTGTATCTATATGGGGATTGCTTATTTACTGCATGAATGGTACATACTTTTCTATGTCCGCTACTTGCAGAATCATGAAGTGGAGTATCATCATCTAGTCCTTGAGTATTCACATCTGCCCCTGCTGCTATTAAGACCTTAGCAACATCATAATAGCCAGCATTGCAAGCTTCATGGAGAGGTGTCCAACCTATTACAAAAGAAGTCCAAATATGAAGGATGTATGTGTGTATAATTCAAAGATAATGCAGTTTGATTTGTTTTGCAAAGACTGATACACACTTTTAAAATTTTAATAGGAAATCATTCTTTTATTCCTGCAGGTACAACCATTTAAAATGTAGTGTTTTGCTATGTGGTTTGTTAGGTTAATTAAAATTCAAACAGCAATGTTTTCAGTTTTGTGAAATAGTAGAGTTGACATGTACTAGCTCCAGTCACTGGCTTTTTTCTTCTCCTCAAGTGAGCAGAGTAAACTAGGTAAGTCTTGGTTTCCCTTGAAATCCCAATCAGGGATTTGGCTTTGTCACCTTCTAAGAAGCCAATCTTCAGTTGTGCCTTGTTATTCGTTTGCTGATCTTTTTTGTGAAGGTGCAACAAACCACAATTCCTTGTTTGGACATAAGGGGAAGCCAAGGATTCCAGGTTCAGTTATCCTGCTTGCACCAGGGTAAAAGCAAAGCTGAGCGATCAGGAATTGTCTGCTAACACACTGCTCATTTACAGTAAACCATAATAAGCCAGAAAGTCTGTCTTATTACATGTTAACTTAGCCACTTCCTTTGAAAGTAGAAGTGCCATTTTTAGCTATTGTGGCAAACTGACATTGACAAACCTATCTTCTGAAGTACCGGCACACTAAAAAAATAATATAGTTTACCATCATGAATCAGGAAAACTCACAAGCAAATTTGTAAAGAAGGTGTCCAGAAGCTATAGAAAAAAATCCTCAAATCTCACACTAGAGTAAACATTTCACACTTTGAAATTATACATGCTGCTCTTCAAAGGGAATATTAAAATTTGCATGCCACACCGATTACCATGTAAAGAAGCATGTGCCTGTCACTGAACATAAAACAGTAATGCCAAAACCTTCAACTCCTCAGTACAGGCTGTTTGTTCTATAGACCAATAACAAACAGCAAGTTATTCAAGAGTCATTATTTCATATATCCTAATTGTAAGAGAGACCAGAGAGTCTTATATAAACTGATTACTCGTCAAACTTACCTGCAAAATCTTTTACATTCACATTTGCACCTTGACTGATTAACTCTTTAACTTGTTTAATGTCGCCTCTAATGGCTGCAGTATGTAAGGGGGTTTCCCCTCGTTCATTTCTTTTGTTAACTTTGTCTTTTTGTCGTGATGAAGAGCTTGGTGTTTTCTTTTGTGTTGGTGTTGTCTGCAGAGGATGATTTAGACTGGGATCTACAAATTAAAATTCAAGACAAAAAATACTTTAAAAATTTCTGCCATAGTGAATAAAATTTGCTTGACTGAAGTCCTCTTACAATCTCATTTTTTTTTCTTGTGGGTGGCAGGCTGTGTGTGTCATTTCATCTGTTAATAATCTGTTCAAATGGTGAGGGAAAATCCATTGAAGAAAGGACTAACTGGATCCCAGCATCAGCTCCAAAAGACAGCTAGCAAACTGATTAATTTCCCAGTTAACAAAAACTCTGGACTAGGTGGTTCCCTAGACCATGATATGTTGCAATAGCTTCATGAAACCTGGAGGTTTTGGTGTTTGATACAACACTTGCATCACAAAAGGGTCGTTCCCACCATCTCCTTATTATCTTGCAGCCGTAACAGGACCTGAAGCCATGTCAATTGGGCTATACATGTATACCGTATCCAGGGAATTATGTAATGTATGTCTACTTTCCCCTATGCCACTGAGCCAATAAACTCCTCCTCCCACACCAAGCTGCTATTAAGTCCTGGGAGAAAAGCTCTTATTGGTTTCCCCCCTGGGGCCAATGGCAACTTGGGGGTGGAGTTTTCACAGAGCCTGTGGCAGAGGAGGAAAATGTTAGACCCCCTTTCCCCATGGTCCTGATACAGGGCCCCTGCATCTGTATCTATACACACAGAGGAAGTGATTGCTTGGTAGTACCTGGACTGTTGTCTCTGGCAGTCATCTGCATAAGAAGGGCCATCTGCTTGCGTTCTGATAGTGGGTAACCAAACAGAATACTAACAGGTGCTGCTTTCTTATTTCCAGTTTCCTTTTTCATTTTCTTCTTCTCTGGGACTTCTTTCTCTGGAAATATCAGTAGATCTCAGTAAGAACAAAATACTGCCAATTATAGCACATTCAAGAGAAAGCACAGATATACAGACTGGAGAAGTATATCATTTTACACACTCCCTCTGAAGTTACTAAATTGCTTTCCTCTGCAAATGGAAAGAATATATTAGCAAATCTTCTCTTGAAAATATTTAGGTTACCTAAGTTGAGTCAGTGTGAGGTAGTGGCTAAGCTTGGCTTTGTGGAGGAGTTGGGTTGAGCAATTAAGTTCTCTGTGTGGCACTGGACAAGCCAATGACCCAATATGCATGTTAATGCTAAGCCAAACTGGCTAAATGTGATCATGTAGGTGTATAGGTACTCACGGTAGGGAAAAAAATATCACAGCTAACAGCACACATTGAACAAATCTTGGCTACAATTTGTGATTTGTCTAGAGTAGGATAAACCACAACACTAAGTTTGGACATGATACTAAGCCAAGCCTTTGTTTAGCTTCAGTTAGCATGTCAGCAGTAGGACTGGGAGAGGAGGGAGCCATGACTTTTACTATGAGTATCTACACACTGTGTTTGGCTTAGTGTTACATGAGAACTGAGCCAATACTTCACAGAACTGTTGTGAGGCCACTCTAACAAACAAACTAGATATGATTTTGGCATGACCTCTATATCAGACTTAAGTCAACACTCAACTCATACAAGTTGGGATAGGTAAAATAAAAGGGGGAAGATCCCTTGAATAGTAAAGTCCAGTTTAAAGGAGACTATGGGGATGCCGCGCCCATCTTGCTTTCAGGCGGCGTTTGTCCACAGGTAAGGCAATCTTATCTTAAGGCAACCATAGTTGGGATAAGGCAATCTAAAGTGCACATGGTGCATGGAAATTGCAGAACTGCTTTCAAGTATGTGCTTCTTTCTTAAAATCGTTCCCCCCTAGCTTTTTCTTCAGGTAAGCCTCCAAAACTAGAAGTAACTTGAGACCAGGGAGAAGAGTCGATGGAGGAAGATTGGAAAAAGTTTAAAGACTATCTACAGAAATATTGTAAAATTAATGAATGCTAGAATGATGTTGGATAGAAACTAAGTGAACTTTAGCTGAAAGGTTACAAGGAATATGAAAAATGGATTATTAATATGTAAAAATCTAAAATTACAATACTTTATGATTAATGATTAGGATACATAAAGAGGGGAGGGATTTGCTGAACGAAATAATTGAACTGGAATACAAAAAAGGGAGGTGTGAGGAGGTCCTGGAACTAAGCAAATGAAGGTTAAGTAATGGAAGGATGGAATTGTTTTTAAATATTTTTACTTTGTATTTTCTTTTTTTGTGTGTGTTTTGTAATATCTTGAAAACTTCAATAAATATCTTATATAAAAAAACAAAAACAAAACTAGAAGTAACTTGATCAGGAAAGAAACAGCTGGGGAGAATTGTTTTCAGAAAAGACAGCAGTAAGGGGCTATCTCCTCCATTCCCCATGCAATAAAATAGCACTTTATAAGTATTTTACATTACTTGTGTCGAGTCAGCCATTGTTACATATAGTTTAACCCTAAGCTCCTTAAAGGAAGTGATATAAACCTAAAATCAAACAGAATACTTTAGAAAACACATGCAGTCTAAAACTCACCTTTATGTTCCTAATACTGAATAAGCATATACTTACAATAACCTCAATTCACAACCACAGTAAACCATATCTTCTCTCTGCTAACACATAGGGAAAACAAACCACAGTCCTTGGCTTGGTGTCATATGTGAACCAGGGACCATGGTTTGTTTCACTTCCAAACTATAATCTGTAGCAAAGTTTTCTTACTGGATTAACGAATGGGGTTTAAGAAAGGGATCATGGGTTTGTTTCCTCTGAGTACTAGCAAAGACACGTGGATTGGGCCATAGGATATTCAGATAAAAAAATCTCATACTAGCAGACATCCCTGTACTCTTACTGTGGGGGTGTCTTGATATATGAATAGAATTTAGAATTCAATGATCAAAAAATGGAACCCCTACTTTATTTTTACTTCTGAAGTAAGATTTGTTAGAATGACAGAAGTATAAATGCTGCATATTAACATACTCTCCCATTTCAAAATGTCTACATATTTCAGACAAAGTATTTGATTATATTTAAAGAAACACTAAAAAAAGTTTAAAATTTTTTAATGCCCCATATATTTGAGAAATTTAGGCTCTGACCACAGCATTCTCCTTTCTAAACATTTTCACTCAGAGGTCAGTGTGTGTTTTTTTCAAATTGATGTGTCTACAGTAACAGCTGCAGCTATAGGTCACACATGTAATAAAAGCTATTGCTGAAACCCTGTATAATGTAATAGGAAATGGGCTAGAATATGTCTCAGACTATACAGGTAATTGTATTTTTTCTAAAGAGTTTATACTGCAAGTTAATTAAAATTGTTAACTATCTTAGCATTAATTTTCTCAACCTCTCATTTTGTTTTTTTACTCAGTAGCAGATGGCACATTGGGGCTGTGTTGCTTACCTGACCTCCGCCAGCTGCATCGCTGTTTACTGGGATGGAGTGAAGGGACTAGTCAAAGGTGAGGTGCAAACATGCCTGCAGAAATGTTGGATTGCCTCTGCCAGCACGCTGAACTTCCTTCCGCTTTGCATCTTCCGCTGCCAGTATACAGCAACAATAGCAGCAGCTGGATGGAGGTCAGGTGAGCAGGGCTACCCCATTCAAGTACCACCCAAGCTACTGTCTTCACTTATCCTTCTTTATTAAGAAACCAAAATGAATATCCACATCATACCTTTATAAGCCTCTACTTTTATACGTAAAGTGTATTAATTTGAGATTCACTGTGCAGAAAAAATGGATTTACCATGTTTAAAATTACTGAATGCCTTGTATGCACTGATTTTGTAATTTTAGAAAAAGGAAGTGTTCATACTTGTTTGGCATGATTTGTTGATTGTTTTATAGGAAAAAACATTTGCCACACAGATTTAACTCTCAGTTTACAATGGATTCTAAATACCTATATCATCTGTTATAACAACTAAAAATATATCTAATACAATAATTGCAAATATTTTGAAAATTATCTTAGGGTGACAATCAACTAAGTCATACTTAGAGTAGGCATAATAAAATCCATTTACTTAAGGGTCTACTCTGGATATGACTTGGCTGGATATCATTCATTCACATTCACACACGCACATTCACACACACACACACACACACACACACATTTACTTGTTGTGCATTACTTTTTCCATTTGTCTTTTAATATAATAATTATTCAGCATAAAACATTTTCTTCCTAAAGAAGTTACTGTGGTTACCACATGGTAGCTGCCATCTTCCAACACAGATGTGAAGGGATTTTATTAACAGGAAATAATATTCCTGTACATGCTTAAGTTTGATGGTCATTTTAGATTCTCCACTGAAAAGTAACACAAGCTAAGCCTATATTAACACATAAAGTATTTGCAAGGAGATTTATAGGCACAAAAAACAACTAATGAAAACTACTGTAAATATGTGAATAGGGAAAAGTGCAGCTATTTTAAGTATACCTGATAATGCATTTACCTGAATATGTCCTGTAAGTAGATATTAATCTCTCCCCCCAGTTTTCATTTGTATGTCCTGGATCTGAATCTACAGAGTGAAGAAGACATGGGAGAAAAGGGGTGGAGGAGAGCAAGGAAGTGTGGCATACAATATAGATATATGGGTATGCCACTTTTTTGTTATTCCTACAGAATCCTTATGCTAGCTTTACAGTGCTGTTAAATAAATGCCTAGAAAATTAAGAATTCACACCATTGCTAAACAGTCTAAAGCAGTAACAAATTGTGATTTTACAGGGAAATATTGCAGAACACTTGTAGAGAACATACTGTACTTCACCATAGAAGTTCTTCAGTACATGATGGACAAACATCAGAATGAAACAACTATGTAAGAGGAGTCTGAGATTCACAACATTTTAAGAATTCCAGAGCATATGCTTTACAGCATGTTTCAACAGAATATTTTTTGTTATTGTGGAATATAATCCAGAGATGGATGGAACTATTAAAGTTTGCCCGTCCCAGGTCTCAGAGGAGGTAGACCTCAGGCTGTGTATGCACAACATTTTATTCTAAAAGCAATGGAGACTGAGTATTTTTTTTCCCTGTGTAGTCCATACAGAATCTAGATCTATTGCATATTTTTGGCCCCTGAAAAGTGCTTCTTGAGAAACTGGTTTCATTCAGAAAATAAAAGCTCATTGTGAATTGATTCTGCATTACCCTGCCGCTAGTGTATAAATAATAAAACAGATGAAAACAAATGTAGATAGTTCTGGCAACTGGAAGTATTTCTACATCTGCACATTGTGGCTGGGCACATACAAATATCACAATAACCACTTCCTTTTTTTCATTTATATGGGGCATGTTTAGGGAGGAAAAGGTGTGGATAAGGTAATCAAGGAGAGGGTTTTCCAAAAATTTTATCAAGAAATCAATCTAGATTGAAAGCAGCATGCTGAGGAAGAGCAACTCTTCTCCAAAATATTCCAGGGCATATCTTATGAGGTAGAAAACTTTAATTGGCTGTGGTATAAAGCTCTGCTGGCATTGCAATGCAAACAGAGGGCATTATCCTGTCAGTTCAAAGGTTTCCATTTCTGTAATGAGACCTCCCCCTCTCTCCTCCCTCACTCTTCCCAAATCTGCTCCAGATATTGAGAAAACCCTTAGAACAGGTTTAGAGGGCACACAGGGGAAGGGTGGGAGTTCTGTTGCACATGCAGAAATCCTTGCATTGACAGAGCATTCATGCGGTCCTACACTGGACACAATCCAAAGCTTCCAACAATTCATAAGGCACTTCAAAAGCATGTTTTTAACAAATAGCAAATCATGCCAAACCTAAGACTTAATTACTACTTTTGAAAGTATAAAAGAACCAAATCTAATAAACACCAGGTTTAAACATTAGGAAGAACTTTCTGACAGTAAGAGCCGTTCGACAGTGGAACGGACTCCCTCAAAATATGGTGGACTCTCCATTGGAGGTTTTTAAGCAGAGGTTGGATGGCCATCTGTCATGGATGCTGTATCTGAGATTCCTGCATTGTAGGGGGTTGGACTAGATGACCCTTGGGGTCTCATCCAACTCTACCATTCTATGATAAAGTTTATACCAGCTAACAGAGCATTAAGTTATCTGTATTAATGTCTAAAATCATTAGTGAAATACATTGCTATAACTAAAACGGGGAAGTCCCAAACGTTTTGCAGATCTCATTCCAAGAGCAAGCTGATATCAGTTTCTTCGGGAAGTTTTAGTTTAGATTCAGGTTTGGTTAAGATGGTTAAGGAGACAGTTCTGGTCACCTCACATCAAAATGGATATTGTAGAGGTGCAAAAGGTTTACAAAAGGGCAAGCCAAAAGGGGAGTAAGGGGGGCATAATAGAGATGAATAATATTATGCATGGTGTGGAGAAAGTTGATAGGAAACCGTTTTCCACCCTCTCTCATAATACTAGAATCTGGGGCCATCCAGTGAGGCTGAATGTCAAAAGATTCACAACACACACAAAAAACACTCTTCTTCACACAATGCATGATTAAATTATGGAATTCATTCCCATAAGATGCAGTGATGGCCACCAATGTTGGATGACTTAAAAAAAAGGATTACTGTAGTTAAATTAATAGAAGAAAGAAGCTATCAATGGCTATGTGACATGTTAGCTACATTCTATTTCCACAGTATTCCTTTGAGTATGTTTCTGGGAAGCACAAATGGGGAAGAGTGCTGTTGCACTCTGGCCCTGCTTGTGCGATTTTCACAGACATCTGATTGGCCACTGTGAGAACAAAATGCTGGACTAGATGGGCCTTTCGTCTGATTCAGCAGGACTCATTTTATGTTCTTATCTATTCTGAATGAACTGAAGCTTCTAAACTGTCTTATGCACCATCCCAAGTAGAACACATTATGGTAAAGGAAGCTGAAAGCAGTAAGATTTGAATAATCAGGCCAGGCCTGGTTTTTCCAGGAACATCAACATATATTAACGGGCAGACTGCTCATTTAATAGGTGCACTAGGGAAAAAGGTAAGAAAAACTGTGCAGCTATATTAATGATTGACAAGTGGGATATAAGCAAGCACTTTACTATTACTTTTTAATCTTTTGTGAAGGTTTATTATAGCAATTTTTTTCAAGAGGAAAAAATAAAACTGGCACTACCTGTGTCTGAATTTCGATCTTCATTTCTGGATGGACTAACATTAAACTGAAGTTTACGTTTCATGGAAGACTTTTCTTTCATCTCCTTTCCCACATCACTCCTATCCACTTTGGCAGTTTTGGTGTAGGAGGCAATCTTGTCCTTGCTCTGATATAAACAGAGTTACAAGTACAATGTTTACATGAAACTATTAACAGCGTATTTAAAATAAAAATAAACACATTCTATGAAAAACCAGATAACCAATAGAAGAATTACACCTCTAATCTGTTCCTCAGATTACAACAATCTAGGATTATTAGACTTTACTACAGATTTACTACAGCAAATACAGAACAGAATAGTAATGGAATGCTAAAGAATCTTGCATCATCTTATGCTTTCTGTCATAAGTAATAAAGAAAATAAAGCATGTTAAAAATAAATAAAAAGTATAAACAAAAAACAAAATAAAGTTTAAAAAGGAGAGTAAAACTGTTATTGTGAAAAATTGAGACAGAATAAAGACTAGTGAAGCTGAAAGCTAAATGCCTTGTTATGTCACAGAAAAACACTAGGAACAAAACAGCTAATGCAGTCAACACATGTGTAAAAATATTTCACTGAACTCAGAAGTACAATTTGATAGACGTTTGTGATTCAGTTCCTACAACTATAATTGTAGCCAGTTGACTGTATAAAGTTTGCTTTCTTAACAATATAAATTACAAGTGTATCTACCTAAGAAGACAACATTAGTTTTCTAAATATACACTGAAAAAAATACAACAGCAGGTTGGATAAATGCTTAGCTCTTATTCTTTTCTCAGACTCAGTCCTTTTCTCAATAAAGGGTGGATTGGGCAAACAGTAGACAAACATACTTGACACAATAATCTATTTCAGGGATGGTTTAAGTTACGTAATCTGGCTGCCACTAGATTTTCTGACTCCACCCCTGCCTCTTTTTCTGTATTTCCCACTGCACTCTGTTTTAGGGTGGAAATAACTGACCTAAAAAGTTGGCACCTGGCATGGTGCTTAACAGTGCTAGTGGCATCACTTCCAACTGAGGGAGCTCCTGTGAAAAGTGAGACAGCTTGAGAAGTCTCTGCATTATCACAGAACTCTGGGGCACCCAAGCCTCACTTTTTGCTGGAGTTAAGTTCTGATTAACAGCATGCCAGGTGTTGCTGCCCACCTGGCAGGCTTCACATGTCACTTCATGTGCAGCACCTGTCAGACACAGAAGTGCTTCCAATTTGGCAGGTGTTCCCTTTAGTAATAGAATATAATCTTCATTACCCTGGGGATGCACATTCATTATGGATGGACTGGATCTACTAGGGATAGTCAAATCTGTTGCCATTGGTTTCCCATATTTTCCATTATTATGTTCCGTTTGCCACATTTCTACATCAGTTTGATTTTTTTAAGTGAAAATCCAACATTTTAGTATGCAGTTCTCATAATATAAACAAGCAATTTCTGCAATTTCTGTACTCCTTTTTTGGTTGAAGAACTGTATCATAAAATTTGGAGCTATGTGAATATCAAAGCATAGCTATTGTTTTGGTTCACAGATTGTTTCCAGAAATGCAAATTAGGTAGATTAGCATTAAAATGTGAATGACATCCAATTTCTTCCCCATCCACGGAGTCCAGCTCTAGGGGATAATCCGATTTCTCCATGTTGAAAAAAGTTGGCCAGCCCCCATCTATTAAAATGTTTACTATGCTGAATATTGAGGAACTAGTTGGTAGAAAACAGAGCAGATGTGAAACAGCATTTACTGTAAGTTTTTTTTAAAAAAACTTAGCTTTCTTATGTCATGAAAATTACTGCTATGAAGCAGACAATATTAATTAATGAAATCAAAATCCTTTAAAATGCTCACATAAAATATATGTAGTAAGTACAATTCTAAATTTCAATCCGACTTAGCATCTTAAACAGAGCAGTTAATATTTTTAATGGATTTTCAAAAGAGCAAACAAACCAATCATTTCCCATGGCTTGTTCATTCAGAATTTAAGTTATATTTTTCAAACTAAAGTTGTTTGCTCATCTAATAATACTGAACAAATGTAGGCAAGCAGATTACACTAAGTTACACTCAATGTAGCTATGATTATGTCTGTTAGACAAACTGCTTTTTCATGAATCGTCACTAATAGCCAGGCAGCAATACATGGAATATATTTTACTTGCCACAATCTTGCTATCTTAAATTTCCACCATATTTTCAGAGCAATACAACAATCCACTGTAATAATTCATAATTTATTTTCTTTTAAATATCTTGAATACCACCAATTATGAAACTATCCATTTCATTCAGTTAAAGGCAAATTACAAAGCTGATACTTAAACTGTTAATTATCAATATTTCTCTGCAGCTCATTGGAGACATAGGCCTGGAGGTCACAGCAGGAGTTGCAACATCATTAGGCAATGCTATGTGACTGCTGTTGATCTCATTCCACAAGACAGCTAAGATTATAGCTGTAAAGGATGCTACAATCAAAGACCAGAGTCCCAAGGATATACGGACTGTAGTAGCTCTGGATATATAAAACTAACTTTAAAAGTACATGGATGCTGGAGGAACCATTTTGTGCCCTAGCTGTTAGGATTGTGAACTGGAAATTAAAGGGCCGTTATACCATCCTGGCTAGTTACTGCCCACATTTTGGCTTAGCAAGGCAACAAGTTGCCTGTGTCAAATAAAAAATTCCCCCAAGAAGCTTGATGTAACTAATATTGCCATCATTCTGGGTTGGCACTGCTAAAAGAACTCAAATATGCAGTTAATATAGTGCTGCTCTATATTTTTACAAGTTGATTTGATGACCTCTCAAGGTCATTTCCATCCTATTCTCAAGAATATCTATCAAAGGAGTGGAATGTACAAGGTGGCATCACTGTTTTCTCAAAAAAGGGATCAAAACCAGCTTACTCAAACACAAGTCAAAGACACAAAAAGACAGCTACACAGATTCACAGCACTCCTGACATGTTTCCAACAGCTTTGGTGTGTTAAAGCATAAATATTTTTCTCAGCAGTTGTTACTAGAAAGTATAAACACATTTTTTCCCCTTGCTAGAGAAACATTTTTCAATAATGGGCGCTGCCATCTTTTTGATTTTTAAGGATATGAAAAATCCCTAAGTATATGGCCTTGATCATTGTATCCTCCTGAACTAGCTCTGTGGGATGGAAACTGGGGGCACTGTTTTTGGTTGGTTTCAGAGAGCAGCATTTTGTGCTGCCTGGTGCTGCAGGGTACCATTACTTAACATCTATATGAATCTGTTGGGAGCAGTCATTAGGGGTACTTGGATGAGGTGCCATCAGGACACTGATTATACCCATCTCTGTTTTTCTGTAACATTTGAATTGGGAGAGGCCTTGCAAGCCCAGGACCAGAGCCTGGACTCAGTGCTGTGCCAATTAAGGACCAATAAATTGACTCCTGGCAAGACAAAGCTCTGCACTATGGGTGGGCTGTGCTTGAATTCCCATTATTTTTTATTGTGAATGTGCTTTGCAATAAGAGGAGGAACAAATAATTGAAGGAAGCAATTAATTTCATTCTCCCTGGAGAGAGAACAGGGAACGGATGCGAGACAATAATCTGTTCCCCACCCCCATCCCCACTGCTAATCTAAGCTGGAAGCAACAAAATAGGCTAAGTTTGTGAACGGGAAGCTTTCAAGTAATTGCACAATAGCCCTAAAAACCTAAATGGCACATGTTCACAACGTCCAATTATTATCAAATATTTACCAGAAATCAGGTTTGAAATAACATGGGATGACAACATAGAATGCATTAATTTGGTAATGAAGTTGTATGGACTCTAAAAAATTGAGAGAGAAAACACCAGCAATTCCCTCTTCCCACCAGTGTGGAAGCAACCTTAATGACAACTATAATTAGCTGAGCCATAGATTCTAAAATTCTAAGTTACTGCACTTCCTTCAGCTTTTTTAACACTTCTCATATTGGTATTTTGGTAATATACATATTTATTTAAACTTAAAATAAAATTTATTGATTAAATGCAATGATTAAACCAGGCTTTCCAAACTTGGTGCCCTCCAGATAGTGACTGACTACAACTCTCATCATACCTGACCATTCACCATGCTAGATGAAATGGAGCACAGCTGGAGTTCTCCAATACCTGGATGTCACCAGGTTGGAAAAGGTTGGATTAAGTCAGATAAAATGATCAGATCAGCTAACAGGCCTACTTTAAGCCCTATTGAAAGAAGGAATTAATTTTGGAATACTATTAGGTAGGCAACAGTCTTTTCATATTAATCTTAATATGATACATACTGAATTCTACTCAAAAGAAAATTTCAAAGGTTCACAACATAACACCTCACAAATACTTTAAAATGAATGTTGTGAATGTTTCTTTAAAAATCAGAGGGATACTTCAAGTTTGTGTTTTATCAACTTTAAAACACCTTAAATGTAAGTAATGTCATCAGCTATGAAAGAATGCATGAAAAAGTTTCAGGGCACACAGTGAAAGAGGAGATTATGGTGGGTTTTAGCTCATTACACCACAGGCAGAGTTATTTTAGCAAGTACCTCCTACAACTTTGTTTAGTTGCACATAATGCTATCTCTTCTGACTCATACATGTTCTTTGCTTTCATGGATTTGCCTAGCTGCAATGTAATCTTCTTAATCAAGTTTCTTTTTATACCTTTCTTCCAGTTGGTTTCTCCACCATGGTGCTATCGCTGTCAGAATTTTGAATCTGAACTGCCTTTGCTGACCCAAATCTGGGCATTTTATAGTTGTTCACTGACTTTATCTTGCATCAGAGTGCTCATTATGCATCTGCCAGGGAAAAGACAAGAAAGATGGGGAAAGAAAGAAAAAATAAATATCAGCATACTTGAAGTAATCTACAAGTATTGGGTAACATTTCAGTGTATCTAGAGTCATCAGTTTGAGGGTTTCACAAATATATTTATTTATTAAATTTGTATACCGCCGTTCATCTACAGATCTCAGGGCGATTTACAGCATAAAAATACAAGATAAAAACAAGAACAAAACAAACCAGCAACCACCCCCTCCCACAAACACATTAAAAAGAATATATGATGATACTCAGCCAAAGGCCTGGTTAACCTGGCACCTAAAGGTGTATAATGAAGGTGCCGGGCAAACCTCCCTGTGGAGAGCATTTCACAAATGGGGAGACAATGCAAAAAAGGCCCATTCTCATATTGCCACCCTCCAGACCTCTTGTGGAGGAGGCACACAAAAAAAGGCCTCACATGATGATCACAGAGTCTGGGTTGGTTTATATGGGGAGAGGCAGTCCTTGAGGTATTGAGCTGTTAAGGCTTTGCAGGTCAAAACCAGTACTTTGAATTGGGCCCGGAAACTAATTGGCAGCCAGGACAGAATCAATGTAATATTTTCAAATCATCTTGCGCCGGTGAGCAACTTGGCTGCCGAATTCTGCACCAGCTGATGTTTCTGAACTGTCTTCAGGGGCAGTCCTATGTATAATGTGTTGCAGTAATCTAACGTAGAGGTTACCAGAGCATAGACAAAAGTAGTTAGGCTATCCCTATCCAGATAAAGGTGCAGCTGGGCCACCAGCCAAAGCTGATGGAAGGCACTCCATGCCACTGAGGACACCTGAGCCTCAAGCGACAGCAAAAGATCCAGAAGTACCCCCAAGCTACGTACCTGCTCCTTCAGAGGGAGTGTAACCCCATCAAGAGCAGGCAACCTCCCATCCATCTGGTCTAGAGAACCGCCCACTAACAGTGCCTCAGTCTTATCTGGATTGAGCTTCAGTTTGTTGGCTCTCATCCAGTCCATTACCGAGGCAAGACAAGGGTCCAGCACATCCACTGCCACACCTGCAGATGTAAAGGAGAAGTAGAGCTGTGTGTCATCAGCATATTGCTGACAACGTACTCCAAAACTCCAGATTACCCCAGTCAGCAATTTCATGTAGATGTTAAACAGCATAGGGGATAAAATCAAAGCCTGAGGAAACCCACACTGAGGGCTCCACAGGGCTGAAGAACTCTGGAAGCATCAGCCTTTGGAAACATCCATCCAAGCAGGACCGGAACCACCGCAAAGCGGTGCCACCCAACCCTAACTCAGACAGCCACTCCAGAAGGATACCATAGCACACTTAGAATTGTGATGTTCCAGTTCATTTGATTAGATACTGTCAGGAAGAAGAAGTATTCACTGATAGGAAGAAAATCAGTGACTGACAACAAATTTAGAAAACTCATATATACTTTCATCAAGATAAGTATTTCTGTTCACATTGGCTTGAATCTAAAGTGGCTCCTCCATTCAAATTGGGAGGGGGCATTTCGACCACCTCTCCATTCTACAGCCTCCACACCATATCCCAATCCATTCTGTATGGTCCCAGAAAACCCAGAAGTAGATTTTCAGGGAGCTGCAGAACAAAGGAGGAGGCAGGAAAGGCCTGCTCCACGAACTCTGCCCAGTTCAAAGGAGGTAAGTTAGGATCTTAGCCATTATCCTCAGATTGCTACAGCTTCTGGAGAACCAAATGCATAGATAACTACAACCACATAGAAAGGCCTATGTATGCAGTAAGCCTAGCATTTCTGCAATCTACTGGATGAAGCAAATGATAATATTGGGCTTGCTACAGCCACTACACAGTGCATGGTTAACAATTCTGTATATAGGCCAAGAAAAGTTGTCTTGTCCTCATGGTTGTAAACTCATCTTCCCCAAACCCTATCTTCTATAGCATATTTACTCTTGTCATTACTATTATTGTTGACAAAATATTACATAATTGTGAAAAACTAAATGTTTTGTTAGAAAAATACAACAATATGAAGGGGGGATGAAACGGTAATGAAATCCACTTTGGGGTTTTCCCTTTGTTTACAAGCCTCCAGTAACAGACTGTGCATTATATACATCAGTTTAACCAAAGTTTAGGACCATACATCCAAGCAACAGTTTTATAGAGTATTCTGTCATATACACTGAAATTGATCTAAAAGGGTTCCCTGCCAAGTTGCATTCCAGCAGTGACCTTCCATTTCTCCTTTTAAGGTTTGCTCCCACAATTTTTGAGCCCCAAATTAGCACCTGTAGAACTTTCAATTAAAATGTAAATTTTGGAGACTAAGCTTCTGCAGACATCCTTAGCTTTTACCACTAGTTTTTTAAATGGCACCAAATTCTAAGAGGCTTTTACTTAATTGTGGGATTAGAAATGAAATATTGTATCTGATCTGATGGATTGTACCTCCAAATCCTGAAATGTTGCTTCAATCTGCACAAACATTCCTTTTTTAATTTCAGAAAGTAAAAGGTTCACAATAAGAAGTCATGGATTTCCATTTTCAACAAAAAAACCAAGCTGTGACAAGTGAGGTAACAAACAAAAGGAGATTACCTAAAGTGGAATCACAGTTGTTAGTTCCAGACTGCCAGTACTATTCAAACTTGAGGTCAGTTTATTGTAGCTAGTATGAAATATCCAAAGCAGATCTAAATAGAAATTATTACAATTACTAAAGTAAATAAGATAATTAAGAATTGTAGCCAACCATTTTCTCAAAATACAAATATGGTAAACAAATGCTTTAATAAATCTTAACTTTATTTCCTAAATACTTCTAGCTATATTACTGTGTAATTGAAAATAAAATACTGCTTAACACACACTCTCAGTGTGGTTCTACTCAGAAAGCAGCAATGATAATGTTAGTGCCATGTTATTTTTCAATTAACATTTTTCATATGTTACATATTCAATGCCTGATGACTTGCATATGAATGTATAAAATACAGCATTGAAAAAAACTGTGGAGCAATGATGTGAGATAATATGAAACTTCTATTCATACTCTTTGATTTGTGATGGCTCATTCATACATATAGTCACCACTGCTTGCTGCAGTAATTAGATGAGGAATATGCATTTGTGAACCAGCCAATAAACCACGCAGAATCTCTGAGTTGGCATATCATGCAGCCTGGTTCCATTATACTACGGTCCTTGATACCAGTTACAGTAGGATTACATCAGCATAACTTGGCTGGAATCCTATGAACTCACAACAGAAGAGAAAAAAGCAAAGTAACAGCAGTACAAACAAGAAATAACAGCAATACCAACATTCTCACTGCATTCTTGCACCCACCCGCCTCATCAACGGTACATAGAGAATGAGCCCAAATTATTAATGCACAGGATGCCAACATACTCAACACATGGCAATGAAAGAACAAACCCATTATTTTATCTGCAGCAAGACACAAACAGGAAAAAGCTTAAAATAATGTGCTTTATAATTCAATTTTAACTTTAAAGGAAACATGTATTGAAAATGAACTTATGATTGCTTTATGAAAAGCAGCTTGTTTAGGGAAATAATTATGCAAATAACATGTTCAGTGGTCATCATATAGCACAATGTGTATTGTCTTATTTTATGGCTTGATACTGAGCTCAGGGACTAGCAAGTTACCACAGGTATCATCTACTAATCCAGTCAACTCCAGCTTGGTATCCTCCAAGTGTTTGGACAACTCCTACCATCTCTGACTTTTGGCTATATTAGATGGGGTTTATGGAGGTTGTATTCTAAATATTTAGAAAGGACTGGATTGGCAAAATCCCAAAACAGATTTAGCGGGTGGGGAGAGGGAGGGGAATGTCCGCTGCACACATGAAAGTCCTTGTGTGGAAAAAGCAACATCACTGGATATAACCCTGAGTTCTAATATTCACTCTCTACAGATGCATACCACTGCAGCTTCAGCAGAAGAGAGTCAATAATAATTTCAAGCTGCCTACAGTGAAGGCTGGAGAGCAGGCAGGATTAGATAATTGCAATGATTCTGTGAACCCAATTACAATTTTGCAGTAACTGAAAACTTTTATGTCTGTGATGTGGTTCTAGTCAGAACTCTATCGAGACAGGGAGATTTGGCTTGGGATAAAACTACAATTTTTTAAAGTAGGCATGCTAGAGAACTAGAACACTTTCTCTGGTTCAATTTTTCTAAAAGCACTTGTATTATCTTACACTTAACATTCTAGCATATACCTATAATTCACATAGCATTCTTTAATGCGATGTAGCAATTAATAACCGCATCATTCTAGCACATCAAACACTCAGGTATGATTTGCTTAAGTGTAATGACAATTGCCGTAATACACCTTTTCCAACACCTTTCCATACATGCTGAATGTTCTGTAATCGAACATAACTCATACTTCACAACAAAGAGCCAGGACAGGACGCACAACATCGCTACTCAAAGTGGTAGTCCACAGACTGGAGCCAGTCCATGAGTCATCAGTTGCTGGTCAATGGCAAGAAGAAAGCAGCACTGAGAACCTTGCAAAGGAGAACCTTCTTCCATGTATTTTAAAAAGTAAACAATACTTATTTGACCCCAATTATTGGACACAAGGGGGAACTACAGATACAGTGCAAGAGGCACACAGGGTGTTCTGTATATATGGGAGAATTTTAAAAAGCAATTGGTCCTCACTGACCTGGGGCAAAAAGATCTTGTCATGTGGAGGAGCCCTGGCTGCCAGATAAAACACTATAGCCCCACACACCCTTGCCTGGGAGTAAGGCCCACTCAGTCTCTTTCTGCTTTTTTCATGTCTTTTATTTTCTCTTTCTTCTTAAAGCTCAAATTCAGTGCTTTGTCTCTTTCCTGTCACTGACTCCACTTGTGCTGAAATAAATTCTACCTTTTCTCCCCAGGGTTGCATCACTGCTTTCCGACCCTCTATCAATGCACTCTTCATACACCGTGTATGCTTATCTAATATTTGCTGTAGCTCGGCTTCAAATCTATCGCCTTCATGAGCTGTCACTTTCCTTCCTTCTGCCATGTCAGTTTCACTTACATGCAGATTTGCTGAGCATCCTGAAGCCTCACCGAGAGGTATCGCTTTGAAGCATTTTAAACCATATTTTTCTTTAGCAGTCAGAACCTTGAGACATCTTTCAAAGCTTCCTTCTATTTTTAGCTGTGTTTTATCACTTTTTATGCTTCATATTGGGTAATTTGAGCTACTAGAATAAGGAACTCTCAAATTAAGCAGCTACCTTGGTCCAGCAAGCCCTAGACTTTCCATGCTAATAACTTTCATGAGCTAAAATGTATTCACTGGTGGTCTGCTGATGCATTTAAAATAAGTATTTCCAAACAAATTTTAGCTTCTTGGGTCCTGAGATTCTTAATTTGCCCCAGTGGGTATCACCCATTGCTCTGCCTCATCTGGACAAGACTGTGAAGATTTGAAGCACCTTTGGATACTATTTCTCATTTAATTAATGGCCCATTATGCTGCTTACAATTGCAGAAGAATTACAGCTGAATGCAAGAGCCACATAGGGGAACCCAGCACATCAAAAGTGGAAAAGTGATGAGATATAGGTAACTAAAATGGCTCCACCAAAACAGAGGAAGATGAACGGTCACTACATGATTGGACAGCTGGGCCAACCAGACCCAGGGACTGGGGGAGGGAGATACTAGAGGAGAGAAACTGACATTCTGAAGGGGTCACAATTGGAAAGGTTTAGTTACTGCTATCAAAAGAAACTGATTCCTTGCCGCCATCTACAGGAGGAAGGGGAGACAGTGATTAAACTGCAGTTGCAGTTATTTGCCAAGTTTTCTATATAGTCCATGAACCAGGACTGAAATTCTTACCATACATGATGCAGCGGGGAAACTAGGCTTTATTTTACGCAGTTTGCCCCCCCCCCCCCCGCACACGCATTTGCGTACACATACACACAGCCTGGGAGCCTCAATGGCGCCCTTCTGGAGGCTTCACCTGGGACAAAAAACCTGGCCAGTCCCCCCAAACAGCTATGCCACCCAAGAGATGGAATCTAGGTGGTAGTGCTGCAGCAATCATGTAGTTTTGTGTGCAACGACTTATATAAATCTAACCCAGGGCCCCCTTAGTGGTTATACCCAATGTATGCACATATGAAAAAGAAATTGTGTGTTTATGTACCCAAACTAAGCTTCCAGCAACCTCAAAACATACACCCTTACCTCAAGGAAGAGCATCCTGTATGAAACACTGGTCCAATGCTTCATTTGGGTGCCACACTTGGCTAGTAATATTCAATGTACATGGAAATGAACAAGGAACTGGGAGTGTGCACCCCAAAATAAGCTTTGGGCCACCTGAAATCATACACCCATATACCATATACTGAATGGTCTGCCAACACCCAAAGCCATGCTTTACCTACAAGTGTACAATTACACCAAGTCATCTGAACTGCCCAGACATGCTTGCTTGGCAAATAGGCTCACATGCACAAACATGTTCAAACTCCAACAGCGTTGAAACTGGGTATTAAGTCCAGAGAATGGTGAACATATAGCTGAGGAAGAATTGGATGGTTATTCTAATGATTAATTTTCAGATGAGCACATCAGATCAGATGGTGCAGGACAAGAAAAGTGAAACAAAATAAAGCCTGAAATGTAGGCTTCTGAAATTGCTATAATTGCTGTTAATATGTGCTGGTAAGAGATACTGATTGGGATGCTAAGAACAAGTATATTAAAGCATTCATAGATCATTTTATTGGTGTCTAATTCATGTTTGAATTAGATGCCAATAAAATGGCGTGCTCTGGTCCATGGGGTCTGGCCATGTCTGGCGTGCTCTGGTCCATGGGGTCATGAAGAGTCGGACACGACTGAACGACTAAACAACAACAATTCATGTTTGATGAGCAGGACAATGTTGAACAGCATACACCCACATTTTGAAGAGATGAAGAGTTCAGGCAGTAACTGGGAATTCCTTAGTTCTTATTATACTTAGTAAGGATTAAAGGCATGTTTTATCCTGTCTATAGATAAGTGGCTTGTTTTTTAATGTAGTCAACGCTGCACACCTGGTCACTTTTTGACAAAAATTCACAATTACCAGGGTGGCCTAGCTATTCCAGCGATTGAATCCCATCATTTTCCTTATATAAAAAAGTCCAATATTTTGAGGGAGTGAGTTTGCTGCACAAGAGCTCCAAATTAATTTAAAGTAGGTGATCTGAATTTGCTAGCATGCGATTGTTAATTATGTTGCTTTGAATGCATACTTGACTTTCTTCAGTAATGTTCTATTCTGGATTGTTTTATTTGACGTTTTAATATAGGTTGTAAACCGCTGCGATATTTTTAAATTAAAAATATTAAGCAGTATAAAAATGAAATTAATAATAAAGTATTTTTTAGGATTTCTCATACGGAAATTATGACAAAAATGAAGGGTGCTATTGTTAAAATTGTGATTACACACAAAGCAGTATGATTGCTGTAAGTCTGCTACCCATTCTCCAACTTTTGATTTACAGACTTTTCCAAAAACCATGTTCAGAATCATTTAGCACATATGTTAAGAATTCACCGTCTGTGGCAGTATGGTTCTAAGAACCAGAAGAAAAAGAGCGAAACACACTAATTTGCCTAAAAGTGTGAGGTTTCTGTCTATAGCACCTTGCCTATGCTACTGCAATCATTCTTGCCACTTTGGGCTTAGTGCTCCAATGCTATTCTGATGCTTGGGTAAAAACAACAGCACGGGTGCTTCAATATACTCTTCCTGCTGCCCTGTTTAAGACAGGGACGACCAACTTCTGAATCCTTGCAGGCCACTCCTTCCCAGACACTGCTCTGGGGCTCAGAACTAGACAACCCATGATGACTACATGATGATACAAAATTTTGCATCACTTAGCAACAAGGGCTTTCATACAGATATAGGCACAAATATTATCTTAGTACAAGATCATTTTATCAGGCCAGGGTAGGGGGAAGAGAATGACTGAACAATGAATGCATTCCTTAAAAATATCTAAAGAGGCACGTTAAGAATATAAGAAGAGCCTGCTGGATCAGGCCAATGGCCCTTCTAGTCTAACATCCTGTTCTTACAGTGCCTAACCAGACATCTCTAGGAAGTCTGCAGGCAGAAACCAAGCACTATTCTCCTCTGGTTACCATTATTACCATTACTGGTAATAAATACCTGTAATGGTTCTAGGGGTTGCTCGTGCGTAAACCGGTGCTTATCTCCCCGGCTGGGTGCAAACACCTGGCTGGGTTGCCTAAGTGAACCTTTTCTGTCCGGACAGCCACTCACCCGTGGCTGACTCAATCGCTGGCAGAATCCGTCAGTGGGCGTTCCTTAAACTTCTTCCAACAAAGAAGCTCTTTGACGCCTAGTCTCCTCCTACTCTCTCTGCGCGAAAGCCTTCTGCGCAAGGAGGGCGTGGGCAACGGAGGACCCCTACTCTCCCCGCTGGCCCCAGGCAAGGAGTCATGGGACCGCCTCGCCGCTTCCCCCATCTGCCCCCCTTCTCCACTGGTGCTACGCTGATTCTTTTCCCCAGAAGATGGGCTGCTTCTCCCAATCCCTGGACGCTCTCTGGAATCCCTCTGGCTTTTGCTCTCTCCCTCCGGCACTGATGGCAGTTCCCTGACAATACCCATGGCATCTAGTCTGGTTTACAGAAATTGGGAAAGAATTGCCTTTCAAAGTATCTATTATATTATACACATATTTAAGTTTCCTAGGTGGGGAATCATGGTTTTTTCCAGCACTGAAGGTACCTTGCACATGAACTCAATGTGTTTGATCTAGCCCTCATCACAACCTCGAAGCAGGGGAACATGAGAGAGAACCATGCTGTAGCAAACTGATAGCAAATTTATAATGGGTTTAAGATCACTCAGTTCAATTTTCTTCTTTAAAACCACATAAAATGGCAAGATACTAAGCACTATTGAAAATCCCTTTGTAAGAGTTAGTTTTACATAGAGGGGTCTGTTTGTATTACATATCCACTTCAAGGGTAATATTTAATTGTGGTGTTCAATTTGCACAACTGGCTTCTACTTGTGAAAATGGGACTTCCTCTCCCCTCTTTCCCCAACAATCTTTTATACTGGAGTGGGGAACACTCAGGAGCAGAATGGAGGCTGCAGGGGGAAGGGTTAAAGAGGAATCCCACTGCATACCCCCAAGACTCCTGTAGTAGAACCACTTTCAGGAATTTATGGGAAACCAGAGATCCTCATCAATTTGATACATTTGTCATGTATAGTTGAGATCTGTACCCTGTCAGTCCTACAAGTTATACACCATAGCTACATCCATGAAGTGGAGTCCCAGTATTTTAAACACCAGCTGATAGAAAGTTTTCCAAATGTACAGTGAAACTTTTAATCAGTTAAAGATCTTTCTAATCAACTAAATGATATGCCTGATTAACTATTCAACACATTTTGATCTATGTTAAATATGTATAAAAACTGCAGATGGCAGCCACCATTTTAGCAGAGATATAGTCCCTTTACTCTCAAAAAGCTTTTCTTATAAACTGGTGCATTTAGCAATATATAGGCACGCTATCTAAAAGAAACAAATTATACTATTCCCTTGAAAATGAACTTTTGCATGTAAGTTTATGTGTATTAATTGATTAACACATCTGATGATTAGCTAAGATTTCTTAAACAAGGTGAAAGCTCTAATTTAAATAAGTTAGGATGCAGCAGTTTGTAGCTCCATCTCTAATACTAGTTATACTTTTAAATTTTAATATACTAAAGAGTACAATGTGAAAAGTTAAGAATTTTATCTGTCACCTTTCTCCACTTAGTTTCTAAGGCAACTTACAAACAAAATTAAACATTACAAACAGAATAAAACAATTAACAGATTTTAAAAATTACATCTAAAATTAAATCGAAAACCAACAGCAACAGCAATAAAACCAGAAGACTGAAATTAAATACTGCTAAAAGTTTAGTAATAGAAACATTTTCAACTGGTGTCCAGAATCTATGTCTAATCAGGGCTCCATAACAAACATAAGAGGGTCAGGTCCATGGGTCCATCTCTAGTCCGGCATCATGTTCTCACAGTGGTCAATCAGATGCCTGTGGGAAACCCGAAAGCAGGTACCAAGCACAAGAGAACCCTCCCCTTCTGGGTAGTGGTGTGCAGTCAGTGGACTAGGGGGTCTAGGCTAATCCCCTAAATGTTCTCCTGGCGCCTCCTTCCCAAAGCCCAGAAAGCTTATGCCTGGCTTAGGGGAGGAGGAACGATGCTCCAATGGGTCCAAGAGCCCACCCACAATTTTGGGCTTTGGGAAGGAGGCAGGAGGGCTCCAGCATCCTGTCGGGAGGCCTGGCCTCCATCCCAAAGTGCAAGAGACTTCTGCCCAGCTTAGAGAGAGAAGTGCAATGCTCACATGTGAAATGTTTGGATGTCTTGATGTCATGTGCACTTCATCAACCTCGCAAACTGGCACCTCTGGCCCCAACTGTTCCCCTATGAAAAATTTCATCATACTCCACTGTCCCTGGGATTGCCAGCAACTGATGAACAGAGAAGCAGCCTAACTTCAAAGGACCTCCAGAGCAGGACATCAGATGATCATATCCATGCATGAGCAGATTTATACAACAGAGAGCAACTTTTATTCCTTCAGATACCCTTGCATATGTTGGTAAGGGCTTTATGGGTCCAAAATAACATAATGAATTGCATCCAGAAACATGAAACAAATTTGAAAGTGAAGGTTTATCAATATTGTTATGACGTTCCACATGACAAGTCCTGATTAATAATTCAGTCTCCATATTCTGTACCAGTTCTATTTTCTGAACATTTTTCACTCGTAGCACACTGCATTAACTAACATGGACTAATGGGCAACCATGGCAAGCTTCTGGTTGTCCATTAAAGGCCACAAATAGTGTAATCAAACAAAGTGGTTATCAATCATACCACAGACTGCATTTGAGCAACAATAGAATTCCAAGCTGCATTCTTCTCTGTGTGTGATTGGCAACTAAGTACCTGCACACCCTCATTTTTAAGTCATTATATTCATTACTATTCTGCTGCTTGCTGTCCACACCAGTGGACAGAGCTTGATGAAGTAGTGCTTCTTTGCTCCTTCCCCTAATCATTCCTCCCAAGCTCTCCTGTTACAGTACATTTCCTATGCATAAGAGCAAACATTACTTGTTTTACTTGTCATGTTTCACACTGGAGAAAAAGGAGGCATGGGAAACAACTAATAAAACAATACAAAAATGTTAAAAACAACTCTAATACCCTCATAATAATTTCAAAGTTGCCAGAAACAATCTGTCAACCACCAAATGCCTGAGTAATGGCCTCAAATTCCACCTAAACATTAATAATAAGGGGAAAGATACACCTAATCAGGAAGAACAGTCTGTAAATGGGAGCCCACTAACCGAAAGGCCCTGTCATAGATCAACACCAGTCAGGGAGCATCCAGCAGCTATATTGTATCAACAAATCCTCCCCTTCCAACTTTACGGCCTGAGACAGTTGATGTCCTTATGGCCAACTGAGTCAGAAAACAGTAACGTGAATTTTGAGTTGCAATCTTACACATACAGTGGTGCCTCGCAAGACGAAATTAATCCGTTCCGCAAGAGTCTTCGTCTAGCGGTTTTTTCGTCTTGCGAAGCAAGCCCATTGACGGATTAGCGCTATTAGCGCTATCAGCTGTTTAGCGGCTATTAAAGGCTTAAAGGATTAGCTGCTAAAAGGCTATTAAAGGCTATTAAAGGCTTAGCAGATTAGATAAAGGGGGAAGCGAAAAAAAATCTCAAGACTCGCAAGGTATTTTCGTCTTGCGAAGCAAGCCCATAGGGGAATTCGTCCTGCGAAGCAACTTCAAAACGGAAAACCCTTTCGTCTAGCGGTTTTTCCGTCTTGCGAGGCATTCGTCTTGCGGGGCACCACTGTACTTCCTTGGGAGTAGTCCCTATTGAACAAAGTGCTCCTTTTTAAAAAGTTAACATGCTTAAAGATTGAACTGTACAACATACAGCAGCTAACTGGTCAGCTAATAGCCTGAGAGTTCACATTAGTATGAAACACTGATGAGGAAAGGTGCAGATTTTTTAAAATTGTAAGTCAGCATTCAGATTTCCTTTATATTCATTCTCGCCTTCCTAAATGGGAACTATTCAGTTGGGAGCCACCCAGAGTGGCTAGCGAAACCCAGCCAGATGGGTGGGGTATAAATAATAAATTATATTATTATTAACCATTATTTGATTGACATTTTTATTTTACCCTAAACATGGTCACAAAATTATATAGTTGTGCTTATGCTTCTTGGGTTTAAAACAAATGCTTTAAAATTTGTTCATGCATTTTAGATTATAAAATGTTTTTAAAACATGATTTTAAATTATTTGGAAATAAAAAAGCTTGATTTTATTATAACACCTGTTTTTATATACTATTAATTTAGGATTTTAGTTATTTTTAATAATATTTTTGGCAGATGCATATCAATACTGCCACACTGAAAAATGCCAGAATGTTTTACAACAGATTGTTCATGCAGCAAATATGGGTGGTAACATAAGTGTTGTCTCTCTGAATACTAAACAAGGGAAAACAGTTTAGTGCAAAATTACCTGATTTTGGTCGCTGTTTATTAAACACTTGCAAAAGCTTAGTTACATAGTTCCCACCACCAATCCCAAAATCAGGCCAAATACTTCATACACCTGATTCTCAGTATGCTTTTCATTCCAGTGCATTAAATTGTTTTGTGCCACTTCTTCCCTCACCCCACCGAAGTTAGGGCAATCTTTACAGCATTATAAATCTTACTCTGGAACAGAGTACCAAATTTTTATACTACCTTCATAATCTGCATCTGTCACCATTATCCAGACTGTAAAAGCATTCACACTGTAGTGCCTTTACATTTTAACCTGTGCTGGAACAGTTTTAATTGCTGCTCTTTATGCTGCTCTTTATTTACTAGTGGGTTTTTTTAATTGAAATATTTTCCATTCATTGTCTCTGTTTTTAAGTCTTAGCAACATGTTAATTTAAACCAAAATAGAAAGTACATATAATTTTAAATATTTTTCTCATTTTAGAAGATGAAATGGTATTTTGCTTATTTAATAACTGGCTTTGCTCATTATACATGTAGAGCTGAAGTACAGTATATTATGAACAAAGAAATGGGACTTCTACTGTACTGACACAGTGACTGTCATTCTGTATGCTACTTGTGGATAATTCTCTACCTCCAGAAGCTGAATTCTAGTGCCTATGTCAACTTGTCAGACTCTGGCAAGTTGACATAATTTTGACTTAGAAAAAGATATGCTTCTTTACTTATATGTGAATGCAACCTTCAACCTGACAGATTACCATCAGGTCACCCTGATGAAAGTCATTAGGATTTGGGGGGCATAGTATCATTAGTACACTGATAACACTTGCCTCTCTTTCTCCATACAATCTGAATCAGGAGAGGCCATGTCCAGTGCCTGGACACAGTAGTGGGATGAAGAAAAATGAGCTGAACTTGAATCCTAGTAAGATCAAGGCACCATGGATGAGTTGTTCCTGTGTCTAAGAATTTGGTAAATTGCCTTTGCTAGATGGAGTTCTGCTCCTCCTGAAGGAGCGGGAATCCAGTCTGTGGATGCTACTGGATCCAGTTTTCTAAACAAAGGATCAGGTAGCCTTAGTGGCAAGAAATGCCTTTTACCACTTGACTGATTGATTTCTATACCGCTTAATATATTAAAAATATCTCTAAACAGTGTGCAAAAAAAATGAAGCAACTACAGATAACTTTAACAAAATATTACAGAAATACAGTTACATATAAAAAGTTACATTAATACAAATATATTCATTTTCCTTCTGGCACACCCTCCCTCCCAGCCTCTGGGTTCTCACCCAGGGTCCAACAACTCTCAGCTCACCCACAAAAGTCTCACAGTGAGACAAGATCCTGGAAACAGTGGACATCACTCTAAACATCATCTCTAGACTTGCATTTTAAGGGCAGGCCCAAGGTGGATTGTACTTCCTCAAGGTACCCACAGCTGTGTCCCATTCAACTGCACTCTCCACACCCAGGTGCCACAGGTTTGCTGAGTTTCCCAAATAGGAAAAGGGCCCTCCTCCACTCGCAGCTCTTTCTTCACCCACTGTCCTCTCCTACTCCAGCTGCTTGTGGCTAGTAACATCCATTTCTGAGCAGGGAGAGCTTGACCATGGTAGTTCAGGCACTAGCGACTTCAAGACTGGATTACTGTGCTGTAACACACTCTACATAAAGTTCCCCTTGTGCATGATTTGGAAACTGCAATTAGTGTTCAGAATGCTGCAGCAAGGTTGTTGACGAGAATGAGGCCTTGAAAACTTACAACAGCTCTAGTCTGAAGTCTGCTGATTTGTCAGCTGGTCAAGTTCAAAGTGTTACTATTAGTAATTAAAGCTGTTAACAGCTTGAGATCAGTTTACTTGTGAAAGTGCCGTACCCCATATACAGTGGTACCTCGGGTTACATACGCTTCAGGTTACATACGCTTCAGGTTACAGACTCCGCTAACCCAGAAATAGTGTTTCAGATTAAGAACTTTGCTTCAGGATGAGAACAGAAATTGTGCTCTGGCGGCGTGGCAGCAGCGGGAGGCCCCATTAGCTAAAGTGGTGCTTCAGGTTAAGAACAGTTTCAGGTTAAGAACGGACCTCCAGAACGAATTAAGTACTTAACCTGAGGTACCACTGTATAGCCACTCAACCACTTTGATCTGTGGAATTGACAGTTACATAACACTCATTCTACACTTGTAAGAAATCAATATTTTAGGGTGGCGGAATATACCGTACATTCTGGAACTCCCTGTTTACTTGTACTTCTTTTTGGCGCCTGCTTAGTTTAGGCAAACCTATCCAGACATATAGAAAGCTGATATGTGTTTTAATAGTTTTGTTCAATTATTTTTCTTCTGCCTGGCCTTTGGCTTGGAATCACTTTGATTCCCTTCCCCTCTTTCTTTTTTCCTTTCTCCTCCTGTGATGGAACTCCTATTTAGGGACTTCCCTGGCTTTTTTCTGGCCCATGTAGGACCAGTCTGGATAGTTAGCCTTGGTGAAGACTTGACGTTTTCATCCCCAAAAAACCGTTTTTGATTTTTGTTTCCATTGAAATGAGGCTGCATTTTAATGTTTTAATGCTGTATTTTACTCTTGTTTTTTAAGTTGTATTTCAATCAATTTGTTTTTATGTCGGTTGTTAGCCACCCTGAGCCTGGTCTTGGCTGGGGAGGGCAGGGTACAAATAATAATAATAATAATAATAATAATAATAATGTTTCTAAATAACTGTTTTAAAACTGTCATTTGTTGATAGTTTTGTTTATTTCTGTAAACCACTTAAAGGTTTAGCAATATAAAAAGGCTGTGAAATAAAACAAATAAAATTAACTCCATTTTTTAAAAAAGTCATATATTCAGGTTAAAGAAAATTATAGGAAGCACAGTGTGTGGGTGGTTTCAGTGTCTGGGAGAATGGTCATTTGCCTGCCCTGGATGGAGTAACTCTGTCTGGAAAAATGGGTGCACAGTCTGGGAATTCTCCTAGATCCATCTTTGTCACTCAGGGCTCAGGCAGCACTGGCTGTTATGAGTGCCTTTCACCAGCTGCAGCTGGTACACCAACTATGACCATTATTGGACAAGGATAGCCTGGCTGTAGTGATTCATGCATTGGCAAGCTTAAGACTAGACTACTGCAACGTGTTCAATGTGGGGCTAGACTTGCGCCTGGTATGGAAGCTTTTATTTATGAGGCAATAAAAGAAAATTTGATAAAGATGTTTTACAGATGGTATCTAACACCAACCAAAATATGTTAAATGTATACATAATTTGTTTTTATGTACACCACTTAGAAATATTAATGATTAAGCAGTATATAAATAACTTAAATAAATAAATAAATAAATAAATAAATTGAGCAGTATCATTTTTAACAATAAGTTTTTTGTCCATCCTGAAAAAGTGAACAATCTTGCTTAATATCCTTGTAGGCATAAAGATAGAACCATACAGGAATCTAAATATTTTCTTTACACAGTGCACATGAATTGCTTGATCAGAAGTTCCAGATTATACCCCTAGAATGTCAGCGATCTGATTATCACAGCAACGAGTTACAGGCATGGAGAAAATATCTAAATTTCCGAAGGGGGGATTTTATTTAAATGAAAAATTGAATAATACTTTTTCTTGATGATTTATATCACACTGGGGATGAGGTAATCACTAGGAAGCTGGTGTAGCTATACAGAATTCCAAGATAATGGAATTTCTAGATCCAGATATAGAAGTTCATTCCAAAAACTGGTCCAGTCTTTTGACTGATCCAGAAAATCATTAGGCACCAAAACAATGGAACTGGAAAAAGTGGGCGTGCAATCATTTCCATCTCTCTCTCTCTCTCTCACACACAAACACACGCCTTTAATAATATTTAAATGTTATGACTATTCAAGATAATGATTTTTTTAAATGGCCAAGTTATTTTTTAAAAATACAAAAAAAGGTTGGGTCACAGTATAATTCTCCTCAGACTTATTTTTTTATTTGCTTACTTTAAGAATTTATAAACCACTTCCCAACAAATGTTTCTTAAGCACTCTACAATAAAGGTATAAAAAAGAACATATAGTACACACAGCAATGTAAAAACAAATCTTAAAAACATCAAATTGCACAAATTCAGTATAAATTAGAAAATGGCTGAGTCACACTTTGGGGGGGGGATGCCCTATTAAATATAGACATTTTCAGTAGCTGGCTAAAAGCAAGAAAATGAAACACTTGTCTAATTTTAATTGGAAGCCAATTCTAGAACTTAAATTTCTACTTTTCACATGCTAGCCTCTATAGGTTTCTTCAATCATCCAGAATATGAAATTCTCAAAAGGTTCAAAGAAAAAAGTCAATAAGTGAACAAGGCTTCAGATGAGCAACAGATACAGTGCATCCATAAACAAAGGACATTAAATGACTGGACATATTACACGTGTAGGTCTTTGTTTTTAGGAAGAACTGCAGAGTCTTAATGCCACATTATATGGTGTCAGGGAGCCATAATTTTGAACTATATTCAACTTTGGTCAATCATTCAGGGGAAGGCTTATTTGAACAGGTTCAAATAAGAGCAAGAGCACAGCACATCACAGGACAGGCAAACATGTTAGAAAGGTTAAGAGAGCTGGGTCAGATAGAAACAAGGTGTCTTGAGAAGGAATTTGAATATTTTCTGTAGCTAGATTCAATAAGGCTAGTAAAACACGCGGGGAAATTTAAGTAAATTCTAACTATGGAAGCAACTAACATTTATAATGTTTTCAATGATGAGTTCAGAATGGTGACCAGAAGGTGAAGAAAGTAATGGTCTGTATATTTTTAAATAGATTTTGAGCCAAGACTTTATATCAGGGCAGCTCTGCCTCCTTTATGATCACCAGAGGTTACCATAATTGGTGGTTCTAAGTGACATAGATCTACATACAAGGAACCCCCTTTCTCTGTCCCCCAGAGAAGTGAGTGTATTTTGCTTCATGCTCAGGAACTACCTGCTTGCTGCATTTGACTACAGAAAAAATATTGTCCAAGCTTGGAAAGCTAGGAAACATGGGAGGCTACCGAGGGTAGCTCTCCCCTTGTAGCATTTGTCCTGGTTCACTTGCATGAGGCCTATGCTTTTTAAAAAAATACTAAATTGCTGTTTAAATTATGAAACATTTGCTGCACACACCTACACCTATTTTCTGCATGTGGCATCCAGTAATAATTGTATGTGTGGTATAAAGTAGCATGTGGACAGGAAGAAGCTGGACCAGACACTCATCCCTAGTACTGTACCTACTAGGGTAAGAGATTGTCCAAGGCCACACAGCACCCAAGTCAAACTCTTCAAGCTCTCAATACAATATACACTTACTAATACTACTGTGGCTTTTATGATCTTCACTTTCAAACACTGAAGCAGGAATAGCAGTGTCAAAAGTTAACAAAGACACAGCACTAAAAATCTTCAGCACAGGAGGCTGTATCTTAGACGTCAAGCATAAAGTTCAATGATCCCAGCGAATTACACACGTGTTGCACTAGCATAACCTTTTTTAAAAAAAAGATCTGTCATCTGCTCTACGAATTTTAAACATGAGCCCTCAGAATGATACTGGCAATAGCATTTCCTTTACGCTCCAGAAGCACCATTTTTTTTTGAAAAAGAAATTACTTACTGCACGTTCGTTGTTGCTTTCTCTCCCCCTAGCAGCCTGTCGAAACACACGCAAACGCTGGCGCGCGCTAACACACACACACACACACACACACACACGCTCAACACTGCCTCTTCCCTTTAGAAAGGGCTGACAATGCTGCAGACCAAAAGAACTCAGTCCTATCAGCATTATTATTATTATTCCTGAACGCGATTATCCTGTCCTCACTCACAAAAATATAAGCCTCAGCGCGGGGCGGGGAATACGAGAGAAACCACGTATCACAGAAACAGCCCCACAAGGAGGGAGAAGCAGTGACAGCAGCGGCAGCCATGGCTCCAGCTGCAGCAACAACAGTGACAGGCTGGGATCGAGGGAGCCAAAGGGCTGCCGGATGGAAAGAGCCCCTTCTTCGGGCTGACAGTCCTCGTGCACAGTATTAGAAGCGGGGGCGGGGGGGGGGGAGCGGCGAGGGAGGAAGGAAGGCACGACGACGCACCGAAGGAAGGTGTGTCAGGAGATCTCCTCAGAAAGGGCTCGTGCGTGTTCCATGTAGGCAAAGAGGTTGCAGTACCTCCATTACGAGGAAAGGCAGCGCAAGAAAGGGGGAGTGTTCTCGCTCTCTCTCTCTGCTTTTTAAATGTACACCCAAAGCAAGCAGGGCAGGAACAGGCAGCAGCAAAAAGGAGCCCACTTCTATACGAACCGCGGCTCCCTCCCGCCTCACGGGAGGTTCAGGGGGTGCTACAGACTAGGGTGGGCTGCCTCGCGCTCGTGCGCGCCCGCGCGCGCGCACACCCACCCACCCACACCCACTGAAAGGGGCACATATATATTCTATACACTCACCTCCGCCACAGAATAGGCTGCATAAAGGGAGCCCCATTTGCAGAAAGGAGGGAGTTTTGACAGACACGCACGAACATATGACACCAGGAAAGGAAGAGGGGGGATTTCAGAGCGGCGCCAAGCCGTTTCTAGAGCAGTTGTTTTCTTCTTCAGTGTCTCCTTGCCACCCTCACCTGTAAAGGGGGTGACCTACAAGGGGGGGTGTCCTACAAAGGGGGTGTCACTCGCGTAACTGCCGTTGCTCCTTCCCTCCCCGCCTCCCCCCCCCCGCGGAGTCTGCGGTGGAGATACTGGTGGTTTCCTCTCCTTACCTTCTCTCAGCGGAAGGGAGGCGGCTCTTTACAAGAAGCGCCGTCCTTTAAAGAAGATCCGAATTCCGCAGCCACCCCCTGCCGGTCAGCGGCGCCTGGAGTCTCAACCCCGCTCCGAAAGCCACGGCAAGAGTCAGGTTTTGACGACACCCCTTCTCTCCTCTCGCCCCCTCCCCTCAGCTCAGTCGCTCCCCTTTCCCTTGCCCCTCTCGCTCGCTCTCCCCCCACCCCCTCCGCTTTTCAAGCCCGTCAGAATGTCGGTTTGTGACTTTCCACGCGGATTGGCTGAAGCGCCCATCACGTGACCTGCAGAAGGGCACCAGAAACGGGTAGGCACGCGCCGCCGCCGTGAGCGTTAAAGAGGAAGGGGGGGAGGATTTTAGAGGGCACGAGAGTAAGAGCCAACGTCATAATCACCCTCTTGTCAGAATTCCTCGGCGTTCCACATAAGAAATGCTACTTTCTCCCTAGTGTACCACGCAGATGTAAGGGAGAAAATAAAAGGAATAACGGGCCCTGACACGGTTAGAGGGCGGAGACAGAAAGCGAGTGCCTGGTGCGCATGCGCGCCCGTCGTCTAGTTTTTCCTTCTCGGGTGGCGCTGCTGGAACTTTCTGGAAATACTAGCGGCGGTGGTCCGAAGAGGCAGGCTACGGGTAAGAGAAGGAACGCGCGGGCTAGGCTTCCTCGCTTGGGCCGAATGCGAACGGAGGCATCTTCGCCCCGGAGCCACTCCTACAGGTCACTCCCTTCCCCAGGGAAGGGCTTTCCGGCGGCGGTGGCGCAGTGAGTTTTCATAAACACCGAACGCGCATGCGCGGCTGGTGTGTGTGGCTCCGCCGCATCCTAATAAAAGCGCGGAGGTTGCGGGGGGGGGGGGCAGCAGTACGCAGGGCTTTGCTCCCCTGTGAGGACGACAGTCTCACGGGGCTAACGCGTGGGGAACAAGGGCTTCTGCAAAGACAACCGAGCACCGGTTCACGTTGCACGAGGACTGAATTAGCCTCCCCACCACTGCAGAGCGTGCAGCCGCTGTGACCGTTTTTTGTGGTGTGTGGTCTCAGTAAGCGATATGACGAGCTAGCTCCGCGTTGGAAACGAAAACCAGTTGAGAGTGGATACTTGGCATTAGCTTAGTATAGCAGGGTAGCGCGTAGTACTTGTAGTACTCTTCACGTCACTGGTTCCGACTAGGAAAAATAGCTGGGAACTTGAACTAGTGGTACAATTATACGCATTTGAGGCAACTTGATAAAATACTAGATCAGCTTTAAGTATGATATATAGCGTTCAGGAGTAGTCCCCTTCACGTCCTACATGCAGACAGACACCTAGAAACTCGTGTGACGAGCCTGATCTCGTCAAGATGTCTTCTCCTCAGAACTACTGCCAAGCAGCTGGACGAATGAGTTTTATTTCTTTAGAAAGTCGCTTTTCATAAGAGTTTGTAGCTCAAGGCTTGTTAAAATAATGTAAGGTTCTATCATTAATCATCAAAAGCTGTCACGCATAGTACTAGACTTTGTGTTCTATGTAGTAGACTCACACTGGGGTTTGTTAGCTTTAGCTCAGCATCCTGATGGGAGTTAACAGATCTGGATAAATTCATGGGTGATGAAGCTATCAAGGACTAGGTTCAATGGCTATGTACTACCTCCACTGTCAAAAGGCAGCATGCCTTTTAATAGGCATTTGCAGGGACTTTCAGGTGAGGAGAAAGCTGTAGCACTCAGGTTATGCATTGTGGGCTTGATGAACACCTGCTCAACAATATGTGAACACAGAGCTGGATTACATGGGGCTTTAGCCTGATGCAACAGTCTTATATTCTTCTTATTTTAAAAAAATAAATTTTGCAATATTTACAAAGCAGAGTGGGTGTGGTTAATTGACCATAAGAATTGGATTTAGTTTTTTGAGACTCTATGCTTTGGTTTAACATTCATATATTCAGGTTCATTTTGAACCAGGCTAAGAGATTTGCCATAAGAAGTTTTATAAAACAAACTGGATACTGTGTATTGTCGTCAGGATACTAGAAGGCTACTGTTCGCAAACATACAGATGTTGTCATAAGCACAGGCCCGGTTTCACAGACCTTTGATACTGCATAAACCCATAAAAGGCATCAACAATAAGGCACATGTCCAGAAGCATAAAATTCTGGGATCGACATTCTGCAGTTCATAGTAGGTGCAATTTACAATTTCCATTTGATTTGTGAAAAATCAGAAATTAAAACATATTAAAGTTCTAAATTAAAAGTTTATTAAAGGTGATACTTTGTTGGAAAGGCAATTAACTGGTTATAGCTTTTCCATCCACGCATGCCAAATACTTATCAGAGTTTTAAGTCCTGGACTTTCCCCCCATCAAGTTAGTGACAGCCACTGCTAAAACATGATTAAATACAGTTGCTGTAAGGAATAGAAACATCTGTCTAACCTCACAAGACCGGCTTTTAGATGCTTTAAAAATAAATTTTGGGAGGATTGTGCAGAAGCAATCATGAATCTAAAGATAATCTCCTAACTTCTCTCCGTAGATTGCAATTCTAGTTCAAGAGTACACTGTGTATCTAATAATTTAAGTAGGTTTAGCTGCATAACATACACATTTAAAGTTAAAACTTACTTTTTTTTTGTTTTTTTCACTACATGTAAGTGAACTTCATGAATGAAGTTTGGAGAGGAAAGGTGGAATGGTAATGTAGTCATTTCAAAATATTTTACTTTAAGGAGTGTACATTAAAATCTGCTTCAGATTACGCAGTATATTACCATATCTGAGTTCTGGCTTCTTACATTAAACATCCCCTGTTGACAGCCTGATAACTCACAGCTCACTGTTCTGAAGTATAGGTAAAGGTACCCCTGACTGTAAGGTCCAGTCACAGACGACTCGGTTGCACGCTTACCTTGCTCTATAGGCCGACGGAGCCGGCGTTTGTCCATAGACAGCTTCCAGGTCATGTGGCTAGTATGACTTAAGTCGCTTCTCGTGAACCAGAGCAGCACACAGAAACACCGTTTACCTTCCCGCCAGAGCAGTACCTATTTATCTACTTGCACTTGACGTCCTTTCGAACTGCTAGGTGGGCAGGAGCTGGGACCGAACAACGGGAGCTCACCCCATCGCGGGGATTCGAACCGCCAACCTTCCGATTGGCAAGCCCTAGGCTCTGTGGTTTAGACCACAGCACCACCCGTGTCCCTAAGTATCGTTCTTAGCAAAACACTTTTAATATAATCAAAGACCAGGAAGTAACGATAAAATCTACCTTCTACGCTGAGATGGAGTGGTCTACACATCATGTTAAGCCATCTAATTAGTGTACCACAAGTAGAGAGATGTTCTGAATACCTAAACAATAGACCCTGAACAGATTCAAGTAACTTAAAGTGAAGACTGGCAAGGAAACCAAGGAGTCTAATCTACAGGGATTAGAAAGATTCCCAATTTGTATACTATAAAAGTGAAAATATGCAAACTCGGGCTTAGGGCTTAATTCTGTCTTTATGGAGTTTAAGAATTTGTAAGTTCTTATATCAAACTTAAGTTTTTTGTTAGATCAGCAACACAAAACCAATATTCAATGCTTATTCAATAGAATAAACTGCATTTACATTGGTATCTTGCTAAATTCTGCCAAATTGGACATAGGGAATTATATGAATGCTAGTGCTGTCAAACACATTAGTGCTGTTCATACGTTATGAGGATATCCCAAAATTACAGTTTGCAATAAATAGAAACTAGGTTTAATCTTGCCCTTGTTTCATTACAATTTGCATTCAGATTATTTTAGGACATTGTAAAGCACACACCTTAAACACAGTATTCTGTGTTAAATTCACAGGTCTTTGTAGTAGCCCTGAGTAATCTTAGTAGCCCTGAGATTAATTATATGGCATTGAAAACATCTGTCCCTTCAGTGTACCCAGTGGATAAGTCATATCTTCAAAATCACCTACACTGTGTGGGTACCTGAAACTTCTATCTGATGCAACTATCTTTGACTATTAAGGCCAGGGATGGGTAATTGTGGCCCTCTGGATGCTGCTGGGTTACAACTCGTATTATCCCTGAAACTGGCTTTTGCTGGCTGTGGCTGATGAGAGTAGAAGTTCAACAATACCTAGAGGGCCACAGGTTAGCTATGTATACATTCCACTTGCACAGCAGTTTGGTCTCTCTTAATATAATATTTTCCCCACCCCCCTTTCTACTACTCAATTTCTTTGTGACTACTTGTTAGATTTATATAATTTATGTACCTAAACATATCTATATTAAATAAAAGCTTTTTAAAGAGACTTTATTTTGTTCTTATTTTAATTTCAAATTTATGTAAAATTGATATAAAGTGTTGTGTTATTTGGGTTAGAATAGCCCTGGTTTGGGGATGACTCTTGCATTTTCCATTTGCCTATAACAAAATTAATAAATATAAACAATAATAAAACTTGAATTTTAATCTCAGGTGAGTAACTAATAATAAAGTAAAATTATTATACCAGACTGTAAGCAACTGAACTCATGTTTTCATCTGTATGCAGTTCAGATTTTATTTTCTGAAGTAGTTCCTTACAGCTAGAACAATAGTCTTAAAGGTCTGGCCGAACTCCAAAACCAGGGCCCTTGGGTGGTTCTGTCAGAGAAGTGAGACCACCAGCTGGCTCACAAGAGAAGCGCCCACTCCTGCAAAAAGAGAGAGCAATTAACTTATGCATTACTTCCATTGCACTACTCATCTTCAAGGGTAAATAGAAGTCAGACTCATTTTCTTCAAACCTCTTTAGTTCTGGATATTTGTGAAAACATGAACCTAGTCGCAAGTTTAAAAACAAGTTCAAAAGCCAATGTATGCATGCTACTTTCTAAGCACAGTTGTAGTTCTTGCATGCTCAACTTTATAGCTCCACTGAAGTAACTTGGGCTTACATCTGAGTATAGGATCAGGCTGTGTCTTGTAAACCAAATATGTAGGTTGAATTTTACAAGCTGAATGTTAGGAAAAACCCCATGATTGTTAAATTACTGTGTGTTTATTACATTTTTATCCTGCCCTTTTTCTGAGAACCCCCATATTATTCTCACAGCAACCCACTGAAATAGGTTAAGCACATATGGGACCAGCCCAGTCTTCCTGTGAGCGACATGGCTGAGCAGAGATTTGAATCTGGTTCTCTCTGGTCTTAGTCTAGCACTGTACCTCACTGGCATAACATTCTTCCTCTGTAGCAAGCATACAATCAAATTACAAAAGAAAGTGATGCGGCAAATACTGTTTCTCAAAAATAAAAATTAATAATTTTGTGTCTGAGAGCATCACAGTTTGACTATAACTTGCAAAATGATTGCCACAAATAAGTGAATCTGATTTATTTAGAGTGCTGTATAGCCACTGAAGGCACTTGCACTGAAATCTATGCAGTGTAAAACTAGCTTGAGCATCCTGACTGGGCATAAAAAATGTAAAGAAGTGAGGGTGTAAGCCTGTCAAATAAGCACTTGAATAAACACACAATTAAATTTAGAAGCAATCCCATCTCTGAAGTTTGGTCAAGACTCAATGCTGCTGTGAATTCAGCTATTTCAATGAAATGTTTACCTTCATTTCTTGGCAACTAGGACACAGACCTTTAAAGTGTATAAACTTGAAGCATCATTGGAATAAAGGTTTATATTTGGTTTCCCATATCTATAGATATGTTTGCAACTTGCTGTGGAAAGCGCATGTAATGCTAATTACATACAATGTTACTGTTCCCAATTTTCCTTAGTTTTTATTATATGGTACAAATGAATAAAATACCTTGGTCCAGGTTTTGGAACTTTTCCAGCTTTTAGTTCATCAATTATGTCTTCTATGTCTTTTGTTGTCAGATCTTCCTGAAATGTGAAATAAGGAAAATGTAAAGATTTCCAGACATTTAAAAAAGTATGATAGCTTTTTTGGGGGGACTAAAAGTATCACTCTGTGGTAATTCTATTAACACTTGAAAAAATGTAGGCATAATTATAGCTTTTAAGTGGGGCAGGTGTCCTGCTGTCTAGTAGATCCTACAATTTGTCAATATGGTTATAGGAACAAATGCTCACAGCAATACACTACTGTCACACAGCAAACACGGAATACAAACTGGTTCAAACCCAGCTCATTTCCAATTAACAATCCACTTAATTATTTATGTGAGGAAACAGCTTTTAGTACTATTAAAATAAAGAAAAAACAGGATAAGTTAAACTGGATAAACATAGTTTGATTACATTGGGTTATATTTGGTTACTCTGAATAGTAAACTCAGATGGTAAGCACCAAGAGGTAATGCAGAAGTACACTTTAAAGGGGGGTACAGGACAACCCCTCTTCTAACAGCTCACTGAGGACGGAGCACATTCAGTATCTGGTGGGGAAAACAAAAGTGTGTGTTTGGGGGAGGGAGGATGAAATGAGTTAACCTGCTAGCATTGTTCTCTTCCAGGATATCAGAACAGGAGCTCCCTAGTTATTTTAATGCAAATATTTTGTTTCAATTTTGGGGGCTATTTTGCTGTGCAAACCTTGCTAATTCCAAAGCAAACCTAGTTAAGTGTCCCAGTATTACAGGACAGAATAAGTTGTGGCTAAGAGAGAGGGGCTTATGACAACCCTGCAATATTAGTCATACTGTATGCCGCAAATCAGGCTCAAGTGGTTATTACACTTCAGCATTGTTCAGAGATATTACACCCTAGTGCAGGTTTGAGGATTGGACTGAAGCAAATAGCTTGTGACAAACCTGCAGTGATACCCATTTCTCTCACTGCAGATTGGGCTGATAAAAGATTTTACCACAACCCTGCAGGGTTGTTGTAGGTTAGGGGCTGTACTGAGAGAGAGAGGGAGAGGGAGAGGGAGAGAGGGAAGCTTATGACAGCTCTGCCATATACAACTATTAATATTGCAGGTCAGAGGTGGGGCTGAAGTTGATTCATATTACCAGTCAAAAATTCTCCATACTTCTCAGGAGGAAGAAAAGGCCACTCTGCATGAACTGCTACTTCAGACCACCTTGCACAGCAGAAGCTTTGTGTTCTATTAACTTGCATGCAGACCAGCAGCACTTTATATTACGGTTGGACTCAAGTCAAGGAAGAGACTACTTTTTTGATGCTAGTGTTTGTGTATTCATCTCCCCTAAAGCCACAGGATCAGACAACAAATGCACCCCATGGATACACTGCAACATTTTGTTGGAGGGACCACTTGTACTTACATAATAGTTATCATTTATTTGTACCATTGGTGCATTTACGCAAGCCCCCAAACATTCCACTTCAATCAGAGTGAAGAGTTTATCAGGTGTTGTTTCTCCAACTTTTATACCTAGGGACATAAGCAAAAACAAAGCAGCATTAGAACCTTGCAGGCCTTTTCCCACTTGCCCTGGGAGACCGGGGCCCTGACTTGACTCCAGCTACAAAAGCTGAGGCTGCTGAACAGACTCTTGGGCTGGGGTATTGTTTAGGAGGAGGCTGTTGCTGTTATTTATATTTTAAAAAATATATTTGTTTTAGATCTGATTAGGATTTATGTGGAAATTGCTTAATTTTGTTGTATGTTTATAACCACTTTTGTTGTTGGTAATTACGTATTTTTTCATGTTGTAAGCCGCCTTGAGCATATTTTGAACAACGGAAAGGAGGAATACAAATAAAATGATGTTTGTATGTCTGTAATCTCAAACAGTAAATTTTCATAGTGATTTCCTTAAATATAAACAAGGACAAAATGCATAGATTGTGTCTGTTTAGTTAAGTTGGGAATCGTGTGCAAACAGGTGCTCTGTGGGTGATTCCCAGCCTGATCTAGCAGCAGGGGTTGCATTCAAACTTACAGGACTATAAAGATCTGGCTGTTAGAGCAGGCTGGAGAATCTAGTTTTATAGTGCATGCACTGTTGAATAAGGACTGATATTTAAAATTATAGCTGTTTTAGACCTTATAAAAATGAAAGCAGTTGGCTGCATTATATGAATGCCTGTGTGGCAGTGGCATCCTGCCAGGATGACAGCTACACCCCCACCACTGTAATATATTTAGCGAAGTGTCAGGATGTGAAAACTTAATGTTTCTCTCCGTTGTTGAACAGATCCATAAAGGTTGTACTTGTCTCATAACATTCAAAAGGTTACTGACCAAGGTGTGGTAGAGTGAGAGATGATGTCTGGTCAGACCTGGACAAAGATCCAAGCTATAGAAACTATAGCATTAAAACAGCCACAGCCATTTTAAAGCAAATTAGGAGAGGGGATGTTGAAAACATTAGGCTCCCTTAATTTTTATGTTTACCTCCTTTTTTCAGCATTTCCTGAAACTTCAAGTTGTATATACTGTATAACCTGTTATTCAGAACAGACTGAAGTCCCCAGAAGAGAAGGGCATACAATTTCTAGTTGTAAAGTGGGCCTACGGTTATACAGATAATTATCACTGCTGTTAAGCAGGCCTGCTACTATGCTCTCATTTAAAGTGTGTTCAGTATCAGTTTAAAACACTATTATTTGAAGTGATGAGGTTTTCACATTTTAGTTTGATTCCAAACACTTTCTTTACTTTCATTTCCAGGAAGAAAAAGGTGTAGTAGCAGAGAAAATGACTATACATTAAAAATGTTCTGGAGCCTTACCAAGTCCTCTGTAAAAGGTAGTACAATGTAAATGAAGAACCCCACATGAGAGAAGTAAGCTACATATCCTACCAAGCTTCTTCTGAATGGCTTCTAATATGCTATCCGAGTCACACAGCATGCAAGGCGTAGTGGTGCAGATCTGAATATGGTATTTCCCAACGGGTTTACGATTATACATTGTATAAAAGGTTGCTACTTCATAAACTCTCATGGGAGGTATGTCTAGAATCTCAGCAACCTGTAACAATAAAAGACTGTTTTATTTTTTCAGGACATAAAATGAGCAGTTTCAACTAACACCAACATTTTGAAAAGCAATTATAATGCCAGCGATGATATGAATCCTTGTATTTCTTAACCAATAATTTTTTTCCACAAAATGTGATAGTAAATGTGCATTTTTTCAAGTGTTTGTTCTTCGAAGATTGATTATTAACAAGGTGTTATTGTTAATATAGTCCATGACCCGGACTATAGTTACCATCAGCCCCAGCTAGGAGAGCCTTTGGGGTACGAATGATGGAATTTGAGTCCAACAACAATAGTAGATCCACAGGCCATTACTTAATCCCATGAACTCACTGGTAGAAATTATCAATAAATATTTTAAAGTGCTAGATTTCAGACTATTGAAAACTATTTACAGAATATCAAAACTATTTTCAGACTAGAAAATGTTCTACCACATAATTCAAAGCAGCACCAAAAAAACCACATCCCTGTTGTCCTATTCTTTCTTTTAGTATACCTATGAGTGCACTACCCCTGACCTGCATATAGTACATCAGCAACGTAGTCTGATAGGAACAGTCAGTGCACTTTTATTCAGATACAGAAGTCTCTTAGAAGATTTCTTCATGACACAACTTTATTAAAAAACCATACTATAGACAGTAAAGCTTTTGATAACTACTACTACTTACACTGGTATAGCTTCTTTCACATAATGTGCTTTACATTTTGTACAGGACTAACCAACTATTATAAACAGCATTATTATCCATGCTTCATATGTAAAAATACACAATAATGATTACATACATACAAACAAATAAACATACATACATACATACATACATACATACATACAACTGATCAAATAAACAACAGGGACATTCAAAATATTCCTTAACTCAAGACCAATAATCACATAAGCAAATGATTAAACAGATACTCAAACTCAGGTCTCACACTCAAAACATTTTTAAACCCTTAACTAATATCCACAAAAAACCTGCCTTAGTGAAATATTGAATATAGGCAAGCTGTATAAGCCAAAAGTTGGCCTGTCTGATATTCTGTTCTCTTAATCTACACATCAATCTCTGACTTTTGTCTTCTGGGTTTCTGGGGTTTTCCTGTTGTTATTCTGTCTTTCACAGCTACAATAAACCTACCACTAAAATTATGGACTGGTCCTTTCTTCGCCAGAGGGCAAACAGGCAAATTTAGCAGGGGATCAAATACTTTCCCCCCCTCACTGTAAATACGATAGCTTAGCTACCAGGATATATCCCCCAACATCTGTTATACCACTCTGTGATGGACTGGATGTTGATGGAGCTCCAGTTCCCTTCGTATGGGATTCTGGATGCAGCTAATAAGCACCCATTTCCAAATGTCATGTTTTACTGACACATCCAAGTAATTCAACAACAACAATGTGCAGCAGAACTCTGTATACCAGAAACCTATTCTTTTGGTTTTTAATCGTTCTCAAACATTTTTTTGCCCAGTCGCATTTCCACCCAAGATGATAAAACCACCCTCCTCTTTTTGGTATTTGCAGAAGGTGTCTGGGTAATTACTATTTTATGTAGTTTTGCAAGAGTAATATACCATTGGGGCCATGCATATACAGTGGTACCTCGGGATGTGAACGGGATCCATTCCGGAGTCCCGTTCGCATCCCAAACAGAACGTAAGATGTGATAGCGTGTCTGCGTGTGCGCAGGTCGCGTTTTGCCGCTTCCGCACATGCGCGTGACGTCATTTTGACCGTCTGCGCATGCTTGAGCGGTGAAACCCGGAAGTAATGCACTCCGTTACTTCCGGGTTGCCGCAGAGCGCAACCCGAAAGCGCTCAACCTGAAGCGTATTTATCCCGAGGTATGACTGTAAAACGGTTCTTGCTTGTTCCCATATTTAACAAAAACTTACAAACCAATAGCCGAAGCTTTTCCTACACTTTCATCAGAACATTTTCACCAATATTCTGAGCCCACTTGAGAATGTATTCCTTGATCTGTTCCTCCTCTGTATCATAATTTAACAATAATTGATGAACTTCAATATAAGCTTCTCAAACTCTGCCATATCTTTTTGTTGATCATTATATCTAAGAATGAGTTCAAAAATATCTAAACCATGGAGGGTTTGCCTCCTGAAATAATGAAGTACCTTATTCATTGCTGATATAGGTAGCCATCCATGCTGTCTTTGGGCTAGATCCAGGACTGACATCACTGCTCCAGATTTGTGTCCCTCTGGATAGTTGCTTACTATTGCCTCTATTCGCTGTTAAAGAAAATAAGCATTACAATAGCAAAAAAAATCAGTTTTCTGTAAAGATACAGCCTATCAAGTATCATGACATACCTTATAGTTTTCAGGTGTGAAATCAAATTGAGTATTTGGGTTGTTTTCAGGAGTATCTCTGTGCTGTACAAACAAAATAATGAAACAATTACACATATTTAGAACACATATGTCAGATGCAGCAAAAACAAGACTATTCTACCTTAATAGTTATGTAGAAGATGGTATTTTGTACAAACACAGCTTCTCATGCAAGTATGAAAAGATACATCTGCAAAAAAAATTCTTCTGTTCAACAGATACAGGAGCTGCTTTCTCCTATACATCTGGTCAGCCTATTTCAAACAGACTGAAATAAAATATTGTTCCCTGCAGTTTAATCATAGACTTAACACAATATGAAAAAAGCTTTTTTAAAAGACTAACACTTTAGGGAATTAGAACTTCAACCCTGCATAAGTGTTATAGGTATATTCCACTAGTATCAAGGCATGCCGCTTATTCCTGTTGTGTTGCCTTTTTCTTTCCTACTCAACTCCCTCCACAGCCCTTCTTCTTTGTCACCTTGGCAAAGACTCTGGTTCATACCCTAATCATATCTCACATAGAATAACACAATCTTCTCCTTGCTGGTCTTCTCAATTTTGCCTTCTCATTTCTTTTCCAGCCAAAGTTGTTCACTTCCGTTGCTGCTCTGATTGTGAGACACTCCTCCCAAAATCCCCTCACTGGTTTTTACTTAGTTCCCACATTCAGAACATACACCTTGCTCTTACCTTCAAATGTCTTTCCCCTTCTCATCTCTCCAATATATCCCTGCCCATGACCTTTGCCCCTCCAGCTTCACCATTCTGTGTGTTTACTGCTGCCTTCTTTTCCCTCCCTATCGTCTTGGTTTTCCCTGTACAGAAGTTTAGTTAAGCTCCTCAGAGACACGGACCAGTACTTTTGCGCTCTGTAAAGTGTCATGCACATTGATGGCATTATATACATAAATAATAATTACATCTCAAGTAAAGTAAAAAGTACCAAATACGTTCAAGTAGCTAAGTGCCTGATAAAAATTAAAAGCACTAATTTCTGCTTGAGAATACAAAAGAGCTACAGAGGGTATAATTATGTATTGCAATATAGGTACACATAGAGAAGTCATGTATCATAAAGAATGGTTCATGTTATTTTTCTAAGCATTTAGACCCATGGCTCCCTATTGTGTAGTTTTCCCCACTGCACATTTTGTCTTTATATCAGCAGGTCATCTATATTAGGGGAAGATGCCTTTTATTCAGTCAAACCATTCTCCATCCGTCTCAGTATTGTCTATGCTGAGTGGCAGTAGCTCTCAAAGGTTTCAGCAAGGAGTCTTTCCTGGTCCTACCTGGAAATGACAGGGGGGGTCGAACCTGGGACATTTTTGCATACAAAGCATGTGCTCCACCATTAAGCTAGACGGCAGGACTTAAAATCAGAAGTGTTGTAAAGTCATACAACATGGGCAAAATGTATCAAGCCTTACCAACATTTCATCATACCCTACTGAGTGGGGTTAATGTTGTGATATCTCTTTTGCTGCCTTCATGCCAAATTTCTCTTGCCCGTCTATTTACAGGTTCCGGTTACAGTAGAACTTCTACTCACGACCACAATCCATTCCGGAAGCCCGTCCTTATGGTGAAACAGGTCGTTGGGAGAAGTGCCGTTGTGCGCTGGCGCGGGCGGCGATCACCCACTCCTGCGCATATGGCGAGTGCCGCTTCTGCGCAAGCAGCGGTTGCCGCTCCTTTGCATGCGCGAATGACAATAGCCCCTGCACATGCAGAAACGGCGGCAAACCCACTGGTTATTTCCAGGTTTCCCGCAGTCACAACTTGGAATGTCTGCAAGTGGAGGCGGTTGTAAGTAGAGGTTCTACTGTACAGTTAAGTGAAAATGTAGATACGAGTCTTTGAAATAAAGCCAAATAGAAGCACCAGTTTGTACAATCTATAAAGCAACAACGGTATCAAAGTTACAATTATGACCCACGAAAACTTCCTGCTGAAACAGGTTAACTTCCAGGTTAACAGTACCACCATTACTGCAGAACAGATGCATTATTCCAACACCCAAATAAACAGAAATAATTAAAGCTTTTGAACTCATATGGAGTTACTCAGATACATTCTCTCTCAATAAAATCTCATCTTCATTAATATAAAAAGGAGAGATATTATCAATGTAGTCTTACATTTGCTGAGAAAAATGGATTGTGATATTACTGTGGAGGACAAGTGATTAAAAAAGACAATAAAAACCACATTTCTCAATTTTCAGTTACATCTGCTTTAGTTGTACATACAAATTGCTTACCACAAACAAAGCTCCACCACCACCATTGCGTACAGCTGTTGCATGAAGAGAGCGAATCTGTGCCACCTACAAAGCACATTTTATAGAAGGTAAGCATCTGTTTTAAAGTTACATCTTACATATACAGTACATTAAAAAAAAAGCAGGGAATACCAAAAAAACCAATATTTAACCCACCTGAAAAAAGTTTTGTGTCTGCCCATCCCTTCTGCTCCTAAACAACTTATATAATTCATGATGGCGGTACCAACTTCTATGAGAACCGCCTCAAATACTTCTTTTCCACAGGAACTACAAAACCACAGTAAAGTTTGCTTGTGCATCAGTTTTCGAAGCTTTATTGCCCTCAGCCATTATATTAATCCACTGTCTCACACCAATATACTTGATTGGAATCCTCCAGTAATTCTGATCTAACAGCATGCTTATCTAACAACTAAGTGGTCTGCTTCATAGAAAACTACCAAAGTGTGCTGCAGCACTAAAGAAGGCACATTACTTGAATCACTGAAATTGCTATAAACAATACCCAAATAAAGTGCAGTAGTAGGAAAACATTGCAAATCAATGTGCTAAGAGGTCATAGAGAAGGAAACAGGAAAAGAAGTACAGTATATGCTTGGGCAGGTCTTGGGCAAGAGGCAATTTTACCATAATGAAGCAAGTGTACAATAACTAATATGAACAAACAGATTATCAATGCCCATTACTGTATAGCTATTGCCAAAACATAGAACTTAATGAGAAGCTATCTACAGGCTTCTGGCTAAGCAACCCAAATGAACCTGAATTTATCTTGGAATACCTATTTGCCACTATATACTCTCTCCTAGTGGTTGTCTTGAGAAATAGCCTGGTAGCACACTGCTGCAAGAATTGAGGTGTGTGTTGATATACCTTTTCAAGTTTACAAAAGAGAAGGAACAGCAGTTGTATGCATTTGAACAGCATGGTGCATCGCTGTGAGATAACAGAACACTTCCCTAAACTGCTGCCTAACTTTAGAGAAGGGATGATAAACATGGGCTAAAAATAGCCACATCCGTATTCCAACCCTGCCTCCCACAAACTTTAGTTGCAGGAGGTAAAAAACCACAAGTGTTTAGAAACAAATAGGCAATCAAATTTTTTTCTGCAGGGGCACCAGAATCTGTTGCTCATCTAAAAACTACTGTTTGTGCAGAGATTAATTCTTCAAACAGTACATAGTTCAAACTAGGGTATTCACTACCACATGATGTAGTGACATGTTAACTCCAATTTAATTACTTTAAAAGGGAATTAGACAAATGATTGAGATAAGACTATCAATGGCTACTAGTTATGATGGCTATATGCTAAGTTCAGAGACAATATGCCTCTGAATACCACTTGTTAGGGAGGGCCTTGGTGTCCTGCTTTCCACTGGCATTTGGCTGTCCATTGTGGGGAAAAGATGCTAAACTAGACAAGCCTTTGATCTGATACATTAGGGCTCCTATGTGATTGGTGCCAAAAACAAATTTTAATTTTAAATTAAATGGAATGTTTTCTTATTAAAGTAGAATCCTAGAATCATAGAATTGTAGTGTTGGAAGGGGCCATGAGGATCATCTAGTGTCCATCCTGCAGTGCAAGAATCTGTCGCCGAACGTGGGGCTCAAACTCACAACCCTGGCATTAAGAGTTTCCTGCTCTACTGACTGACCTATATTATTCATTTATATACAGAAATTTATATGCACATACAAATATTAATATGCTTCATGAAAACAGCTAAAGAAAGTTGTATGCAAACTCTACTATTTAAAGTAACTCTTTAAAAAGGAATGAGACTGTTCCTTTGATAAAAAATATATTCAAAATGCACTGGAAATTCATCAATCTTGCAACTGTCTCAATGCTCTTGTGGTAATTTCTATAACTGTTTCCGATCCCTTTTTGCCTGCATTTAGGGAACTCCTTTTCCATGCTAAGAAATACACATTGTACTCTTCTTTCATCACCCACCTGTCAAAAACATGTATTTACTTAAAAACCAAAGTGACACAACAGTCCAAGTTATCTTAGATTTTATGCTGTTCATCTCAGCAGTAGCCCCTGCTATGGAATACCAATTCCAGTCACTGTGCTTCCTATTCACTAGCTAGCTATCTGTCAGGTATACCAGGTATACACAAGACTCCTGCCATCATTTGGCTCACCCAGGGTTTGTGTTGCTGGTCTGTTTGGCAGCCTTTGTCTGTGGTCAGAGGGAAAAAGCAACAACGATAAAGCAGCGCAGCACAAGGTCTGGACAACTAAACTGACAACAAAGGAGGGTAGTACCTATGAGGAAACAGGCATGACAGATATAGACCTACATGTTTAAATGGGGCCTGTCAGGGAATCTATCTAAAGCCAGAATCGATTTAAAGTGCTTCCTAGGACCCCACCACTTGTGAGGCTCCAAAACCAAGTGCAAAGGCCCAGCAGAAAAAAGAGCTCATATGCTCACCCAACCTGCGCTTCCAATTCTCTATCCACAACTTTATCAAGATTTGACAGGATTAGGAGTTTGGTCTAACGCTGTCACTTGCAGTAGTTTGAGCGTTCCCAAGACCTGACTTCACGTTACACGCGACAAACGTGTAACGCAACCCTTATGGTCGCTCCTGCTGCAGAACAGCCATTCCAAAAAAAAGAGGGTGGCATTCAGGAGGTGAAGAAGACGACGGCGGCATTTGTCCTTTCCCATCTACCTGCCTCCCCCCGGTCCGCAGCCCATTCCCTCTCCACGTATGGTTTATTTTTCTTTTATAAGGCGTATTCCCAGGAAAGCATGGACCGTAAAGCAACCCCGCTCCCGACCAAACCCTCCGCCCAGCCCTTGTCCACCCCTGCCGCCACCTCCGCTTCTCCGCCGCAGAGGCTGCTAGGCTCGTCGGGAGCGGGGCAGGAACCGAATCAAGCTCCTCCCTTTCCCCTTCCCCCCGAGGAAGGCGAGGGCCGCCTCCATGCCCTTGGCCGCTACTGCCCTCCACCGACACTGCCGGGGACGCCCGACCAGCGCGCTGGACGAAGCAGCGTTTCCCTCAACCCCACCGGCCCTCCTTACCGAACGCGCGAAGGCGGCCCGAAAAGGAGCGGACAGCAACATGGCGGCGCTTAGCCGCGGCTCCTCGCCGCCGCCGCCGCCGGCAGACAAATGGAAAACTTCTCCTTCTCGAGGAGACTCTGCTGCTGCTGCTACTACGCGCTCGGCGCCGCGCACGCAGTCGCAGTGCGAGCCGCAGGCTGATCTGCGCATGCGCGCGCGACCTCGCCGCCTGCCGGAGATTGTGGACGCGCGCCCAGAAGAGGAGGAGGAGGAAAATAGTTAGGCGATGGGTTTCGAAAGGCAGCCCGATCGCGTTATGGAATGCTAATGGAAAAACATGTGTTTTTTAAGCCAGAATGTGCCAAACTTCAAAACTAGCTATATTTAGACCACAGGTGTAAATGTATTTATTCGTCCAGGTCTTTCGAACCCGATGGTTCTTAGTTTTCATGATAGATGTCATCATGTCAGATTTTATTCTGTTTTATTTTATTTTACTGTATATATTGTATGCTGTGCCTCCAAGGAGCGCATCACAGCTGTTGGTGTCACTGTGGCAGCAGCAGAAAGCAGGTGATGCATTCCTTGGAGGACAGATCTGCTGCTCCTGTGGATCTGATCCTGCCACCTGAGGCGGTCGCCTCACCTTGCTTTATGGGTGGGCCAGTCCTAAAATTAATAATGGCTTGCCTTCAAAGTAGTGCCCATTAAAAAGAGGATGTACTGTACTATATTGCTGAAAAGTCATTGTATCTCTGCCCTCTCCAAGATAAGGTTGACTCAGTTCTAGGTCTCACCTAGAGCTGTTGGGAGTTTGGTCACATACTTAGGGTGTGGTAATGAACAGGAGTTCTGTCTTTCTTTTCATCTGGTCATCCAACATGCAGTTTATCTCCTGTCCCTATTCCATAATTCCCACACCTTGCTCTGGCACCACCATTTTTTAATGGGTGCTACTATGCAGCATTTGGCTGTGGGTGGCTGTTACTTGTAGCGAAGAACCATCTCATCATATGCCATGTACAAAATGTGGTGCTTACCACCATTATCAGTTGTTACTGTTAAAAGCTGCTTGTATACATATCCCGTTTCTGGAATTTAAATCCATTGCTATTCATCCTGTTTTTTCTGTTTCCTCTGAAGACCACATGAATTCCAAAAAACTTTACAGCAGTTACAGGGGCCTTGTCACTCAGCTGGCACCAGCAGGTTGTACTTTGACAGTTACTGGCATGGATATATGCTTCTACTTTTTAATTTAGAAAAAGTGTAGCCTACTGAGACCAGAATTTAGATAACAACAACAACAACAACTTATTATTTATACCCCACCCATCTGGCTGGGTTTCCCCAGCCACTCTGGGCAGCTTCCAACAGAATATTAAAATACAATAACCTATTAAACATTAAAAGCTTCCCTAAACAAGGCTGCCTTCAGATGTCTTCTAAAAGTCTGGTAGTTGTTTTTCTCTTTGACATCTGGTGGGAGGGCGTTCCACAGGGCGGGTGCCACTACCAAAAAGGCCCTCTGCCAGGTTCCCTGTAACTTGGCTTCTCGCAGCAAGGGAGCCGCCAGAAGGCCCTCAGCACTGAACCTCAGTGTGCAGGCAGAACGATGGGGGTGGAGACGCTCCTTCAGGTATACTGGACTGAGGCCATTTAGGGCTTTAAAGGTCAGCACCAACACTTTGAATTGTGCTCGGAAACGTACTGGGAGCCAGTGTAGGTCTTTCAAGACCGGTGTTATATGGTCTCGGCGGCCGCTCCCAGTCACCAGTCTAGCTGCCGCATTCTGCATTAGTTGTAGTTTCCGGATCACCTTCAAAGGTAGCCTCACATAGAGCTCATTGCAGTAGTCCAAGCGAGAGATAACTAGAGCATGCACCACTCTGGCGAGACAGTCCGCGGGCAGGTAGGGTCTCACCCTGCGTACCAGATGGAGCTGATAAACAGCTGTCCTGGACACAGAAATGACCTGCACCTCCATGGACAGCTGTGAGTCCAGAATGACTCCCAGGCTGCGTACCTGGTCCTTCAGTTACCCCATTCAGGACCAGGGAATCCTCCACATCTGTCCGCCTCCTGTCCCCCCAAAACAGTACAGTGGTACCTCCGGTTTTTGACAGAGGCAAAGGCATAAAGAGGTGTGAAACACAGGTTGTAGATCTACTTACAAGAATAACAAACAAAGCTCCTCTGTGACCCAAGTAACTGATCAACTAGATCAGCTTTTTTGTGGGAATTAACTAAAACTGAGTTTCCCACTGTCCCTTCATGAATAGATAAGAAAAATTCCAGCAGCATCATGTATCCTCTAATAGAAGATTAAAATGGTTTTCTATTTTCTGATGGAGGAGGAGTGCTTTGTTCTAGATCCGGAAAACATCCAAAATAGTGCTGTTACTTGCTGCCACCTCCTGGATATATAAAAGATTTCTCTTACTCTCTTACAGCATACATGAAGCTCAATTAATTCTCCATACAGTCCTGTGCATAGAATTCTGACAATAAACCCTTGAGCATCAGAGATTCAAATACTCAGTCATATATTTGTATAGATTTTAATCACATATTCAGATGTTTGTTTAAATTTGTGTGCGCAGTCCATGGAGGGTAGTGTCCTAAAAACTAGATGACAATCACAAATTAGGGAGAGATAAAATGCACAAATGTTTAATAAAAATCGTCCCCTAATAGTGTAACACCTAGCTGCGAAGTGATGTCCCATTACAGAAGAGACTCAGTGCAAATATTTTGGTACTGTCTAAGGGGAAAGGATTATATTTTAGGGGCAGGCACAGGGAACGCCTCTCTACATTCAAAAAGACTATAGAGTCGCTGTTATTAAGAACTTTGAGAAGGTGCTCTTTAAGAGGAGGAGGGCAACCAAAATGGTCAAAGGCCTGGAAACGATGCCTTATGAGGAACGGCTAAGGGAGCTGGGCATGTTTAGCCTGGAGAAGAGGAGGTTAAGGGGTGATATGATAGCCATGTTCAAATATATAAAAGGATGTCACATAGAGGAGGGAGAAAGGTTGTTTTCTGCTGCTCCAGAGAAGCGGACACAGAGCAATGGATCCAAACTACAAGAAAGAAGATTCCACCTAAACATTGGGAAGAACTTCCTGACAGTAAGAGCTGTTCGACAGTGGAATTTGCTGCCAAGGAGTGTGGTGGAGTCTCCTTCTTTGGAGGTCTTTAAGCAGAGGCTTGACAACCATATGTCAGGAGTGCTCTGATGGTGTTTCCTGCTTGGCAGGGGGTTGGACTCGATGGCCCTTGTGGTCTCTTCCAACTCTATGATTCTATGATTCTAAGAGGCTTTCATCTATTTTTAACATGCTAAATGCAAAGCATTCTTTTCCCTACTAATATGCCAATGAACTCATTGACATCCATAGGGAAGATCCAATACCTGGCAAGATAGTGGAGGACATTTTGAGTGACTTCTTAAAGACACGCGAAATATCTTTTCACTATCTTGCCAGGTATGAGCAAAATGGATCCGCAGTTGCTTTTACCTATGCCTGTGACCAACAGTATTAAACACTGCTCAAATTTCTAATAATAGTATCAAATGGGTGCAATTTTCTTTTCCATCTCCCTGCACAAGTCATCACCAGGGCTACAAGCAAAGCCTGTATATCACAAAGGAGTGTCGAGTCCTTTAAGATGTACTGGAGGAAAACACAGGTTGCACTTATAAAGGCCAACATTGTTCATCTGGAATAGCTATAAGAAGCAGAGTGAAGACATTTCAAATGATTGTATGGATCTTCCCAATGTTCATTGACCTTTAAATGCTTACAAGGCGGACATGACAGCCTAGCAGGAGGGATTTAGCAAGCTTATTTTTGATGTGTGCACCCTTTCATTATCAGTTAAAGTTCATTCTAGCTGTGTATTGTTAAGCCCTTTACCTACTGGTATATGTTGTATGTTGCAAAAAATCTGTTTTAAACCATTTTAGAATTTGGCTTAAGTTGGGAAGAAGAATCCTGTTAAGCTGAACATTAACACCCAACTACTGTATGTCTATTTTATATTTGTTATTATTAAGAAGCAATCATATTCTGTTTTTAAACATTTTGTTCCAACATCTCTCCCAAGTTAAAATAGCCATGCAACCAAATATTTTTGAAAGTAGATGACCAGTATGCTTCATCCCAAGTGAACAGGTTTTATCATCAGGTTTAAAACCCATGTGATACTAGGTTATTTCTTTTGAATCCTCCACTAAGGCATAACACTGGCATCTCTGAGTACAAAAAGGAGGTATATACTTTATTTCCGTTAACTTCATATATTGCTTGAAAATAATATGAACCAACCAGGACAAGGTGATCATGATGAGACCCTTCTTTGTATGCCTTCCCCTGGAGGGGGGCAGCACAAGAATGGGCCTTTTTTGCAGTGACTCTCCACTTGTGGAATGCTCTCCACTGGGAAGTTTGCCTGGTGCCTTCATTTGCCAGGCAAAAACGTTTTTTGTGTTTTTTTAAAAATAATTTTTATTAAGTTTCATATTACCAAATTAAACACATCAAACCAATTAGTCCAAATTATAACAATACATAACATATAATCCAATTGTTTTCCAAACTATAAATTTTTGTGGGGGGTACCCATGCTTCTTGATCGGCAAGAGTCCAATCCTCGAATATTTCTGCTGCTTTCATATTAAGAATGATATTTCCAGTCCCCTCTTCTCAATCCTTGTCATTACTCATTTTCCTTTTCATTCACCTCCGAGTTGCTCTGCAAGTGGGTTGAAAAAACCAGTCTTATTTGTCTTTCTGTGTGGACTTTGTACTGCTCTCTCGTAAATCACTCTCATCCAATAGTCCAGGAATTTCCGCTCGAGCAAGCAATCGCCATCTTGTTTTTCCGATGAAATACAGTCTAAAAGCTCGCTCTTTAACTTTCCCGACCTGCTGCATCGTAAATTAGTCTTTTTTCAGGAGGGCTGCCCCTTCCAGTTCGCAATCTCGTCGAAAATAATAAATATTCGGCTCGCCCTCCCCAAGACCAAACCTCCTGCAACACAGGTCTATCTTTCCGTATCAAATTTCCATTCTTACTGGGTCATAGAGAGAGCCTTCCTTCTTTCCAAGTCCTTTACAGAGTAAAACCTTTAAATCCATATTATTCCACACAGTTCCTTTTTAGTCCCATTTGCCGATTAGTTTTTGTGACGGATCTTCTAAGAGGGAGGGTTATTAGTAAATCACATAGAGCAAAAAAAAATAAAAAGTCATTTCCCCCCTTTCAGTTCCGTTGCATTCCATTCCACATACCAGATCTGTAGTACTTTGATGTAATCTTCCGTCTCAATCTTCTTCATTTCAGTGGTAAAATTGTTAGCAGATAAAATCCTCCTGCCTCTCTTG